TTGAACGAGTATGGGCGCCTATTCCACGATCACCTTCGAGGAGGTGCACGATTTGAGTGATGTTTCGCGCGCGCAAACAGGGCTCAGATATCCTGAGAAGTATTTTAACCTCACTTGGAGAGACTGTTTGTCATTTTTGGAGCTTCGCGGCGGCGCGCCGCCGCGAATCTGTGCACATATAGCAAGGATAGCCTAGGACCAGGCTCTCCTGGGGCTCTATATCCCGAATAATTCACGCCGAGAGCTTCCAAGTGGGTTGAAATGAGCCTCTACACATTTATAACGTCTGTGGTAGTGTAATACAATTTTTCGCGAGTTCTTCGGGCTCCTGTGCACCTGTCGAGCGCGTCCACAAAGTCGCGAAGGGGGTCCCGATGAGATCACGTGCGACCCAAATGGTTTCGTAACCTAATTCTAGGGTTGGCTTTGGTCTCTAGGGGCGGGCGCTTCAGACCAATTCAGAGACCAATTTGGTCGGGTCCTTGGAATCGCGCTGTATCCCACAGCACAGCTGCGATCGAAGAAGCGATCGAGTGATTGAGACGCCCGGCCTGTTGTGGGGTGAGTTCTCCGTCCGGGGCTTTGCAGGGCTTTGGACGGAAACTGCGACGGGCTGGCACGTAGATTGAATCTGTCGGAAAACCCCACATTCCCTTGGTGAGTAGGGCCATGCGATGAATTTCACACAACAGTATATTGATAGACGAAAACACCATTGACGAAACCTCTGCGGAGTAGATTGTAGAGGGAGGTCAGCCAGATGTGTCAGGGATGGGATAGGAATGTGGGCGTTCCGGAGCGCACGGCAGGTCCTCCGAGATGGACATTGTTGGTGCACTGTGTTATGACTCATTGTGCGCAGCTTGGCTGTTTGGAGCCTTAAAGTGGAGGACTGTGGAGGTACCTACCTCTCAGGCCTGTTCCGATGTCCGTCAATGCTTTATAACAAAGCTGTGCCGCGTTAAAAACGTTTGGAGCGTATCGAGAGATGTATACAACGATCAAACCAGAAATCGTGTTTCGCCGGGTCCTGTGGCCCTACTGGCTCGAGGAAATCGAGTAGAAGGGATGGGTATCTCAACGTTCCACCATACGTGTCAGGCGTCCTAAGGGAAATGACTTGGTCATCAGAAACTGTACAGGTGTCACGTATCTGCAATGGCAGCGGGAGACACACCTTGCCCTTCCCATCTGCCTTCGTTACAACCGCCGTTGCATTAACAGTCGGTTTGGCCTTCGCCTCCTCCGCCGTCTTAGCCTCAGTGTCCGCCTTCTTAGCCTTGCGCCTACGCCGCCTACCCGCGCTCCCACTACCTCCGCCTCCTCCGCCATCCGCCAACGAGATCAGGAATTTGGACAGAAGAGGGCTAAACTTGGCTTTATCCCGAGGGAAGATCTTCCCCGTCTTCCGTATGTACTTGGCTAGCTCCTTGGACGTAGCAAATATCTTGGGCTTCTCGTCTGGAGTTTTACAAGCGTCGATGAGATCGATGATGTTCACATACACATCGTTCAACACCTGTACGACGGAGCAATAGTCAGCATGTCGGACCGCATACGAGTTTCATCCTTCCGACTCCTTGTCCCGCACATTCGCCTCCCGACAAACAAACACCGCACTCACCCGCCTGCACTCTATCACAGTACCCAGTGTGATACCCTCGCTTATTCCCAGGAGGCGACAGAGTCTCTGCCACGACTCCAAGCTGTTGTTGTTCCGTCCGAATATACGCTCGAAATCCTCCATGGCCCAGTCCCGGAAAACTTTCCGCCGCTCCTCCTTGTACGGCTTCCCCTTCTTCTTCCACCCGTTCAGCATAGCCAGGCGCCTGAACTCGGCCACGAGCGAAGCGTTGATGTCGCGCGTGAACCCCGGGGCAGGCGCGCCACGCGCCCCGCCGGGGACGGGGCTGTTCGCTGTGGCGGTCTTGTCGGGGGGCTGGTCTTTGTCCGACATGGGGGCGAGAGGGAAGATTGTGAGGCTGGGAAGCGAGGCTTTGGGTGCTTATAATATGGTCACCACGCTCTTGCGGCCTGGAAGCCTGACAGCGTTCGTGGCTCAGCGCTCGATGGTCAGGGCGCAGCGGCACGAGAAGAACCTTGTATGCCGATTGGGAAGCCTGCCAGGACCCGGCGCTCCTCCGGTGCGGCTGGCGAATGAAGGACCGGCATTCCCTCGTAGAGCCCCACTCCCGCCCTGGGAGGTGAGGCTTACGAGGGAGAACGAGGGGGCGACAATTGCCTTGCTTCCTCTGCGTGCAAGCTCCCCACAATACAGTAGAATAGAAGGCTCATACAACGTATACATTTTTCAAGACATTGCAACCCAAACCGCCGTGCAATCAGGAACATCTTCAGCCCGAAGATCAGCCCCTCATCCAAACGATGAGAACCTCCTGATTGTACGACCGTCGGATAGCAGCCACAGACAGCGTTAGCAGACATCTGTCAAGTACCCGCATGTCACATACCTCCCGAGCTCGGCTGCCTAGCCGAAGACGACAATTAGGAACTGCCTGAGCAGCGGGTTGGTCTTGGCCTGCGCCTTCGGAAATATCTTGCTCGTCTTCTGGATGTAGCCGGCGAGTTCGCTCTCAGAGGAGAATATCCTCGGCTTGATACCCTGCCTCTTTGAGTCAACGAGGTCGACGAGGTTGACGTAGAAGGGCTTCAAGGCCTGTACACCACATCAGCTAAGGCCCTGACAGCGTGCTGTAGCGTATACTCTTACCAGCTTGCACTTCTTGATGCTCGAAGGCACGTCTGTGATGCCCAAGTGACGGCAGAGGTCTTGCCACGCGTCCAGGCGGGACGCGTTGCTCCCCCAGAACGTCGTGAAGTCCTGCGCGACGGCGCCGCCGTAGAACTTCGCGCGTTCTTTCTTGAATTTGGCGCTCTTCTTGCCCCAGCCGCTGTCAAGGGACAGCCTGCGGAACTCATCCGCAAGCAGGGCAGTCGTGTCGCGCTCGAAAGGCATCACTTGAGCTGCTAGTAGTGCGCAGGAGCGGGCTAGCGAAGGCTGCAGAAGGCTGCAGGTAGGGTGACGCGTCAGGCAACCATCCGCCCCCCGTTCCCCTACGCAGGATTATATAGCTGACTGCATCCAGCTCTCGTGCATTCGACGCATGGTTCCAACGATCCTTCTGCTGCGAGGCGTCAAGATGAGAGAGGAATCACGGGAGCTGTTGGTGGTAAGAAGTCAGGAGCGCAGAGTGCAGAAGCGCCGAATATCGCGCCTCATCTCAGCTCATTCTAGTAAATGCACCGGCTGGATTCGCGAAGCCGAGTTCGTGTAGCAAAGTGCATTGAGCGTATGATCGTTAATAGGGCTACAGTTTCCAATTACATGCGTGAGTCGCAAGCCATGTGCAGGTAAGGTAAGTATACAGCTATCTCGCAGCGATAGTCAATGGGCACGTCCATCCGGGGAACGTAAACGTAGTATGTATTAGTCCGAAGCTCGAAGGGAATGTATCACTAACAGGGAACGAAGACGAAAATGTCCGAGTTCATCGTTCATCGAAGGAAAGGGTTCCGCGATCCACCGGTGTTCGTCGGCTGCAGCCAGTATGCCCCGCGCTGCGGAGGCGACTCCGGCTGCTGTGTCAACTGCGCCACCGACCGCGCGTACTCCTGTGCAGGAGTCGGCGCAGAGTGAACGGGAACGGGAGGCGCCGCAGGAGGGTCGGGGACCAGCCAACTGCTGTACGTCGTGTTGGAGAACCGCGAGGGGAGCAAGTCCGCGGCGTTCCGCACAGGCTGCCGCGGCTCAGGGGCGCGCCGCGGCTGCCCAGTGACCTGCGAGTACAGAGACTCCTGCGCGAGGTCGCGGGCGACGCGCCCGTGGTCGGAACCCTTGCTGCTCGCCTTGTGCGAATGTCGGTCCCCGTCGTAGTCGCGCAGCGAAGGGAGCGGCGACGGCGCGCGACTCGATCCCACCCGCGAGTACTCGTACGAGTGGATGAGCTTGTCCATCTCGCGGTCGTGGCGGAGCTCGGACTGGCGGAGCTTCGCCATGTCGCGGTCGTGCCGTGCGTCCTCGGCCACGCGCATCTTCTCGAGGCCATGGTCGTAGCGCGCCTCCTCCGCGGCGCGGAGCTTCTCCAGCCGGATGTCCTCGTTCTCCTTCGGCATCATCCAGCGTTGGCCCTTGCGGTGGCCAAAGAGCTTCTCACCGAACCGTACGAGGCGGTACCGCCAGCTCTTGGAGTGGTTCAGCTGCTTTGCGGCCGCGAAGTTGGCGGTCGCGGCGACACGGCGCTTGCGCATGCGGCGGCGCCAGCACATGAGGAAGACCACGAAGATGAACGCGCAGCCGAGCGCCATGAGCAGGATCTCCCACCATTGGAGGGAGCGCTTGACGACGGTGGTGCTGGATGCCGGGGCGGTCGAGATAGGAGTGTCGATGCCGGTGATGGTGGGCAGCGGGGAGGCAGAGTTGGTGGTGGATGCAGGCGGGACCACGACGAGGTCGGAGAGGCAGAGACCGAGCCCAGGAATGACGCTCGAGCCACCGCTGCAGCTCGAAGACACACACGTTCCGCCTCGAAGGACTTGGCTGGAACTCGAGCACGCGAGACAGTTGCTTGGACCCGCGCCGGAGCAGCTTGAACAGCTAGCGTCACACGACTGGCATGATGACGAGGTCTTGTCGAAGAACTGGTTCTTGCTGCAGGTGGGCAGGCAACGGCCGCTGGTGAGCACCGGGCGGTCGGCGGAACAGCTTGTGCACTGGTTGAAGGAGCTTCCAGAGCACGTTGCGCAGTCGGGATGGCAAGTGACGCACTGCCCGGAGGAGCTGAACGTGTTCGAGGGGCAGGAGGCGACGCATTTCCCGTTAGCCGCAAGCTGATTGTTGGCACATGACAGACAGAACGTCGCCGAGCCAGCGCAGGTTCCGCACGATGAATCGCAAGCTAGAACAGATGTAATAAGCACCACATATCACTTCTGACTGAGAAGGCAAACTTACCTGTGCAGGTCACATTGTCCTTAGGATCGAGGAACGTGCCAGTCGGGCAGCTGTCGACACACTTGCCCTTCGACAGAACAGAGCCAGGTAGGCATCCGGTGCACTGGACCTGGTCGATTGTCGATGCCACATTGAAGCTGGGATACTGGCAGGTTGTGCACTTCGAGGGGCAAGCTAAAATAATCTTCAGTCAGACTGCACCGCCACAATAGACCCAATGTACTTACTGTCGCATTCGTGCTTGTTGTTATCCGCGACCAAGGCAGAGCCGTCGCAAACACCATTGCCATCGGTACCGACGCAGTTGCCGTTCGAGGAGTACTTCCCAGCGCCGCAAATGATACAATCATTCGACGTGGGACCGGAGCACGTCTGGCAAAGGGGAGAGCAAGGCTGACAGGCCGTGCCGTTGCTGAAGCTGCCGTCGGGGCAGACGGTTCCGGTCGAAGTCGTCGCTTGGCTCGCGATGCACTGCGTGCGGTCGTTCGCATTCTGGGTGAAGCCCGTCTTGCAAGAGATGCAGTCACCGCTGCCGTCCGCGCACTGGGTGCAACCAAGGCTGCAAACTGCAAATAACGATCAGCCTAAGATTTGGAATCGTCAAGAACAAAAACGTACTCTCGCAGTTCCCATCGGTGCCGAGGAAAAAGCCAGTGTCGCACTTGGCGCACGCAGTGCCGTTTGTCCCCGTGGTCCAACCAGCATTGCAGGTACAAGTCCCGTCAGAACCGCAGACACCGTTGAGACAGTTGCACGTCGACGGCGCGTTCTTAATGATCGGTTCCAGGCACCGTCCAGAACCCGTCATACCATCGTCGCAGGTGGCACAATCCGCGGGGCATGCTTGGCAGGTGGAACCGAAGAATCCGGGAGCGCAGGTCTCGCAAGACGTGCCGTTGAACCCGGGTGGGCAGGTGCACGTACCAGAAGCGGAACACACACCGGCACCGGCACACGGGGGAGAGCACGCAGAGGACTGGATGTCGAGCAGCTGAGAGAGACCGGACGCGCCTGAAGGCAGCTGCGAAGCGTCGGGCACGCTGTCCCAGAAGACGAGGCGATCGCTGGAGGAGCCGGAGACCGCGATCCATACGTTTGACGAGATCGCGAGTGCGCCTGGGGAGATCTTCGAGGTAGTGTTCGAGGGTGTGCTGGGAAGCTGGGCAAAGGTTGCTTGTCCGGAGTAGTTCGCTTGCGGGTAGACCGCCACTCCGGGCTGCAGAGCGAGGTTGAGGGGCAATGACGCGTTGGCATCGAACCCTGGAGAGCCGGATACGGATGCGCTTGAGGATGTGAGGAGGTCGTGAAGGAGAGATGGGTTGGTCGTGGACGTGTACTGTCCCGGTAACAGGAGTAGGCTGGTTGCGGCCCCAGACGCAGACAGAGTCGCGCCGACTGCAAGAGGTGAGCTCGTACTCGGCGATCGATGGGCGTAGTGTACGCACTCGTTGTGTTAGTGAACCCCTCGAGGCATTGGCCGGCAACGCATACTACAGTTGGTGATGATGTTTGTGCGGCGAACGCAGCGCCGAGAAGGAATGAAGTCGTGATGATGCTCGACAGCATGTCGAGACGTCTAGTGGATGGAAGTGAGAGAACGAGGAGCAGCGTCTGCGCGCCCTGCCTGAAATGCCCATCGGCACTCGCTTAATCGCCATGGTTGCATTGTTGTCCGCTGGAATTGTCGGGCAGGCGAGAGTCCTTGTTTATTGTCTCCCTTATTGTTCTCGATTTAGGCTTAGGCGCCCATATGCGTCGGCTATGATTAGGCGCCTATAAACATTTGTACACACGGCAAACATCCCAGGATATCAGGACTCTAGATAGGCCCAGGAACTTGAAGCAAACTATAACTGTCATATAATCCTTTGTCCCCGTACAAAGGGATTTTTGACAGTTATAATTTGCTTCTCGATCTGAAAGTCTTTCTGGGGCCCTGATATCCTGCGGTGTTTGCCGTGACACCAACATTGCTAAGCGCCCAATTGTACTAAAAGTACGCACCGCAGGTCCGCAGCTAGAGAACCTTTCTCCGAGCATCGTTGTGCTCAAAATATGCCCCAGGTGGTCGACAAGAAATGGAGTACCTAATTGTAAGCAGCATCAGCAACTTTCTGCATACGCTGACACGACGCCATGACGTTAAACACAACCTGCCGCGGTTTGAGTACTGGTTGCGCTGAAGACGCGTACAGGTTACAACAACTGAAATTAGACGATAAAGAAATACACGACAGCAAGGGACAAGCTGGACGAAGGATACAGGGGACGTTAGTGATACCAGATCTGGAAGGGAAAGGAAGAGACGGGGTATGCGCCGTGAAGTGGAATGGTATCGAAGGTGCGTTCTCATGACATGCGTGTGTGCTGACCTGTGCGCCGTGCGTTACGATGCTGAAGACGAGGTATCGTCTGGCGGAGCACGACTGGGCGGCCGGGTCGGAGTTCGGGTCGAGGCGGTACGTGAAGTGGCACGCGAGCGCGAGCGTCGCCGGTAACGGTCCTCCTCCTGGCGCTCCCTCTCCTCCTGCTCGCGGATCTCGGCCTCCGTCATCGGGTAGCGCTTGACACAGGCGAGTACGAACGTGCACGGCAGCGAGCTCCGACAGAGCTCGCGCACCACTGGCTCGTCATCGAACACGCCGCCAAACATCGTGTCTTGTCCGAGCCAGTCGCAGCGGAGGAGCGTCTGCTGTAGCCGGCCCCCAGGCACGCCGTGTGCAGTCGACCGGTTGTGGTAGAAGGACTCGGAGAGCAGGCGTTTCTGCTGGCGGGAGGCGTTGTCGAATTGCGACTGCGAGAGACGGGTGTACATGGAGTTGTGGACCGCCTCTATCACGTCTCCGCACGTCACCCCCAGTTCAGGTTGGGATGCTGGAATGTCTAGTGTCCATGGGAAGGAGCGCGAGACGAGACGGATGGATGTGACGCGAGGCCAAGTAGCGGGGGCGTATCGTCCACTATGCCACGAGCGCCCCGGCCGGTCGCTGGAACGTTGGCAGTTGCCCGTGGGGAAGAGCATGTTCCACTTCAAATAGTCGTGCTCGACCGCTTCTCCAGGTAGCTGAAGAAGGGGATTGACCTCCATCTTGCACTTCATCCGGTGCACGAGGACCGGCTTCAGGACAGGCCCATCTGTGAATGTTGGTCAGTATCGGGGGACATAACGCAAGAAATATGACTTACAGTCCTCGCCCTCCAGGAACTTGTCCACTTGGTCCCAAGGCCCCTTGTCCTTGGGCAGCGTAAACGAGTGCCTGGAGTTTGACTGTTGCATCGGAGGAGCGCCAGGCATGGGCGCACCTCCCGGGAGTGCGCCCGGCGTGTAGGCATAGCCGCCGCCCATAGGCATGCCGCCCATCATACCACCCATGCCGCCTGGCATGCCGCCCATTCCACCCATTCCACCCATCCCAGCCATGCTGCCCATGCCCCCCATAGCCCCCATGCCGCCCATTCCCCCCATGGCGGCCATCCCGCCTGGCATCACCGCAGGGATGTACGGAGTACCCATGGGGGCCATCGGAGCCATTTGGAACCCGTAGCCGGGCAATGGCTGCTGAAAGTTGCTGTAGCCCGTCTGCGATCCGGCAGGCACGTACGGCGTCCCCGGCGGCATCCCTGGCGGCATCCCTGGACGAGTGTAAGGAGTGGAGGCTGGACCACCGCCGAGACCAGGAGGGAAACCAGTGAAATCAGCGGAGAGACCGTGACCGACCAATGGAGTCTGTCCCCCGGTGGGGAGTTGCATAGGCGGGATGTGGTAGGAGCCCGGCGCGGCAAAGTTCCCGGGAAGGTAGTATGGGGACTGGTGGGGATATTGATGGGCTTGTTGAGCCCACGCCGGAGTTACTGGCGGGTTGTTTGGAGAATGTTGCGGGATGACAGGAGGGGGCGGGTTAAGAGGTGAATGACCACCCCCGCCGGGGGAGGGGAATGGTGGCACTACGGGCGTGAAATGCATCGCACGTCGGTCGGGGCAGGGTTATCTGTGACTCGCTGTGCGTATTGACGTCTTGGACCCTGAGAAGATGATACAATGGAGCACCGACGATGTTAGCCAAGACACAAGCACTGCGACGGGAGCGAGAATGGCAAGTAGAGAGCGGTTACGTGCCTTTTTAGACAAGCCTCACGGGCACAGCAAACCCGTCGAGATGCGCGATGCGATGACTCGAATACAGCGCGCAGCTTCCACGCGACTTGCACGAGCTTTCCCTTCTTCAACAGCGTCAGATGGAGAAGCACATACACTGAGAGCGTGCAGCGTGCACCACGGACCTGTGAGAGTGTTCCCGGTTGGCCACCACTGGCCGGAGTTTTCTGGACGTTATCCCTCCGACCTCGTGGTACGTCGTGTGAGTGGTCTGGGATCGAGCCCTACGTTTTGGCCCCAAGAGCAGTGTCAGGCCGTGAATAATAGCACAGGCAGGTGAGGAGAGATGCGTTCAGGTGGAAGACAGAATGATCACCGCGCGCTGCATAAGATGGATGGGCGCTGAGAGAAAGCCCGAAAGTGGCACGCAGGGTGGAGGGCACGGCTGATCGTCAGCGATGTCGCCGATAGTGTCACTGATTATAATTCAGCAGCGGCCTCGTATCATTGGAAACATCGTGCGCGACGCTCGGGGTATCCTCATCGTTGTCGATGTCGATGAGCAGCATACAGTCGCAGTTAGACGTTAGCGCCCGAAGAATATATCGGAGCATGAAAGACGCGTCCTTCTGCGCGTCTTGATTGGGCCCATGCCAAACTCCGATTGTACTCCGCAGCAAACCGGCGACCCGCCCGAACGCGCCAGGTACATAAGTACTGTCATTCCCTCTGCCCACCACTCGCCCCCGAAATTCCTCGGAGGCGGAAGAAACAATTCAGTTTCGGTTGCGAACACCACGCCAAATTCGACCACAAGCTGTGCGAACAGGCCGTAGCCACGGGGCACGGAATCGGAAGCGGTAAGGGTGATCTCATCCGATATCGCTGGGCGCTGGAAGCGTCCACCGTACAGCCCACGAGAGGCAGGTGCACAGACTCGGTCGGAGACTCACGCATCCGCGCTTGACTAGGTTCCTCTTCAGACCGACCTATAAGATACCCGTCGGAGGTTGTCTAACGGCACCCTTGTCTCCCGACCGCCACCTTCAGCCGAGACTGCATAGCACATCATGGACACCATCGGAAAGTGGGCCGCAGGCTCATCCTGTGAGTAACATCCACCCGCTGTGTGCATGTTCATGAGCTCATCACTACTGAGAACAGATGGACCTGTACTCAGCCAGACCGACTTGTATCTTCTTAACGCCGACCTCGAGCTGAACCCTATCCTCGCCAATGATTCCGGCTCGTTCCAGTTGATCTTCAACCTCTCCAACGGTAGGTACCTAGTTCAGAGATACAGGATGCTATGACTCACGCGCTCCACCATCTTCACAGGACAGACGAGCGGGTACAATCCCGATTCCCGGGACCGCGACCTGCCGTTCACACAGAAGGACGAACCGGCGACTCTCCCGCGGGTAGAAGAGCTCATTATCATCACGGAGGTCTCTCCATGGTGCACCATCATCAAGAACCCCCAAGGGGTCACGCTCGGCGACGTCTGCACAACGCTGTACAAAGAGTACGAAAGCGACTTTTATTGCATCGCCTAATTCGCTCACCCAACATTCCCCTTTGCAGGTACTCTGAGAAGATGGTGACTGAGAAAGAGTTCGACTCCCTCCCGCCACGACAGCAGGAGCAGCTCCGGCGATACGCGCAGTCTGCCTCGAGCGCCGGGAACTGGCAGTACTACTCGCCAGCGCCAGCGCCCCCAACGCAGTACAGGAGAGCCGGTGCGTCCGCCTACCTTTCGTGCTGTTACCTGCTATAATTGACTTACGTTTGCCGCAGATTGGCTAAGGGAGAAGATCTTTTTCGACAGGCTTATGAGGAAGGATGCCTATGCTAGGCAGCGGCTTGGCTACTCTGCTCCCAACATTTTCGTCCTCATTTTGTCTACTTACTGAGCGTTCCGCGGCCTTCTTGTATATCCGTTTTCCGGACCCATCCCCCTGCTGTGTAGCTCCACTACATCGTGTTTTGTATATGATGTTGTACAACTTATACCCGTATATCAGTATGGCACGCCGTCGGTTCTGATCAATATTCACTTGACCACTGGAATTTCTCTGGGTTTCAGCGCTCAGCCCCGGACGTGCTATTGCGCCCGGCCGATCAAGTCGAACCCAGCGAAAGGGGAAGGTCGCGTTCGTCGCCAGAGGAAGTGGTAGTCCTTGCAGCAGGTCGACCGAGTATGACACAGTACCATGATACATGCAGACAGCGCTTCCATATGACACATTTCAGCAGTGCTGAGAGTTCAACAAATGTCCAAAACGAGTTGCAACAGTAGTCCGTGAATCAGTCCAAACGAAGCGTCCCAACCTGAAACAGTCCCCGCATTTTTCAACCCCCTCATAGGCCACAGCCCGACGCGTCCACCTGAACCGCCGTCGCGTTAATCCTTCCCACCTGTGCGGAGGTGCCGTTCGTGAGCTTGTCGAGCGCTTCCTGGGCGATGTTGAAGCCCTTTGCGCCGGTGTCGATCGCGGTGACGTTGATGGACGTCCCGTTGAACGAGAGCTGCCAGCACGTCCCGCACGCGGCGGAGTTGAACCCCTCGACCGCGGGCGCGCCGCCGATGTTCGGGAACGAGGGGAGCGACCCGAACGTGGTGAACCCTGTCGCAATGGGTGAGTGATGCGTGCGGTAGATGAGAGGAAACGACCACGCAGACCTTTAGTGAGCAGCCCGTTAGACCCGTCGGAGCACGCAACGATGGCCAGAGAGTTATTGGCGTTGTCGTAGACTGGGTCGAACGACACGGAGGTGAGGGCTCCCAGTGCAGCTGGGACGGCTACGAGCGCAGCAACGAGGGATGCGAACATCATGATGAACAGAGGTGGAGGTGGTGGTAGTTCGTAGGGCAGCTAGTAGCACTGAAGATGTCGGGACCAAGACCGATGCTTTTAAGCATGCCGAGCCGCCCCAGCAGTCCGGAGACATGCTACGCAAGTGGGGCCCAGGACCATCGCGTGGCATGGTCCCGGCCGTAGGAAGGAGGGCTGGATGGCAGACCCATGTGTGCCCGCCAAGCATTCGTGGTGCAGAAAACGCCGCAAACAGCGCGCGAAGCGCGTCCAGACGACGGCCGTCGTTCAAAGAAGCATCGCAGAAGGCGGCGAGGATGTGAGACCGTGGGTGGGGCGGAGCGCATGATCGCATTATATTCCTGCAGGTGACCGCGTTGGGACGCCTTTGGCTCTGGACGGCGGGCTTCGTGGTTCGATACACCCGAGCCAATGCCGAACGTTCGGATGGCATGCGTTGTGGCACGGTGACTTTCAATTACGGCGCTCTACGTTCTCGTAACGAGAGAGGTGCCCGCATGGTCTGCGACGGGAATGAAGCTTTAGCTTTGATGATTATCCCGCACACACCTCGAGGCAAACTCTCGCGGTCGTCGCCGATTGCGGGTCCCAGACCAAATTCCGACATTTCTTGACTAGATGTGTGGGATGTCTGTGAACATTGCCGGGGTCCAGCTACCATCATGACCGTACTCAAGACATGCGACAATCGAACACATCTCTTGCGAACCTTGGTCTCCCTGGTAAAGCAGCTGCGATTCGGGGTTCCGGACACCATTCCAGTCCCCACTATGTATGGCGTACACGTTCTGAAAGACTCATTTTGATCCGAGAATGTGTTCGGCCTACCGGGGGATTGGGAATTTCGTTTGACGGAAGGCCAAACCCCGTCCTGTGGTGGCTCTGACGGGCGGGTGTAAGCCCTCGTACGTCCAGAGAGCCCTTCTGATCCATCTGGCGTATGACACGCTGATACCAGAGGCTATCATGGGCCCGTGTGAGCCCTTGAGAGGAACTTTCAGAGTTTTTAGTGAGCTTCTGTACCACTACCAAGCAAAGATGGTGGAGGTCTGAGTTCAAGCAGGACTGAGGATGAGCAGCGATCGGAGGCCAGGGTATAGATTAGATTAGATAACGCTATGTCATCGTAGACCGATCATCTAAAGCTTGCCTCATTCCTGAACCACCTGCATCCCGCACTCGTCTGCATACCTGCCCTCACCCTCACACCAGGAACACACACAACATCCATAACCGAAGAATGCCTCCAAAAGGAGGAAACGCGAAGAAGGAGTCCGGCCGGGCGAAAAAGGCCGAGAACGAGGCCAAGAAGGCGTCCGCGGCGGACGCTGAGAAGGTGCGTCAGCCTGCCCTAGCTCCTTCACCGCTCTCACAAGGCCTAAACATATGCTGTACAGGAGCGCAAGGAGGCAGAGAAGTGGGCTGCTGGTGGAAAGGGGCCCAAGCCGAAGGAGGACAAGGAGGAGAAGCGCCGCGCTGAACTCGCCCGCAAGGCTGAGAACGCGCGTATCCTCGCCGAGGAGGAGGCCAGTGCACCCGCCAAGGTGAAGACACCACCAAAGGCAGGCGCTAAGAAGGCTGCGCCGAAGGTCGTCAAGCCCGCCGGTCCTGGCGCGATCGCTGCAGGGGGCGGCCTCGGGGCGTCGGGCGCGAGCACGCCGGCGGAGGTGGACGATGGGAAGCCTGCGGAGGTCGAGGTGTACTCTGCGACCGGCATCGACAACGCGATAGACTTGCTTGGGGTCGTCACGGCGAAGATGGATAAGGCGAGCGTCGGGTCGCAGGCGGCGAACATCGAGAGGCATCCAGAGGTTCGTTCCGGCAGCACTCTTTCGTGCACGAGTACGCATATGCTGATCAATGTCCCACACTACAGAGGAGATTCAAGGCCGCATTCGAGGCCTACAAGGAACGTGAAATGCCGAAGGCCCGACAGGATGTGCGCCCGTCTATCCCGGAAGCCTCGCCTCGTACTAATGCGTTTCTCGATATCTACAGCACCCTGGATTGCGCATGCAGCAGTACCAAGTAAGGTCAACGTCACCATCTGCATGATACACGCGCTGACTAGAGACATTTCACAGGATCTGCTATACAAGCAATTCCAGAAGTCACCAGAGAACCCGTACGCCATCTTGTATCGACATACAGATGACCCCTGTGCTAACCCGTCGTGCTTGACAGCTTCAATCAAGTCACGGTGTCATACGACGCCTCGAAGGACGCGAGGGTGGAGGCACTCAACCAGAAGAACGCCGAGATCGCCCAGAGGTTGCGGGAGAAGTCGTCGTAGTGTGTCTGCCGAATGCTGTGGTACGTGAAATGAGCCCATTTCTATACAACATGCTCATCCGGCCTTCGCACAACAGGCACAGGCATGTGTAGGATAATGGCACCAGATGCTCCCTCTCAACAGAGCGCTGATGTATCTGCGGTAATGTAATTGTGTATTCCTTCGTGTACTGTATAAGCGGTGCTCGTGTCGGACGCCAGGCCATTCCAAGTCATTCAGCAACTACGGAACACCACGGACGGGCGATGTCCTCGGAACAGTCGCCGCTACAACAGGAGGCACAACGACTTCGGAATATCCAGCCAAATAGCGGTGTTACACGTACAGCTGATCATGAAGCACATGCCTTGACCGCTCGGATGTGCTATGGGCACGACGATCTCGTTTAGGGGGGAACGTCTGAACCGACTACGCCGCAATCAGGAACTGAATAGGCGACACTGAGCAGAGCCTCGCCGCTGCTGTGTACGAGTGGCAGGAGCACAGGGAACAGCTGGGCGTTTGCTGGACCCGCAGCGGGTTTGCAGCGCCTAATGGGCGCCTGTGCACGCTTATCTAAGCATCTCGATTTTTCGTTAAAGGTCGCGCGCCGCTCTTGCCTCTCGCACACTTCCTTCATCCCCCCATCGTCTCCCATTCACACCTCCTTTACGCGTACGAACATGACGAAGCGTCTTTCTGTATCTATTCCTTCGTCGCCGGGCTCGCCCACTTCGCCGCCGTCGCTAACGATGTCGAGCACGCCGTCGCCGCAGCGCACAAACACGCTGGTGATCACGCGCGTCCCTCCTCGCTTCTTCGAGCCTCTCATCCAGGGCGCTCTAAGGAGTCACTTCGAGGCTTACGGGCCTTTGCATACATGGGCACCCATCAAGGGCCTCGCCCGCATCTTCCTCGTCTACTACTCCGACGAGGATGCGGAGATCGCCAAGGAGAGCAACGACGGGCTCGTCCTTGGTGAGATGCAGGACCAGTACGTCATATCTTCCACCTACTCAGAGAGCGCCCACCTGACGTGCTATTGCTCATCGCAGTCCTGAAGTGGTGCTACGCGTCTACCGCGCGGATCCCACACCCATCGAGTCGGATGAAACGCAAGAGCATAACCACTATCTCCGCCCACCAGCGAACGAGAAGAACTTCCTCATCTCGCCGCCGGGCTCGCCACCCGTTGGGTGGGAGCAGCTCCGCGAGGATCCCCCTAACTCCACGCCTCTCGCACACGATCTCATCACTGCGCTGAAGAAGCTCGAGATCCAGGCCGAGCAGGAGAGGCGAGGGCCGGGCCCCGAGGTGCTCCTCGAGCCCGAGGAGGGCGTGGGCATCAGCGTGTTCGTCGAGGACTGCGATGCCGTAGAGACTGCCCCCCAGGATGACGTCGGCGACGATTGGGTTTATGGCGATACCGCGCCGTCCCGACAACGGTGGCGACCGACTCCGACATCCATGCCCCCGACCTCGATGCCCGTATCCGCGAGGGGCTGATGCTGTTTATTTTTAGGTAAGCTTCCAGCTCTGTCTTCTCTTATGGTTTTTCGCGCCTCTTCGCCCTACCATTTCATTGTGATGAGAAACTTACAGACCTGTACCGACCCTCCGGGGTACGAGGACAACCGTATATTGCCTTTTTATTCTGATCTTTACGCAGTGATCGTGTCTATGTTTCATCATGCTGATCATTACCCTTCACAGATCGTTTCAACCTCCTCTGGTATACCTTATCGTACATTGTGAGTACTCCTTCTCCGTTACCGACCCCCTTCGCGCCCTTTCGTGGGCCACCGCACGAGATGACAACCATTCAGACCTGTTCTGATCCTACATGGAGATAACGAATACATTGCCAATTGTTCCTTCTGATGCAACCCCGCACTTCCTCGTCATGCCGTTTTTCGAACATAGCGCTGACGCACATCCCCCTCAGAATACCCTCGGATCGCTCTGCATGTTATCGCATCACTACGGACTATTGGAATAGGATATCCTCATGCTATTGTGTCTTCATATCTGTATGCATAGCACCCATCATCATCACGTCTGTCTGTATACTGGAATCACACAACGTTGGATACACGAACCTCTCGGACATTACATCCGTGCTGTATATGCATACAAACGACGCCCTCGATCAGTCTACTGTGGCCCGTGGCCCAGCAAGTACCACTTATTAATCGCATTCCGCCCCTCAAAGAGTTCGGGTGCGCATGTGTCCAAACGCCGGAATGACTTCAGTATGGGCTCTCTGTATCCGATGCATACATACCTACAGCTGACAGGTTTGCTTTAGGCTTCCGTAGTCGTGTAACCCGCGCCAAGGACCCACCGGAACCTAGCTTCGCCCTCATGAGCTTCTCCGCACTCACAATCCTCAGCCCCAGTTCGTCGGCTCGGTGGAGTGCGTTCCTTGGGACTTTGCCTCGTCCCCGTTGCTCCTCCCAGCTCAACGTTCCACACCTGGCCCAGCTGGCTGTTGGCGTGCTTCATAATTCACGTATCCTTGAACTCGCATCTATGGAGGCTGTGATCGTCTACGAGTCATGCTGAACGTGAACGGCTCAGTACACGTACGCTTCCGGGGTATTCTCGCTCAAGCTCAGACAGTCGACGAGGGTATCAGTACCGTACGTTTCACGCAGCACGGTCATATTTGGTCTGCTGTGCAGTACCGGTGGAGATCTCATTGTGTGGTACGCCTGGCAAGAGGTCTCAAGTATACTCCGAATTCCGGGAGATGGGCTCGAGTCAAACGTCGACATGTGCACTGTCCCGTCGATCGACGGACTCCGTCTAAGTGGCTGAGCGCTGAAGTGCCACACCTCCGGCACCGGGAAAGTCGTGTCGGTTGCGTCGCGCCGTCCGTGCAAATCAAGAAGACAAACCTAGTGGACCCGTCGGCCCCCGGCGCAGCTTTGTGACGCCTCAAATAACCGCTTGCGACCAGTGCTACAACCCACAATTCACCAGAACCACACACCTCACATGTCTCAGCACACCCATGCCCACGGGCATGCGCATGCACATGCACATGCCGGCGACGACGTCACAGAGGCTAATCGCGCGTACTTCGACGAGCATGCTCACAAGGTCGAGGAGGAGCACCCCGAGGCGCGCCAGGTCGGCCTTAACAGCGTCAACGCGATGCGCACTGCGTACCCGACCCTCTTCGATGCCGAGCGCACCGAGGTGCTGGACTTCGCGTGCGGTACTGGTACGCACCCGTTTCCCCCAGGCTTGCGCACCAAGACTGACGAGGATGGTTGCAGGCTTAGTCTCCCAAGCCTTGCGCCCACACGTGAAACGCATCCTGGGGGTGGACATCAGCCCAGCCTCGGTCGAGATCTACAACAAACAGGCTGCAGACCATGGCTTCTCCAACATGCACGCTGTCTGCGTCGAGCTCAAGGGCAAGCCTGACGAGCTCGACGGGGCCCAGTTCGATCTCATCACCGTAAGTAGCATGATACTCGATGGCAAGGATCCGTCCAGAACTCACCGCCTTCCGAATAGTGTTGCGCGGCATACCACCATTTCCCCTCCATCGACGCAACAACGCGGGTGCTCGTATCCCTGCTGAAGCCCGGCGGCACACTGCTCGTCGTCGACCTCGCAGCGGTCGCGGGCAGCACCGAGCTTATCCCACCGACGCACCACCACGTCGTCCCGCACGCGCACGGACTGACAGCGGATACGATGCGCGCGGCGTTCGAGGGGGCGGGGCTGACGGGATTCGAGATGGGGGAGGCGCATCGGACGATGACGGCACGGTTCGGGGAGACGCACTGGTTCCTTGCGCGGGGAGTGAAGCCTGTCCAGAATTGATAGTGACGCAAAAGGTGTTCAACACGGAGACTGTGGTGTCAAACGTCTTCAGGCTGTATGCAGACTGGAGAATGTATCTCCACAGAAAGTCATCCAGGGAACAATTAGGTATGATTGATGATATGCAATAGGACAAGGAGTGTTGAGAGCTGTAATAAACCAGAAGGCCGTGCTTCAACGCACTCGTGCGGGAAATAGGGTCGATGCGGGGGGTTGTACTGGGGTTTACGATAGCGACGTCACCTTGAGGGGCAGCTCCGGCTTCCTGCTGCCCTTGCTGGCGGAAGGGTAGGCAACACCGGCTGCGTTCCAGTAGATGGGCTTGCCGGTCGGCTCGAACTTGAACGCGGGCAGGAGCGATGCGAGGACGACCTCTACAGGAAAGCAATCGTGTCAGAAACCCTTTGTTGACGGTATGAGGGATTTCGGGATACGTACTCATCTCGAGCTGGGAGAACTTGAAGCCACTGTAAAGTCACGATTAGCCCAATGTCACACTGTCAGCCACAGAGCGAGATGCGACGTACATGCACGCCCTAGCGCCTCCGATGAACGTCATCCTACACACGCCAGACGGAGTCAGTTGAAAAGGCATCGAACAGCCATCGACGCGACATGGACTCACAAGTGAGAGTACACCCCGGGGATGTGCGCGTCCTCGAGCGCGCGCGGGAGCGGCCCCAGCCAGCGCTCGGGCTTCCACTCGTCCGCGTCCTCGCCCCAGAGCTCCTTGTTGCAATTGCTCGCGATGACGTCCGTGAAGATGCGCATGCCCTTCGTGACCGGGATCGAGTGCATCGGCTGCCCGTCCCTGCCCGTGATCGGCTCGGAGAGCGGGAGCATCGCGTCCTTGGTCACTCTGCGCAGTCGACACATGTCAGGATGCAAGCGTTTGTGAAGAGGCAGGCTGGGATACGCACTCGCGCATCAGGTGGGTGACCGGGGGGTACCGCCGAAGCGACTCGCGGCAGACGGCGTCGAGGTAGGGGAGCTCCATGACTTCGTCGTAGCTCAGATCCCTGAGCTTTCCGGAGCCATCGTCGCGGGCCTGCACGAGCTCCTCCCGCAGCTTCTCCTGGACGTCTGGGTGCTCCGACAGCAAGCTGAAGATGCGCGCAAGGGCGTTCGAGGTGGTGTCCATCGCGGCCAGTACAAGGGTCCTGTAGTGCATATTAGCATTTGTCCGTCGTTAGAACGCGTCCGAAGGAAAAGAACTTACGAGACCTGAGCGACGACCTCCTCATCAGTAAGACGGTCCTCTTCGGAAGCCACCATGTTCTCGCGCACTGAAAGGGAGGGGGCATCGTTGAGCCGGGGGTTCCGGTATCGCTATCGGAACCAATGAACTCACGAAGGACGCTCATGATATCCTTGCCCTCGCCGACTTGCTGCTTCATCGCCTCGTCGCCCTTCTCCAGCGCAGCTTTCTTCTCGTGGTAGATCTCGAGCGAAGTCGTGTGCAGCGCGTCCGAAATCTTGATCATGCGTTGGACCGGGCCGAAGGGAATCAGCTCGAGAAGTTTGCGCCTGATCACGGCCGGGCCCAGCTGGTAGACCTTCGGGAGAACAAGGCGGATGACCTCGAGCTGGTGCATGACCGGGCTGTGGGAGGTTTACGTGGGTGTCAGATACCGGTACCGTGCAGGGATGTTTGGAGACATACAAGTAAGCCTTGACCGACTCGGCGAACTCGTCTGCGACGTCGTGTGTGAGGGGATCAAACGAGTGTCCAAGGCCGCCCTGTCCAATGAGCTCGAGGGCCGTCCGGCCCATCCAGCCGAGGACGTCGATCTCCTGAGTGCCAGTCTTGACGCGGGAAGAGATAGCCACCTGGAGCTGAGGTTCGTGGATGAAGTAAGATAAAGTCGGGATATAGAGGAACCGTCAGTGCTCACTCGGTTGATGATGTCGTTGAATATGGGCGTTACGTCGCGGAGGTGCTTGGCAGAGAACACAGGGTTGAGGATCTTCCGCTGCCGCCGATGCTGCTTCTCTATCAAGTTTCCGAGTGTTCAGTATAGATACGACGTGGAGTTGGAGACGTTGCCTGACCTACGGTCGCGAGCAAACCCGGGCCCAATGCTGTGTGGAAGGACCTGTTCGCGATAATCAGACGAGACCGCACTCGAACACATTGTATTAGTGACATACGCCAGAATGACATCATTCTCTTCGTAGACGTCTTGGTCCTTGACATAGATACTGTGCATGGCCCTCGGGTCATAGGTGTAAAGCCAGGGTGCCTGTAGTAAAAGTCAGCTTGATCGGTCAGGCCTTGTGAGATGTGGGAGCCCTAACGTTGAATAGGCCATGGAACTTGAACAGCCGGCCGTAGGTCCGAACGTGTTGCTCCTGGAACCCCCAGCGATCTTGCTTAAATTGATTCATGTTTCCTGCAGCCCCAATCAATATAGGGACATGAAGGCAGCTTCCGCGGGGGCTACTCACCAGTGAGGTATGATTCGGAGTCCGGCCCAGGGATGTTATCCACAGGCGACTTGGAGAACAGCATGCGCACGACGCGCCATGCGGCGTAGAGCGCCAGCGCGCCCGCAAGTAGCTGCTGCAGAGGGGTCATGGCTAGGAATTGGTGGTCACCTTGGGTAGTCGGATGAAGAGCCATCGTCGTCCGGGACCGGAGACTTAAGTAGGCAGAGTGCGATGGCGCTTGACATATCTGTACATAGCGCGGGCCGCGGTAACGCGTGCCCCAGGCCTGCTGAAAGATGCTCCCCGCATGGCCGAGAGCGCATCGTGTGCGCGTAGATCTGCGCGGTTTCTCATGGGCAATCTGCAGCCGTCGGATTGGCTCCGCGGACTCAGATGACACGTGTGTCTGACATCAGTCGTTGGGCAGGCAAATCTGGGGTGGAACACCGAGGAGACCATGGAAAATCCGACGGAGCTATGTAAAGATTCCTTTCTATCCCCGTGAGTCCTTACGGAAAGGTGGTTACCATGTAGCTCAGTCTACTCTTAGATGGCAAATGGCGTGCACTCTGGATATGTGGTCTGCCCCAGGTGTGTAGCCGTAATAAACACTCACACTCCTACACTCGGAAGCAAACGGTTCGTTGTGCACAAACCATGCGGGGTTGCTTCAACGTGTATGCTTAAGCGCTGGATGGTCGGTGTTCCCTTTCCACCGATGTTCATCATTCTCATGTTGGGATAGAGCGCAGTAAACCTTTGCTGGTCAGCGACCAGCGGAATTTCCACCGGTGGGCGCACCAATGAAACGTGTCATACAGGCAAGTTTTGCTTGCGGTCGTCCGTCGCTGAGCGGACCGAACTTCAAGGCACTGAAGTAAGAGCCGACAGTCACTGACCACTTACGATACGATGTGCACGGACATCATATTTGCCTTGCTGGTGCTCCTGCGAAGCGTTGGTGTGCTAGGCGTGCTAGAAAGAGCAAGAGCATAGAAAATCCAGGACACAAGGCAAGATCAAGGCAAGATACGGCGCTGACCTCATGAGCGGTGACGAGCTCCAGATATTTGTGGATGTTATGCTAGAGCCCCATCAATATTCCCCGATATGGCCAAACATTCCCTCTGCCGAGGTTGCAACTTCCCTCGCATCTTTCCATGATGCCATCGTGGTCATCGAGGATGACTGCAATGCAACGCGAGTCCGTCGGCGCCGGATTGCAATTTGTCCTCGGGGCTCTGCACCGCTGCAGGCCGCTGCACCAGGGCGAGGGCAGATCCGCGGCGCAGCATCGTTCGAGCAAGAAGATTGTAGATCTCCTTTAGCTGGAGGTTATCGCTAACGCGCTTCCGAAGGGTGCGGGTTCATGTAATCGCATATCAATAACTCCGGCTACTAACCATCCTCACTGCCGGGGCGTCATCGTTCTATGGGCTACCACAACGATCCGTGTGTTGAAGTACGAGGGAGCCGACGAGTACTAGAACAGAATGTATTGCGTTTGGCTGAGCTCTGCAAACGCATGAAGAGCGAGTGGCGTACATCGGGAGGTAGATATACTACGTGCTGACTAATCGATACCATATACGGATGTACCTACGAGACTGTCCGATCCCAAAATCCAACACCGTGAGCGCCACGGAGTAAGGAGGGGAGCTTGGGAAGATTTCTGCTGTCCGGAAGCAAATCGTACAAGGTAGTACCGCCGCGGGCGCATTCACGGTCGGCACATCTAGCATAGGATGATGTGAAAGAGGTTCAGTCTATAGCAGAGTCACCTTGAGCGGCAGCTCCGGCTTCCGGCTATCCTTGCCAACGGAAGGGAACGCGACAGCCGCCGAGTTCCAGTAGATAGGCTTGCCGCTCGGCTCGAACCTCAAAGCGGGCAGAAGAGATGCAAGCATGACCTCTGCAGGAAGGTCAACATCAGATATGCACCTGGACGGGCCGCGGGCACGTACTCATCTCGAGCTGCGAGAACTTGAAGCCACTACGCATCCGTCAGTATAACGCCACCCGCTCAGCATAGGCTTAGTACTCACATGCATGCCCTGGACCCGCCGATGAACGTCATCCTACACCAGGCTCGAGGTCACCTTCACACTCGCGCAACGTCCCAAGAAACGACTCACAAGTGCGAGTACACCCCAGGGATGTGGGCATCCTCGAGCGCACGCGGGAGCGGCTTGAGCCACCGTTCCGGCTTCCACTCGTCTGCGTCTTCGCCCCAGAGCTCTTTGTTGCAGTTGCTGGCCTGGATGTCCGCGAGCACCCACATGCCCTTGGTGACCGGGACGGAGTGCACTAAGGTGCCGTCCACACCCCGGATGGGTGCTGAGAGCGGCAGGATCGCGTCTTTGAATACCCTGGGCGGCAGGGATGCGTTAGCGCGCGCAGATTATAACGCTGAATGCAAATATAAGGGGACGTACTGTCGCGGTGCGTGGGTGACTGGGGAGTACCTAGATCACGTAGAGTGAGCATCAAGTAATCGCCGTAGCCCATATCACCAGTATTGCGTACCTGCGCAGCGTCTCGCGGCAGATAGCGTCCATGTACGGAAGATCCATAACCTCATCGTAGGTCAGATCCCTAAGCCTCCCAGAACCGCCGTCGCGTGCGTGCACAATCTCTTCGCGCAACTTTTGTTGCACGTCCTGGTGCTCCGCTAACAGACTGAGGATGCGCGCGAGGGCGTTCGAAGTCGTGTCCATCCCAGCGAGGACTAGCGTGCTATTCAAGTCATCAATGGTGAGATGCCTTTGTTGACTGGAAGTGTTTTACAGCATGTACTTACGAAACCTGCGCGATAACCTCTTCGGACGACAGACGGTCCTCCTCAGCAGCGATCATGTTCGCCCGCACTATTATGTCGCACGGGCTGGTAGTAAGCACCCGCCGCCCTCATATAATGATATAATGAAAGGGACCCACACAGGACGCTGATGATATCCTTGCCCTCGCTGACCTGCTCCTTGAGCGCCTCGTCGCCAGCCTCGAGCGCGGCCTTCTTCTCCTCGTAGATCTGCGTCGAGCGCGCATGCATGACGTCCGAGATCTGCGCCATGCGTCTCGCTGGGGCGAACGGCACGAGGTCCACTAGCTTTCGCCTGAACCACGCGGGGCCCATTTTCAGCAGGAGGGGGAGGAGTGGACCGAACACTTCGAGTTGCTGGATCACTGGGCTACATACAGGTCGAATTTAGCTTAAGTTTTTTAAATGGGGGGAGACGTACAAGTAGGCCTTGACGGAGTCCGCGAAGTCGTCTGCGACGTCGCGCGTGAGCGGGTCGAAGGAGTGGCCCAAGCCGCCCTGTCCGATGAGCTCCAAGGCGGTGCGGCCCATCCAGCCGAGCATGTCGACTTCCTGCGGTCCGTCTTTGACCCTAAAAGTGATGGCGCTTTCGAGCTGTAGCATACGTCAAGTATAAGCATTGCCATTTCATGGGCGAAGAGTCGCCATCGCACTTACTCTACCGACGATCTCGTTGAATACTGGCGTCATCTCGCGGAGGTGCTTCGCTGAAAACAGCGGGTTGAGCATTTTCCGCTGCCGGCGATGTTGGTCGCCTGCAGTCGCGTTAGAACTGTCAGCTATGCATCGCGCAGAACGCTACTAAGCAGTGAAACTGAAACTTACCCAGCGTAGAAAGCAGCCCTGGACCCAAAAGTGTCATGAAAGCCCTGTAGTCTGACATTAGCACCCCGGACCTACCGCACAATGGCGCAAGCGTACGCTAGAAGGACCTCGTTCTCGTCGAAGACATCCTGGTCTTTCACGAAGATGCTGTGGAGCGCCTTTGGGTCGTACGTATAGAGCCAGTTCGACTAGAAAAAGTTTCAACGATGAAGCGGCTAATGCGAACTGGCCGAGCGTACTCACGTTCAATGGGCCGTTGATTCGAAAGAGTCGACCATATTGTTTCACAAACGCCTCCTGGTAGATCCAGCGGTCTGGTCCGAATACCTGTGCAGTGTGTCCTATGGTAGATGGAAGATGAGTCCAGGCATAACGGCAAGAAAATCCGCAGAACCTACCAGCGAGGAACGAAGGCGATTTCGGACCAGGTATGTTGTCTACGGGCGACGTTGCGAAGAACGCACGCGCAACGCGCCATGCAAGATATACCACGATGGCCCCCGCAAAGGCTTCCTGCAGAGGGGTCATAGTGTCAGTGGTGGGACTTACGCTGGTCAGGCTAGAACGTTCGGTATATATAAGAATTAAGTCGCTAATGACTGAAGGCCAACTTCGTCCCCACCGCAGCTATTCATTACACAGCCATCAGCGACGCGCGACCGCAGTCAAATCCGCTCAACACCGTGCGGTCCTGGACCCCGTGCTGGGGACGTGACACGAAATGCCACTCGGGTGTGCCTGAGGATCATTGATACCTGCTTACAGAGCAACTGCGCTGGTCAGGCATTCAAATGAAAAGCTGTAGATCGGTGGACCGGAAGCAGTCAAGGCAGGGGTAGAATGTTCAATGAGTTTGGGGTTGTTTACGTTGCGCGGTACTTATACGCTGTCATAGTGGCAGGATTCAGAGGTGCCGCTAAGACATGTTTTGGGAGGTGGCGACGTGTGTTTGTGCACGTTTTGCAGCAGTGGCATCAAAATTACTGTATCTGGTACTATACCTTTCTCCTCTCTCTTCACCTTCACGATCGTCACATGAATGCAGACGGTCGTCATCTACTCGAGGCATCTGAGAGATTCATCCTATTCCAGTGCGAGCAGCGTTCTATAAGTCGGTATACTGACCTCTACGAGCTCCTTGCAGCGGCATCCCACCGCAACAACGTGTCCTTGCCCTTCTTCAAATTCTGCTCCACTAGCAGCTGCTCGTTCAACTCCCATAGACTCTTCCCAAGCGCATGGTCATGCCCCTGCGTTGATTCTGCACATACCTGCCTAGAGTCGGTGAAGTACTTCCCACTCGGCCCATATGTCTCCACCTCATCGCTCGTCGCCACCCACAGCGCACAACGGCTCCCCTCTTCCGGCGTGAGCATGAACGATACTTCATGACGTGCCCACTGGCGCCATATCATATGCCCCCTTGAGCTGCTCTTGCTGCTCCGTGTGCACCGCGCCCGGGTGCACCGCGAACGCAAATATGTCGTCGGCGGTCGGCAAGCACGAGGCGGCTTTCCGACACTGCTTTGCAGTCCAAGGTTCAACTTCTTCTTGGGCCGTCGCTACAGAAATCGTCCAGCAAAATTTATAGCCTGCTTGGCTCTCACACCAACCCGGTTCAATTGACATACTGGCGTATGATTTTGAGGACACTGTCTCAGCAAGAACATGATTGGGGATGACTTGAATCTAAAGGAACATCCCTCAGGAGTCGGACTCAGGTTTAGGACATGATGAACATGCCTTTCGCTTGCAAGGCTTGCAGAACGGTGCCTCACTCATGGTACATGTGAGGCATGTTAAGCCCGGCCTGATCCAGTCTGAACCTCGACACGTTTCCCCGTCATCAGACGTCTCGCTGGATCCACAGTTCACTGAAACTTTGCGCCGCGAACCAAAAAAGGTCACAAACAACACTAATGTTCCAGAGAGGGGTCCATGAGCCTGTAGTTCGCCGCGTATATGATTATGGCAGGCCCGGCATCAGCACATGACTGAACGGGCGTCGTCGACCGTCCACGTCTATGCCCCGAGACATCCCAAGCCCCTCCAGCCCGCTTGCCGGGTGCCTTGGATTTGCATAAAAGGGCGCGCGCGTCGCTTTCGTGATCCCCAGTGGCCCTCGCTCTGACGGATTCACACTCGTATCACGCCCTTCACGACCCTTCAACGACATGCAGATCAAGGCCCTCTCTCTCGTAGCGCTCGCGCTCCTCATGCCCTCCGCGCTCGGCGTGACTGTCTCGTACGACGAAACGTACGACAACAAGTCCGGAAGCCTCAGCAACGTCGCGTGCTCCGACGGCTCGCACGGGCTGCTCACGAAGGGCTACAAGACGTTCGGCGCGCTGCCACACTTCCCGAATCTCGGTGGCGCAGCGGTCGTGGGCGGATGGAACAGCGCACAGTGCGGGACGTGCTGGGAGTTGGCGTATAAGGGAAAGAGCATCAGCGTGCTCGCGGTCGACCATGCGGCAAGCGGGTGGAATGTCGCGCTCGGTGCGATGAACACCCTCACGGGCGGGCAGGCGAAGAAGCTGGGCCGGATCGAGGCAACGGCGAAGCAGGTCGACAAGTCCAAGTGCGGTCTGTGAAATGCGTTAGTGTCCCGTGGTATTCGATGTTCCTCGAATTCAACGACTGACAATTTTATCTACTTATCTACATAGAGCAGTGATTGAATGGGTATGCCTTGGATGAAACGTGGACGTTGATGTGGGCTTTGAAAGGACAGTAGACACATCAGGTGATGGACTTCATACGCGTAGGCCAGATTATGTCCCAACGTATACGCGGGCTTCGAATTGACTGCAATACGGCGCGCTGCTTGGAAACGACTACCTCTACAAGTGTGTAAGTCTTGTGTGTTCTATAGTACGAAACCTAACACAGCTCACCTTTCCGTATTCACATATCATAGACCGCATTGTCAGAGCCACTCATAAGCCCTTTTGCTTTGGTCAGTCTGGACACATACGCCGCTTGGTCGCGACGGGCCACAGACACGCCAATCACGCGTGAATTGAAAAAGCACGCATGTCACAATAGCGAATTTGAGCGGCGGAGTGGAAGGGCGCGTCTATGCTAGCCGATGGGCTAAATTGACGCTTTGGGTCTATTCGCAAACCCCACCTCCCTCTCCAACTCAACCACCGCCTCCCACCACCACCCCGCTCGACATCGCGAGGTATGCCCTTGCCCCACAGCCTCCCCACAACGCAGATGACTGACACTGACCTTTCTTGCACCGCTAAGTTCTCAAGCTGGCTCCGCTCACGACATCCAGTTTAGCCACCCTTGACACTAGCTGTCTAGTCACCATTCTCTCCTTACCCAAACCCCAGTCACGGAGTAGTTTCAGAAGACATCGTAATCATGGCGGTATACATGTCATTCAACAAATTTCTGTTCACCTTCTTTCCGTCTCCGGGAAAGGAGAATCTGGGAGAGCCAGAGCGGAGGCTCCATCTTAGCCACAAGGCCGTGCAGCCCCTTCGGGACTCGAAAGATGAGCACGAGCTCGCGGCTACATTTGTGAGTGGATCGTGGGGGCTGATCTCTCCTTTTACTGACGGCCCCGCTACCAGGCGCAGCTCGTCAACAGCCCGACCAAGTACGGGGCCACCCTCTGCCCGGGGCTCAGCGTCGCCCTCGGGAAAGCTCGATGGGACCCGTGCACTGACGGCCCGCCCAAGGTCGACGGTGCTCTTTATCCTGCTGACGATACCCCGAGCGACGGTCTTCCTCATTGGGATAAGCAACGCCTGCTCATCGACTTCACAGTCGGCGGGCCTGCCGCCGACCCGTTCGACGACGAAGACTGGTCAGCAGCGGCGAGGAAGCGCGCGGACCGATATATCGCACACGTGCTCGCGCACCAGCAGCGCATCGCGCTCTACACGCTGCTGGTGAACGGCCCGAACATACGTCTCGCGCGCTGGGACCGCTCAGGCGCGATCTACACCGAAATCGTCGACTACGTCGAGAGTCCCGCAGCCCTCCGCGACGTATTGTGGGCGTTCTCCCAACTCGGTTGCGAGGCACAAGGCATGGATCCCACCGCTACGCCTCTGAGTCGTGAAGACCAGGATTACCAGTTGATGGACGAGTTCGCAAGACCACGGGAGACAGACCTGGCCGAAGAGGAGGGGACGGAGATTCAGATTCCGAAGTCAGGCAAGAAAACGCCGCGCGTCTTCGCGTACGTGCGGCGCATGTTCGCAGAGTCCATCCAGGGCGAGTGCCCGCGTTACAAGCTACTCGTGCCGAAGAAGAACGGCAAGGATGCCCACGCGTTCCTCGTCGGCGCGCCCACCTTCGTCGCCCCGGGGGCCATTGGACGTGCTACGCGCGGTTATATTGCACTGGACCTTGAAGGAGGACGGTTTGTCTTCCTCAAGGACACATGGCTGCCGCAGCGTGAGGACGCCTTCGACCAGATGTTGGAGGGAAAGGCGCTCAAGAAGCTGAACAAGGCGGAGGTGAAGAACGTACCGACACTGGTAGTCCACGGGGAGCTCGGCCAACGCACGCAAACTGCATACTATTGGGGCGGTCGAGATGGTCGGCCGAAAATTCAGCGGGCATACGCATCTTATACGGAGGGTTTGACAGGTCGTCCGGCTTCGGTTGCGACGTCGCGTTCGTACGGAACGTCGTATTCAGCCAGGTCAGGAGGTTCAGGCGCACGTCCGGCGTCGTTGCGCGGGTTCCGCCATTACCGCATTGTTGTAGAGGAGGTGTGTATGCCTCTGCACAGCTTCCGGACCGGCAAACAACTTCTGTCGGTGGTCAAGGATTGTGTTGACGGTATGCGTTGCCCATGCATCTTCGATGATCGCATTTCACTGACGCCTCGCTCTGCGCAGCCCATTGCGAAGCGTACAAGACTAGGTCGCGGATCTTGCATTGCGACATCGGCGATGGGAACATCCTGATCCTGCCTACGTTGTTCAAAGTGAAGAGCGGAGAATACACCGTCAAGTGGAAGGGTGTGCTTACGGATTGGGAGCTTGCCAAGTGCATGCCCTACATTGGCGGCGAATTGCCTTCTCCACGGAGACGTCGGCCCTCCATAGCGGTACTTGCACCTCGGTCCTGTTTGTTCCGTGTCGTTGCTGACCACTCTTTTGCATCACAGGGGAGCTGGCACTGTTTCGCTGCTGCGCATGCGCTAGACAACCCCTACGCGCTCGCGCAGGTCGATAACGAGTTGGAGTCCTTCCTCCACGTCCTGCACTACAACGGCCTCCGCTACCTCCGCCACGAGTGCACAGACGTACCGTTGACAATTGCGGCGCACTTCGGGGAACAAATCCTGGAGGACGGCTGTGTGCAAGACGAGCACGCGCAGTTTCCATACCCCTTACCCCGCTGCCAGCCCTTGAAGCGCCGGTCAATGCGCGAGGGGGTGCTGCACGTCGCGAACCCTCCACGCTGGGACGATGGCATGCCTTCTGGAGGCTCCGAACTCCGTGCAGCGCAGGAGGCACAGGGTGCCTATGAGTTCTACGTCGTAGACAAGGACGGATTCTCCAACATGCACCCCCTCAACAAGGTGTTGCGGACGGCGATTCGATGGGTTTCGGCGCGGTACCAGGCAGACGAGGAGAGGATCCTACCGCTGCTTCGGGCGCCGTATGCGCGGGCTATGGAGACGCACGAGCCCCTGAGAGAGCTCATGGACGAGGCGCTAGCGAAGCAATGGCCGGACGATGACAGGGTGGGCGATCAACTGGAGCGGGAGTGCTCGATGCTGGAGGGAGAGAACGACAGCCTCGTAGGGGCCGAGTCGGAGGCGCAAAGGTCTGTTGTGGAGGTCGTGGCTGACCTATGGTTGATTCAGGAGGAGGAACGGACGGAGATGCGGGTTCAGGAACGGGAGAAGCCCGTCAGCGAGGAGCCTCCAAGTAAGCGGGTCAAGAGGGACGAACCGGTAGTGCGCAGGCCGTCCGTTTTCCCTTCCTTCATGCGCGGCCTTGGACTGTCTCGTCAGCGCGGCCTACTACGGGCATGAGATCCAAGTATAGTTTTCTCTTCAGCGGCATCCCGCTTTGAAATCAAGAATTTATGGCAAATTATGTGTTCTGCTTTGGTGTTGGAAGGACTATATGCGTTGTGTACACAACTGTAGACTCCTGCTACGTTGTCATGTACATCAACCCCCGTCACTTGCACTATGAAATAAATTACAGAACGCACCTCTTCCAGGTGGACCCGTGTCCCCGGCGGCCCAACATAGAAGTGCAAAAGAGAGCATCATGCCGGACGCAGCGAGCATGGTTGGCCCAGAGCTTGGAATGATGGTCCAAGGCGTTATACCAACATAACAAAATCCATCTGTATATCAACGTTGCACGTTCAGGAGGTTGCCGTTGCGGTAAAAGCTTTGCATTATGGTCACTCGGCTCTGCGCACGAGTCCATAGAAATGCAACGGAGAACAAGCCAGTGAGAAGAGCGGATAATTGAGAAGATCTCGCATCCGCAAGGATGAACGAGGACGCAGAGCAGCTAAGACGGCAGTCGTGCGCCATTTTGGCCCGAGCGTCGACGTTATTGATTATCTATTAGTGGATAATTGTAGCCTCCTTATACGTCAATAGAAGCCTGGTGCTGATCAATAAACAGACTTCACATCACTCGACTTATATCGAGCCTGTGGCTTAGCGCGCGCTCAGCTCTCTTCTCATTCCGCAACCTCCACAATGTCTGACCTATCCGATGTGGGCAGCGACTACTACGACTCCGACGATGCGTCTATGGTCGACGTAAGAGACCTTTTTATGCCATCTACGCAGTCTAACAATGCAAGCGAAGGGCACGAACGACTCTGACTTCGATGATGAGCCCCTCCCGCAACCCAAGGGCAAGAACAAGATTCGGGAGGTCGAGCACAAGAGCTACTCGACCGCGCAGCTGCAAGGACTGGTGGAGAACGACATTAGCCAGGTAGCTAGTATTGTCGGACTAGAGGTACATGGCCCCCCGCAATCTATTCCGCTCTCGCACCCAGTTGACCTTTTGTCTGATGTACCGCCCACGTCGCCCGTGCACCCCGACGCAGTCGCCCATCGTCTCCATTCTCCTGCGCCATTTCAACTGGAACAGCGACCGCCTCATTGAGAAGTTCCTCGACTCCGCCGCACTCGTCCTGCAGGACGCGGGCGAACCTACGCCGGACCCTGCGAGCCACAGCATGGGCCCGCCACCCGCGAAGCGCATCCGCCTCGACTCGCCGAGCGCGCCCGCCCAATTTGTGTGCGGCGTATGCTGCGACGACAGTCCTGCCGCAGTGTTCCGCCTGCGGTGCCAACATGTGTTCTGCGAGCCATGTTGGCAGGAGTACGTCTCATCAAAGATCAAAGACGAGGGTCAATGCCTGTTCCGGTGCATGCACGACGAGTGCCGTACCGTCGTCGACGGCCCATCCGTCGCTAAGCTCGTCGAGCCAAGCGTGAACGAACGGTCTGTGCTAGGCCCGCCGTCTTGCTCTGTAGGTCGCGTGCTGACATCTAGGCCAGATATAAGGAGCTCGTCCGACAGTCGTACGTAGGGGCGCACCCACGCCTGCGCTTCTGTCCCCACCCTGGATGCACGGAGACTGTCTCGTGTGCGTCTGGGACAGGATCATCCCTGCTCACGGAGGTGCCGACTGTGAAGTGCGGGATGGAGCACGTCTTCTGCTTCGGGTGCGGAATGGACTCTGACCACCGCCCGCTCACCTGCAAGCTCGTGAAGACGTGGCTGAAGAACGCGCGCGACGACGCGGGCACTTCGCAGTGGATCAAGGCCAATACGCGAACGTGCCCGAAGTGCGAGAACAACATCGAGAAGAACGGAGGCTGCAAGTGCGTGTGCATTCTCCGCTGATCGCAGGACTTCTACGCATGCCGGCGCTCCGCACTGACTAAATGCTTCTCCCAGCCGCATCCTCTGCCGGCACTGCCAGTATCAGTTCTGCTGGTTATGCATGAAGGACTGGAACGTGCACGGGTACAACAACGAGGTGTGCAACGTGTGGAAGGAGCCCGAGCCGGACGCGTCGTCCGCGGCGGCGAAGCAGAACCTCGAGAAGTGGCTCTTCTACTTCGACCGGTTCAACAACCACGAGCTGTCCGCGCGCCTCGACGAGGAGCTCTGCACGCGCACGGAGGAGAAGATGGTCGAGTGGCAGGAGCGGAGCAAGATGTCGTGGATCGAGGTGCGCACGCCAATCCTGTCGGACTGTGTCCGCGTGCTGGCGCGGGGGCTGATGTGTGCGGTGTTTCGCAGTCGACGTTTATGCGCGACGCGGTTGATGAGCTCACGCGCTGCCGCTCGACGCTGAAGTGGACGTATGCGATGGCCTACTTCCTCGTCGCGGGAAACCAGAAACAGATCTTCGAGGATGTCCAAGCGTACGTAACCTCACTTTTCTCTGAGAGTAGCGAAGGCTGACGCATATGGGTTAGTGATCTGGAGAAGGCGGTGGAGGACCTCTCACAGCTGCTCGAGGAGCCCGTAGAGGCGGACAGCGTGAAGAGCATCCGCCAGAGAATGATGGATAAGACCGTGAGTTCCCTGTTTTCAGTCCTGTTCAACGCGTTGACATTGTGCTCACCAATAGGTATACGTGCGCACACGGCACGAGATCGTCCTGCGGGATACCGCGGAAGGCCTGGCGGAGGGCCGGTGGGAGTGGAACACCACTTCGGAGTGAGCGCAGAGGCGAAGAACGTTAACAATTACATGATACCCCCAGCCACGGTTGTACAGCATTAAACGCCCGAAACAGTTCTATAAGCACGAAATAGATTATGCGCTGTCCTAATTGCAATCACGAATCGTTTTCTCGGACACCGGTGTCCAACGTTCAGTCTTGCTAGGCAGTTGTAAGTCGGATCAGTCCTTTGATTCTCGATGATCATGCGAATGTCATCTGCCATGCACACAAGGCCCAGGCGAGGCGCCGCTCACTCAAAAAACAGACCTAGGTGTAAATACTAGTAGATGCTGCATTTTGAGCCGCCAGTTCGCCTGAAGGGCTCTGTGCATCGGAGCGTCGAACGTTGACCGGTATAACGTGCTCGGACGTACTGATGGTTTGAAGCTCATACGCCAACGAGACGGCAACACCCCTCCGTGAGGGCAGAGCAGAGGTTCTTCGTGTGAATTAGGGTGTATTAGAATACAACAATGGTGAGCAAAGCATGCATGTCCGGGGAGTCCAGTGAGGATCGAGTGGGGCGGGATGGGCGGGCGGTGTTGGATATGGGAGATATAAGAGGGCTACACCTTGAAGCCCAAGCCGCGCATGCACGCGATGTGTCTCTGAACGAGTTCACGGCACTTCTCGTCCGCCTCCGCCCCGTCCGTCTTCAGGAAGCAGTCGTCCCGCGCGGACTTGGTCTCCGGACACGCGCAGCACCTATAGCATGCATTAGCACCCCGTTCACCCTCATACCTCGTAAGAATGTACATACGGCTTCAGGCCCTTCGGGTTGAGAGGGTTCTGCTTGGGGTCCGTCGGGTCGAACTTCTCAGGAGCCGCGGGTGCGGGCGAGCCTCCCCACCACGAGCTGATCTGCATTGGCCGTCAGCAACTTTCAACCAGACCTGAAAAGTGTGAAACGTACGCTAGAGAACATTTCCGCAAGTACCACTGGAGACCGAGAGGATACAGAGAGCGACAGAGCAGAGACTCGAGATGGAGGTGGGTTACAAAGCGCAGACCTGGGTCCGGCCCCGGCGGATGGCGGCGAATCCTGGCCCCAATCTCGGGTTAGGGGTAAGGTCGACATTTGCACCAAAATGAAACTTGAAGTGCCCCTCTTCTTTCTACTGATCACTCTAAACACCCTCGAGCTCTGAGCGTACGTATACCTATCAATGTTCTTTCTTATCCAATTGTGCGAATGCCGTGAATGAGTAAGTACATGCATATGAATTGCGTACGAATTGTGGGTTTTGTTCTGGACGCGTCTATCAACGGCGCGTTAGCTAGAGCAGGATCTCATGACCGCGAGAGCATGATGGCGCAGGATGAGGTGCTCGCCATATCTCGCCACAATGAAAGCGATCGCACCCGTACTTTTAAGCAAACCGTACTAACCGTCACACCCATACCTGCAGCCAAACAATCGCGCCCGCACCTACGCGCAAGCAATATTAATCTGCAGCTGCCTAAGGAGCTCACTTGTACATACATTCACTATAGCGCAAGATGTCCGACTCCAGCGATCCCTCAACTCGGATTCTTGATCACATCGTGCACCTCAGCCCGCCCGGCCGCCTTCAAGAGACCGTAGAGGCGTTCAGAGCACTCGGGTTCACGTACGCACCGTCTCTCGCCTTCATAGCGAACAGCCACTCACCTTCAGTCACAGAGTCAGCCCAGGCGGAACGCACGCCGACGGCCTAACAGCAAACGCCCTCGTCATCCTCGCCGACGGCGTCTACCTCGAGCTCATCCACTTCACCCGCCCACCCCCACCCGACAGCACGCACCCCTGGGCCGCAAAGCAGCCGGGCTGGGTCGACTTCGCACACCTCGGGAACGCGGGCACGCCCTCCATCTCCGCGACGATCAACGCGCGCGCGGAAGCCGAGGGGAGCGGCGTGCACTACGCGCAGGAGATCCCTGGAGGCCGGACGCGGGAGGACGGGCGGGTGCTCAAGTGGCTCATCTCGGGGATCGAGGATGCGGGTCTGCGCGGACGGCTGCCGTTCTTTTGCGGGGACTTGACTCCCAGGGCGTGGCGTGTGAGTGGGCTCCGGTTGGAGGGCACCGGGGGGAAGAGGCGGGGGCTGACCGGGATTTATGTGTTTCGTCTCGCAGGTTCCGCTCGAGCCGCGCTCTAACACCGAGCACGCGAACACCACGATCGGCGTTGCGCACGTCAAGCATCTGGTTGCCCCGGAAGAGCTGCCTGCGTACGCGAATCAGCTTACTTCCGTCTTGGGCGTGTCGCCAAAGGAGTCGACCTCGACGAAGGTCGTTTGGGAACTCGAGAAACAACCATCGCATCGGGACGCAGCGGCCGGCGCCCCCGTGCTGATTATCAGTGCGCCACAGAATGAGGAGGAGCGGGAGTATCTCCGTGGCCGAGGTTCTGGAGTATACGAGCTAGCGTTCGCGGTCGAGGATCCAGAGAAGGAAGGTGTAGGATCCACGCCGCAAGGCCGAGTTGTGTGGAAAAGTGCAGGGCGGTCGTAGTGGCAGTATACTTCTGTGCTGTGGCTAAACATTGATCAAGAACGGTCGGAACGTGAGCTAGAAGGAATCCGTCAGGAGGACAAACTACTCCTTTGCGGTGTGCATGGAATCCCCACACCGTCGATCCGGAGCTGATCGCCGAGCGCTGAGCATTGGCTTTGTGGGATACAGTGAGAACATATGAGCGTGCGGGACGTCACGTTGATTTCGTCGCTACGCCGCGGCTCCTAAGATGCGCCGCTGAAAGCGTATAGGTACCTGTCTACGTCAGCGCCACGGAAGGCTAGTAGTAGATGGCCCCGGTGGGCGCGCCGTCGTCTCCCACCGCGACTCGCCCTCACCAGCAAAAAGGCGTCGAACTCAGCTGTACTGTGTACAGGGAGTTTGTTAGCGCTAGCCCTAAATCATCTTATTACGACGGATAACGGACGTTTGCTCACCCCAAAGCACTTGAAGATACACGACAAGGCGTGGGTCTCCGAGACCACGGACGTATAGGTCCGAACCCGAGCCCTGGGTGCTCTGTGAGAACATTCGAGCGTACAGGACATCAAAGCCGAATTCGGACGTCGCTACATAGCGGCCTCAAGATGCGCCGTCGAGTGCACGCAGCTCTACGTCACCGTCGCGGATGGCCACGCTGCGCCCTGCACGGGCGCCGCCGCAACGCGTCGGACGGTCGCGTGCCCGCTCAGCTGCCCGACGCTGCGCTGCGTGTTGTGGAGCATCACGGCGCGTTCAGGATATCGATGTGGTCGTGAGGTCCCAGACTGCGACGGTCAAGATTATCCTGCGCCGGTGTTGTGGAACAGCGAGTAGACGTGGACAGACAGCGAGGGCGGCGTGCAAGCGGGCGACAACATGATGATCCCAACAGTGCGCGGGACGTCCGACGCAGCGCTGGAATACGTCGGTGTGACATCATGTCGGTGTCGATGACGCAGTGGGCTGCATGGGCGGTGTCTGTATTTGGAGATGTCAATATTCCGCGGTTGCATGCTAAAACGCAGATTGATCCGGAGGCAGATGGACGATGTTGCGCAAGGTTGCACAGAACCTTAGCGTTGATCAGCTGATGACCACCGCTGTTGCGTTACTCACTCACCTGGAGAAGCATTGCAGACTGTACAGTCAATAGGGTCCGTTCGAAGCTCGCTAGTGTGTGTAAGCACAAGTGAACTCTATGTGCTCAGTCCGATGGAAATGCATCGGAGAGCTCGCTGACTGAGCCCAGTACCGACTCAAGGTGACTGTTGTGTATATTCGCGAGGATAGCCAGGACTCGGAAACAACCACATACCAACGTCGCCGATGAAAATGAACGCGGACCTGTGCAATCATGGAGAATCCGCAGGAAGATGGTGGCAGAAATTGACGGGCGCGCGTCGGTTGTGGGTGCATCTCCCGTGGTCAGCTGAGCGGGCGCAACAATTCGTGGCATTTTCCCCCAACGAATCACGAACGGTCACATCGGGTTGCGCACCGCTTGAACGTGTTGGCGTCGAGGAACGTGGTCAGATCTGGCCAGACATGACGACGACAACTGCGTCAGAGTAATAATGTCCCGATCGAGACCGCGACGTGCGCCTGGTGGCGCACCAGTGCGCGGTCTCGCCAACCACCTCTGACAGGCCTGCGAGTCTGCCAAGTATGCGAAGCAGCGGTAGAGACCTGGCCTCAGGCTGTCGGGCTGGATTATGCACATAGCCTCGTGCTAAAGAACCAGGAAGCAGCGGGCGATGTCGCTCAGAGAACGGGCTCGGAGGGACTGCATTGAGCGGAAGGAAACGTATCGCGAGGACTCGAACGTACCGGTAGTTTTGCGCGATAGGAGCGCTGCGGCGGCCGCTCCGATACAGATGGATGCCCCGGGAATCGTCCCGCATCCCCAGAGAGATGCAACATTTTCCCCTGGGGACGCGAAGGTGAAATGTTCATCCGTGCTTGCCCGGGGATGCGGGGTGCGCAGGATGCGCTGATTCTCTGGCGCATCTTGAAGCTTGAAGCCCGGGCTGCTCAGCGGTACATTTGCCCTTGGAAGTTGTCCGAAGATGCCCTTGGGATGAGAGAAAATAGCTGCGGACAGGGCGACCGGACCCGACGCCGTGAGCTGTGTATGGCGCGAGATAGCGTCGGATTGCCGCTGAGTCAAGCTGCTGGCGAAGACACCGGCGGTTGATAAGCACGGCTACTTTCGACTGCTCACACCATACAGACAGATGGCGAGTGTCTGAAAATTTTGTGTGAGAGGTACGGAGATCGAGGGAGAGAGAAATGGACTTGGGAGATTTAAAGTCGTACAGACCGCACAGGGGAGGCGGAAGAAAGTAAATAGACGCAGCATTCCGGCTTCTAGTGTGTCGGCAAGGACGGCGTTCTGGACCATCCAGACGAGGTGATCGTTCGAATATATGAGCGACACCGCCTAGACGGTCCCACGTGCGACATCAACCTTTTCACCTCCAAGCCTTTTATTTCCCCCTTATCTCTTTCACCACGACCACGACCACGTCCCCCCCTCCCGTCGTCCGTCGTGCTCAGAGGTCATTCCCACCACAGCGCACCTGCTGTCTCCCCGTGGTGAGTACTCGTATAGATTGCTGGAGTGGCGAGTCGGTGAGTGTGTTGGTCTTACTCTGCTTCACAAACAGGAACCTCCTTCGCCCCGCCCCGTCCAGCTCGTCCAAGCTCGACCCGTCCGCGCGTTGGAAACTGCTCAGAGGATCTGTCTCTGGTGAGCCTCATCGGAATTTTTACCGCGTCGCGGACCGAGGAAGCGTGGTGGCTGACACAGGCGACGATCCCCCAGTTCGGTCTCGCTCAATTTGTCCCGTCGTTCCCCCTGCTCCCCGGCGTTCTTTGACTCGCGTCTGGCGACACTATTTCCTCTATAATTATCGCTTTCTGTCACGAGAACTCTCTCGTCCTCGACCTTCTCGCCACGCCGGTCTAGCGCCAGCCCCCGAACGACGTCACATCACCAGGTGAGCATCCAGTCATCTCCTCGGGCGCGCGCGTCTGCCGCCCCCGTCAGCCACCCTGTCAGCTACTCCATCACAATATTTATGATGCTCACTTTATGTTCCGCAGACCCTACGGACACTGATCCCACATGAGCACGGTTGTGAACACCCGCACGTACTCCACCCCCATGGACTACTCCCTCTCGCGGCACACCAACAGCGCAGGGGCGCCCCTGCCCCGCATCCCCCGTCGAGCATCGGCCTCACGGACACCTACGGCGTCGTCCTCGACTGCCGCCGCCATTCACAGCATCTTTGCGGTGGCTGCACCGTTATACTCCCCTCCCGCGACCCCCGCCGCGTTGGTCGTCCAGCCTCCCACTCCGGAGCGTGTCGAATCTCCCACACGGCGGAGCGGTTCAGAGGAGGGGTCCAGTTCGTCGAGCAGCTCGGAAGCGTATGTCCAGATGCTCAACCCGCGTGTCAAGCGCGTCCGCAGACCCAAGATGCAGTCCCTTCGTGCACCCGCCGATTCGACACCCACGCCAGCGGTACACAACGCCAAGAACGCGTCGGAGAGAGCTGTCGCTTTCCCTGCATGCGATACGGATGAAAACGCGTTGGGGAATGAAACACCCCGACCGTCCACCTCCTCGTCCCGCTTGGGTTTCCGGATAGACCTTGGTACACTGAAGACACCTCTTGGCGACTCGTCTACAGCGCTTCGTTCGGACGGCAGCAACAGTCGTACGGTGTCCGCCCCTCAGGAGAGCGCAGCGAGTATAGCACGGAAGAAATCGGGCGAGCCACTGAAGTCGTCGCTCAAGAGTCGGCGGCCGATCGTTCGCGGGGACCTCTCAGTCGTCACGGACATCGCGTCGACAAAGAGCGAACCTGCAACGCCGATGGGCTCCAAGTCCGTTCACTTCGACGCCAAGCTGGAGCACGTCAAACTGTTCCTGGCTGAGCAGAAGCCGCTCGCGATCTCTCGCCAGGGTAGCCCGACGGACACGAGTGGAACGGAGAGCGATTTCCCGAGCGCAATATACGGCAAGCGGACGGAGGACAAGACGCTTACGATGCAAGTCGTCAACATGCCGGCATCGCCTCGCTTGGACGCGGACATCGCGTTCGAACGGCTCGAGCTCTCGTCCGAGGGAACCGTGCTGAACGGCACCGTCCGCGTGCGCAATCTTGCGTTCGAGAAGTGGGTCGCAGTTCGGTTCACCGTCGACTCGTGGCAAACGACGAGCGAGGTTACGGCGCGGTACTCGGACTCCATCGAGGCGGGCGTGTTCGACCGGTTCTCGTTCTCGATACGTCTGGGCGACATGCTTGCACGGATCGAGGAGAAGACCATGTTCTTCGCGCTCCGCTACAACGTCGCTGGCCGCGAGATCTGGGACAACAACGACGGACAGAACTACAAGGTCACGTTCGCTAAGGTGTCCCGGATCAGCACTTCGACATCCGCGGATTCTGGCCTCGCCTCGCTCAAGAGCAAGCTCGAGAACGTCGTCAAGGGACGGGAGACCGTCGGCGGGTACGTGGCTGAAGGCCGCAAGACCCGCGCGGAGTCGTTCACCCTGGAAGCGACAACCTCCCTCTCCTCCCGGTACGACTTTGCCCAGTCGTTGAAGAGCCCGTGGACGCGTACCCCGATCGCGACCAAGAGCGTCACGCATGCACGCACGAGCACCTATCCCAACTCGATACCTCAGTTCCCCATTCGGGCCGGTGTCAAGAAGGTGTTCGAGGATGTACACTCCCTTACGCGCGGCTCTCCGCGCATCCTTGACTCCGAGGACACGCCCACGCTTTCGCTCCCCGTGGATGCGGCCCTCGAGGACACCCCAGTGGCAGCCATGAGCCGCCGTCGCGGGCGGAATCACCAGCGCGGCTACTTCGACTTGGGCCTTTCGCACCACTCGTCTGGCGCTGTCCGGCGGACGCCTACCAGCGCAGATGCGCTCAGTCCGATGTCTGTTCCGCGCTCGGTCGGCACTCAAGAGCAGGCGGCGTGGTATGTGGAGATGGGTGGCAGCGCGGAGTCGACGCCGTCCGTGACCACGTCCGAATCGTCTTCGCCATCGGGGTCACCTGTTGACGGCGCACCGTATAACGTTCTGGGTGGAGATGTCGGTGGGCTACGTAGTCCGGTGGAGAGTGACAGCTACAGCGTGTTTCTGAACAGGTGCGTTCGAGTCCCGGTCAGGTTGATATCCGTGTGGCTGACGGGGCTCCAATGCACAGGTACTGCTACTACACCGGTGGTGGAGCAGGCGACCCGTTCCTGGATGCGCAGCCAGAGGCAATCCACCGCTCGCACTCCGCGTCGAGCGTAGAGGAGTTCCTCTCGGCGCCGAATCCGAACTACATGCTCTCGCCCGGCGAGGCACCCACACGTTCCCCGAGCTACGACGATGTCGTCTCGATGAGCGGGAACACGACGCCCACTGCGCGCAGCATGGGCATGTTTGGACAGACGTCGCCGTCGATGTTGTCCGTCGCGCAATAGATACACGGGCGCGAGTCCATCATAGACGTGCGTCCCCGACCGATAGGCGGGGGATAGAGGCACAAAACTGCACATTACGACCTCACTACGTGGACATTTGCCGTGCCACGCATGATATTTATATCTTTCAATTCCCACCATCTTCTCCAGTTTTACATTTACCCTGACTTGCATTACCCCATCCCCGTCCCCCACCCCGTCCCCCCTACCCGTCCCCTTTATCCCCAGTAGCCCCCGATTTCAGCGCCATCTCTGCGCTCTACAGGCTACGCCGTTTTGTCATCCCTTACCCTGGATCTTGCGTCGGGCGCCAGGCCTTCGATGTGTACTGTATTTTGGTTGTGGTTCCCATTCCCATTCCCATTCCCATTCCCATTCCCATTCCCGTTCCCCCGTTCCCGCTGCTCCCCCTCACCTCACCCATCCGCGGCCCATCCGGCACCATTTTGCCCCGATCTGGTCCATACACATACGCATCCATGACGAGAGACAGGCATACATACCGTTTCACGTCCTTACGATTCTCTTTATGACGCATTCAATGATGATTTTCGTTGATACATAATATGCTGCCGCATTTGAGTGAAACTTATTGCGGTGCGAAGGACCACTTTTAAATTCAAAGGAGTGAGTTGTGAGTGGCCGACGAAGAACGTGGTGGCTTCTTCCTTGTTCCACTGACAAGTTGATGTGCTGGGTTCGCAAAGCAACATATACGCGCAGATGTATAGGACAGACAATACACACAACAGATGGTGTGAACGAGTCGATGTTCTCGCAACCGTTCTCAATACCGGTTACGACGTCCACCGCCGCCATACCCGCCACCACCGCCATCTCCTCTACCGCCTCCGCCGCCTCTGTACCCGCCGCGGTCACGATGTCCACCACCTCTGCCCCACCTACCCCGTCCGCGCCCACCACCATCACCATCCCCACCTCCCCTGTTCCAGTCGTCCCCGCCTTCGGGCGGGCCTCCAGACCCAAAGATCTCCTCCTGCGACGGCAGCGGCCCGCTCTGCCTGCCCGACACCGGGCCCGAGCTCGCGCTCTCGAACCCGCCAATCCCGGGGATCATATCCTCGCTCGTGTCCATCGCGCTCGACTGCCCGAACGACGGGAACCCACCGGGGCCCCCGCCACCGCCGGTCGACGCCGACTGCGGCATACCGCCGTCCCGTCCGTCTTCCTCCTTGCCGCCCCACCAGCCGCCGCCGCCAGCTGCGCCCCCCGCCGCCCCAAAACCGAAACCGGGGACCATCGCCTCCTCGTCCTCGTCCTGGCCGGACGTGTCGGTGATCTCGGGCGGCTTCTCGCCGCCGCCACTGAAGACGGAAGAGGCGTCTCCGGGGCGCTCGCGGCACCAGAAGCGCGTGGTGTGGTCGTTGGACGCGCTGACGAGGATGTGCCCCAGCGGGTGGTAGGCAAGCGACCAAACGTTCGAGTCGTGTGCCTGCGAGAGCGTTGCGCGCGGCCCGGGCTGGTGCGATGCGGACTGTGTGACGGGCGGTTCGGAGGAAGAGGAGAGGTCCCAGTGCATGATCGCGCCCTCGGAGCCGCCGGAGACAAGGAGCGGGTGGAAGGGGTGCCAGGTCACGGCTGGGTGGGGATGTCCATTAAGTGCGGTACAAGGGGCGAAGATGTGGGGTACTCACAGCATACTTCTTTCTTGTGGCCTTTGAGGAGCCGGAGCTCCTTCATTGCGCGGATGTCGAAGACCCGGACCGTTTGGTCTCGCGATGCGCTGGCGACGAGATTGCCATTCGGCGACCACGCGAGAGCTTGGACTGTGTTCTTGTGGTAATGCCTGCGCGGAATGGGTGATTGGCCGACGGATTGCGGTGAGAGTCACGTACAATGTGGAGAGCACGGTTCCTGTACGAGGGTCCCAGAATTTGATCATGTTGTCCTTGCTACCAGAGACTAGGAGCCCCTTTGAAGGATGCCATTCAACACATTTCACGTCCCAACCGTGACCTTTGTTGCAGATGAGCGGCTGTATGCGAAGTACAGCTCTGAGGAAACAGACCTGTCAATGTTCGTTCTGCGCGCTGCTCTTCGAACGACCACAGCCGGATGGTAGAGTCATCACTTGCGGTAGCAAACCTAGTGTCGTCAGGACTAAAACTGAGACCACGGATAGCCTCGCGGTGGCCCGTCCACGCCGTCAAGTTGTTCATATTCGGCTGGAAGTACTTGATGACACCGTTCTGGTCCGCGGACGCGAGGAACGCGCCGGAATGCGTGAACTTCATTGTGCGCACTGCCGAGTCATGCGCCTGCAAAATCGTTTCGAAGTTGAAGGTCAGGCCGTTCCATAGCGTGAACTCGCCACTCGTTGAACCCGTCAGTATCCGACGCGCTTCTGGCGTCCACTACGCACGGCCATGATTCAGTTTTGAGGGCACATAGGAAAGACGCGGGAGGTATTGCATTGTACTGACCACGACGCAATTGACGGGACACCGAATCTTGTTGGTGGATGTGTGCACGAACTTGGTGCACAACGAGGTCGAGGGGTTGTCTGGGTACGCCTTTGGCGGCAGGAGCTACACACGAGATATATTGAGCCTCCGCACTCCGTACATGCCCAAACGTCCACCCCTACGTCAATGATGTACGGCGGCGCGGGCCTTAGGTAGGGCACGTATGTCGCGTTTGGCCGCATCTTCCGGAGCTGCGAGACAGGCTCAGCGCGTGTTTCATGCGAGCTAGACTGATTAACGCACTAATGCCCATCTCCCGAGTCCGCCTCCGTAGTCGACTGTTCTCCGTGGGCGAACTTTCTTCACAGGTTTGCCGTCTGCGAGTTGTCGCGCCATGTCCATCTCAATGGCCTTGGGATCCTCCGTTGGAGGTGGATTCGGGACCTCCAGATTGCGCTTGGGCTTCCATGCTAGCCTGGCGTCCTCTTGTAGTGAGACAGGGAGTGTTTTTGAGGGCAAGAGCACAGGCAATGAAGCAGACGACGCCATGTCTTGCCTGCTCTTCTTCTTCGCTATGTAGTACAACTAGAACTCTCCAGCCAGTGCGCTAGACAAAACAGCGAGTCGCGAGTCCAAAGGCAAGGACGAAGTCGCCGTTTAGCTTTAGAGTATCGAGACTGAGTACCAGCTACAAGCCACAAGCTGCAAGTTGCAGGATGCCAGAGGTCACCGTGGTGCAGGAGAGAGTCAGGCAAGCGCCCTTCGATACTCTTCGATAGTGGATAAGTACTTGGGATAAGCACCACTTAGCCGCTTGATAGAAATTCACTCGCAGTCACAGTTTGAACTGATAGAGGTTAGAACTATTTATAATGCAATTAGCACCGCAGCTTCATGACGTCTCGGCATAACACCTTCCTCTGGTCCACCATCACGCCCACTAGTTGTCCGCACGATTCTGCTTCCACCTTTACCACAGCGCGCAACTCGAGAAACGATACGTCTGCAACTTGTCTGCTTTGGAATACTGTCGAAGACCTGAGTGCTAGCACTATCATGTCTTCTCGCAGGCTGCGGATCGCGTTCATACACCCGGACCTTGGCATCGGTGCGTACTCTGGCGGCAGGACGAATTGTCATAGACAGAGGCTTATGGTATGGACAGGCGGCGCAGAGCGCCTCGTAGTCGACGCTGCACTAGGTCTCCAGAAGTTGGGACACAGTGTCGACATCTTTACCTCCCATCATGACCGGGGTCATTGTTTTGAGGAGACTCGCGACGGTGCGTCCTGAAAATGTCGCCGTCAAATTATCATAGGTCGAGGATGGAGAAAGACCAACAGGAACTCTTCGTGTGCACCTCGTTTCCTCGCCATTCCCCCGTGCAATCAAGGGCAAGCTACACGTCCTGTTCTCGCATGCTCGTCAACTGCACCTCACACGCTATCTTCTGAGCTCGTCTATGCCCTCCTTTGATGTGTACTTTGTGGACCTGCTGCCGACATGCATACCATTCCTGCGACTCGGCGCCCACACGCGCGTGTTGTACTACTGTCACTTCCCAGACAAGTTAATGTCCGGTGGTGCATACGTGGAAGGCGCGAGGCCCAAAGGAAGTCTCCTGAAGCGTATATACAGACTTCCTATGGATGCTGTGGAGGAAATCGCGACTAGTGAGCTACACATGCGCCCTTAGTCTGTCTACAGCTGACAATGCTGCCAGGACAGGCCGACACCATTCTCGTGAACTCGAATTTCACGAAGGGTGTATTCAAGAGGCATTTCCCCTCCGTTCAAGCAACACCCCGCGTTGTATACCCTGGTATCAACCTTGACACCTATAAGCCCGTAGACGTAAACCTAGGCGATGCTGACATCACAAGCATACTGTCGTGCGTATGACCTGGTCGTAACTATCGGGTATAATTGAAACTGAAAGCGCACTTGTAGGGATCGGCCGACTCTGTTGTCAGTCAATAGGTTTGAGAGCAAGAAGAACGCAGCGCTTGCCATAGACTCGTTCGCCCTGCTCAGACGGAAGCTTTCTCGTGACAATGCTCCTTCACGGAAAACTCGGTTAGTTCTTGCGGGTGAGTGTCTGCTCAACATCTCTTAGCCTCCGACGCTGATGGCAGCGCAGGTGGATATGACCCACGTCTCATGGACAACGTGAAAACGCTCCAATCGTTACTAGACGGCGCGAAAGCTCATGGCCTGACTTACGCCATCACAACCCCCTCCAATTCCACAGTCGCTCTTCCCTCGCTACCATCGACCTCTGAAGCTGAGGTCGCGGACATCGTCTTCCTACTCAACTTCTCGACTGCGCAGCGCTCCGCGCTGTTAACGTCCCCGTCAACGCTCGCTCTCCTCTACACACCCACCAACGAGCACTTCGGCATCGGGCCCGTCGAAGGCATGGTGTGTGGTCTTCCCGTCCTGGCGTGTAACAGCGGTGGCCCGACTGAGAGTGTAGTCGACGAGCCCGCGAGCGAGCGAACAGGATGGCTCCGACCCCCGAAGCCCGAGGTCTGGGCCGAGGCCCTAGTGGAGATCGTGGATTTACCCGCGGCAGGCAGAGCGCAGCTGGCAGAACGCGCCAAGAGGCGGGCGAGGGAGAAGTTTGGGATGGAAGCTATGGCGCGGGATATGGAACAAGCCCTGCAGGAGACGTTTGCGATGGGGCGTGTCCCGACGCCCCTTGCTATCTGGTTCGCTCTGGCACTGCTGTTTGTGGTGGCGGCTTACGCTGTGAGGTTGGTTTTGTGAAGCCGATCTTGGGACGTTACGGTGCGCACCATCTCTGCAATTCGAGACGGTTTTGCAACTTATCGTCCAGCTGCAGTACAGTATATCTCAGAGTTCTAATAACATTGTAAGCATCATGTTTTTGGTTTTTCTTGGTCTAATGATCGCGCGTCACCAGATTTTTATTGACATCGTCAACATGATGATTGTCGTGGGCTTCGGGGAACAGGTCAGCTAGGGATAAGCGCCCTGTGAACCACTACGCCACGTCATGACCCCGCCTATCGTTCACCCAACGGGCATGGGAACTGCACGAAGTTAAGTTTATTCGCATGGATAGTGACCGGGCCGGAGACAAAGGGTGGCACGCGATACTGCTTTGCTGTCGACAATGACATGGCCGCAGGTAATGGCCTGCCACAGCGCCTTGCGCTCTTTGACTACTGGACATATAAAACTCATCTGAGCTAGCTTCGCTTCTCTCCCAACATCTTCCTTCGGGCCATCTTGCCTTGCACCCCCGCGCCACCCACCATATCGTTCAGTCGTAGCTCACCTCTTCATCGACATCGCAATGCACGCCCTGTTCAAGCATTACTCGCCTAACTTCCTCGGATGCTCAGGATCTGGACAAAGGCCATTGTTCTCGGGCATAAGCCACATCATCCAAAGCGAGGCGGTGCATAGCCAGACCAACCATGTCACGGTCCCATCGTTGAAGTTGCATCAACACCGTGTGGCTGCTCTGACCGCAAAACCTGTTCCCGCTCGACCCTTCACCGTATCCACACCATCCTTCAGTGGCTCGATGGCATCCTCTAGCGACCACGAAGTCGACTCTGGCTACTCGTCCTCCACGTTGGAGCAGGAAGTTTCTTCTCGCGTTCCCTTACCCACTCCTTTCTCCCAAAATATCGCGGCAAACGTGGTAGACTTCCGGTCTCAGGGCGCGCGCGGCGTATCCCTCGCAGACTGGATCCGGCTCTCAGAAAAGAGGAAGACGCACACATGCCTCGACGATCCCAACGAGAGCTTGGACGAACTTGTGGACGATTGGAAGATATTATACCAGTGTCAGGTGAGTGTATGTGTTCCTCGCAGCTGCTCACGATGACGCTAACTGTATCCGGTTCCATAAGTGGCCTGGATATGACGCCCACACGTGCTACGTAGCCGTGCCCGAAGAAGTTGCTGCGGGCACCGCTCCTTTGACGAAGGTCGACTTGCTCGACATGGTCTGCCATACTCTAGCAGATTGGGTATTAGCGGTTACCGTGGGTCTTTCCTCCTTTCCTAGCTCGTGTACCATCTCACCCTTAAGATCTATCGTAGAGGCGCAGACACACGGAGTGTTCGGCTCCGGCGTGGGTCATCGGACTGGACGAGATTACGTTCAAGCACATCTACCTCGTGTCCGTGGTCGAAGTGGAGGGCTACGTAAGGAAATGGGTGCCGGTCCTAGAGATCGATGCGGAGGCTCTTAGGAGCTGAAACAGGCACTACGATCTGGGTCCGCAGACAGTCTACAGATACGCAAAATTCATTCAGTTTTTCTTCATCAGAGCACACGCGACCCCCGGCTGCCAATATCTGGACTGGATGTACCTGGACTTACTGCGCTGTTCCTGACGTTCTAGCTTTCAGCCCAATATTGACAGATCCCAGCAGCGTATACGAAGGACCGGGTCAACTCATTATTACTTGTGGTGCGTGTTGACACCATCGAGGCACGGCTCGCACTGAGAACGCCATCTCACGAATCCGTGATCGCGCAGGTATAATTACTTATGGGTGCACGTTGACTCGTGATCGGACGCTCATCGATACATCCCCGATCGTGGCACAGTGGTGGCGAGTATCCTCGTGGGGGTGTGCACGCGGGATACGCTCACGGGAGGTGCGATCGACCCGGAGCGCGCCTGTGGCGTCTGCTCCAGGCGGTACTCCTGCTACCGCCATGTCGATGCGTCGGACGTCCTCGCGCAATCTAAGTGTTGCGTCCGCACAACGCTCGCCGCAGGCACACGTCCATGGTGTCGACGGATGTACGTGATCACTTATCTCTTGTCTTGGCAGCAGCGTGGGCAGCGGGGACCGCGGGGCGCTCTATCGACCGTTCGAGGAGGTACGCATCGTCCTTATCGCATTCGCGGGCGAGCTGCGCAGCGTTATAGGAATGATGACACTTATGCCCTCCGTTGAATATACTAGGTTCAAGGCACGGCGACGAACGCTCGGAAGTGACACAGGATATGAAAAGTAGGACGCGGAAGCGAACGTGAGTGCTCCAGACGCAAGCTATACATCCTACGGATGTCTGCATCCAATTCCTGTCGAGGTAACTGATCGCGCTTGCAGGACCGGAGGATGTAGGCACCGTGCCTAGCCAAGACTGCCGGCCTACTTGTACAAGAAATGGGCTAGTTCAAGAAGCATACCGGCGCCGGGGGGCCCGAGCGAGCTTATAGCGTTAGTCGGCAAAACATGTTCTGGATCTCGCCCCACGATCAGCGCCGAAAGTGTGCCCGTAACTGTGCATGGAGTTGGGAAGAGACACCGGTGGGCCATGATGGTCAGTGTATCACTGCCCGGGAGTAAGTCTACGCCTCTGACATGCCGCCACTCAGCACGCCATTGATGATTACAAGGCCTCATGCGCCTGCCTGTCGTGCGTATTCAGGGCGGCATTGAGTCGTGTGAAGCTACTCATCCACATAGGCATTCAGACGCTATACTCATAAAAGTGTGACCACGCCCGCCGGCCGTCCGTCAACGGTACGTGGCGGCGATAGGAAGGAAGGCGGCCTCCGGGATGTGTTCGATGCATCCGTTTATCTCGCACCGCTCACGCCCTTGGCGCACTTTGATCTGGTGACCCCGCAAGGTGAGGGCAAGACCTCGTGGTTGCCTGCTAGGCGGGTTCCCAGGCTGCTTCCTTCAGGCTCGGGGCCCTCGGCCACTGCGAACGTTCAAACGGCCTTCTTACGGCGAACACTTCTTGAAGACGTACAATGTTCGGAGTCGAGCGGAGACGGACTTAAAAGATCACAAAAGACTATACCATGGTCGTGTGATTACTCCCGGGCGTAAATCTTCAGCCCGTCAGTGCAGCGCCGCGATATGTTTTGCGTGGACTCAATTTGGCCACATCGCAGACAATCTGGACAGCGTTAACCGATCAGGGACACACGCGCGGGACCCAGCACGCACTGGATGTTGAAGATGACGCTTCCCGCGTGCACTGGCACTTTTTCAAGGATGCTTGGATCTTCCAACGCGACGAGTGGATTTGGGCGCTGCTCGATTCTCCGGCCCACCGACAACTTCTCCGAAACTCAAAATAGCTGACCCAGATCAAGCCCAGGTGGGTGGTATCCATCGCTGCGAGGCTCGCCTGCGATACGCTTTCCGGCTCCTATCAGCGCTTGTGGCCTGCTTTTGGTGTTCCACGAGCTCTCATTCGCGCGACTCGAGGTATTCGCTAGGCTCCCGTTGCCCCGCGTGCCGCAGTTTAAGTACGAAACGGTTAACCAATCTTGGCATCTAGATTTCTATGCAGACCCATCACGATCGGAGGAACCGCATGGACATTGCCAGCTCCGTCGTTGTAACGACTCTCCGCGATTGCGCAATCTCTACGTTTGGGTCAGAATCCACCGGCGGTAGGGCGGAGACGTGAGGTCTAGCCGGGCGCTGGAATAACCCGTCGCGCTCCCTGCACAAATCAGATAGGCACCGAGAGCAGGTCCTCTTGGGCTCCGTGTGGTCGCATGGCCGCAGGACGTTCGAGAGAATTACACCAGGCAGAGGCGCCATGTCGTACTCGGCCGCGGACCGTGGACCTTAGACCTTCTCCATACGGGATGGAGCTCGAGAAGGGTACATATAATCCGTCTACGCCGACTGGCCTTCCCCAGCAGTCCTCAGCTCTAGCTGCTTCAACGCTCCTCGCCCGCGCCCATGGCTTCCCAGGACGGCGTCGAACAGCTCCCTCAGCTCACTGCTGCACAGGGCGGCCAGTCCCCCACCGACTCCTTCGACGAGAAGGCGGGACTCGGCCATGACACCAAGCTCACCAAGCGGGTCAGCTCCGACTCCTCCCTCGGGTCTGGCAAGGACGGCGAGCCGGACGGCAAGTCGGAGTACGACGAGGAGCACAAGGTGCGGTACGTCAACGGCGAGCCTGTTATCACGACTGGCTGGGACGTCTCGCGCTACCTCGTCGACACCCGTGACGACGGTGACCCCGCAATCACCTTCCGTTCGCTCCTGCTCGGGACGGTCTTCGCCGGGCTGGGCGCTGCCCTCTGTCAGGTACGTACTAGATGTCGGCTATTTCCTTATGCACACTCTTATTCACACCTTATCCCTCGGCGCGTAGATTTACCTCTTCAAGCCCGTCCAGGTCTCGATATCGACGGTCTTCCTCCTCCTGCTCATCTACAGCTTTGGAGTCGCGTGGGCCAAGTATCTCCCGCGTCGTGAGTGGGTTGAGAACACTCGGTTCGCCCGGTTTGGCCCGGCCCTGCACTTCTTCAATCCTGGCGAGTTCAAGATCAAGGAGGTACGTTCGTTCCTTTGTCTCGCAGCCTGCAGAGGTCTAACGTGACCATAGCATGTCGTTGCTTCTCTGGTTGCTTCCACTGCGGCGGGTGGCAGCGCCGCTGTTATGAACTTCGCTGTGCAGCGCGTGAGTCGTTCGGTTATGGTCACTGTCGGTCCGTCACTGAACGTGGTTCTCTGCAGCTCTACTACGACACGAATGTAGAAGCCACCACTGCTGTACTCGCTACCTTCTCCACCGCCTGCTTCGGGTACGTTTTTGTTCTTCTCTCTACTTCTCGGGCTGCTTACTGACGGCCTTCGAAGTTACGGTCTCGTGGGCCTTTTGCGTCCCCTCACCGTATACCCTAGCGAGATGGTCTACTGGGGTGTAAGTCGCATCGTTTATCTCGGTATTCATAAGGCGAACCCTGACAGTCACGCACAGAACCTGCCCACCGTGTCCATCTTCCAAAGTACGCTTGTCCACCCCCATGATAACAGTACTTCATCTCACCTTGCTCCCCGTAGCTCTTCACTTCGACAGCGCCGCGAACCACAAACGTCTGAAGCTCTTCTGGGGCGCGTTCACGGGCATGTTCATCTGGGAGATCTTCCCGGCCTACGTCTTCCCGCTCCTGAACGGCATCAACATATTCTGCCTCGCGACGCAGCATGTCCCCATCGGCGCACAGGATGTGATCACGAACCTCTTCGGGGGCACGGACGGTAACGAGGGCCTCGGCTTTATGAGTCTCTCGCTCGACTGGCAGTACATCACCTCTGTATACATGAGCTTCCCGCTCATCCAGCAAGGTAAGGATGGCCGTACAGCTTACCATCGAACTGCAGAATTCTGATCGCCGTGTGCCTGCAGCCAACTCGTGGGTGGGGTATGCGGTTTGCTACATCGCCATCATGGGCATCTACTACTCGGACGTCTGGAACGTAAGTACTCTTGTTCCCCTCACCGCTGGGGCGTCCCTCATGATGCTTGCGCGCACAGTCGAAAGCGTTCCCGATGCTCTCCACGTCGCTGTACTCTCAGAGCGGCACGCGGTACAACCAGACCGCCATCTTCGGCACCACCTTCACCCTCAACCAGACCGCGCTAGAGGAGATTGGTCTTCCAGCGTTGACCGGCACGTACAATTTGCGTATCTCGCCGTGACTGCTTACTTACCACCCGTATCTGTTCAGGTTCGAACGCGTGGGCTAACCTTTGTGCCAACCTCGGCGTGCGTATTTTTGGCTACCCCTGTCTAATCGAATGCATAGCTGACCCTGCGTGTAGATCGGTGGCCTTATCGCCCACACAGTGCTCTTCTGGGGCCCTTCCGTTTGGGACTCCTTCAAGCAGGCGCGTGCCAAGACCCAGCCCGACCCCCACTGGAAGGTACGCTCCCAACGGCATAGTCCCCCAGCGGAGCTGACCGCATCATGGCGTATAGATCGTGAACAAGAACTACCACGAGGTACCATGGTGGTGGTATCTCTGCTTACTCGCGTTGTCCTTCTTTGCTGGTAAGTGAATCCGGGCTTCGAGTGATACGAGTGTTGCTGACGAGAATGGGTGTAACAGGCTTGATCGTCGTGTTCAAGGGCCAGACTACTCTCCCGTGGTGGGCGTACATCCTCTCTCTCCTGCTCGGAGGTGCGTCATGCCTTTCTTTCATCCTTCCTTCGCATGCTGAGCTGTTGCGTATAATGTAGCCTTCATCACCCCCTTCTCGACCACGCTGTACGCGCGCATGGGTAACGGTATCGCGACGAACCAGCTGATGAAGATGGTCGCCGGCGCAGTCAACCCCGGGAAGCCCGTAGCCAACCTCTACGTGCGTTCCCCTTCCCTAGCTTGCCCACATTTCTACGCCGTGCTTACCTGTTTCTTGTAGTTCTCGATGTGGAGCCACGACGTCATTTCGACGTCTATCAACCTCGCAGGCGATCTGAAGATGGGCCAATACCTGAAGATCCCGCCCCGCGCCATGTTCCTCACGCAGATTTGGGGTACTATCCTTGGCGCGATCGTGAACTACGGTAAGGATCTCGTCCTAGGAGGCCTCCGCGCGCATCTAACAAACCTTTACAGTCGTCATGGTCTCCGTCGTGGATGCACAGCGCGACATCCTGCTCGACCCTCGTGGTACGAACGTTTGGAGGTGAGTACCGCTTTGGACGCCGAGCATATGTATGATCTGACAGTCTTGTATAGTGGTCAGTACCCGCAGAGCTTGAACAGCGCCGCAGTGACCTGGTCACTTGCGAAGCAGCTCTACGGTCCCCACGGGCCATATATCTGGATCCCCCTTTCCCTCGTCTTCGGCATGATCCCCACATTCATCCAGTGGCTCCTCGCCAAAGTGCGTAATCCGTTGCATTTGTCTATGTCCCCGCACCGTGCTCACACTTCACTCTACAGCGCTACCCCACGATCGCCGGCCTGCGCACCGACAGCATCGTCCTCCCCATCATCTACCAGTACGCGCAGTGGATGTCGTCCGGCACGAACTCGCCCGTGATGTCCGCGATCATCGTCGGGTTGGTGTCGCAGCTGTGGCTGAGGCGGTACCACCCCGCGTGGTACAAGAAGTACAACTTCATCCTCGGCGGTGCGCTCGACGGCGGAGCGCAGGTTATGATCTTCATCCTCTCATTCGCCGTGTTCGGCGCGTCGGGCGTGCCGAAGCCGTTCCCGACGTGGTGGGGCAACCCCGCGGTGGGCAACGTAGATTATTGTAACGGTAATGGCGCGCTCGACTAAGCGTAGCCTTTAAAGTGGAATGTTGTACATGTAGTTTACTTACTTACGGTACTCTCACGACTCTCTGATGTTTTACGTTTTTGGTTCTGGGGCAGTAACAATGGAAATCTCTGTAGCCTACCGTCGATTCATCCGACCGACGGGCTGACAATACTTAATCCATGCAAACTCCCTTCGCCCGCACGCCGACTCCTTCAATGGTGCCATGGTTGCGTTGCGTTGTCCTGTACCCCGAGTTCTGAGCAATCCGATTCATTTCGATTGTCATCCCTAACCACGTTCTTGCTGGAACGGTGTTACCAAAAACATACGCCAGCATAATAGGTGGACCGGGTTGATGTGTGAACTAAATAGGCTATATATCATCACTCATGTAGTGACGGTGGATCCAAAAAATTGAACTTAAGTCGGACTGAGTACCGCAGCAAAGCAGTGCCGGAAAGGCGCCTCGCCGGCACTTGCCGAGGCGTTCAGTATTGCGCACGACCACCAGGCCGACTTTCCCTGACTTTTCATGTCGACTTTCCGTCTACCTCCGTACGTAGCAGTCACTGCAATTAAGATGGGACTGCTTACTATTAATCTAGCGTTTGTACTCGTTCTCCATTGGGTGCATGCCATATGAGCGCCTGCGCCTGCCAGCTCAAATTGAAGAGACTTGCACGTACGCGACTTACAGTATACATGACGCGCCCCCCCTACTACGCGGAGTTTCGTTAGTATTTTGCGGCTGCAACCAGATGTGCATTGCAGCTTCGACCCCAGGTTAGCATCCTCGTAATTGTGGCGGTCGTCCGTATCCCTCGAAGAAAGTTGATTGCTCATCATTCCCAGCCCTTCGTCTTGCGGTTGTACATATGATGGGGGTGCTCGTAAGTGACTGGCAACTTCGGCCGGATCCAACTCATCATCCACAGAGTTATCTTTTTCACCCTGCCGGCGCACTAGTATGTGCCCTATTCGACAGAGGGTGTGAATGTAGACCAACCTCGCCGGTGATCGCGACGAGAAGTCGTCACTGAGCCGAATACAACCCATCTTCGCAATGCACCTCCTTTCGAGGATACGGAACGCGTGCACAGATGTACGCTCTCCTTCTACATTCACTCCAAAGTTCATCCAGACGCTCATAAATCTGCCGCGTACATAAAGGCGTCAAGTCGCCCAGAACCTAGGCTGTACCTAGCGCCGTTTGCGTTCCTTCCTTCAACAACCTCGCCTCTGCACTCATCGCCACTCTCAACGATCACGTCGACGCAGCGTTCCTCGAGATGCAACTCTTCAGCTTCAGCATCATTCCAGCCATCGCAGCGGTCATCCTCGGAACGTGGGGCGCCGCTGGCCAACAATCGATATTTACTGATACCGTCGTCGACCTTGACGAAGTCACTGCCGTGTCATACGACGTTCAGGCTGTTACGTTCGGTCTCAGCTCCTCTAACTTCAATCGTGAGAGCCCCGTGAGTGCATGCATCGCCACCAACATAACACGCGATGCCTTCTCCTATATTGAACTTGTATGCAGAAAATCGTGACAGGGCTGTACGGCATGGCGGTCGTCGGGACCAAGTACATCAGGCAGGCCGTGAGTGACGAGTCGTAGATGATCGTCATCTCGCCTGATATGCTCTGTAGTCTAATGCGACGGAGATGGACGACGAACAGGCCCGGAACGCGATCGATAGCCTCGCCATCTTTGTGAACGCTCAGCAGTAAGTCGTTCCTCCCAGCACTGGAACCCGCTCTGACCCGTGACAACAGGACTCTTATGAATGAACTCATCGAGAAGCGCGTACGTCGATGACTCAATTGATGCCGCTCCTCTTGGCGTGAAGCACTCCCTCTGATCAGGAAATCGTTGTAGCACCTAGCTTCGAAGCACGCCTCCCAGGCGGAAATTGCTCAAGGACTCCAGGCCCTGCATAGCGCCACGATCGTGAGAGGGCCGCCCATTGCGTCACCGGTATCGGTGGCTTACATTGCCCCTAGGGCGCCGAAGACGCTCTCGCTCGCGTCGTTCCGACGCGCGAAGAGGAGGCCAATGCGCTTTTCGTGAGTGGCGGGGGCACATGTCGTCGAATTACGAAGAGCCATTAATACCCTCTCCTTTCGCTGCAGCACAAAATGAACGGCGCCCTCGACGCCGCGTTGGCTGCCTATTACTGAAACACTGCGGCGGCGCTTGACACGTTTGACGGCGTAGTAAGGTATGTCGTTGATTATAAGCCTTGTTTATCTATCAACAATGATGGGATGACTAGGCAATATGGCGGGCGCGGATCGAGGCGGGCTTCAGTACGGAGGTGCATCTACTTTCGGTCTTTGTGGATACGCTCGCAAATCACCCCATTTCATATCACGTTTATGAGATTTCACAGAAGCTTGGTCAATCACGGCAAGATGATTCTCGCTTTCAACGCTCGTCAGTACTCAGTGCTACTGCATGTCTTTCTTCCAAGGATCACTCCGTGTCGACCGTCAAACTGCCGCCATAGTACACGACCGTGGTCTCCAACTCGGGAATTGCGTCACCTCCTTCCGACCGATGCAGTGCATGGCCTCCCTGAATGGGGACGTGATCCCGAACAACCTCGTAAACGATCTAGCGGCGCGCCCGCGCGAACGACTTCGCTGCTCGCTGTCGCCTGACCCGAACGTCGAAGAGCCCGGCCTCTCCACGTGTCGGGCTTCTGGCTTCGAGCAGCCATTATGCGTGCGCCTCCTCTTGTACCCCACATATCAACGTCATAACGTCATTCTCCTACCGATTCTCTGGCACTTTTGGGCGCGATCGCGACAACGAATGTCGTGTCGTGTCTCGATGCAGACGGAAAACCGAAGCGCACGTCCGGCGTTCCGTTACACCGATGTGCAATACCGGAATGGGAATCCGTATGACCTTGTTAGCGGTTCGTCGCCCCCGTTTTCTTTCGGTATGCGTACGCTGACAGAAGGGAATAATCATGCTCAAATTATTGGCAGCGCTCCAGTGCCTCCCAAATGTAGCTCGTCGTACACGACACTGCGCGATATATATACCTCCGACTATTGGTCCACCCTCGCCATTCGATACCACTCGAATACGTGCACGTCGACCAGCCTCCTCTCCCCACCCCGTTTCACAACCATGAAGTTCCTTAACGTTCTCCCCGCCATCGGCGCCCTCGTGCTCGGCGCACTCAGCGTCGTCGCCCAGGATGCCGCGGTCATCATAACCGGGATCACGCAGGTCACCGACGCGTCGAGCAACCTCAAGACCATCGTCGACAAAGTCACCATCGCCAACGCCCCCTCCCAGGCTGCCGTCAGTATACCTCTGCTCCAACGCATTCTGCACATCGCTGACGGTCCCGCAGAAAATCGCGCCCGGGCTGCTCACCATCGGGAACACCTGCAGGGAGCTCACCAAGGCGATTACCGTCGTGCGTGCCATGATGCCTGTCTTGCATTCATATAGTGGATACGATGTGTTAACGCGGATATTTGCCTTGCAGCCCGACCCGAAGCCGTTCGGCGACGATGTCGCGGGCGACATCGTCGACGTCCTGGTCACGTTTGTCGAGGTCCACCAGTAAGCGGCCTACGCTGTCCTCCGAGACTTGCAGCTCACTTGCTCACCCCCTCTGCTTCCAGGGCTCTGCTCAACGCCATCATCGGCAAGCATGTACGTTGAACGGCAGCATTCAGAGCACGACCGCGTCTGACCGTCACTGTCCTTACTCGCAGGGCATTATCGCCAACATCCCCTTCGTCGGGCCGGACATTGCCGCTGCCCTGCGCGGCCTCGAGGCCATCGTCGATGTCGGTGCCCGATCTCCTCACAGTGTGCTTCGCGCTCATCCCTTCCGTTCATACAGGCGCTCGCCTTCGCCATCATCGGCCTCATACCCACCCGGCAGAACCCGGCCATGGCGCAAATCGTAAGTGGCCAGCGTCGCACGTTTTACAGGGCTGATTGCTGATGGGTTCGGCCCGTTCCTCGGGATTTCACTTACAGGCCAGCTTGGACAAGACTTTCGCAGACGTGATTCGCGTCTACAGCTCGTAAGCACGGCGGCGCGTCGGGTGCCCTCTCGAACGCCTCCGCGCAAGTTGTGCTGGGTAGTGGAGACTCTAGCATTGGGGGCGCGTGTAAGAGGATTCAAGTTCATGGTAGTGTTGTGCGTCGTGTTGTGTCTCGGTGCTTCGCGCTCGCAGCCTTGAAGTTCGCGTTGTATGATGTACTTGCCATGGTTGAAATGCATGCTTTTCTTGTCCTTGTCGCTTTTGGGTTCCCCTATGGTCAGCGTGATCTCTGAACAATCCCAATAAAACAAAAATCTCGTAAAACCCCTTGCCGGCTTAAGTTTTAACAGAGTGAAGTGCAAACTTGCCATTTCAATTTCCAGCACCGCCATGTTCATGTCGAGCGCCTATCATTCATCCTTCTTCCAGCACGACGTCGTGCACGCAGCTGACGTCTTTCGTAACTCAAACGTGTACCACACTCGTAAATACGCATCCCTTTTCCCTCGTCGACACCACCGATGGAAAGCATGGATTGGTAGCCACACCTCGGACGCGAACACTGCCGACCTTCAAAATCGGACGCCACGAGGACATAATTTCACCACCGGTGGCGGCGGGGCTTCCCAGGACTTCCCTGCCAACTTCACGATGTCTTTTGCAACGCGCCGTCCACAGCGCTGGCGGTGTCTGAAGTGGAGAACATGATTTCTTGATGTACTCACCGGAAACTGTTTCATCCAGACCTCGCCCCAATATTTCTTACGCGGTGTAACTGGTAAGCATGGTCATTTTATATGCGGGTTTGAACGTCTCTCACTGGCACCAGCAAGTTGGTAGCGGCGGACGCATCCGATCCCGCCCAACGTATTGCTCACATGCGTAACTTGGATCACTGCATCCGATGGTATCTTCCTTGGTAGTGGAAGTATGGAACTCGGAAATCGAGACTCCACAACTTGGAGCGCGTCGACCGAGTCTCCCGATTTATTGAGACACCCGAAGAGTATTCGCAGAATGCCGTGCAGACCATCGGTGGATGACGTTGCTCCCAGACCACCTCAGCGGCGCCAGGTGAGACACTTCCCTGCTCGACGTCGCGGCCCATTTACGTGTCAAACGACGCAGTGGGGGTTGCAGCCCCAGACTGACAGCCTTCCTACTCACTACGAAGCTGTAGGCGCCACCTCCGCTGGTCAGTTGACTATGCGTCTTCGGTTGCAAGAAGTGTGACGCCAAAGGACGTCGTCTTCACGTCTTGCGCGCGATGCAGTGCCAATCGCTTCTGCAGGATACCTTGTTTGGCGAGTCCGACGTCGTACGTGAACATCTCTTCGCGACTGTGTTGGCGTCACGACAATTGCGTATGTGATCTATCCTCCTATGCTCACGGCGGCCACGCCCGATGACATCTATACGCCGTCACCCTTTTTCTAACGGCAGACGCGAATGGCATAGGTCATAGAAGGTGTCTAGTCTCCTGATTGTCCGAATTGCGTCTGCGTTTGCTTCGTATGACTACTCATGCAGACCCGCACTTCCAGACCCATATTGGACGTCATCGTATAAAGATCATATTGCGGTTGTACGCCTCCTCTCCATCCGCATAACGTCGGGTACACCGCTCTCTCGCTGTCATCAACGTCGAGCCCCTCACATCTTCCGCCCTCACAACGACAGCACAATGAGATTCTTCGCCAACACCTTCCCTGCCACCGCCCTCGTCGCGGCTCTCGCCCTGGGCGTAGCCGCACAGACCGCCAACGAGGTCGTCAAATCCGTGGGCCTCATCACGCAGACCACGAACAACTACAACACCCAGTTCAAGCGCGTGTCCGCGAGCAACATGGGCCACGAGAGTGATGTGCGCACGTCTTTTTCCGCCGTCCCCCCACGCACGCTAACGACGCACTCGCAGAGCGTCCCGGATGGCATAAACGCGCTCACCGACATCACCACCAACCAGATTATCGATGTCTTCCTTCAGGTGTGTCGCCTTACAGGCCCCAATGTGCACGCTACTGCAGACCTGACCGCCAGCTTCATCTTTCAGGATGATACCCCCACGGCGCTGAACAGTCGCGACGCCGCTGACGTCGTGTACTTGTACCAGGAGTCCGTGAAGGCTGCCCAGTAAGTGCCACTTCCCCTCCGTGGTATGGGGGCGACCATGCCTTTGGTCGTCTCCTCCGTCGGGATCACAGCCCGGTGCCAACTCGCACGCACACCCTTTGTCTACTAGGGACCTCGTCGCCACACTCCTGGAGGACCATGTACGTAGCGCAATCGTCCACAGAAACCTCCCCGTACTGACGGGCCCTCCGCCCCCTCGTCAGGATCTCTTCGCCGAGTACGCCGTCGCCGGCCGCGTCACCCAGTCCGTGCGCGCCTACAGGGTTGCGACCATGGTGCGCTCCCTATTCTGGTGCTGCTCTGGTGCCCCCCAGGCAAGACTGCTGACTTGTCGTGATCGCAGCAATACATGGGGGCCATCAAGGGCGTCGCGGAGTCCCGCTCGGACGACATCATTGGGGCCTTCGTACGTGTCTCACGTGTCCCTTCGTGCTCGAGAGCGTACTGCTGATGCACGGGGCTACCGACAGGACGGGCTCGCGGAGTCGCTTGAAGAGTTTATTCAGCTGTACGAGCAGTCTTAAGGGATGTGCAGCTCGGCGGGGACAACGTTCGGTTTCGCTCTGTTGTAGGCTTCGAGCTGACTTGTCGAGCCTGTTGTCGTTCTTCCCGGGTCCCCGTTTGAAACAGCCCTCCGACGTTTTGGCACCTCTTTTCTGTTGTGGAGTGCTTGGCATGTAACTATAACTTGATGCGGTAGCTGCTGCTGCAAAACATGTCAATACTCCTTGTGGAGGGCAACGCCGCGGGTGAAGCCATTCTATCGATGTGGTTGAAGGCCGCACACAAGGAATAGGCGCATACATAACCTTCCCAAGAACCTGTATGCATGCGACGTAGAGATGAATCATGTATGCGGGGCCAATGGCAATACGGCACTGGGGGCCACGTTGGGGATGTGGGATATTGACTCAAGCACATGTTGCACACGTACGTCACTCCCCACCAAGCAGGATATACAGATTGTGATCATGAACGACGTGTTTAGGGGTCCGGTATAAACGTACACAGGTCATAATTCTTCGTAATAAATGTTCATTTCGGTCGTCATCGCCCGTTCTCGCCGGAGCTTAATGCCGCGAGCGCATACTCATCGTCCTCATCGTCGGGACTACATCACAGACAGAAGTCAGCACAACGTTCCACCAGCTGATAAACGCACAAAAGCGAACACTCACACATCATGAGTCCCTTGATGTCCTTCACGCGGCCCTGCTCGACGCTCTTGCGCAGCAGCAGCACGCGCACGCTCGCCCACACGAGCAGGAGCACGCCAAACGCGACGGGGATGAGCCAGTAGAGCGGCGAGAGGTGCACGGAGCCGCCGAAGACGACGTGCAGCGGCGGCGTGTAGATGACGAACATGCCGAGGCACGCGCCCGCGACGATGCCCGCGAAGTTGTAGTAGTTGCCGACGATGGAGCGGCCGAAGGGGAAGCGGAACTTCGCTTTGACGGCGAACACCTGCGTGACGAGAGGATGTTGAGTTTCGTGCATACGGCGCAGCTACTTCTGCAGGGGATCGGACTTACGTTGAAGCACTGGATGATGAAGATGGAGAGGTAGACTGACGATGCATGCAGGTGTTAGTGGACGCCATTAGCTGCTTCCGATACGCAAGAACCCACCTATCGACTGAGCTTGCGCAAGAGCATCGACCTGCTCAGATGCGGAGAGGACGCGACCTCGACTGTTAACAAAGTCCGGGGAAGATTTGGTGAAGTAGGCTGGCGGCATGTCAGTACGATGCTCCGTGCGAGAAGCTATAGAGGGGGCTTACAGATAGATGGAGAAGCGCTGAGGGCGGTTTGTGCGCGCCGGAGGTCTCCTGGGGTGAAGCCGTTCTTGAAGAACACCACAAAGTACGCCGTCAAACTGTTGGGCCCCAAGCTATAGTGAGTATCCTTCGTACGACAGTATGGGGTTGTTGGTCACTTACGCGCCAACCATCTCAATGACGCCCGCCTCCAGATATGCGTAGCTAAGCAGCTTAGCGTCGACTAGAGTCTCATCATCGGACCTCTCCAGAGCATCCTCCCAGAAGTGACGCGCGAACGGCGCTTTCACCCGCATCATAAACCGCGAGAAGCGGCTCGGGCGTACGATCTCGTTGGTCTCGGGGTCGCGGCGGAGAGTCTTCGTGCGGCGTAGGGCACGCTTCTTCAAAGCGGTGATAGAATGGTCGTTGACTGAATATTACGGTGAGTGAATGTTTTCGTAGTGTAAGTCAACGCAAGGACGGACCTGGTCTCCGGGGAGCCATGCGCATAAGTCCATCCTCGGTTTCTGGTTTATCCCACGCAAAGGACAGCTATGCGAACAGTTTCAGCTTTGTCCTCCAGAGCTTATCCAACGGTACTCACCGCGACGAACAGCTCGAAGCCGAGATCTATTGCGCCATCAGCTAGTGCACAGGATATTCCGGGATGAGTGGTACTCACCGATGACGAGAATTAGGATAGCAGACAAGGGGAGAGGGATTGGGACGACGACATCTACCGAACGAAGGTAACTTAGCGCCTGCTAGCAATCTCTGACTGTATTGCGTACATAGAAGCTGCGGGATGACCTCAGGAGTACTATGCGAGATGGTATATCTGAACACGGGCCATGTTATTCAATGAACTAACTTTCATGCTGAGGAACTCACTGGATAGAGCGCTTCAAGTTGACGAAGATTTGACGGCCTTCGGCAACACCCTCTGCAAAGGATACCGTGAGTACAGTCCAGAATAATTGACATTGAAGTACTTACTGACTGTCGAGGCGAAGTTGTCGTCTGCATATACATAGCAGTCAGCCACAAGCGTAAGTGCGAGGGTCTGCGATGACGGACCTAGTAGAATCATGTTCGCGGCTTCTTTAGACACGTCGGAACCAGAGATGTTCATGGCAATTCCCAAGTCAGCCTGTAGCAATGTGAGTCGCGTGATAGAAGGCAGATCGTCCTTGTATCCACCTTCTTAAGCGCAGGTGAGTCGTTGACACCGTCCCCAGTGCTACGCCGTTTTGGTCAGCCGGAATACTCGTCTCAGGTCTGAAGTACTTACACGCCGACGATATGTCCGAGAGCTTGAGCCCGCTTGACTGCAACACTTCACCGTCAACATCGCACAGTGAAGCGAAGGAAAGTACTGACCAATCTCCAGCTTGTGCTGTGGCGATGTACGTGCGAATACAATCTCATTCTTGGCGAAGACTAGACGGAGAGAGGATAAGAATGTGCCCCCGCATTCATCACTGACATACGCACTTTGATCCCACTGCCATCCCTGCAGACCATCGATGTCGTCTCCATGAATTACGACAGCATCGACTTCGTCCTCGTAGATCTCGTCTACCGGCCGGCCCGTCTTCTTGCTCAACGTCTCTTTCGTCTCCCCGAGGATCAGGTTGATCTTGCGCGCAATTGCCTCCGCCGTTTTCGGGTGGTCGCCCGTAACCATCATGACCTTGATGCCCGCGAGGCGCAGCGTGCCAATTGCCTCGCGCACACCGTGCTTCGGCGGATCCTCGAGCGAGACGAGGCCGCAGAAGCAGTACTCGGAGGTCGGATACCGCGTGTCCGTCTTGGAGAACTCGTAGTCTGGGTCGTACACGTCGCTGGGCAGCAGCTTCTGGGCGCATGCGATGACACGGTGACCACGCGACGCCATGTACTACAAATAAAATGAGCGATGCACGATATAGTTGGGGGACACACTGACGTCGTATGCTTCATCGTACTCCGCCTTGAACGCGTCCGTAATTGGGACCTCCTCGCCATCCTTGAGGTAGGTTGAGCACTTCGCGAGCACACGCTCTGGAGCGCCCTTAATGTATGCAGTCAAGAGTCCCTCTTTGTGCGTCTTCTCAAGCTGTAAGAACTCATCAGCATCCACGACCACATGGATTGAATCGACGAGCACTTACAATAACCAGCGCCCACTTGTTGGAGGAGTTGAATGGAATCTCAAATACTCGCGGATGCTGCTTCTGGTACCCGTTGTAGTCCGCAATATGCTTGCCGGCAAAGCGGATGAGACCCGTCTCGGTCGCGTCTCCGAGAATCTTGCGCTGGTCGAATGGCAAGTCTGTCCGGTCGAACTTGACATGAGAGTTCAGAGCAGCGATGTCGACCATCTCCCGCATTCCCGGGCTGCTGATGGAAAACGCCTCGGTGTCCTCGGTGTCATTGTTCGACTAGATAATCGAGTGTAAGCCTAAAAATTGCGTGTCGCGAGTGATGTTCTAAGCTTACCTGGAATGCCGAGAACATCTTCAGTCCACTCCAGATGTTCGTGACCTATACGCACGAGTGAGCCGGCTTCGGGAATACAATATGGATGCAACCTGCCGTCATTTGATTCCTGGTCAACGTGCCGGTCTTGTCGGTGGCAAGCAGCGTCAGCTAAGCACAAGCTGTGAGTACGGAGGACGTCGCTACAGAATAAAGGTCATACTGAGCCTATGAGATATGTGTCAATAGAATGCGGACTGCATTATGATTGCGGTACATACCCAGAGTCTCAACACCTTGGAGATCCTTGACGAGCACGTTTTGAGCGGCCATGCGTTTTGCCGCAATAGAGAGCCTTTCGTACCGCATCAGCCGACTGCCGTACTCAAACGCAATGAGAGCTCACAGCAAGGTGACGACGGAAGGCAATCCCTCAGGCACAAACGCGACGAGGATAGAGACAGCGAACGTGACGGTCTGCTCGCCCTTGCCCTTGTAGGCGGTGGTGATACCGACCACGAAGAAGACGATGGCGAAGACAATCGCGATGGCAGAAACCAACATCACAAACCGTGCGCTATTTGAGATACGGCATGTTAGTTTGAAGGAGTATTTCACGTACGCGATACGTACATCTCCGCCGCAAGAGGACTCTGCTTTCCCGTCTCGTTACCGGTGAGCGCCGCAATTTGGCCGATCAGTGTGTGGTCGCCAGTGCGTACAACCACTACATCGTTCAGGTTAGTGAGCGGGCAACGATGTAGGCCGTAAGCGACACTTGCCTCCCCACCCCTCTCCATTGACAACAAGGGTCGAGTTGAAGAGCTGAGCAACAGTCAACATGTGTAATATACAACCTTCGTCAATCACTCACCAGATTCTCAGCTTCTACAGGTCTCGTTTGCACGCCGTCCGGTTTCGCGAAACGCTCTTGAGGCTCAGACTCTCCGGTAAGACTACTGTTGTCAATCTTCAAGTCGGATGCAGAGAATACAATGAGATCCGCAGGTGTCTTGTCTCCGGAGCGCTGCATAGGACGCGGTGAGCACACAGGTCCAGGGCTTCAATGATCATGAGTGATACTCACGACGAGCACGACGTCTCCCTTCACAAGGTCCGCAGCCGGGACAGTGGTGAGCGCCCCGTCGCGCACGACGCGGCACGAGGGCGGGATCATGGCCAGGAACGACGCGAGGATCGCCTCCGATTTCTGCAGCTGGTAGAACTCGATCAGCGCGTTTAGGAAGGCCACGCCGATCAGGATTCCGCCGAGGTACGTATTGGGGAAGTTGTCCTGGTCGCGTGCGTGTCAGACAGGGTCCACCTTCTGGAGATTACGCGACGTAACTTACTTTGAAGTCCACGCCCAGAAGGATGTACTCCAAGATTCCGGCGATAATGAGGAGGATGTTGAACATCGTCGCGAGACAGTCCCAATACTACGAGGAGAGCGTGAGCGAGTGGGTTTTATTTGGACGGCTACCATTCCGTACCTTGCGCAGCGCAGACTTCTTTTTGGGTGGCGTTAGAATGTTCGGTCCGTCGCGAGCCAGTCTGGCCTTCGCTTCGTCCGCAGACAAGCCCGGTGACTGCGTGGGGTCCTTGGGGTCGAACGCGGTGTCTAACTCGGCCTCGAGTGCCGTGAGGGTGAGCTTGTGCTCGTGGAGGTCGACCGCGTCGAGGCCCGCGTTGCCGCCCTTTTCACCAGCCTTCTGCTCAGCGAGGTCTTGGTAGCCAGCTTCGGCGAGCTCCTTCTCCTCCTTGGTCATCTCGCGCTTCATCTCGACGCCGCGCGGGCGCATGCCGTGCGGGGCCTTTTCTTGGCCATCGTCGTGGACGTACCGGTCGGGGAAGGCGACCGCGCGCGTAGCAGCGGCAGACTCCTCGTCGTGGGCCGAGTGAACGGGCTTCTCGGTGATGCCGTGGGCGTCGTCCATGGCGAAATGAGCCAGCGGCGCACGGGCGGGGTGGGGGCAAGAAAGAGAGAGGACTCTGCAGGAACGTCGCGGGAGACGAGCGGATTTATGGCGCGGGGGATGTGGGGTCCGTCTCTCGTAACTCGCCACTCGGAACTGGAGGTGCCACCCGTCGATGCTCGCGACCCGGCATCTGGGCGGATGAAATGTGTCTTATCGCGCGATTGAGGGCGCAGAAGCGGCACATGGGTCGCATGATTGGCCGCAGGACGACGTGGGGAACGGGTCCGAGCGCAGGAGCGAACGGCCAAAAACCCGCACAGGCAGAGGGCCTTGCTGCCCGCCCTTGACGGCTCCCGCACGTGACCCACCGCCAGCGGTAATCTGCATCGTCCGCGTCCAGAAGATCGCGAGGGACACTCTCGCTGCGATGTCCGTGCTTCTGCCCCGGCCTTGAGGCTGCTATCGGGCGCTGCGACGGTATTTCTGGCACCCGCGACCGCGACGATGAACTCTCCGGCGTGCGCGGTCGATCAGACGTGGCACCCCGATCTCGGGGAACGGTTCGTTTCCTCCATCGTCGGTAGCGGCCTTGCCAGCGTAGACTATGCCAAGCGCGACAGCGGGAGAGTCGAACAAGGGAAGTTCGGAGGAGGGCAAGGAGGGCGCCAACATGTGCGAATCCCGTCTTCCGTCTGGCAGACGGACAGCAGCTCGCCGGGTCTTCTCCTTCAATCTCCACCCCAAGCGCCTCTGATTCACAAGGCTAGCCCCCAGAAGTTGCTAGTGACTGCGCAGCATATTTCGGCCCCAGGAGTGCAAGTAGGTCCATAAATAGCGGCATTTGATTTGTCCAGGAGAGCACAAGATCGTCCAGCACCCAAAGAGGCTCACAGTTTGGTTTTTCATGGCAAGTGGCTATCGCGCACTTCTATGATGCCGCACGTTTGTTGCCCGCTGAAGATGCCAGGCGGTGCAAATGCACCCGGAGGCGCAATTACAATGGATGGCGCATATAGGCGCTTCCTCGAGCTTCCTAGGATCGTCGAGCTCCTGAAGAGCCTCAGAGTAAGCGTTTCATCTCGGCTATTTACAACGGAGATGCAGCTTGTACCTGTAAGTTATATTGGGTCTTCGTCCGGTAGAACTCGACCCTCGAGGGAGATCGCGTTCCAATTCGGTCTTGAAGTTGTAGGACGCGGTTCGGAGAACCGGGCCACGTGGGTCCCTGCGATCTCACCGGACTAGACGAAGGCGCATACTTCCGCCAGATAAGACACAAGGATGCTGGCGGAAAACGGTCATGGTGGTGGCAGGAAGACAGAACGAATTCTTGGACGAACGAGGGCGGAACGATGAGTTCACCGCACATCCTCTCGGCATCGTTCGGCACGCCTGCCAAACCTCCGCCAAGCCAAAACAGAAGCCCAAATACTTTGCAACAAAGAAGCACTTGAGGAAGGCGCTCGCAGTCGGCAGGGAGGTGGCTTCGTTCTCGGGTCTGTGTTGTCATTACGTGGTATGCCATGACTCTAGAAAAAAGTATACACTATGGGGGTCATACAGCTACATGTCTATGTGTCGCGCGCGCATCTATGATATCAAGGAACTGGGTATGTCCGAACCTCTCATGCGACAGGCGCGATGTCCTGCTGGAGGACGTACCGGTAGCGCACCTTGCCGGCCTGCACGCCCTCGAGCGCCTTGCCCGCGTCCTTCATCGGCAGCTCCTGGATCCAGGGCTTCACGCCCTTCTCCGCCGCGAGCGCGAGCATCTCCAGCATGTCCTCCTTCGAGCCGATGTGCGAGCCACCGAGGAGCGAGCCGTTCATCATGACGTCGAAGGGGTGGATAGCGGGGAGCGGCTGGTCGACGTCGGGCAGGCCCACGGAGATGAACTTGCCGTGCACGTACAGCATGCCGAGGAACTCGCGGATCGACACGCCCGCGGGGAACTTGTCGACGGTCGAGATGAGGATGTCGAACGTCATGCCGAGGTCCTTCCAGTAGCCCTGTATACCAAACGCAGGTCAGCAACGCGATCTTGAGCTCGCAAGGACTGCATGTGCTTACATCAACCGTCGTGTCAATGCAGTGATCCGCACCCATCGCCTTCGCGTCCTCCGCCTTCGCTGTGCCGCGCGTGAACGCGTACACCTCCGCGCCCATCGCTTTCGCGAAGAGGATGGCGTAGTGGCCAAGACCACCAATACCGATGACGCCGACCTTCTTTCCCGGTCCCGCGCCATACTCCTTGAGAGGCGAGTACACGGTGACACCGGCGCAAAGCATCGACGCGGCGTGACGTGACTCTACCGCGTCGGGGATGGGAAAGACGAAACGCTCGTGCGCGCGGATGCCGGTCGCGTAGCCACCCTGGGTGATCACACCGTCGGCGTATTCGTGGTTCTATAACCCAGGAGCAAGCTGTAAGTACATGCATTAGTCGCGGTGGCGGAGAGGTACTCACGTATGTGTGGATCATCTTCGGGCAGTAGTTCTCGTAGTTGTCGTTGCACGCGCGGCAGTCGAGACAGCTCCCGACCTGCGCGCCGACACCAGCGCGGTCGCCGGCTTTGAGGCTCTTCACGTTCGCACCGACGCGCGTGACTTTTCCGACGATCTCGTGGCCGACGACAAGTGGGAGATGCGACTGTCCCCACCCGCCGGTAAGCGTGTGAAGGTCAGATCCGCAGACACCACAGTGGGTAATTGCGATCTCGACGTCGTCAGGGCCGAAAGTTTTGGGCCGGAAGGAGGTGACGGAGAGGGTCGACCACGCAGACGGGTCTATCGCGCAGTATGTCAGAACGGAAGTTCATGCAGTTGCACCAAGCATGCTTACCGGTCATCGCGTAACCCTTGAACTCGAGCTCGTTCTGTGCGGACATTTTTGCAGGCGGTGTCGTGAGAGGGTGTGATAGGAAGTGAAAACGGCGAATGGGAGGGAGGTGATATGAGCTGTCTCTGGGTGCGCCAGGGCTCTATATACCCCCGCCACAAGATAGCAGGTGCAAAACGCGTCGCATTTTCGAGGCGGCTGAGTAAATGCCGCGCCGCTCGATGGGTGGCCGGTTACCGACGTCAAGGACGCGCGCGTGTTGCATAAACGTATGCCGATCGGATGCTGCGATGAGGGAGTAGGTGCCGTGGTGCAGGCACCTCAGCGCACCGAGGCTTGGTAGATCGATGATGCGTCGAGGGAGCGGACATTCTAGCAAACTCCAGTAGTAAGCATTGGCTACACGTTGTACCTGCGAAGTTGCGGGCGGCCATCTCGCTCGACCGACGTGGCTTTACGACTATCCGCGGCGGGCACTTCATGCGAGGAAACTAGAGGGCCGCCGCGCGGATGTATTTTGCCTTCGCCGAGAAAGAAAAATATACGGTGCGTGGAGGCGGAGGAGGAGTGCGTCCGGCGGTCGTGACGTAACGGAGCGGTCCATTTGGGGGCGATCGGCCGCCACGTGTGGAAAGATCGCCGCCATGCCCGCCGGTCGGGACCCAAAAGGGCCCGGCGATTTCATCCAAAACCCCGATATGGTAAGAGCGCGTCCCCGGCCGCCGCCAACTGCGTGGACGGCATTGCAGATTGCCGTACCGGTGAGGGGCATGGGAGTGCTGAGTGTTGTTTCTGTATCGATGTTAACGCAACCTTTACGAGCGTCGACTTCTGAGCGTACAAATTTTGTTGAACTTCTTCTCCGACCGGCTTGCTATTATTGCTTGTGCACTTGGTCAGCCTCATGAACTTCAGCAGAGGTCAGCGACATACTAAGCAGGTTCGGGTTGGGCTCGGGCTGCGTGTGCGTTAGCTTGTTGGGTGCTGCGGGTGCACTGCAGGGGACGACGGCTCGCCGTTGCGGGTCTGCCAGGGCTGGCGGTTCGCGTTGGAAGACATGCATGCATGGAAGTGACGGCCTGGTGGGATGGGGTGGGGCCCGGGGAATCTTTCTAAGGGCGCGACTAGCCATAGGTGAGTTCGCCTTCCTCAAGTTCGCTGTGCCCTTATAGCTCCCTGACGAGCTTCTGGCCTTCTAGTTAGCTTCATGTCATGTCGCGGTCCTTCACACCGGCATTATTCGGTGCTGATCGCCCACACACTCAGTGACACTGGGCGATGAGGTGTCGATCGGCGATGCCCATCTGGGAGGTGTCTCGGGGACAGCGCAGTTTTGGCTGCACACAGGTAACTCGTCTGGATCATTACGTGGATACGAGTGGATTGTGCATCCATTCCATGCGACTTAGGTCTTATACATCTGGTACAAGCCTCATGAACGCGAGAGAGCTTCAGGTGCAGGCAGGGTACAATGATCGCGGGCGCCAACAAGTCGGTGAAGAAATGATCGCAAAAGAAGCTTTGGTGCTCGATCTGCCCGGCTTCTGTGTGAAGACACATTGCCACACATCGGTGACATACGCCACTCTTGGAGTGCTTTTAGCATAGCGATCTGCAGTGCATGATACTTATCTTACGCTTCATACCGATTATTCAACTAGCTCTTCGATCGGTGACAGATTCTGCCATTCAACGATAGAACTCCGAGTCAATCTCAAGGCAAGGTGCCGAAATCATACACAACGACCGCTGAGGAAAGAAACGGTATCCTGATACTAGTAACTGATATACAAATAAACGAGTGAGTCACTTTACGTACTGAGTTTCGGGAGTGTCGACCTTCGATGGTGTAAATAGAGGGAACGGCGACGCGCCGTACGATCACTTGCGGAAAATAGCTCCGATGGTGGTCGAGCTGAAGCTGGAGGACATATTGTTGTCAGCACGATGCGTCCTAAAATCCGCCCCCCGAGGTCGAACGTACCCCAAGAAATCGGGTCCAGGGTCGGAGAACGCGCTGGAAATTCCGTTCGTCAGCTTGGCGACTGTGTGAAGTATGTCAGAGAACTTACATGTAGCCACGAGTGTCCTCAACGGCGAGCTTCTCCTTCAGAAAGGCGGCGAATACCTTGGAGAGCTCCTGGTTGTTCTCGGGGTTGATGTTCCCCAAGCTCGTCTAAAGAATCAGCGTAATCACTACCGCACCGGTGAAAACGATGATAAGATAAAAACTCACGATCGAGAGGATGAAAGCGGGGTCAAACGTCCCGGCGAATGTGAGGTACTCTTGGTGTACGTATGACACCGAGACGTATCCCTCGGGCTTTTCCAGGGTCTTGGCCGCAAACTGTAGATCGGGACGATACAAATCTTTAGATCACCATGTCACCGCCGGCGGACGGCGTGCGCTCTCACCTTGGAAAATTCGAGGCTGAAAGCCTTCGGGTCGGCAACCGCGACGTTCGTCTTGAGTTCGAGAGCAGGCATGTTGAGTGTGGATGTAGGATTCGACGTCGGGGAGCTTTTGTGGGGGTCCGGGCTCCGAGAGTCACCGAGCGATGGGTGGACCGGGTTGCTGACTCTTCGTCTGTGGGCTGCGCTGTACGCCGAAAGGTTCAACCGTTCGCAATATAAAGACACCCTTTGGCGTTGATTGTGGGCTTGGAAGGCGCATGGCGCGTCCGTGTGAGAAGTTTAGCCCCGCAATGGCACTGTGCACCGGCCTTCGCGCTGTGTGTTACCCGGACCATAGCCTGCGCGGGCGAAGAGTGGCAGTGGTTGCTCCGAGTCGTATAGAAACAGAGGCAACGAGCGGGAATCAACAGAATTGTACGACGCTCACGGTCAAGACTAGCATGAAACATTTGTTCGGTGGGTACGCGGCTTTGCGACTATTGCGGGTCAGAACTTTGAGCCGACCTTGAGTCGAGGAGATAGAGGTGGCCGGCGGCCCGAACACTCGGCGCGTCGCGCGTATAAACGCGGCCGGCGGCGCTTCGCGGGAGTTCGTGACCGCGATCTGCCGCTGCCGCCGACGCTCCGGGTTACGACTGCAAACGCCTTCGAAATCGCAGCTCCGCGGCTCCCACTAGCATAATGAAGGAGTCGTGCTAGCCAAAAAATCTGACCCCCTTCGTGGCGCTATATAGCCTCACCTCTTTTTTCTCGGGCTACGACTCGTCCTTGTGCATGCGGGTGGCCGCCGCGGGGTGCGCACAACGATGGCTTCAACGGCAGTATCTAGTACACACGAATTGAATGTTGCGTACCCTCCTACAGTTGTTCGGTCGAAGACGAATATTTCAGATTACAGTGCAGCCTGGGCTGCTCTAGGCAGCGTTATATTACAGTCAAGTATCTGATCCACCGATCGCTGACAGAGTAGACACGCCGACCGAGCGGCGTGGTCACATCGACTTGCGCGGCGAGCCACTACGGTTGGATTTTTGGCTTCCAGAACACGCCTGCAAGGAGTTAGACAAAGCGTTCAGACGGTGTAAAGATATGACGGAGCGTGTAGGGGTTTTCTCGACGTCTATTTCATCAACGGATGGAGAACGTCATGTCACCACCACAGGGTGAACTGGAGCTGACAAGACATCCCGAACGCCACCATCGGTTGTGAATTCGTGCTAACCGTAGAGAGGTGGAGCCAATGGAAGCTGGACCTCCGCGTGCTACCAGAACGTAGATTGAGAGTCTGCGTGCGTGCCGCAATATATACTGATGAGCCTTCATACATCATGAGGTGGCATGTCCGGTCGTGAGGTCTGTAGCGAGGACATGAGCAATAATGGGCGAGGATAGAAAGCCGCGCTCACCATCGTGAGGAGGCACAATGACAGACGGGGATGTAAGGCTCGGAAAAGAGGGCGATACGGGTAGCGCGGGACAGGGTTCCAGCACAATGGGCAGCGGAGTGGGTGGTACATACAGTGTGCACGGTACACGGTACACGATGCACGATACACGATACACGATACACGGTGAAACAGAGGCGGTAAGTGTACAACAGGAGGAAGATTAGGCAGGCGATAGGGCATGAAGTCATAAGGAAGCGTTTCGGGAGACAAAACACTAGCGAACGGCGGACGAGACCGATCGTATCATGAAGGGAAGCGGAAGGTTCACCGTACACCGATCCGGCGCGCAAGCCTCCTCAGAGGCTCTCCTTGAATTTCGTACCATTCTCGAATTTCTGCATGGAGCGGACACGGCCGCCGTCGATGTCCTCGCCGCGCCACGAAGTCCCTGCAGGCACCGAGAAATGCCTTTCATCTTGGTCCGCGGACGGGCCCCGCGCACGCTCAGGGGTGGGGATGACCGTGGTCTGCGGAACTTGAGACACCCGGGACGATACAGGGGCCATGTGAATGCTAGAAGATCCCTCATCATCGTGCTCAGACTGCAGCAGCGACGTCCCAGGCGATATCGAGGAGGGTGCCTTGTAATAGGCCGCGTCCGGCGCGCTAAGCTCGACCTCGACGGAGTCCGCGCTCATGCTGCGTGCGACGTCCTGTGCGGACGGGCGGCTCGCGAACGACGCGGGGTACTGGTCGTGTGCCCGATCGCGTTCCCTGAGCGAGTGGAAGGGGTTCGGGATGCGGTCGTCGGACGCGTCCCATTCGTCCTGGTCCTCCCCCTCGGACGCTTTCACCCAGCCCTCCCGCCTGCCGAATAATCGGGCCAGGCGCTCGCGGATGCCGGGCGGCCCTATAGGAGCCTCCGCGGAGAAGTCCCGATCGCGCGCGCGGGCTCTTCGTGCGCGGCGCTCGTGCGAGGTCGGGTCATGGTTTCGGAGGAGGATGAAGATGCCGATGCAGGAGGAGAGGAAGATTACAACGAGGAAGATGACCACGGCAATAAACCCGCCGAACGAGCCGCCGATTTCTGGTCGACTTTCTTCCACGTCCGCGCTCTTTAAGTGGACGTATGAGCATCAAACTGCGTAATGTGTATATTTTCACACATACCAGTGGGAGTGGTGTGCCTATGGGGGCGTACTGGTCTGCTTGTCGAGCCAGGGGCATTACGTCAATGGTGCGCGTTAGGCGCTCGTTGATTGGTATCGAGTGGGGGTAAAGTGTGTCCCTGATAGCTCCCAGGGCAGCTGAGATGGGTTTTGTCGTCGAGAGAGAGGAGACAGCGGTGGGCGACGTGGAGGTTAGGTATGGCTGCGTCCGACGTCGTGCATGGAGAGGACAGGAAGAGAGCAGCCGTGCGGACGCGGGCTCGCGCGGGCCCCACCTAGCCGCCGCCTGCATTCCTCGAGTTTCCCATGCTATTTGCATTTCCGCCGATAACCCCCCGAACGGGTGCGAAACGTCCGATAACGTTTACGTCAAGCCCACGGCGCTCTCGACCAACAGGGCAACTTTCTCCTCCAGCCCTGGACACGCTGCGCTTCCACCCCACCACACACTGACACGTTGCACGCTCGTCACTTGTTGGTCCATGATGGTGCACGATCCTCGGAAAGGCTCTGCTAGCAGTGCCTCGGCGTCGTGCGCGTTCGCTAGCAGCCAGGTGAGTTCAGTCGGGACGTGGCAGGCGGTGTGTTCACTCTAAGTAACGGAGGCTGCCATTTCAGAGACCCAGGGTATAGTGGACACGCGCGCCCGCGAGGGGCGCCACGGTCAAGCCTAATGTACAGCACGGAGAAGGGGGGAGGAGGCCCAGAGGCCGTAATTGTATAGATACACAGAAGGGGTGGGAGGTGAGTCCAGAGGGGCCCAAGCCACTATGCTACAGGGTGTTTCGAACCGGAATCGTCCGTCGTCAACATGTCGTCAAAACATAACGCATATCGCGCCGCATACGAAGTCGTGAAGATCATAGAGCAAAGCAGTGGTGCCGACCGCGCGGTCGGCGCATACGGCCAACGCGTCGCGCCTACTCCTGCGCGCTGGCCTCGGGGAACAGCGCGGCGTAGTCGACGTCGAACGACGGCATACCGTAGTTCGTCGCCTCTGCGCCACTGTTGCCGATGCCGAACTGGCGGAGGCCGAGGGAGTAGCACTCGAGGTCGAGGTCGGCGGAGAGGTCGTACGGGTCCAGGTTGGGGACAGGTATGTTCTGCTGCGGCTGCGGCTCCGGCATTGGGAACTCCACGCTGAGGTCGTCCAAGGCAGGGCCGGCGCTGTGGATATTTTGAGGGAAGCCATGGAACCGGGGCGTATAGTCCAGGTCGGCCTCGGGCATGGCGAGCGTCTCGTGCATGTTCTGCGGGTTCCTCATCCAGTTGTCGTTGTCTACGATGAGCTGGAGGTTGTGCGGCTGCGGCTGCGGCATCTGCACCACCTGGGAAGACGACGAGGAAGACGAAGGATCGGCCCGCGGGACCATGCGCGCCGTCACTAGGTCGTCCCTCGCCCAGCCGGAGAGCGACGAGGTAACAACCGTGAGGGGGGAAGGAAGGGTGGAGATGGTGGCAGCACGTCGGCGCCGCTCGAAGAGTGGGCTGGCGGGCGGGGGTGGGTATGCGAAATTGGTCGAAGAAAGCAAGGTCGAAGGATCAATGGAGGACGACGCCTGCAGCTCTGGCATGCCTTGGCCTGGACTCGGGGTCTGAGGCTCCGGCATGAAGTGGCCATCGGGACCTTGAAGCTGGTCAAGCGGTCAGCTGAGTGCTATAACGTATACCCGCGAACGGCTTACCGAACTCTCGAAGTTGCCAGGCGAGGGCTGTTCCGACGGTACCCCGAGGTACACTCCATGATACCGCTGCTCGCTCGGAGCGGATTCGAACGAGAAGATGCTCGTGTCGTCGGACTCCGAGTACTCGTCCCCCAAGTTGACGTAGTCCCACGGCGAGTACGGCGGCATATCGCTGTGCGAGAAGGACCGCTTCGGCGCGATAGGGCGGTGGTCAGCCGCCAAGGATGGCATCGATAGCATCGCTGTCTGCGACAAGTACGTGCGATTGGGAGGAGGTGGGAAGATCGGCGTGTAATCAAGGCGCGCAGGAAGCGAATCAGAACGCGACTGCAGACCCGTCGGCACACTCGAGGTGAGTGGGTTCGACTCTTCGCTCAACGGCGTCCCGGGCAGCTCCGGCGACGACGACGAGCCGGCGCTCCCGGGTGTCGGGCAGTTGAAGGGGGCCGGCGAGGGGGCATGCGAGGGGGCACGCGAGGGGCGGTCGCGCTTCTTCAGGGCGCGTCGGCGCGAGGTCTTGCGCACGAACTCCTCGACCTGCTCGCGACGCGAGAGCAAGGCGGGGTGCTTGCGCGGCTCGCTCCGACGCTTCCTTGGGCGGAAGACGTAGTTCGGGTATGCGGAAGCGTGGCTGAGGGCCTCGTCCTTGGCCCTCACAAACCACGGTTCCTTCTCGTCCATGGAGAGGGACCTCCACGCGTCTCCGGCGCGCTTGGAGAGCGTCTTCTCCTTGTTGTCGGAGGGATCGTTCTCGGCCTTGTGCTCGGTGACGTAGTCCCTACGGAAGAGGATGAACGCGTTAGGAGGACGCGGGGCCCAGGACGGGTCTTGCTGGCGCTTTGCCTTATTTCGGCGCGCCGAGGTGGGGTTGTCGTAAGGTTGATATGATGAGGAAGAGGTATCTGTCGTATCTGTCGCGTCGGAGATGCTGCGCGGACGCACAGCGGAGTCGAGCGAGAGGCTTCTAGGGATGGGGTTGCGGACCGCGCGAGGGGTGGTGCTCGCGAGGGGCAGTGAGGGGTGTGCGTACAGAGGGTGCGAGTAGGGTGATGAGGTCGTGGAAATGGTCGTATAAAATGGCTCGTGGCTGTCGTTAGAGGGTGCCCATCCGCAGACGGTCCCTGCTCTAGTGGGGGGCGCGAACATGGCGAGGGGCGGGGAGAAGGAGATCAGGAGCGTCGCGGGAGCTGTTGCACGCGCGAACGGCCATGATATTTAATACGCGGAGCATCCCCTGTGTCGGGAGGTCGCTCGCAGCCCCGGCTGAGTTTGGTGGTGCAGTCCGAATCCCAGCACCCCGCCGGCCAGACCGTTCCTTTGTTCGCTCCGCGCTCGCAGCGGGCGCCTCCCCGTCGGCGTTCAAATCAAGTCGAATCGTCGATCGAGGTCCAACAAAAGGAAGCTGATGCAATCTCCGATCTGCCCCTCGGCACGCGCAGACGCCCGGCAACGCCATGAGGCTATCGACCTCCGTTCCAACTCAGCTCCTCCCTCCGTCCCAATTCAGCCCTTCCGCCCCCCGCCCCTCCCCGCGCGCGGCACCGAGCCGCACAATGCGCTCGAAATTTGCGCGTCTGGGCCCGTGCGGGGCGCGGTGGCGAACAGGCCGCTCGGCAGAGGTCCATGGGGCACGCAGGGGGCCCGTGCGGAACGACGGATACCCCCTACTTACGCGGTGGCACATATCAGAAAGTGAGCGCTGGGTGGCATAAGCAATGCGAGACGTGCAGCGAATGCGCGTCCCTGGCCGGTTGATGTGTCGGACTTTGACCGTAAGTGACCTTTCTATAATGAAATCGAGGGATTCGCGGCCCGCGCATCATCAGCGGTGGACTAACTCGACGATCAAGACAGAAGGCGCACGATACTGGGAAGCGCGGCGAACGGCTCATCTTCTCCGTTACCGGTTTACCACTTTTGGGAGCAGCTCTACTGAACACCCCGAATCTTCCGGGCGGTTAACGGGCTTTGAACTCGCTCGCATCAGTAATAAAATCATTCCAGCCTCCTGCGCTCGGCTACCATGATGCAATAAACGTCATCACCGCGCCGTAATGATTCTAGCCTCCCGCGTGCCATGGGGATGTTGCCATTGACGGAACTTCACGTCTCACAGTGGAGCGCAGAAGTCGCGCAATGCAGGGGTAGGACTCCTCAGTTCTCGCATTGTTCGTCGTGTAGTCGCAAGGCTTTGGGGTCCCATAGGAAGCGGCATCGGACCAATAGCGACCGGGGAAGTCGCCAGAGCCCAGAACCATATAATCAGCTGCTACTCCCGGTTGCGGATAGGCTGATGCGCAGGACCCCTGCGGAGTTCCTCTCCGTCAGCCCAATCGTGCCACGCGACAACGTGTCGAACGGACGCACCCGGGATCCCAAGTTTCTAGAGTGGCACAGCACCCGCTGGGACAAGACGCCTCCACCCGCGCAGACCCGCGCCCGGCATTGAGAGCCTTTTTCGGCGACCATGGCCAGGATAGAGTTTGCGTGAGCTCCTATACATCGATCGGGGTCCCGTCCACGCGGCCAATACTCAGCGCACCCCGGCATCGCAGCGCGCAAGGGGCGTGTCTTCGCGGGAGAACGCTCCTTCGGAAGGTGGCATCCAGGGCTAGGAGAACAGGCTTTCTAAGGGACTGGCTAGCCCAAAGACTGCAAGGTCCCCCGTCCGCGTGGCATCTCACGCCGGGTCCGAGCCCGCGAGGTCAGGGGAGGACATTGTGAAACAGCCGCCATCTGAACGTACAGATGCCCCGGCGCAGTCCGTCCTATCCCAGCCCATCACCCGTCATATGTTCACGGGAAGGACCCGTGCGCATCCCGACGGCTACGCGAGGGTGGCACGCACATGCAAGGAGGACGAATTAGGTCGCAATAGCACCCAGATGCGCGGTACAGCTGCGTGGTATGCTGCCACCGAGATCCCACAGATTCGGGGGAGCGACCCCAAAAGCGAGTGCTGGAACTCTCAGGGAAGGGTCCAGGGTTGACGGTGGTTAGACAGCCGGTAGGCTCGGATCCGGGACCACCGAAGCGTGCGATTGAAAGACCGATATCCAGCAGGAGGCGAACAAGCGAGGATAGGAGTGCCGCCGCTGCGTTCTTCGATCAGCACGGCGCGGAACCGAGAGTTTAGTATAGGCTGGACATAGTGCTCACCTCTACGGATTCCTCAGGACGACGAGCTGGCGGCCAGGGATGCAGAGTCGAGGTACCTGGGGATTTCATTGCGCCAGGGCGAACAGATCAAACAGCGCGGCCCTGCCCCCGCAGCCTAGCGTGTTCCCGCGACCCCAGCGACTGCCGCGCGACGCCTCATAGGCCACCAGTCGCCCAATGAGCAGTGAAATATGCAATCATGAGGCGCACTCCTAGCCCTAGGGTGGTCGGGAGTCCAGACCATATGGGTACAATCGGGGGGCGCGGATCTTAGATTAAGGGCCTGATCGACGGCTTCCACAGCGATGCGAGTGGCACGGGACGAATATGCCATGGAAGGCGGGTTGTAGCCCGGACTGTGGGACGGCTGCAGCGCATAGGCGATTGCAGTGAGGATTCTTCACGTAATGTGGTGGGACAGTTACGTCTTCAAGAAGGAAGAAGGAATGGAGAGCGTATACAAGTGTCCACACTGCGTTGAATTGTAAGGGCTGAGCGGCGGTGATGGACAGCCATGGGAAACCAGGGAAGGACTCGCAGGCGTCTTCTGATCGCCTCGCCGATGGATGTTATTGTGACGGAGTGGGATTCAAGCGGAGCATTGAAGGAGGCGGAGTTGCTGAGCTGTTCAGCTGCACCAGTACGGTAAGGGCATGGGCAGACGCCGCCGACGGTCTTAGTTGCCTTGGCGAGCACCGAAGGATTCGTAGAATCATGAAGATTTGTTCGCTCCGCGACGCACTTGGTTCTCATCACCTGTCGTAGTGAGGAGGACTATCGATGATCCCTGAGTGGCAGAGCTCCATTAGAACCGCACACACACCATGCGTCAGGCCGGTGTGCGAGTGGGAGTAACCGCCGACGCTGACGACAATTGGTGTTTAGAGGGCGGTGGCACTGAGGGGCCATATGGCTCGGGTCGAAGGTCACCGGCCAACGTCTGTGGCAGATCTAATCTGCCCTCTCCGACCCCAACCGGAGAAACGCCTAGTTATAAGCATCAGTACACATGGAATAGCTGATGTAGAAACTAGACATGCCTCGGACATTTGCGCGAATCGATCGTATGCTCACTACCGGATTAACACCGGCAAACACGCCGTGCGCACCCCGCATTGCTTGAGAAGCGCAGGCGCAGGATATACGGTTCACATTGGTGGCGAATAGCGAATAGATTGGAATTGCTTTCAATACCAATAGAACGGGGACATAGAGAAAGCGGCCCTGAATCTATCAGCGTGGGACGCGAACACCATCAGCGGCTCCCTCCACATGAAGAACATCCCAGTTGCGACCGGGAGCACGCCGCCCAGGAAGGCTCCAATGGTGCGGGACCTCTTCGTGCCCGGGGGGCCACCCAGGTAGGGCCGCAGCCACGTATTCCAGATGATAGCCATCCCTTCTGACGCGTGCCAGGCGACGGCCGCGGTGAAGCCCAGGTAGCCGAGCCAGCTCCTCCAGGGCCAACTCTGGAGACCGAATTTGACGTATTCGAAGTCGAGCTCTGAGGGGCCGACAGCGTAGATGGGCGGGGCGGGGTCGGTTGGGGCGACACGGTGGGTGTAGAAGTGCAGAGCGACGATGACCGCGGTAGTGTAGCCGGTCACGCTGAGGATGCTGCTCAGCCGGCGGGCCGGCTTCGGGGCGAGGACACGCTTGAGGAATGCGGAGAGAGGATGAATGACAAGCGGCGCGAGCACGAGGTACTTCTCGCCGAACGGCGTCTGGTAGTATTCTCTGCCGAGCAACTGTTGCGCCAACGGTTCAATTCAAACCGTTCAACCACGCGCTGGGAGCTTGAGCACCACTCACCATGACTTGGGAGGCTAAGGACGTCCCCCCGAGGTTTGCCATGACTGGGGCGGTCAGATGAATGAGAGCAAACGTAGTGATGAACGGCGCCGACCCATGGGCGATCCGGGTCAACGCAGGCTGCGTCATGAGGGTGAGCCGTCGCAGGAAAGACCTCTCGCCGTTTGGTGGTGCATCCGTCATGGTGGGCGATAGACAACCTGCGTTACAGCACCTGCCCTCCTTTTCGGACAAACTGGAGCACTGCGGTCAATGCGAAGTCGCCAAGAGTCGCCAGTCGTGAGAGTCGGCCACAAGCCGTGAGACGCGCGTCGTAAATCGCCGTCGGCTATTGGGTGTTGCCGGTGGTTTGTTTGGTTCAGAGGCTCTTGCCAAACAACCGCTTCCTAATGCGGAACTCATTAATTTGTACCACCACCACCTTCTCCTAAGCGCCCGCACTATGAGCTCCTCCAGCTCCTCTTCCTCCTCTCCTGAGCCACCGAGTCTCCGAGATATCTCAAAGAAGTCGAACAAAAAGCAGAAGATCTCGAAGGAGGCCCAGGCAGCCTCAACGGCTGACCAGCATGGCAAGAACGAGGGCAAAAACCCTAACTGGGACTATCAGCAGCCAGACGGGTACAAGGCCATGAGCCTGAAGGTAGACAACAGCACTTTCGACTGGGACGCTATTAAGAACGACGACAATTTGGAGCTTTGGGTGGTGCGGGTACCAGAAGGGGTGCGTCGGAAACGCGTATTGCTTCGTGCTCAGTGATGCTAATGTGACGCGCCGTTTTCGTAGCTGAAGCCCAAATACCTCCAGGAAGCCAAGCTCGAGCTATCATCTTCATCAAAAACTGCGCGAGTAGGCTCTATCGACCGCAAGAGCACAACGTTCGACGTCTGGAATCTGGGAGAGGACGATGCGGACACAATTGGCGGCGAGGAGCTGCGCGGGATCTCCGCGCTCGTGCCGAGGAGCAAGCATGGAGGCAAGCTCTTCCAAGGTACGTATCTTTCTCCGCGGCGCTCCTTCTCGCGCTACAACCGCTATTTCCACCAGCACCCAAACCCATCGCCCGCCGCCTAGTCGTGTCGGCGCGCCCTACCCTCCCCACGCCCCAGTCGTCTCCCGAAGGCTCCCCCGTCTTGCACCAAAATCCTCCGCGACCTAGACACCCCACGGAGCTCCTCACGCATCGGTTCATGCCACTAGGCTCGCTCGCACCTATAGATGGCGAAACAGAAGCGGCTATGGACGTAGACGTACCTGCGCCCACACAATCAAAGTCGCGCAAGGAAAGCACGCAAACGGGTGGAGAGGATGGGGAGGCGCCGCGGAAGAAGCGGAAGAGCGGTATGGAGTCTCCGAAAAAGTCGAAGAAGACCAAGGCTGTTTCATAGCATTCTTGTCTTACCACATACGCCTTACTGGCGTCATCGGCTGCAATTCATCCATCGTATCACACCTGTACAACCCGAACCTCTGACATCCCGAGAGAAGGTAGTACAAGCAACGGAGGGAGGGTAAAGAGTCAACACCGGGCGATTATAGCGTGAAGTAATCCAAGGGGGCATAGCAATACAAATAAGACTGAAAAAGCAAGACAATATGCACACGCGCGCGCTGCGGGAGGCACCACACCGGGCTGCGACTCAGCCGACCTCCATGTCGTCGCTCGCTCGTGATTTGCCCTTTGTAGTCCGTGCGACGACCCCGTTCGTTTTCCCGTTGGGAGCAGCAGCCAACGACGGGTGAACCGTGAGCCGGGTCTGTGGTAGACGCGCCAGGTTCTCCCGAACCTCGTCCTCGATGCCCGCGTAGACGCTCTCCTGCGGGAAGCCCCATATTCGCCCCGGCTGGTCGCGCTCCTTCTCCTCGAAGACCCCGCCGATAGCGTCCACCCAGTTCCGTCGTGTGCGAACGAGCTCCTGCAGCTGGTCTGGGATATGGAGTTGATGGTGATCGTCAGGGCTGAGTCCAAGTGCGGCAGGGCAAGGGGGAAGTGCCGCAGTGCCGGTAAGGGATATGCCGTTCGCAGCACCATACATGGGGTCGCCCTTCTGCTTCTTCTTCTTGTTCACCTTCGGACCGTCCTTCTTCTGCAGCTTCGAGTAGAGCGTGGTGATGTTCTTGTCAAGCGCGTCCCGGCCGTCGACGTACTCCTGGTGAGCGAGGCGGTCCTCCGCGATAGCGGCGAGTCGCAATCGGCGTGCTTTGTTTGTCGCGAGCACCGTCCGAAGCTCGCGCTGCGCGTGTCGGAGCGCGGAGGCGATAGGGTCGTCGACTGCTTCCGAATAGTCGGGCTACAGCGAATAATGAGCCACTGAGACCACATCGCGAACCAGGCTACTCACAATGTCATCAAGCAGGCCATGAAATCGCATGACGTTCCGCATACGGTCCTCCAGGTCTGCGACGTTGAGCTTGTCGCGCGCAGCTGCCGCAGCCGCGCCGTTCGTCCCCGGTCGCCCCTCCATCGCCTCCTCCGCCGCCTTCACACCCTTCCACTCCGTCGCGTCGTGCATCGGGATTAATGCGCTCACGACTCGCTCCGTGAGCGGCCCGTGCCCCCGCTCCTCCGTCACCAAATCAATGTCTCCGAGCGTCGACGGCTCCCACTTCGGTAGGGCACCTGACGAACCCGCCTGATATGTCGGACGCACCGCAGCGGTACCCGGCAAAGGTCCGCCATACAACGCCATATCCTCTTCCTCCCAAAGTTGCGAATAATGTCGCCCGATCTTAGGGAGAATGAACGGCTCGAGCTCGTCGCCAGTATACTGTAGAAACCCGACGTCTTCTTCCTTGATAGGCCGTAACCACGGCTCGATGCTCGTGTAGAACGTCGTGACCTGGACCTGGTTCGGCTGCTTGCTCTTGCTGAAGTCGTCCGCGACGTCGGTAGGTTTGCTAGGCCCGGCGATAGGCCGCGGCGCGACAGGTGGTCGTTGAGGCAGTAGTGATACGGTGGGCGGAACTGCGAAATCGGGGCCAGAGGTTTGCTGCCATACAACCGTTTAGACCGTGGAATATCACAGCGGAAAGCAAAACGAACCTTGCTGAACACGCTGGACGTCGAAGGGAATTTCGTAGCCTTCTGTGTCGGTGGATGTGGATGTGTGTGGGGCGGAAGCGGTGACGCTTTCCGCATTTTGGGAGGGTCTGGGAGCAAGCATGAATAGCCCGGACTGTGTCTGAGATCTGCTGGGCTCACCAGGTTCAAGATCGCTGGAGTCGTCCAATTTCCGCTTCTTCTTGTTCTTCTTCTTCAACTCCTCGGCAGCACTGAGATGATGTCAGTAGGGGAACGACAGATACACGGAGATATTGTGAGAGCCACAGCCTAGGGTGGATCGGACAAGTCCGGCGAGCTGTATGGAGCTGCACCCGCGTATGCAGTATACCGAGTCTCCCGAACGGTGGTTGAGAACGCTTACCGTTTCCGAGGGTCTATAGAACCCTGAGAAGGGACAGGCATGGCGGGGGCGGGTAATGAGGACAAACGGTTCTTCGTTTGCTGTGACTGAGGCTGTGAAGAGGCTCGACTCTCGTCGCCGTTAACAGACGGCGTGACTGTGGTAGCACCGGCGCGGCGAGAGATTCAAAGTGTCGGAGACGTGTAGGCCATACAACGAAGAGATGGGGGTCGAGTAGAGCATAGAGTGAGTGGCGCACATGCAGAGAGAGGTAGCCAAAGCATCGCCACACCAAGGCCCAAGCGTCGCCACAGAATAGATAGAGTTCAGAAGATAGCGGTTGGCGAGGTTCCGAGAGGAGCAGTGTGCGAGGAGAGTTGGATATTGATGCATTCACGAGTGAATGAGACAAGACAAAGCATGTGGTGCGTACCAGAAGGCCGATCGGTTGACCGTGGGACAGTGTCCGAGACATAAGAGCCATAGGGTCAATCGGGTCCGTGAACGACGCGAATGGAGGCGTTATAAGTACACAGGAGCGGGGGCCATTGGAAAGCACAAAGAGTTGCAAGCCAGAGAATGGACGGCGTGTGAAGGAGCGTGCCATAGCATGTCGGGTTCGAGGAGGAGGTAGGGTTCCAGGTAAATCGTCAGGTGCAAACTTGGCATTGAAGAAAATAACACGCACAGCCGCGCTCCCTCTCCACCTTCTGCAGAGCCTTAGCTTTGCCCTTCTCCTTCTCTTTGAGGCGTCGCATGGATTCCTCGATGGCGCGCATGTCATCACTAGCCTTCTTGGCGCGTTCGAGGCTCTTCTGCTTAAACGAGGTAAGCTCTGCGTGTAGCTGCTCCAGTTCATCTGTTGCTGGGACCGCTTCAGGACGGTTATGGAGGAGAGAGGCGCGGATTGCGGGGAGGGCGGTGAATGGAGAGACGGAAGACGACATGGTGTGGTTCCGGCGACCGGACCGCCAGATATGGACCGACGCAGCTTCCCCGAGCTGCTGGTATATGTCCGAGCTCAGAGCAAGGAGATGGTGAGGACGAGTGCCGCCCAGAGCGAGAGCGAGGCCGAGCTCAACGTGCAGCGTCGCGAGCAGATCCAAGTTCGTAGACGCCCGGCGCACCTGGAGGCGCCTGTTACAATAGTCGATTCTTTAGGAAATATATTCTCACGGTCCAATGCTGTGGCGTCTTTGCACACCTCGAAAGTCTAAATCCCCCGTTCGCGCTCACGCTCACCACGCTTCAGTCTCATAAAAACATTCCTAGTATCTCGCCCGCACCGCGTGTGCGTAGTTCTGGCGCAGCATGGACTCGAGGCAACACCTACTGTTTGACACCGACGCCCACAACGTCGACGATTCCGAAACTAGCTCGGACACGATCGAAATGACAGGCCTCGAAGACATTCCTGTGACGCCGGCACGCACAAACACCTATGGCACAGCTCGATACACGAACGGCCCTCACGACTCAGATGACGATTCGGATGGAGATGACGAAGGAGAACAAGCCCTTTTGGGGTCGCGCACACGCACTCGCGGCCGTGAGCGGTCACCTGAAGGGAAACCGAGCGTGTTCGGCCAGGTCAAGCGTATAGTTATAGAGGTCAGTTCCATCGAATGTCTGTCGACACACTGAAAGGATAGAATATGAATATGACGCTGTCAGACGGCACCAACGCTGTTGCTCACGACCACCGGCCTCCTGTTTACCGGAGAAATATTGGACATAGTCTCCGTGAGTATATTGTTTCACCCACTGTTCCACGCTCGTGTTCCTGACCGCCGAATAGCACTGGAAAGCCATGTCCCAAATTGACGAGCTCATCATGATCATCCCCGTGATTCTGAATCTCAAGGGTAACCTCGAAATGAACCTCTCTGCGCGCCTGGGAACCGCCGCCAACATGGGAGACCTTGACCATCCGTCCAAACGGCACTCTATAATCCTTGGAAACCTCTCCCTTCTCCAAGTGCAAGCCACCATCGTGTCTTTTGTTGCTGTATGCGTATCCTTCCTCATGAACCGAATAATGGAAGCTAGCGGCGATAGCAACCCGCAACTGCTCGGAGATGTTACCACGGACTTCACTCGCGGACTATATGCGCGGGGAGTGCATAAACCGAAGCCTCACAAGCCCCCACTGCCTTTGCCTCCGTCTGGGCCTGCAGAGTATGTGCTACATCGATACGAAACCCTGAGCAGCGGACTGATGCCCGCCTCAGGTTCGCCATGGTTGCTTCGTCGGCAATGTGCGCCGCATGCGCTTCGAGTATACTCCTCGGGGCCTTTATGTGCATGCTCGTCGTGTCATGTAGACGTCTCGGTCTGGATCCCGGTATGAATGTTCCCGCGCTCCGCCTTCATAAGTAATGCTCATGGACATTGCAGATAACATTGCCCCTCCCGTGGCTGCTTGCCTGGGAGATCTCGTCACGTTATCGCTCCTGGGCGTAATTGCGGAGCTCCATCTCTACGTCCTTCACACGCCCATACCACTCATCATAGTTCTAACCCTTGTGGCTGCTGCTGTTGGGTGGACCTTTGTGACCAATCGCAACGAGAATGTGAAGCACCTCCTGAGGGAAGGTTGGTCGCCCCTTTTCATCGCTATGGCCATCAGCAGTGGAACGGGCATAGTGCTGGATACCTTCGTCGAGCGCTACAGCGGGTTTGCGTTACTAGCAGTTGTCATCACCGGTATGTCTGCTTTCCCGAGTGACACCAGCCTATATTCGCTCACCTGGCCTCTCCGCAGGTCTTCCTGGTGGTGTAAGCTCAATTTTCGTATCTCGCCTATCGACCGCCCTCCACGCCGCTACGGCCAAAGCGTCGTCCCTGGTATCCTCTGTCCAGGACCTCGACAAGGATAAGCACCACCCCAGTCCCCGACTGGTCATGATGACCTTGATCGCCGTCAGCATTCCTATCGAGATCGCGTTTCTCACCACAGTACACCTCCTCGGATGGATCCATCTACCCTTCTTGTTCATCGTGCTCCAGGTTCTCTTTTTCCTCATCGCTGTACGTGCTTCTCTCTATCAAGGTCTGCTTGGGTGATTGACGGGCCTGCTTCATGTCCACAGATCACTATCTCTCTCCTCATGTCCCAGCTCATCACAACACTCCTATGGAAACGGGGATTGGACCCCGACATGTACGCGCTACCTTGCCAGTCGGCGCTCACGGACCTCGTCGGCCAGCTCTTACTCGTCGCGTGTTACGAGCTCGCGTCGCTGCTGGGTGCGCAGGTGGCGCTCAAGCACAAGCACTAGGTTTTGGTCTAGATGATCATGATGTCGAGTTTTCTTGTTTTGCATCTATATCCGTCGCTATAATCCCGCATGGCTCCCCACATCTCACAGCATATTCTGGTTACATACCCTTGCAATAATTTATCATCTTTTCTTGACGCATTCGACGTTGTGTGCTATGATGGACGGATGTTGCGCGCATATAAGGCCACCAAGATGCTTACAGTACCGCGTCCGTCTAAGGTGAAGCGGTGGTATGACTACAAGGCTCCATATTACACGAGTCTAGATAGAATAAGATAACAGTTCGACAGCACCCTGAACGAGTCAATTTTCAGTCAGTTCGGCGTGTAGCTGTTATCTCTAGGAGGCGAGCGCACCTGAGACATGAGACTATAAGGACAAGCATCGAGCATTAAACATCCAGTTGTTCCTGGTCGACATCCATACTGGCATCATCCGCAGGAGGTGTGTCCTCAGGGTCCTTCTCCTTCTCCTTCGCCTGTGACCTCGTCCCCCTCGGTCGTCCTCTCCCTCGTCCACGACCCCTCGTCCTGGTCGTCCTTACAGGACTCGGCTCATCGGCCTCCTCGTCATCGTCGCCTGCCGCGGACGCCACGGACGCGATTGACTCAGTGGCGGATACGGCCTTCCCGCGACCCCGCCCTCTGCCACGCCTGCCACCGCGCGGCTTCCGCCCAGCAGTGCTCGCGGACGCCCTGGGTTTCGCTGGTGCCGCCTGCGACAAAGGCACCTCATCCGCTGTGTCCGCGTCGTTATCCCTGTCCCCGTCGAAGAACTCGTTCCGTGCGATTGAACGGTCGTCACGGGTCTCCCCAGCGGTGGCCGTGCTGTGCTCCTCGTCCTTCTCCTCCCGCGAGCGCTCTTCGTCTGCGAGCCACCCGGCAAGGTCCGGGGGGATGTCCTGCAGCGCGACACTCGGTGCGCCCTGAAGGTAGCGCAGCTTGTTCCGGACGGCAATCGTGATGCGCTGCAGGGACGCGGCTGTGTTCTGGTTCTCGACGCGCCCGGTGAGCGGCGGGTGCAGCTTCCACTTCGTCTCGCGGAAGAAGGAGTCATACATCGTGACAGGCAGCTCGTCCGGGATCGCGGCGCCGACGAGCACGGAGGTCTCGTATGTCCAGCAGCGCGAGACGTTCTTGATCGTGTACCCGCCGCCGCCGAGCACGAGGAGCGGGACGTTGAACTTGCGTACAAAGTTGACGCACTCGCCGTGAGCGGCGATTGAGAGGTTAAACGCTCCGAGGCGGTCGCAACCGAGGGAATCCGCACCGCACTGGAGCACGATGGCGGTTGGGCGGAAGGAGGCGACAGTATCTTCGATGACGGTCTTGAACGTGGCGAGATACATATCGTCGTCGATGCCGTCCTTTAGCGGGACGTTGAGACAGAAGTGCTTGCCGGGGCCAGTGCCGTTGTCATCGAGTTTGCCGGTCCCGGGGAAGAAGTCGCCAGTGTATTTGTGAAAGGAAACGGTCATGACGCGGTTCGTGTGATAGAAGGCGAACTCGACACCGTCACCATGGTGGATGTCGATGTCGATGTACAACACACGAGGATGAAATCTGAATGCTCGTCAGTTGTTTGTAACAACAATGAAAGTGCCTCACTTACCGCAGGAGCTCCAAAATTGCCAATACGATGTCATTCACATAGCAGAAACCGCTGGCTTCCGCCTTTTTCGCGTGATGCAAGCCACCGCTCCAATTGATGGCAATGTCAGTTGTTCCAGCGCAGAGCTTCCGCGCCGCGGCTAATGATGCACCAGCATACATCTTGCAGAAGTCGTACATGTCCGAGAATATCGGACAGTCCTCGACGCAATTAAATGAGTCGATCATTTGCTTCATGTCGTTTTGATTGTGCGGCGTCACTCTGTGAAAGCATTCGGGCTGGTTAGCGGTGACACACACACAACTTTGGAATACTTACCGAGACAAGAATTCGATGTAATCGTGATCATGGTACGCTTCGAGTTCCGTTTGCGTGGCAGGTCGTGGATTGTAGATGTTATGAATCTGTTTGTCGAGACCATAGCCCAGCACCAACGCGTTCGTCAGCGTCAACCTGTGTGGCTTCATGGGGTGATGTTCCTGCATGACCATGAGTGAATCGTTTGATAGGACCAATTTCAGGCCTACTCGTACTCCATAATGTTGGGCGCCGACGCCTTTGGGGAAGTAGTACGAAACGATAGGTCGTGAATGTGGCTAACGTGTGGCGCGTCAGTGGCCATTTGAGTACCAAACCTTGGTTGCACCTACATTAACACGTTCCGTAATCGGTTCTGCATGTCCCTGAGAGCCCCTGTCGTCGAAATAAGGCGAAGAGGAAAAGGTGAGACTGGTCGCTTGAGTTGTCCGGACCATGCTTGCCACTACACGGTGCTGAACGGTTTCGAATGAGTCCTGGTCGCGTACGGTTTCCTAGTTCCTTCCGAAGATCAAGGAAAATATGCACGGCGTAGAACCAATGAGGTTACAGCTGACGGTAGGTGCTTGACTTCGGCGCGACTGTCATGAGCGGGTGGTTAGTAATGTCCGTAATTTGCGTCGGAAAAATACGCTTTGTAGCTGACGCGCTGGAAGGGTTAGACAATGCCTTACCTGTGCAATCTCCGGGATCAGCGAAGAGCTCTTTAAGCGTTTTCGCTATGAAAGGGTGAGCGGTACTTGTGGTTGGAGGTGCAAAACAACCCAAGTCTCGAGCAAGGGATCTGCCACAGTTACGTAAGCTGATTTCCATACAGGGACTCGACGCGTCCCTCTTCGCGGTCACCAGGTCCTGCGCTCGCCGTCCATGTCTGTGCTCCCCGAGACTTTGCCAACGACCCCACCTCATCTTCGTCTTGCAACGCAGCTCTCTAGACATGAGGAACATCACGACTTTGCCTCTACGATTCACAGCATCCTGCTTGCTTCTACTCGCTGCATACGCTTCGTTCGTGAACGCCTCATCTGGAGACTCTGCAGAGGAGTTCAGAAGCTGCGTCTCGTTGTGCCATTCTCGGACATGCCAGGGTAGTCTTCCGGCCGCAACATTACCTCTCGCGTTGCAACTCACCGGCTGGACGTGCACCGACGACTGCAAGTATGAATGTATGCACCTCATCACGGATCGAGCCATCGAGCACCACTGGCCTGTGCAGCAGTACTACGGCAAATGGCCGTTTTGGCGGTTCGCCGGCATGCAAGAGCCTGCCTCAGTACTCTTCTCTGTCTTGAACTTTGCGGCACACGCCGCGGGCGTGCGCAAACTCCGTGCCAAGGTCCCGGACGGACATCCCATGAAGAGATACTACCTGCTCTTCGCCTTCGTCAGTATGAATGCATGGGTATGGTCTTCTGTCTTCCACACTCGAGGTCAGGCGTTCTACTTGTCAGATATGCCATAGAAGCTAAAGAAAGGTGGGGCATAGATCTACCCACCACGGAGAAGCTTGATTACTTCTCCGCCGCCCTAGCCATCCTATACGCAGTGTATTACACCGTCCTACGGGTGTTCCACCTCTACCCCATGGAGCGTCACTCCCTCACAAATAACCCGTCGCCCGCCACGTCCACTGTTCGTGTCGCATGGACGCTTGCGTGCTCTTGGGCGTTTCTCGGCCATATCTCCTACCTCACCTTCCTTCCACGCTTCGACTACAGTTATAACATGATCTTCAACCTCACCATTGGCATGGCACACAACATACTCTGGCTGTGCTACTCATTACCATCCCGCGTCTCCTTCCTCCGCCGCTTCCCCGGGCGACCAAAATCGTATCGGCCTGCCTTCGCTACGATGCCAGCGCTGTTCGCCCTGCTTACCACCGCCGCCACGGCGCTGGAGCTCTTCGACTTCCCGCCGTGGGGAAGGGTCATCGACGCCCACTCGCTGTGGCATCTCGCGACCGTCCCTATTGCATTGTTCTGGTACGACTTCTTAGTCCAAGATGCATGCGACGAGGGCTGGAGACTATCAAAGTTATGAACATGCTTCGGCGTAACATTTGGTACGAGGGTTTCTCGTCTCTGATAGTATTTCGCTCACAATCAGTCAGCTATCAGGCCATTTGCGCTCAAGACAACTCGCTAGTCGGCGTTCCTACTATTTATACTATTGGTGAGTCGAGCTTTGACCCCTACGCTATACCTACTTAACAGGAAATGTATATCAGAATTGTAGAGCGATGTGTCGTGCTTTGCTTGCTCTTCGGCGCTATCTGTATCCCCCTTACGCGCCTACACATGGTCAATGTATGCATGACTGTTGCAAGTAGCTTCCGAAACCCCCTACTGCAGTCTCTCTGTGTAGCCTCTGATGAGAGAGATGGAAGGTGCGTCTCATAGCTAAGGATGTTCGCGCACGACCCACACTGTGTGGAACCCTTGCTCCCGCACCTTTCGAGATCTCATATCTCAGCTGGGTACGTTGCTCCTCCATGTGTGCTGTGGGATGTCTTTGTGCTGTTTCTGTTGTTGTAATCGCCAACGAATTGCGCTTCTCGCCTCTTGCTTTGATACGTTGTAAGTATTGCCCATTGGATTTTAGCCCATATTTGAGCTGCGACGCTTTTTATATCAATGTGCCTTACTCCTATGACACAGCTATAACTTGACCATTTTTACCACCATCGAGTCAATATTCCGTTGCTCACTGCCGTACATGATCAGGAGAACTTGATGTATTCAGGGCCTGTTCCATCGCTCAGCCTTCGAGAAAGGAATCACCTCAAAGTCGCAGAGCAATCAAGTCGCCTTTACCAAGTATAGTTTAATATAGCTAACCATTTTTCCGCTCCGGACTGCTCGGTGCAATATGTTTAGTAGTGAACGAGTGCGCGTGCCACGCACTTCGGACTTCGGAGAGGATGTGTCTAAGCGCCCGAAATATATACGGGCGCTTCCGCATTACCCCGCTTTTGCAACACGCTGTCGGGGTGCATCTCACCATGAGTCAATTTCAGCTCTCTTCCGTCCCCTGTGTCCGTGTTTCAAACTACCAACAAACAGACTTACACTGGAATAGTAAAGCTTGCGGACTAAGCCACTGACCATCTGTTAAAAATGGCACGTCCTCGACACTTGCCATCTCAGACGATTGTGATCAAACTTGGTGTGTACCTAGCCAATCCTTTGCGGACATGCCATCTAACGTCGCATCGCTATGAAGGTACTTCATCTATCGTGCATGAGACGACACACCAGCCATTACTTTCGACGCTCTCGGCGATCGTTGAGACCGTCGTGCACCTCCGCGCGCAAGGACACAAGGTTGTGCTCGTGAGTTCAGGCGCTATCGGAGTGGGCTTGAAGCGTATGGAGGTGGCCACAAGGCCCAAAGCGCTTTCCAAGAAGCAGGTGCGTACAGTTTCCAATCGCTTATGGTGGAATGCCGGTTCTATCTATGTGTGCGGTCAAGGCTCTGGCTGCAATCGGTCAAGGGCGGCTTATCGCACTATGGGACAACCTCTTCGGACAACTCGGACAACCTATAGCTCAAATTCTGCTCACGCGTGGTGATATTTCTGACGTGCGTGTTACTGCTGAGACTGTGTGTTTGGAGAACATCCATTCATCGTTGAGGATATTTAGCGCACGAGATACCTCAACGCGGTGAACACATTCAAGGAGCTCTTGTCCATGGGCGTAGTGCCTATCGTTAACGAAAATGACACAGTCTCAGTCAGCGTGAGTTGAGATACCTCTTTGGTAGGAGAGTAAACCCTCATGGCTCTTGTGCAGGAGATCAAATTTGGCGACAACGACACGCTGTCCGCCATCACCTCCTCCATGATTCATGCCGACTACCTATTCTTGTTGACTGACGTGGACGGGCTGTACACTTCGAATCCTAGAAAAGACCCGAACGCGTCCCGCATAGATGTCGTAACGTCCATTGCGACTATTCGCTCACAAGGTATGTCTACCGTTATCAACCACCTTCCTTGACTCACAGCTGTGTGTAGTCAGTACGAGTACCCTCGGATCGAGTCTGGGCACGGGCGGAATGGAGACGAAGCTTATCGCTGCTGAGATCGCTACTGCGGCAGGGGTCATGACCGTCGTGACTTCCAGCAAGGACCCCCAAAGCATATTCAAAATCATTGAGTACAACAGCGCTTTCAAGTCTGGCACCAACACTCCCCTCTCCGGGCTGCACTCAGGTCGTACAAGCCCCGAGCCTCATCCAGTCGCGCCGAGCATCACTCCAACCCCCTCCACTCCCGGCGAACCCTCGGTGACGCCTACGCCCTCCTCCATCTTACCATCATCATCAACGAGACCGCCGCATACGATTTTTCTCCCTTCCGCGCTACCCCTGCGGGATCTCAAGGCCTGGACAAGTCATACTTTGCATCCATCTGGAAGCGTCATCATCGACTCGGGCGCACACCACGTCCTATCAAAACGCGAGTCGGGCGGACGGTTGCTTGCCGCAGGCGTCCTAGGTGTCCGAGGAGCGTTCGCATCTGGGCAGGCCGTCCGGATCCTGATACGGACGGGCCCTCCTGGAGAAGCGACTGAGACGGTGGCTGGATCCGAGAAGGTGGAGGGAGGGTCCTCCTATGCCGACGGAACTGTGATGACGGAGCCGAACACCCCCGAAATCAACGCGACGGCATCGCTGAGCTCGTCCATCTCGACGTTGGACCAACTTTCGATTGTGGACGAGGAGATGACGCCGTCGACGACGCTGAGGCCGCTGCCGGAGGACGACACAGTGCTGATCGAGCGGCCAGTGGACAGTACGGCAGAGTGGGAGTTAGAAGAGGTTGGGCGTGGGCTCGCGAACTACAACTCGGCGCAAATCGAGCGGGTGAAGGGGCTTAGAAGGTACCTTGCTATCGTGACAACTGTCGTATCCTCGCTGACCACATGCCCTTGCTCCGTAGCTCATACATTCCGCAGCTACTTGGGTATGCTGATTCGGAATACGTGGTAGAAAATATCACCATCCGTGTCCCTCCGTCATGACCGGGTAGACACTTCAATCGATCTCATGAGCAGGGGAACTTCGCGCCCTTTTCTCACAAGGTTACGTTCGCCATACTAGCGAACCGTAGCTCTCTGTACGTATGGCGTCCCGAGCGAGCTCGGAGGTGGCGGGGCCAGGCACACACGTGCGTCCAAATATTTGGCCCAGCCAAATAAAGCGGATTTTTGCGAGAATTGCGGAGCGCCGGTAGACGCCGGGTCGTCAATATGTTTCTCCAGCGCCTCCAGCTCCTTGCCCTCGTCCTCCCTTCTCCTTCTCCCTCCTCCTCTCTCCTCCGTCTACAGTTTATGTTCAATTAATCTCTATCTTGGAAAATGCTTCGCGGAAACTCTGTCAGGATCCTCACTGGTGCGTTCCCATTTACCAAACCGTCTACGTTCGCGAGGTTCATTCGGAATACAGGGAACAGTCACCCGTGGCTCGCTCAAGCTGTGGTGGAGCGGTGAGCTTCAGTATCATAGCATACACAAGGCAACCAAGTTCATCGAAGACCTGGATCACTAGGCTGAACATCCCCATCACCCCGTGCACCGTCAAAAAGTTCTCCAATGGCGAGATCAACGTCAAAATCTCCGAGTCTGTGCGCGATGAAGACGTCTACATCATCCAGACGGGGTGCAGCGACGTGAACGACAACCTCATGGAGCTCCTCATCCTCATCTCCGCCTGCAAGGGTGCGTCTGCGCGGAGGATCACGGCCGTCATCCCCTGCTTTCCCTATGCGCGTATGGACAAGAAGGACAAGTCGCGGGCGCCGATCACCGCCAAGCTGGTGGCGAACATGCTCGCAGTTTCTGGGTGCGACCACGTCATCACCATGGACCTCCACGCGAGCCAAATTCAGGGCTTCTTCGACTTCCCGGTGGACAACCTCTACTCGGAGCCTCTGATGATCTCATACATCAAGCGGAACATCGAGGGCTGGAGGAACAGCATCATCGTCAGTCCAGACGCTGGCGGCGCAAAACGGTGAGCCATGACGATCATTACCTCGGCTGCCGGCATGTTGACATAGGCGGAAGTGTGACTGCCATCGCGGACAAGCTGGGTGTCGAATTCGCACTCATCCACCGGGAGCGGACCCGGAACTCTAACGCGCCGGAGAAGATGGAGGTGCTAGTCGGAGACGTTCGGGACAAGGTGCGCTTTATACTTGCCGTCGCCGCGCGGAGTCTGTTAACACGCTGCCGGTATCTGTAGGTGGCGATCTTGGTAGATGATATGATAGATAGCGGCACCACGCTCGCGCTGGCAGCCCGCTCGTTGAGTGATAACGGTGCGAAGAAGGTGTATGCTATTGTATCCCACGGTGTGCACTTCCATCTTCTTCGCAAGGAACGATCAGACTGAGTCTCTGTATAGGTCTGCTGTCACAGACGAACATGAAAAAGATAGAAGAACTTCCGATTGAGCAGCTTGTGGTATGTGTTCATTAATTGTGGCCGCCGATCGCGACCCCCGCTCATTATATGCTCAGGTTACGAACACTGTGCCACAACAACAACACGAAGCCGCCTGCTCAAAGCTGGTCACGATCGACGTGAGCCCTACGATCGCGGAGAGTATCCGCCGGACCCACAACGGCGAGAGTATATCGCTGCTGTTTGGTGACTGGGCTGAGGGCGCGGGCGTGAACGGTGTGGGTTCATACTAACTATAGATGGTGTCTGCTACTGCTCTCGCGCACGGGATGTCGTTCAAACCAAAATGTACCATTATGTCCGATCACTGCAATGGACTCCACAGCATGCATACCCTGACGCACTCCCCCGCATGTCCGTCTCCATGGCAAGAAGGTCGAACCTGTGAGCGAGTCTGGAAGCGATTTCCCATCGGAAGGCTTAGGAGGCGTGTATTTTCGGTGCGTCCAGAAACTGCCGTCTGCGATTTGTTCTCACAGGCGCGGTGCAGTTTGTCAGACAAGGCGCCAGCGCATTATGTCTAGGCGGTGCGGAGCCACGTCCGTGCGCACGCGCAGCGGACGCTCCATCTCATAAAACAGCGCGCCGATATCTCGCGCCCGCTTTCGCACTGCACGACGGGTCCCTCCTTCACCGCAAGAGCCTCCGACTCGGGCCAGATATCGATACGCATTGCTGTGCTGCTGCGCAGTGGCAAGAACCGCCGATCCAGGAGAACTCGACCTTTACAACCCAAGAACCACACTGAAGATGCTCTCCGCCCCGCAGTCGGTGTACTACATCAGATCTGAACATCATGACGGGCCCGCGGCCGGCACAGGCAACGAGAAGGCGCATCGGCTCGTGCTCACAACGACATCGCTGCGGAACGTGGTGCTCGCGAACTCGACGGACGTGCTCTACTACGAGGTCGTCACGCCACGTTGGGAGCGGCACTTAACGCGTGTCTCTCGCCTCGACGTGAACACGCGCGGCTTCGACCCCGTCGCCGAGCTCCTGAACGGGCGCCCAGTAGGCGAGAGCGCGAAGACGGATGAGAGCGGCGGCGGTGGCAGCAACGACGACGAGGCAAAGCGAGTCGTCGCGCTGCGCTTCTATGGAACGGGAGAGCTCCGGCCAGTGGACGACTTTCTGCACATGGAGGTGGAGGGCGAGCGGAAGGACCCGGATGAGCTGTCAGCACAAGGTCCCTGTTTTACCGTGCGCTGACGTTTTCGCTGACAGAGCTATGGTTTTATCTCCTTCGGTGCGATTCTCGAACTTGTAGACGGGCGTGGTTCCGGAGCAAGGACGGACACAAGTACACATGGCGCGCAAACAAGGCACGGCTGGAGGTGAGTGTCGGTGCGCGTCGGTGCGCGGGGGCGGGGCCTATGGCTCGAGTGCTGAGTCTGAGGAGCTGCAGTTGACGCGGGACGACGACCCGGAGAAGGCACTCGTGTCGTTCCACAGGGAGCGGCGGTATCTCCACGTCCTGCGCATGTCACAGCACCCGTATCTGGAGGTGCATCCGGCGGCGCTGGAGAGCCTGGACTACATCATCGGTGCGCTTTTCACGTTGACATGTATCCGCTGAAGGGTGGCTCATCGTAGTTCTATCGCAGTGTCGTTCCTGTTGATCGAGAGGCTCCGCCGAGAGTTTGGCTTAACTTGATACCCAAAGCAACCGCAGGCCGCAGGCTGCTCGCTCAAATTGTCAATAGAACACGAACATATACCCGATCATGACCCTCGAAGCTTGAGCTTATTCTTGAAGACTGGTGTACTGGGTAGGCAGCGGTGTGAAGAACTTGCCCATACCTTCACGAAGCATAAAAATATACGCAAAAGGGTTGGGGAAGCGGTCGCGCATCCCTTCCCACTAGTACACAGTTAAGCTCGAGGAAGAGCACCCGGTGAGAACCGTGCACAACTCAGTACGCAGTGCTCAGTCGCTAGGCGCCTTCGCGGCCTCCTTCTCACTCTTCAGGATATGTTCGACGTTGGCCCCAAGGCGCTTGCGCTCTTGGAGTGTCAGTTGAGGGGCCGTCGAGGAGTACCCGAGTTCTAGGTGAATCAAATATGAGCGTTTGACACGTGAAGAAACGCAAGAACACGAACTCAGGCTGGCGTATTGGAGGGGGACCTCTTTGCTGCTCACTGGGAGAGTCGAGAGGTCGAGAGGAAAGGAAGGGCCGAGCCAAGACTGGCGCGTCTCGTGGTCCCTACGCGTTCATTATGAACGCTGATCCGCGGACACGGTCATAGACAACTTACTTGCGCTGGGAAGAAAGACATCAGTTTTAGATCACAAGGCAGTAGAGACACGGCGTACCTCCTCCCGCGTGAGTGGATGGATGAGAATGCTATTGAAGTCGTCATTCGCCGCGTCTCTCGTGCAGACATGGGTCTAGTGACGAACCTGAGAGTGCCTCTGTTCAAGCAGAGGTACGAGTAGACAGACACGAAAGACTCCGACGGGCACCAAATCTCATACGAGCCTGTCAGACACTCAGTTGAAGGCGGCTCACGCAGCGATTTAGCAACTCTCGAACTTACCGACGGGATGAGGGCCAATTGGGTCTGTGTTCACGCGAAAGAGAGGGACAGCGACGAAAGCACCATCGCGCCTGAGACGCAAAACGGCATCTCTGAGCTCGAGGGCGGCGTGGTGTTCGTCCGCGTTCCGCTGGTGGAAGTAAATATCTGTACCCGCGTATGTCAGCACTCAAAAGAAACAACATATGAGAGTGCGTTTGTTGCGTACGGAAATGCCACTCCCTGCAGAACGAGGTTGTGGTCAATGTACAGCGATCTCGATCAATTCTTGGCGGGCCACCCTCGCAGTCGGCGAGCGCCGCGGAAATGGCGCGGAGGACTCACTTGATCTCTGACTCTACCACCTCCTTCACGTCTGTCGGCGGGCTCATCCTTTTTGTTCTTTGTGGACAGGCTCAGCGCAAGATACAAGAGATGCTCAAGGACTGCGGGCAAGAGCACTATCGCTTCGATGCTCGGACCATGCGGCGCCATGGGTCACCCCGGACTTTGGACGGCGTGTGCGACATCGCGTTACCAATTTGCGTTCTTGCCTCATCACCGTATACATATAGAACGCCTTTCTCAGCAGCCCATTTCATCTTGTCTGACCTCACCCCGACTCTCTGATGCCTGTGTCGCTATCCAAGGTTAAACAAACCAGTACTTGTTGGATTGAAGTGGTCCGATGGGACACACGATCACCTAGTTCGAAGGACGCGCGGGCGTTGGGTGGACGTTTGGTGAGCGTATACACACACTTCAACATACTCCTTGAACACCTCTTGGTGCGGGGTTGTCCATGCTCATAGGCAGTCCCAGACATCAGAATACCTGCTCTATGGTCGCGGTAGACTGATACCCGAGGGTTCATGTCAGCCTCGAATTTCAGAGCAGCCATGCCAGCCTCGATCAGGATGGTGCCTATATAACTTGGCTCTATGGTTTGAACTGTCCTTGCTTCCTGCCTTCTGCTCTGCATCTCCCTGTTTTCTACCTGCTTTCTATTCGCTTTTTGCTACTACTTCGCTTTCGCTATGGCCTTGACGGCTACCATTCTTTTGGCTACTTTTGCTGTCTTCGACTCCATGGCCGTCCCTCTCGCAACCGACAGCACTACTGAAGCGACCTCGACGTTTTCATCCGACATCTCCTCAAGCTTGGCGACGGATACTATGTCTTCGTCGACTCTAACGTTCAGCACTACCGTGGTTGCGACGACATCTAGCTCTGCGGTCTCGGACACTATGTTCTCGCAGAGCTCGGTGTCAGCCTCTCCAACGGAGTCTCAGCCTGTCTCGTCTACTTCTCTTTCTTCTAGCTCAAGCTCCTTGGATCCGGGACCAACAACGTTAATCTCGACTGCTTATGCAGCTGCACCGACCGTCACCGTTACTGCACCTCCGCAAACTGTCACCGACACTATCACCATCGTGCCACCCCCGACCCCTGCGCCTACTCTGGTACAGACAGCGTGGGCAGCCCCGCCGCAAATGACCGACATGTCCGCGTTCTCAATCAAGAACTTCGCCTACGGCCACCAGAACATGCGCATCATCGTCAACTCGCCCCCTCCGTCCAGCGCGAACGATTCGGACATCACTTCAGAAGCGCTCACCAACGCGCAAGTCGCGCTCGCAACCGCTGCGAACGCGGGCATGATTCCCTCGCCCCCAGACGAGAACAGCACATTCCTACAGCTGCTCTACCCTGCGAACTCGATCAACCCCGCGCAGGAGCCGCAGGGCGGGGCCGACTTCTACGCGACGCCGCTAGACCTGAGCAGCGCCAAGAACATCTCGATGGAATACAGCGTGTTCTTCCCGGCCGACTTCAACTTTGTCCAGGGAGGGAAGCTACCGGGCATCTACGGCGGGCACGACGGTTGTTCTGGCGGAGACGACGCGCTGGAGTGCTTCAGCACGCGCCTGATGTGGCGGGCCAAGGGTCTCGGAGAGTTGTACCTGGTGAGTGACCCCGCAATACATGCCTCAGCCATATGCTCACCCCGCTCACCACTGCCGACAGTACGCGCCCAAGGACAAGCAGACAGCCGCGCTCTGCGCGACCCCACCACTCTCCGTCTGCGACGCAGACTGGGGGCTGTCCGTCGGCCGCGGCGCGTTCAAGTTCACGCCGGGGAACTGGACGCACGTCCGACAGACGGTCACGCTGAACACGCCCGGGATGCAAGACGGCGGGTTCGCGCTCGACGTGAACGGCCAGCGCGTCATCGAGCGCTGCGACGTGTACTACCGCGGCGCCCCGCAGGCCGCGGACCCGGAGACTGCGAGCGCCATTCCGATCCCGCCGGCCGCGGACTTGTCCGGGACGGAGGACGACTTCGTCGAGGGCCCGTTCCACCTCAAGGTCGACAGCGTGCTCGCGAAGGTGAACGTGGGCCGGGATTTTATGCCCACGTTCGCGCCGTACTCGGCGTTCGCGTCTGATTCTCAAGACAACGAGGTTGAGGACTTCACCCCGGAGTTCGCGCCGCCTGGTGCTGTCTCGCCGGACATCAAGGCCGCCGATTCGCCGCCACCATCCGCGTCGTCGGAGACCGAGACGGCTACGACGGTCATGAGTACTACGACCGTTGTGCCTGCCACGCAGACGGTCACGCTCTATCCGACGAGCACAGAGACGGCGTACGCGATGGCACTGGAGAGTGGCGCGCCCTTCGCGGCAGAGGCGGTCCCCGCGAAGCCCATTGGCTTCACGGGGCTTTTCTTCAGGTGCGTTCCATTCGGATGTGTCCGGGAGTTAATGTGAATGTCGCTGACGCGCCGTGTACAGCACCTTCTTTGGCGGGCACGAGGCCAAGTACGCGACGCCGAAGGACCAGTTCACCTGGTTCAGGGATTTTGCGATGACGGTTAATGCTTGAAGCAGAGGTCGTCGTCGTGTGGACGGTCGTTTTCTTCGAATTTCCTCGGGGCTTACGCTGCTTTTTACATGTTTTATTTCTGACGCTTGCTGTGCATCGCGGCCTACCTTATCAATTATGCTTTTTCGAGGCCTCCTGACCGCTGCTTGGCGACGTCCAAAGCGGCACACATATTTGCCTTGCAAGACTGAGGCCGCACACCGTTGACACACTGCCCATTCGCGGTGCTGAATGGCCGGCGGAGCCTGCATTCCGCCTCCCGCCTGCGCTGCAGCGCGGATCCCATGGCTTGGCAGATGACTGTGTGGCCCTCAAGCTCCGTGCACAGCGCGGCGGTCGCATCCGGCGAAAAGCACTCACGACCCTGGGGATCTGCGGTGCGCAAGGACGGTATTTCGCTCATCAAGGTTGTGCAATGTGCACTGCTTGAGGGTTATCTGCAACTTGGTGCTATCATGCTCAAGCTTTTCGTGCACGCGTCCGTGTCCAACGTCCATCTCCGGCTGCGAACGGCGGAGATGCATACACATGATGTCGACCGGTGGCCTTGCGCGTCTGCTGCGCGAAGGCCTCGCCCCGCGCCGCCTTCGCGGCATGACATCAGTAAGTCGTTGTGTGCAGAAGGATTTTGAAAATATGGTGGGAGCTGGGACAATTGGTTCCGGTTCGTAGCATCGTGTAAAGCCGTCTGTAGGCTCGAGCGAGGAGGCTGAGAGAAGAGAGATATGATATGGTGCGGACCGGAGGGAGCGGATAAGGTGTGTTTACGATAAGGGGTTATCGAGCGATATCCGGAGGAAAAGGGGCGGACGCGGAGGATGTGTGCACTCTCTCCCAACTCTCTCTTCTCACTCGCTCGCTGACTCCACCGGCGACAACATTCTGGGCCTCCGGGCCACCGTCCAATCCCGTATGGCTTGCTGACCCACCGAGCACGCTCCTTTCTTGCGCATACACCCACTTCCGTGGACCACATCCGACTCTCCTCTTCCCGTCATCCGACGCTGTTCTGCACATAGTCCTTCTGGTCGTCTGCATCGTCTTGTACATCACCGAAACCCTTCTGGCGTTGCACAAGACACTCTGTTCGCCCCTGAAGCCCTCTAGTCGAAATGCTCGATAGTTGGAGTTTCCACCTTAGTCCCTCGTCCTCGACCGCGAGCTCCTCCACCCGCTCGTCCCACCTCAGCGTCCTCACCTCCGAGTCCTCCGCACCATCCCCATTACCATCACCCACAGGCAACAAGACCAATGCCTTCTTTGCCTCTCCCTTCGGCGACGACATCTCGATACCCCAACCGCCACCAAACCCTCCCAAACGCGCTGACTCGCTCAAGTCGGAGGCGTCAGAGGTGAGTGCCGAGGACACCCCGAGGATCGAACACAAACCCCCCGCGCGTTCCCTCAACGCCGAGTTCTTCGGGCCGTCCCTCCTCCCCACACCACCCGCGAGCATCCGCTCCTTCTCCGGCAGCGCGTCCGGCTCGCGCGACAATTCCACCTCGCCCACGTCCGGGCGCATACCCCTCCCCTCGCTCTCCCGGCTCTTCCCCTCGCGCGCGCGCTACGGGACAGAGTCCGAGCACCCCATCACACATGCGACGAACGTGCGACGTGACTTTGTGCACGTCGAGACGCGGCCCCCAGACGCTTATCACGCTGGCGAGCAAACCGTATCACCCGTCGATATCGCGCAGGAAGCGTCCACTTCTTCCCAGGCGACGCCTAAACCGGGCCACTGCGAAGAACCGTCGTCATATCTGGCCCTGCCAGGGTCGCCGCCTTCCCCTCCCTCCTCCGACTCCGAGGCGACGAACCCGCATGCCGGCCTTACCCTCACCAGCTCTTCGCTGACGCTGGAGCTGATGAAACCGCTCGGGACCGGCACGTTCAGCAGTGTATGGCTCGCGCGCGATATCAAGGGGCAGCTGGGAGCGTTGGAGCTTGTCCGGAAGTCTTCGCTCGCAAGAAGCAAGAGCTTCAAGCGGGGCCGCTCACGAGGGATTGACGGCACGCGGCCGACGCGCAAGAAGGCGGCAAAGGACCGGCAGACGAGCGACGGCAACTCCGTCCTATCACCAGGGGAGGAGGATGTCGGGAAGAGGCTCGGTACCTCGAAGACAGGCCGGCTGGTTGCGGTGAAGATGACGGAGCGTTCCCTGTGCTCCGCAAATTCGCGTTCCCGGGTGAGCTTTGTGCGGGAGGTTGAAGTGCTGAGGGTGAGTGCTCGATCTTCCTCATTCCCCGTTTGTCTGCGAGAGGCAATCCAAATTCAGAGAGGGCGGTTGTGCTGATTGCTTCTGCGATGAAGTTGTGTGGGCGGAGTTGCAGGAGGCAACGATAGCATCGGGTGGTGGTCTCTCCTTTTGCGCGCGTACTGATCGTTGCCTTTGCAGCACATCGCACATCCGTCGATCGTGTCGTACCTGCATTCTTTCAGCACGCCATCACACCACTGCCTCGTTTTGGAGCATATAAGCGGTGGTGAGCTGCTCGACCTGGTCGATAATCCAGAAAGCTTCGCCCGGTTAGACGAACCTCTGGTCCGACGAATATGGGGTGAGCTCTGCAAAGCAGTCGCGTGGATGCACAGTGTTGGACTCGTGCACCGCGACATCAAGCTTGAGAGTGAGTGTCCCCTCACACGCTAGTTCTAAGCTGTGCTTACCGGTGCCCACAGATATCCTCCTAACCGCGGACCCCTTCGCACGCCCCCTCCCTTCATCATCACTCATCAAGCTCACCGACTTTGGCTTATCGCGCTTTATCGACCCCGAGCAGCCGCAGCTCTCCACGCTCTGCGGCTCTGAGTCATACGCGGCGCCCGAACTCGTCATGGGCCGCACCTACGATGGCCGCGAGACGGACGCGTGGGCGTGCGGCGTCGTCTTGTACGCGCTAACCACACGCCGATTGCCGTTCGACCCGCCGTCGCCCAACGGGATCCCGCACGAGCAGGTCGCGCGCGTCGAGGCTGACTGGGAGATCCAGCAACGCAAACGTGGCGAGCGCCGTGCGCTGCTCGTCCGTATCGCGAAGGGCGAATACTCCTGGCCAGAAAGCGCAACGGGTGGTGACGGTGAGAGGCAAGACGTTCGCGGGGAGGCGCTCGCGCGCAGCGAGGGTGTCCGGCGGATGGTCGCCCGGCTACTTGTGCGCGACCCGCGCAAGCGCGCCCGGGTCGCGGACCTGTGGGAAGACGAGTGGATGCGCGGGGAGGGTGCTCCGGCGCCGCCCACTCTACCTCCGGACGATGCTGTGTCGCTGCCGACTCCAACTTCGGAAGGGCCGCTTGCGCCGCTGTCTTTGCCTGCGGACGACGATGCGGAGCTGGATGGGGATATCGATGCGGACGCAGACGTTGAGGACGAAGGCGTCCTCGTTGACGGCGAAGACATCGGCCCAGGAAGCGTCGCTCGCCAGGAGCACTGAAGACATCCTCTCTGTGTGCCGGTGCCGCCGTTCTCGTCGTTCCGCTCTGTCTCAGTCTGTCGCACTCGCGCCCCCCATGCTGGGCTCCACTCTCAATCTCTCACTCTCTGGGTTTCACGCTGTTCCATCCACCGTCGCGATAACGTATTGTTCTCACTTACCCCTGTTGTCACACTACCTCCCGCACCCCGCCCCTCGCTCGCGCCTATGCTACTCCTCGCTCTCGTCCGCGCCACATCCCTCCATCTCCCCCTTGTGATGCTACAGCCGCCTGTCATATTGGTATCCCATCTCCCTGTACACCCCCCCCCCAAGTGCATTCCCGTCGCAATATACATACATCACACGTCCCGCACGCGCACATACACACATATACATACTTCACGCGTCTCCCAGCGCGCGCGGCGCGTTCTCGTCCCGAATATTTGCAGGTTGTCGAGCTACATGTGTTCGTGTTGCCGTAGATATATATCATAGTACAGTATTGGTTCCCGAGGCTTCAGGAGCAGTTTAATGTCGACGTACGTCCCGTGCATAATTGGTCCAATCTGCCACACCCCCTGGTTGGTGGGCGGCGTGCTCTTGATCGTCGATGTCGAGGACCTGCCGCATGGCTCCAGCTTCCAAGCTTCAAGGGCCGTGCGCATGCATCAATGAACGGTAAGATAGTTTTAATAGGAGAAGGCACACTTTGTTTTCAAGATTGAGCAAATATAACATCAAGACATGCTCGAGGCTGCTGTCTGTCATTTGCGCGATTGGCACACATATACAAGTGATAGATCGAGCTGCGGTGCAACCTCGTTAGAGGCCAAGAAACATAGACAACACACAACACCGAGACCCCACAAATGCACGAGGACACGCTTGTAGACCTTCCTGGCTTTCCAGTCCCGCCCTGTCGAGGCGGGCATGAACATCCGTCCTCTTGAAGATCCGTCAGCGAGGAGGCCCGATATGCCTTGCCTCCACACCCAGTCGTTTGGGAGGTGCGGGCAGCTTTAGGAGTACGTGGCCAACGCGCCTTCGATAGCGACGTTTATCGAATGCTGCCAAGGGCGAAAGCGATGACTCTCCAAGCGGTAAAGATGAATACGGTCGTCACTCACGAAATGAGCCTTGACCGCCTTTACGCTTGATGGAGGGACGATGTGGGTAAACTCGTCCCCGGCCTCCTGTTGCGGGGTAAGCCGCCATGCCTGGTACCGAAAGGGAATGCAATGAGAAGCGCACGCACGTAGGTGGCACTCTGAAAAGCACGAATGCCTTCCGCTATTTGTTCCGTGAGATGATTCTCCGACGCCAAGGGCTGAAGCGATTTCTTTGAGCATCCACGTGAAAACACCTCCACGAAGGAAGGTGGACGCACGTATTTCTGGACAAGCTCGTCCATGAGAGTCCTAGAGTGCGAATTGATTAACCATCAGTCGACGTCGCAGCATTGACGAACAACGCCTCACCTCTGCGCATTGGCGAAAACAGTAAGTTCAGCGAGCACCTTCTGCGCCTGTTCGGCATCCATCGCTTTTCGGTCGAACTATTGGGCATCGGCGTCATGGCCCATATGCGCATTTTTGGCACTCACGGCTTGTTTGTCAAACGTGGCGCCTATGGCAACCAAGTCATATAACCCGCTCACGATTTTCTATGAACCAAACTCATCAGTAGTTGCAAAGAGCCATGTTGGTGGTAAGCTTACGGGACTCTCGACGGCGAAGTTGGCAGCAGTGAGGCTGAACGCAAGGGCTTGCAAGTCGTAAGACGTAGCGGTCACTTCGTCGAGGTCGACGATGGTGTCATGGTAAATCGAATGACGGCCAACGACGCTCCAAGTTCCGAGGACAGCGGCGGCGATGACTGGAAGAATGCTGAAGAGTCTCATGTTAGGGGCAACTACGTCGGCGAAGTCTGTCTGAGTAGGCGCAGAGGTGACGCTGCTAAAGAGTGCAAAGGGGTCTGGGTGCGGTCTGGGTAGTGAGCTGCTTGGGGGCTTTATGTAGGCTGCAGGAGCCGCATTACCTGGAAAATATTGAATATGGGAGCAGGCGGGTACACGCTGAAGTATTGCGAATACCATCGAAATGCGATAGAACAGCAAGCCGGCCCCTGCGCATTCCGTTTCGCGGGAAAAGGATTCCCGGGATAAGCCACATTGGGCTCAACGACGACGACTTCTGAACTTGAGCTGCTAACACGAGGCTGCCCCCCATCGTCGATGGCTCAAGCACTACTGCGGAAGCTGTAGGGCTAAGGTTCATCTGTGGCATTAATGACCGTGCGGCTCAACTTCTAAGACGTCGTAGACTGTAGGCTCGTCCACCTGCCAACGTCGAAGCTCGATGACATGCCGACCGCGAAGTGGACAAGGCACGCACCTCATTTCCAGGTGTCCGATGGCTTGGCCGCGCGCCGTCGTGCAGATCGCTCGTGGCGCGGTATGAAAACAGTTTACTATCGCACGTATCATCGTGCGTGCAGAGGGGGTACCCTCGAACAGCAGGTATATGGTAGCCCTCACGGCTGCGCCAAAAAATCGGGCTTGGAAGTCATCAGACCCTTGGCTCTCACCTGCAAGAACGCTCTGCACGGACGAGAATTGAGCTGTATTCCCACAGAGGAGTTTTGATTACCGAACTCACCAAAGGTTGCACCTGTCGGAACATCAAACAACGAGCAGCAAGACAAATTTAAAGGTACAACAACATCTATTATACAACACGAAACCTACATACACAATCTACCGGTGCTCGCGCACCTTGAGCCACACGATAAATATTACGCTCACAGCGAAGCCCGCGATGTAGGCGAACAGCACCAGCACGTCCCGATAGTAGTTGTTCTGGCCGAAACCGAATAGCTGTGAGCGTAGCCAATGGTCAGCGATCCCTCTGACAGTGAGCAAACAAACGTGCGCGTACCGTCTTCATGATCAACGCCGCGGACACGTTCACGGGAACGCCCTCGAGCGTGTCCACGATCATCAGCCCCGAGCCGACTTCGTTGACAGACAGCGCCTCGAGCGTGTACTTGAGCGGGCAGATCCACTGCAGCCACCGCAGAACTGGCGGGATGTCGTCCAAGTGCACGAAGAAGCCCGCATACGTCATCTGGTACAGCGCTGTCAACGCGGACAGGAGGATCGCGATGCCGCCGTTGCGGAATAGGCATGCGAGGAGGAAATTCTAGGCCAAGACGCGTCAGCTACTAAGTGCTGGTTGTACGACCGCGCGGATGAACTTACGAAGAGCGTCATGGCCAGCGTGTATAGCACCAGGATGAACAGGAACTTGAAGAAGTGCGCCGCGTCCTGGGCCAGGCCCGCCATCCAATACGTACTACGAGCCAGTCAGTGCATGCTTCTGTCGCGGAGCGCATATGACGTTGACGTACATGGTGGCCACGATGATTGTGGGGATGAGCCGGAGCGGGACCACATCGAACACGAAGCGGGAGAGCAGCCAAGCAGTTGGACTGCCACCACTAGGTTAGACTTGACGGTGCTTAAGTTGAAACACGGCTAACCTATAGTACGACGCCGAGCGTTCCCGCAAGAACAGCGGTCTGATCTCTACGACGTTGTATAGCGCGCTGAGAGACGAGAAAGCGATGAGGGCACCCTGGAGAACGCGGACGTGAGTAAGACACCTCGCGGGGACATCGAGGGTTCTGCTCACCAGGAAGAAGAGACACCCAACGCGGGATTGGAACCCAGCGATCGTGATTCCGGTATGGTAATATAGCCCGCCTGGAAAAATTCCTCGTTAGAGTCGCGGGATGAAATATGCCGTAGGGCTTACCGCAGAATACACCCAAGACACACGCGATGGCGATGTGAGCGAAGAATAGAGTCTTGTCGCGTCTCAAAATCTTCCATTCTCTCCCGGAAAGGACCTCCAGCTGCGTCAGGAAGGTCGCCTGGTAGTGGGACGTGTGGAACCACGACTTCTTCTTCGGCTCTTGCGCCTCCACCTTGCTCTCCAACTCGATATTAGTCGGAGATGTGCCGACGTATCCCTTCTCCACTTCCTCTGTCGATCCAGCAGCAGGACTTCCGTGTATCCCGGTCTTGGAGTTGCCGGACAGATCGAACGCCGCGACAGGAGGCTCGCTTGCGATCTCCAGGAGGTAGTCCGCGACGTTGTAGCCTTCCTTGTATGCGATACCCTGGGCAGAGAAGTGCTCCGCCGGAGCGAAACCACCGGCCCCAGAGTAGAGCGCGCGACCATGCGCGAGTACCAAGATCTGGTCGAATGAGTGATACAAGTGAGAGCTGAAGGCAGCGCATGTCAGCAAGGTACCAACAAGGAGAGAAGACGGCGACATACCTCGGCTGGTGAATAGACGCGATGACGGCGGTCGGGTTCTTCGGGTCGTGCGCAAGCGCGTGGAGCACATTCGCGACCTTCTTCGCCGACACGGAGTCCAAGCCAGACGTGGGCTCGTCCAAGAGCAGCACGTCAGGCTTCGAGACGAGCTCGAGGCCGATAGTGACCCGCCGCATCTCACCGCCGCTGATCCCGCGCTTCTCCCCGTCACCAATCCTCACGTCCGAGACGTGCGCGATGCCGAGGCGTGTCATAATGTCGTCCACGCGCGCTTGCTTCTCCACGTCTGGCACACCCTCCGGAAGGCGCAGACGCGCAGCGAAGAGGAGCGCCTCGCGCACAGTAAGCATGGGCGGGAGCACGTCCTGCTGCGGCACGAAGCCAACGCGCGGTTTGCGGCTGCCCGTCCCGGGGAACGAGACGCCGCCAGTGACCCGACCGACCTTGTGCTTCTGCGCGAGGATCTCGATGAGTGTCGTCTTGCCCGCGCCGCTCGGACCAAGGATGGCCATGATCTCGCCGGGGACAACGCGTCCGCTGACGTTGTCGAGGACGGTCTTCTCGGTCTCCACGTCCTTCGCGCGGCGGCGAAGCCACGCGGGGCCGGCCTGCTGCGGGACGAGGTAGCTCACGTCCGACCACGCGATAGCGACCCCTCCCGAGCGGTCCAATGCGCCCACGCCCTGCTTCCGCGCGCGACGCTGGCCTACCAGGCCGAGCAGAAGCAAGAACAGAGCGAGCCCGATCAGCGACCCAACTACGGCGAGGCCAGCAATCACACCGCCACTGAGGGAGGAGCCTCCCCCGTCGGTCCCGTCAATGGTGGAGTTTCCTGACAGCGTGTTCAAGGTGCTCTGCGCGATACATTCGCCGAATACACAGCCGCTCAACGAGATACCCGCCGACCCGAAGACCTGGTCGATGATATCTTGGTTGAAAGAGCACGACGCGGTGTTGTTCTCAGGGGCGGTGGGGCCGCAAGAAATGCCCAGGGTTCCGCTGAGCTGGTTGATGATGCCCGACAGGTCCGTGGCCCGTACCGCGCCGCAGAAGTTGGTTCCTGTTCGGCATGTGCACTCGAGGTTCTGGCAGCTCCAGTTCGAACTACCGTCGTCGTTGCCGAGGTCTTGCTCGCAGGTGTCCGCTGTGCAGTAGAACTGCTCCACTCCCAGGTAGAACAACTGAGCGTAGACCGAGCCGCTGGGACCGAACGCGGTGGTGTTGGGAATGGGCGTGAATGAGTCGTTCAGGTTTCGTGTAATGGTGATCGTAGACGGGCCAGGATAGATCACTTGAAAAGTGGGGTTCTGCGAGGCGTGTGTTAGACTTCTGACAGGTAAGCGCGCAATGAAAGGAGTGTATAGGGCGGCTCTATCAGCGTAACCCACGGAATGCTCTCAAGCCACATGTCGGAAAACTGCAACAAGTAGTACGGCCGCTCAGACTGCTCAGCTTCAAGGCGTGGTATCCTGCCTTCCCATGCTGACAGCCAATGGACGGACAGCTTGAAAGACAATTCTCCCCACCGAGCGGAAGTAGAGCGCATACCCATGGCGCGCTATTACGGCGCCATGAATGCAGCCGCGCAGAGAAGACGCGTCGAGGCCCTTTGTCGCGCGCTCCGTGTTCCAGCATGGCGCACAATGCATGCCGTGGATGGGACACGGGGATGCGGGATGAACCCCTAAATACGAGAACTCGGACTCACCTGCACTTTACAGCTCATCTGGCCGGAAGCATACACCCTCGGCGTCGTGTTGCACGTCAGCGAGTTGTCCTGGCCACTGCTGAGGCCTGTGAGGGAACTTGAACTGCCCTGGACACTCGCGAGTCCGGATTGGCACGCCTGTGCACTTTGGCAGACATTGCAGCCCGTCCCCGTCCAACCGTCTTCGCATGCGCAGGTGGTGAGGTTGGCGAACGGCGTGCCGCTAGCGAGCGAGCGACTAGAGCCCTGGAAGAGAGTGCCTCCGCACGCGGGTTGTGAGCATGTCGCGCCGCCAAAGCCGGGAGGGCAAGCGCAAGTCGAGCCGTTCACCGTCCCGTAGTTTTCGCAACCGCTCATGGCTGCAGCTTAGCCTTGGGGGGATGGAGGAGAAGACGGGGGTAGCGTGGGGGTGCGCGTCGTGGCTGAAGCATTTATGGGATGGGGGCGTGGGCAGGTACCCGTTTGGTGGACCCCGCGAATTCGGATTCAGTGTGAAAGTGGGGCGTCGGGCCGTATGCCTAAACAGGCTCGGGCGCCCCGCCCTCCCGCCTTCTCGGTCCCGCGGCTCGGGCACTCTGCTTCCAGGTTTCTCACCGCCACTCAGTCGTTCAACCAGGTTGCTTCCAGTACCTCCATCGCAGAGTCCCTCCCCCCAAGCGAGTGCTGCTCCGGCTTGGAAGACGGCTTGTTGTGCACATACAGACGAGAGGTTTGCACTGAAAAAATCGCACGTATACAGCCGCAGTGCTTCCACTAGACATACTACACGCTCGAGGTTCTTCACACGAAGTATTCGCCGTCGTCGCTCGCAAAGGCACACACTTCGCGCACATGGTCCTCTACGACCTTCCAATTCCCGAAGGCTTCTCCGGGATTGACGAGGGCACTCGCATTCTCCGCATTGTCTACCCTAGCGACCACTCTGTCCAACGTGAACGTGGTCAGTTCTCCACCTCATTACCGTCTCGCCGCACGACTGACCGCAGATACTCCACAAGTTTCTATCTTGGTCCTTCAAGACGCGCGCTTTGATCTGCGCTAGATGGTCGCAAACGATCTCGCCCTTGGCCACGCTCTTTCGGCCCGACATTAGTTCTCGACCACGAAAACAGGAGGTCTCCAAACACGTTATTCGCTCTGTTCGGGCCCCGAGCAACGACATCCAGACGGAATGCGGAGCGGCCGATGTCCGTGACGGATGTCGCCGTGTGCCAGAGTGTCGGAGGAACGTAGCAAGTGCAGACGTTGCTCCTGACTTCTATTCCCACTTTAAACATCGCGGTCGTTTAGGCTCTCGGCTCTGTTGACGAGATCGTTATGACATACAGAACAGCTCCCAATTCTTCGAGAGCCAGTTACCGTACAGGCTGGCGAGTGGAAATCTCCCACCAAGAGGACCTACCTAAGTGAAACGTTGGTGTTGCTTCGTCTCCATGTAAGTGGACTATCCCATTACTAGTGTGTTTTCTAACTCAAGAGTCGATTTTAGGGAGTACACCCTCAAGCTATTACCAGCCTCAGCCTCTAGGGCCGCTTGTAGGACCCTGAAGACGCTAGATAGTAGGGCGCCCGCACCGATGTCGATCTTCCCGAGCGCGTCGAGAGAGTCTCCGGTAAGTTTACCTCATCGGGTTTATGCAACATGGGCCCCTTGCGCCGAGCACTCCTGTGCCGCGGCGGAAGAGGGGTCGCGGGTGAGAGCACGGACGTAGTAAAAGCCAGTCTCGGAGCGCGTTAAAAACGCGACGAGGGCCCCGCACAAAACGACAGTTGCGGTGTAGAGGAAGCCCATGTGCTCGCCTATGAACCCAGGAAGTTGGACCTTCCTGCGATAGCGACGTTGTGTTGGACAGAAGTTGTGTTCTCCTCCGAGGCAAGGGATCCGAAGCGGGGCGTGTGCGACGATCGTGTGGCCAAGCCTAATCGCACCCGTTCGGTTCTCCCGCAGACCTACAGGTACTCATAGGGCTCTAGGCTTCCCCCTTGCCCTGTACGGCAGTCACGACGGACAATGGCCCATATCAGGGCTGGGAATATCCCCGGAAAACCACCAGTTCTGTACCTCTGTCGCGGTACAATCGCCAGAACATGCTGAACCGGACCATATCTCATGTGCCCTACATATGCTTGACGTATTCCTGAGCGGGGATTGTCTGTTAGGAGATTCATTTGAGAAGGCAAGGCTAGTCCTCTGCTTTCACTAGATAGCCGGGGAAATCCTAACTTTTCCTAGCATATGCCGCCGCCGAAACGCATAAGCGCCACTCGTCCGAGTGTCCCGCGGGTGAAACCAAACGTCTAGGCTTCGTATTCCTGACGTTTCCCTGGCGTGTTCCGGTCGGAAATTTGAGCGCAAGGAAATACGAGGAACTCGTGCGGCATATGAAATCTGTTACGATTCAGCACACTCCAGCGACTATAGTGGTAAAAGAGGTACATTTCTTCTGTTTTTCCTGGGAAATTCCTTGCCCTAATATGGGCCATTGCCCGTCGTGAGTGTCGTGTGGGACTCGGTCGGGGAATTCTAATCGAAGAGGCCCGAACGGCGTTTCTAAGCAAACGCACCCGTTCCGCGTAGGCCGCATTGCACGGAGCAGGTGTCGGATATGAGTGCTGTTCCCAGATTAATGTCAACGTGTTGCTGTAGCTATGCACGGTACGTCAAGCTAGCACCACTGGTACACCTGCTGAGATGCATACATGGCCCTCGCGCTGCTTCAGGTTCAATGTTCTCACTGTGAGACTTTCCGACGCTCACGGTGCTGATCCGCGACGGATTTCCACTTCCAAAACGCCTCGGCAGGGTTCACCAAGCTGTTCGCGTTGTCGCACGAGAAATCCAGCTTGCCCTCCCCCATCAGCACCCTACCAAAAACCGATGAGCTCCCTATCCCGACGCACAGCACCACAAACGCTAATACAAGCGACGCACCGAATGTACTCCACGACGTGCGAGTCAGGAGTGTCTCGCAGCTTGTGCTTGAGCTTCTCCAGTTCTTCGCTCTTGATTTCGCCCTTCTGCACGCCCTTGACCTCAGCGATCAAGTCGCGGACGTCCTCGTAGGTGACCGCGTTCCCCGATATGCGCAACTCGTCGGGGACTTGAGGAGCTGTGAGCGGATCCAGGGCTAGGGTGCAGAGTCGTGCAAGGGCCCTGCCCACATCGGCCTTGGATGTGAACGAAACCTTCTGGGTCGACGGGCCGAAGCAGGTGAATAGGTTGTTGTCAATGTCGAACCCGACTGGAGTGTGAACTCCTATAAGCCCCTACTCTTCCCCATTGGACGCGAGTGCTCACGAAATGGCTGCGATTCAGTGTCAGTATGCCAGCTGCTACATGATTCGCAGGAAGCCGTACGCACATTCAGAGACAATTCGATGAAGAGCCCTGTATAGACCGCGATGACTTGGGTTGGTGTGCCCCGCGCGACCTCGCGGGCATGGGACGCAAGCTCTCGCTTGACGTCCCAGTCATGATGGTCATACCCCGGGAAGTCGTTCTCCCTGTGGTCTCTGCTCAGGTCACAGTGAGTAATTTCCGCTCGCCCCCCTTCCCCGGATAAGCGGGGCCACGCACACGCCGAATTCGCTAAGAAAGTACACCTTCGCGCCGCCCTTTACCGCCGCCTCCGCGACTTGCCTCTTCAGGGCCTTGCGCGCGGTCACATTGAGCGCGTTGATCACGACGTCGGCATGGATGAACGTCTCCAGAAGAGACTGTGCGACATTCTCCTGGTCGAGCACTTGAAGCATCGCGCCTTTGCTGGCAAGGTGCTGTGCTCTGGCGGTCGACGGGTCACGGGTGAGGACCCGGACGATGGGGAACGTGGTGCGGTACTCGTCCAGAAAGACGCGAGAGATTTCGTACCCTGGTAATGGCGAGACTCATGAGCAGAGGGCATGCGAATGACAGGACGTGTGTGCTCACCCAGCCGGCCTGTTCCGCCTACGATCGCGACGCTATATCTTCCTGACATTGCTGACGGGTGGATATAGGGCAAGTGAGCCTCGTGCAGCCGCACATATGTAATCCACGATAGGTATGTATATTCGACCGGAGGCTTTACGGTCATGACGCAATCAAGGGCAATACTTATAAGTCATATGTTCTACAACTTGAAGCCTGAGCTTGAGTCACGGCATTGGGCTGCACGTGTATCAAACCTAGTCGACTGCACTAAGGTTGGAAGCCGCTGAATCTTTAGACGACCAACCCGACTCGAAACTGCAGCACTGTCACGCACGCTAGGCTCACCGTAGGCGAGAACAGATCGAATAATTAGAGCAAGCAAGATACATGCACCCTACTCTGCCTTGGAGCCCTTGCCCTTCTTCGGCTCGCGCTCGTCGCCCGCGAGCCAGAGCGCGACGAAGAGCACGAACGCGCCGCTCGTCGAGAACGCGCCCGCGTAGTACGGCCACGCGGCGCTCAGGAACCGCGGGTACCCGTCGTGCCGCGGGGGCACGACCGGGACGACTGTCGAGCTCTCGAGGTATGTCAATCTGGACGGACTGTCAGCACCCGGGTTGGGAGGGGAGAGGGGGAGGGATGGGGAGCGTACCCTTTACGCTTGTGGTTGATCACGAACTTGAAGACGCCGTGGCGGTCGGGGACGCGGAATGTGACGGCGTACTTGCCGGGCTCGTTGGAGGGCGAGAGCGCGGTGCGGATGTGCGGGTCGAGCATCGTGAATTCGAGCTGAAGGTCCTTGACGCCTGAGTACGGCTCCCAGAGGTCGAGCTCGGGGTTGTACTTGGAGATGTACGCCTCGTAGGTCTAGAGAGAGTGGCGCCCAGGTCAAGAATGAGGAGCATTAGCAGCAATGAGATGACGTACGACACGGTCGTTGGTGGTGTACACCTCCTGCGGCAGCGTCTCGTTCACGCGATGGTGCTCAACGCTGTCGATGCGCAGCACTTGCGACTCTTGGAAAGTCCATGCCGCGACGTCGCGCACAAATTGCCTGTTACCGGACGCCTTGCCCCTTCACACGTGCAGTTAGCATGCATATATGGTCTTCACCTGAGTGGTGGACGCTTACTTCGAAATCTCCTTGTTGATGTACTCGTCGCTGAACATCTCGACGCCGCCGACCCAAGTCGCGCGCGCGTTGTTGAGCGCCTGGAAGCCGGTGACCAAGCTCAATTGCTTGCCCGCCCAGAGGCCCTCGCCGCCCTTCTCGGACGCCTCGAACACGACATCCGCACCCGAGTCGCTGTCCGCGTCCGAGGCGAAGCTCTGCGAGGGCGCTTTCAGGAGGGGGACGAGCAACGGGTTGGTCCCGAGGGCCTGCGGCACGCCGGAGAACCACACCGGGGGGAGGTTGGGAGAGATGATAGAATCAGCGCTGGAAGCCTCAACAGGGATGACTGTTGCGGGCGTGTCACGCTGGGGGAAGTGGGAGATGAGGGGCGTGCCCGGGGGAGGAAGGATGAGGGAGAACTCCGCAGCAAGAGAGGAAAGAGGTGTCTGCTTCGTAGACAGCGCGAGGATGAGGTTGGTGTTTTTGTTGAGGAGCGTCACCAGGGACTGGGGGGTGATGTCTGCACCGTAGCCTGTAGAACATGGGGTCAGGGCGCGCCGCACGCGTAAGCGCAGTGCTCGAGCAACGTACTCTTGGTGTTCGGGGAGAACACAATGACATGCGCGAACTGTGCAACATCGTCCTTGATGATTTGAGGCTCAGCTTCCTTGGGCGAGCGGAAGGTGAGCTTGTAGCCCTGCTCTACACGGCGGTGTCAGAAGGTGGGAACGACATGTACATCTCCGCGCACATACTTTCAAGATCGCCGAAGAAGATAGAGAAGTTGTCCCGCTTCAACGAAGGGTCCAGGAGGACCAGGACGGAGTCACCGGTGCTTGAACGGGCGCACGCGAAGCCGGCCAGTGCCGCAAGAGGCAGCAGCAGTCCGCGGAGAAAGCGCATAGTGTGCTAGTCCTGCCTGTGAACGGGCAAGGTGAGCATCGACGCAGTTGCGTATTTTCTGGCGTTACGTACTGCAAATTACACTGCCCAACGCTCCAGAGGATGCAACAGAAAAGACAGGACGAGGGGAGGATGGGGAGGAGACAGTGACGCGCCAAGACAACTCGACGCGCGCGGGGACTGCGCACAGCGACACGTAGAGGTCACGTGGCAGCGTCTGCTATATGGGCGCTTCGAGCGCGCATCCTCCTTCTCCTCTTCCTCCTCCGTGAGCTCTCTCTCTAGTGACTCTGGCGGTTTTCTGGGACCAGGCTCGCAGAACCTTGGTGACCTACAACTCTGAAGTTTCTCGGAAGACTCTTGGTTCAATTTTCCTATGCTCTCTCGTGTACTTGGGATAACCGCTGTCGAGCGCACAGGGCAGAGATTTCGAAACGCAATAGTCGCAGTGAATTATACATGGTTTTCCACATCAACTAGCCCTACAACAATGGCACTGAGTCCGTATTGAATCGTTCGTAAGTCCGTGAAAGTCCGTATTGTGAGTGTGTATCATGTCCATGAAGCTGCTGAAGCTGTCGTCTACATAGAAGGCATGTCAACATGGCTGTCGCTGTCGTAGAAGGGGCAGAACTCACCTTAGAGACCGCACTGCGATGCCGCGACCTGCGTCGCCGTGGCGTCGATGCGCCCGAGCTGCTGCGCCTGCCCGTTCGTGAGGGTGTTCATCGCGCCGAGCGCGATGTTGAACCCTGCGTCCGTGTGGTCGACCGCGAGCACGTTGATGCTCTTCCCGTTGAACGTGAGCTTCCAGCACGACCCGCACTGCGCGCTGTTCCAGCCGGCGACCGCCGCGGCACCACCGATGTTCGGGAAGTGCGGGAGCGAGCCGAACGTGGAGAAGCCCTTCGTGATCAGCCCGTTCGCGCCGTCGGAACACGCGACGGTGTCGAGGCTGCTGGACCCGTTGTCGTACGCCTGGTCGTAAGAGACGGTGATGCCGAGCGCGGAGGGGACGAGCGCGAGTGCGGCGATGGCAAGGGTCTTGAACTGCATGATGGGCGTGAGGGGTGGGTGCGTCGATGAGTGCGCTGGGTCTTTGAGAAGCTGCTGGATATGCTGCTGAAGACTCGGACACTTTTTGTTCTCTCTTTTATAGGCACAGTGCACCCTGTTGGGCTCATCCCGACGTCGACGGCCTGAAGTCGGCGACGCACTGTGAAGGAGGTGTTCCTGATGTCGGTTGTGCACTTACACGGCATCTAGTGGTATCTTGTGACCGCGCTGCATGCACCGACGCTGCTTCCTCAGTATCTAGAACCACCCCATGACGGGAAAGGCTCTGCCTTGTCCCGCCTCGACGGCCCACGTCCCCCTTCTCTGGCTATCCGCATCACGGGCGTGGCCGCCGGCATGGGGGAGGCTGCACATGCACCGCGCACGGCCCGCTTCACGAATATTCTCGAGGCTGGGTCTTCCCCATCCGCTCGTCGAGGCCTCCGCTAAGCACCACCGTCTTGTGGAACGGAGAGGCTTGGGCCGCATTACGTTCGCGCGGTGGACGCTTTTGTGGGGCATGCGGGAATACGATGCCCGTGATGATGAGCGCCAAGACGTCGTGACCGTGGCATGCGTACTCAACGTTCTTCTGTGCAGTAGACGAGTTGTCGATATCCTCTGTTCTTCCTAGGTGCGAGTACGTCTTACGATGGCGTGAAGCATGCTAACAGCAGACTTATACAGCGTAAACTCACCTCAAACGAGGAAGTTACCTTTATGTCTCCTGCATTTAGACCACCATCGGTGGTGGTACGTAATTGCTTGCTGGGATTTACTCACTTCCAACGTAAGCAGTCGCTGTATACTTATTTGCAGCAAGGTGGGAGGTACGTCGTGTTGTCGCCTGAACCTTCAAAGACCTAAGTACTGATATTCGCCAACAGTAATTCAATCTTACAGTCGTGACGCTGCTATGCTTGCGCTCCTTGTTATCCCCGCAACGCCACGTCGGCGTTCGCCATTGAATCCTATAGCAAAGTGCGTTCAAGACATCGCCAATACCAGTCGAAGCCCCATGGACTTCTATATATAATCCTGCCGCAGACTAAACCCACACTCCCGCCGACTCCGCCCTTCAAGCTTCAGGGCCTTTAGGTTCATCATGGCATTGCACCCGGCGCCCGTTCTGGCTTGTTGGGGATAGCCGCAGCTACTGTCTTTATTGGCGGCCCATTGTTGAGTCGTCGCGTTTTGAAAAACCTTACCGGAGGAAGGAACTTTTCACGAATTTCATACCCATTGATTGTACTTTGCACAGATCAAGAAGGAAAAGTGCAGTGGCTACACTAGGACAAATCCTATAGCGCCGACGTCGGAAGTGTAATGTCAGTGTTTTTCGGCGTACATTGGCATACTTTTTGTGAGCTTACATGGCACAGACCAACGTGGAGGATTTGCGCAGGGTGGTCCTCCAGGTATCGTTCCTGTAGCATCTTCGATATTCACTATCGACCCTGAGGTTGTGCCTCGATCTCCTTCCATACTCCAGATTTCAAATCAAGACTCAATACTCCATTTTGATCTCGACGCATCCTGTTTCACTCCGCCCGGCACCAGAACCTGCCATGACCAATTTTACTGAGCTGCGTCTAGGAAGTCTGCAGTGGAGTGAATCATTGATTGCTTGGGCGCGTCGCGCACCGCCCGCGCCTTGTGTACACAGGCACTGCGCGACGATCTTCAACGCTCGACCCGGTGAATTGATTGCACCGTCGAGGGTCCGTGGGGATCGTACGAAGCTATGCCATGTGAGTGCTCATCACCGCACACAGTTGCCCCCCGTAGTCGACGGCATGGGCCGCGGTGTTTGAAGGCGGCTGACGCCGTTGCACAACAGGATGTGTCCCAGATACACCCGCGAAACCCGGATTTACGGGTTATGTGTCGACAGGTCCATCGAGCGTGCGTTAGAGCGGTGTCTGCAGAGTTCACGAATACAAGGTGTCCAAGGTGCTCGCCGGTGAAGTGATTTCTCCGTGTGGACTTGGGGGTCGCGGAGCGGGGCGTGCACATGGCGTTCACCTCGGTGTCCTGTTGGTATAGCGGCGACTGCGAGTATGAGGCTATGAAGGTTTGGAGGAGTGAACATGCTCCGACCATTTCATGACAAGCGACTCTGTCCGAACATTAAATGGTACGTTCGGCGCCGGCGTCCGTTCTACGATCAGCACCTTCCACTAATATCGCGACTCAACTTCATGTCCGCTGGCGATGCAGGCAGACAATATAGGTATCTTCACCTACAAGTAGTCCTATACGACCATGACATCTGTAACAACAGTAAGGCAAGACGTCATACTGATGCAAGTACTTAGTAAGTACTGGAGGACGTACACAGTGCACGATCTGCAGTGCCGGCGGTTTGAGCTGCAAAGTTGATGCTGAGCATATTTCGTGTGCATCCGTTCCTTCATCATTCCGTTCCGCACCGGCTGCATGTGCTGAGGCATGCTGAACAACGAGCTACCTTGTGGGCAGGCGTGCGTTACAAATGCTGGTGCATAATCGTCCGTGAGCCGTTCGCTCATTCTTGGGCGCTTCGCGGTACGCGTCCACGTAGCGGCCGGGTAACGGAATCTCCGCTCAAATCCCGCGGGAAAGGCCGGGAAATGACGGTCCCCCGCCCGAGCGTCCACTGCGCGTGCTTCCCGCTCACTCGTCGTTGATTCTCTCGGTGAACACGCTGTCAATTCTCCTCTGTCGACTTCCGCAATGGCCGTTCAGGACGAACTCGAGTACCTCAAGTCTCTCGTGACTCAACTCAACGAGAAGATCCACAACCTCGAGGCGAAGGCGAAGGACGCGGTCTCGGGTTCGAAGACGCCAGCGCAGCAGCTCAGGACGATCTTGGTTGGTCCTCCTGGAGCCGGTGAGTGGATTGCGGTCACCAATGACGCGCTCTATGACTCTCTGTGTCTAATAATGCCCAATGCTCCGCAGGAAAGGGTACTCAGGCCCCCAAAATTCGGGATGAGTTCTGTGTCTGCCACATTGCCACCGGTGACCTGCTTCGCGACCAGGTCTCGCGGAAGACGAAGCTTGGTGTGGAGGCGAAGAAGGTCATGGATGCCGGTGGACTCGTCGGCGATGATATCGTCGTGGGCATGATCAAGGATCAGCTGGAGAACAACAAGGCGTGCAAGAACGGGTACGTAGCCCGTTTGAGAATATTATCCCGCGTACGCTTCGCTGCGCACTTCTATCGGCCTTCCTCGAGGACGGGGACGTCAATCTATTCACCGCCGATCTATGCTTTGCAATACGCCGGCTTCTTGCTATCTGGCTTGACGTTGACTTTCCGCGCTTGTCTAGCTTCGTTTTGGACGGTTTCCCCCGTACTGTCCCACAGGCCTCCATGTTGGACCAGATGCTCCAGGCGCGCAAGGAGAAGCTTGACTCCGTCGTGCAGCTCGTGATCGAGGACCAATTGTTGATTTCCCGAATCACCGGTCGTCTCATCCACCCCGCCAGTGGGCGCTCCTACCATCGCGAGTTCAAGTAAGTGGCGTAATGGAGACTCGTTAACGTACGTGCGCATTCTCATGGTTCACACCATAGCCCGCCGAAAAAGCCCATGGTCGACGACATTACCGGCGAGCCCCTCGTGCAGCGTTCAGATGATAACGTCGAAGCGTTGCGCAAGCGCCTCACCGTCTTCCACTCTCAGACCGGCCCTGTCGTCGACTACTACAAGCAGAAGGGCATCTGGTACCCGATCGACGCCGCCCAGTCGCCCAAGGTCGTATGGGAGAACCTGCGCGGGATTCTCGTCAAGACGGCTTCCAAGTCATCGTGACGGTAGATACATTCGTACGTTATTCGGACCGTACTGGCGCCTTTCTCTGCTATCGTACCTTCCTGTAGTACATATAGAGTTGCGAAGTCTACTTGCTGTCGGTGATACGTCAAAGGCCTGGCCTGATTTACGTGCGGTGTCCCTGGAACCACAGCTGTGCATGCGGTAATAGGTCAGTTTGTGGTAACGTTTATCACGTTTGCACTTACAATGTCCCACCGCATTCCCAGAGGTGTCCGCGTGAGTGGAGCCATCGGCGGTGGTTTCAATGCCAGATAAGAAACAACCACAAGATCTCAGCTTCGATCGGGGCGTACTCAGGCTATGTGAGTAATAACGTATGAGAATCGCTCTATTTCTGGGCCCACCATGGTTCGAGGTAGGAGCGAGCGCCGAGAACTTCTCAGCGAAGGAGCCACATAGATCGTCTGTATCCCCCCAAGATGTTTCCTGATCCGCCGAAGCGTCCTGCGTGGAGTTAACTGAATAAAACGTTATCTCGTATGCTCAGCTGCATATTAGTGGCTGCGGAACTCCGCCAATGGGAAGCCACACGGCATCGTGTCGACCATGCCGAGTACCGCGGCAGCATGGTGCGAGTCGCTCCGACAGCGTCGGAGAGATGTCAAGGCCATCGGCGTCTCATCAAATTGCAGACATGCAGATGCGTGCGGTCGGTAAGTGTCGTAAACATACGCCCAGCCGTAGTGAGGGTTAATGAGCGGGAGGCAGGTGTAACGTCGAAGGAGGATGTGGTCGTGCAGTCGAGACGTCAACGCGGGACGAGCACTGGTGATACGAAAGTGCGCCTCCCGATATGGTAATAATGCGACACGACAGGCTCTGGGCTCGTCAAAACGCTACTGGACCAACGTTGATCGCCTGTCCTATCATCAGTGTCGCATGATCTTCTGGCGGCAACGGAAGCAGACCGAGGCGTTCACATGTGCTAGGCAAGCGAGCGCTGTGGATTTCCGCATCGACAGAGGAAAGGGAGATGCGCATCCGCCCCGACAGCGCCCGCTGAATTGTGTAGAGCTTTACGTGCGCCGGGCTCCCGGATGCACGGCAGGGGTGCACTGGTGGCGAGATGGTCGTAAGGATCCGTATCCAGAACTGAATACTAGAGTTGCCGGATACGGCAGTGCACGATGCGTGCCTTTTTCTTCCGCCCCGAGCGCTGATGCGGCAGTGCCATCGTCGCCAGGTGGTGGCGCTTCGGTTTCTCCCAGCATCACAACATTGTCGGATGTGCTGCGTGTACAGTTACTCCGGAAAGGAGAAAGATGAGTGCCCAGCTCTTAAAAATCAAACGTAGAATGGCAAGAAGCAGAAGATTTGACAGTTCAATCTGCTGCAGTCCCGCGCCGGAAGCGTTCTCGGTGATGGGACTCGCGGCGGGGCACTGCGGGTAGTGGATAGCCTGCCCTTAACGTGGGGAAGACTTGAGCAATGTCCAGAAGCCCAGAACAATGTGGACGGCATACACGTTTCAGCACGGACCGTCCTGGATTTCCCGAATTTTTGGAATTGGTCGTCAAAGATAACTTCGAGCGCCGATGCCTCTTTCCGGCCGTTTCGCACACGGATCTTTACAAATCCGCGTGAATCTTGATGCGCCTAGCGAGCGAGAGTGGAAACGCGGGCGCGGGGGGGGGCGAGCCAGCGGTGCAAGCGGTGCAGGGAGAACAACGCGAGAAAGCCCGAGGCAGCCGCGCCGCCGTGTCTGCTCGAGGTCAGGGGGGAGCGCGCGGGGCGCAGGCGCTGGCGGCAGCGCGAGAGAGCCATCCGGCGATCCTATCTGCATCATGATCTCGTTCAGGGCGTCTCAGCACGGAGAACCTTGACTTTTATAGCATCACTTACGGCAGCTCCTGACGCCAGTGCTTCTCCTAGATTAACGCTCGGACTTACTTGAACGACCGACGCAAGCACTGCTCCTCTCCCCCGACCCCTCCTCCTCGCTATCCTACTCCTACGCTACCATGAAGGCTCCTTCCGCCCTCCAGCGCGGCATGGCCTGCCTGTGCTGCCGCAAACGCAAGATGGTCAGTCGCGCGCGCACTCACGTCAGGCACCCCGCGCTGACATGCACCCGGACAGAAATGTGATGGCGCCCGTCCTGTCTGTGGTCAATGCACGAAGGCAAACAGAGGGCCGGAGTGCACGTACTACGAAAAGAAGCGCACAAGCCGCACGCAGCTTTTGCAGGCGAAGATCACGAAACTCGAGGCCCGTTTGCGCGAGCTTGAGTCTGAGCATACCCCAGAACCCTCCTCCAGCTCCGCGTCGCGATCGCCCAGTTTAGCGGGATCCTCGTCGCCAAGTCTGAGCGGTATGTGTGGACGCGCCCATTTTCTGTCGCGACTATGTGCTAATGAATTTCTGTTTGCCTCCCCGCTCTGCCCGCGCCTCAGTGTCTCTCCCCTTCGACTCTGTCTTGTTCCATCCCTCCGATATCGACCGCGACTACGGCGGTTCTGGCGGCAACGAGTCACTATCTCACATCCCCTCGGATCCGTTCTTCTCGGGACTCCAGGACGATTCAAGCTCTTCGGGATATTCCTGGCAGGAGGGCTTAGACTTCTCACCCGCCGTAGATGACTTCCTCGCTCCGTGTCCATCAGAACCAAGCACTAGTACCCCACAAGAAACTTCTACCGTCCACTCACCAAATTGGTGGGAGAATGACGTTTTCTGCGAGAACAAGCAAGTGCTGTAGGGTCACTTTATCTTCCGGTCTCACGAGGACTCTTAAGCTAACGAGCGCACGTCGTGTTGCACAGCCTCGACATTTTCTTCGCGCATCGACACCAATGCTCGTTTGACGTCCACATAGGCCGATTCAAGGCTGCACTATTAGCACCCGCTGCGCGAAAACCACATTCCTCCTTGGTCGACGCCGTTTACCTGCTCGCATGCTACTTCTCACGGTCGCCGAGTCTCACCGCGCTAGAGCCGTATTTCCTCAAGCGGTCACTTCGCGGAATCGCGGATGCACTTCAGAACACGGACCGGATCGTCCAGGTCCTCCAAGCCTCGTGTCTTCTAGCTGTCTACTTCTTCTGGCATGGACGCACCCTCGAGGGTTACTATCACTCCTCAATCGCGGCGCGCCTCGCTGTCGGCCTCGGGTTGCATCAGATACGCTCCAACGAGTGGTTCCAACTGCAGTTCGCGCGTGCTGGCTATTCACAAGAGGCGCCGGCGCCGCTCAAGGCATCGGTGCCGCTGAAGCCTCCGCTCGATGAAGTGGAGTACACGGAACGAATAGCGGCCTTCTGGCAGATCTTCTCGGTCGACAGGTCCTGGGCGGTGGCCACGGGCCTCCCCACGGCGCTTCCTGACGACGACCACCCGCGGTCCCAGATAGAGACGATGTGGCCGATCACGATACCGGACGACCCTGACGTGAGTGCTGCATTTTTCGAGATACGAATGCGACTGAGCAGGCTGCAACTGCAGCCCGAACTCGAGAGCGGGATTATTCCAGCGCTCCCGGGTGGCCACTTGTCAGGCTCAGCGTCCACTGCGGCGCTGCGCGTTAAGGCGATCGCCCTCTTTGAACGTACCGCGCGGTTCTCATCAAGTGCGTCTGTTTAAACTTTGCCAGGAACTGTCCCGTTGACGTTCGTACAGCTCCCACGAAAGACGACAATCACTATTCGTTGGAGATGTCGCTCACGCAGTTCCTCACGAACCTCTCGAACCTCAGCAACCAGCAGTACAGCCTGTCGTTCCTTGTCACGACTGCCGACCTTGTCGACATGCAGACGCTCATCCACGCCGCGACACTGCACCTGTACCGCGACTCGCTCGAGATCCAGTCGCAGTCGTATCAGAAGTGCGCCTGGGCGGCGGGCGCGATGACTTCCCTCATTCGCTCCATGGCGGAGAGCGACTACGACCTGCTGTGCCCTATCATTGCGGTGCGTTGCTTTGCTGCTCTTGTGGGTGCTCGTGGTGAACCTGGGGCTGATGCTCGATCGATCACGCAGACATGTTGGCGCTCAGCTGCGGAGGTCTACCTGCGCATACGAGCATCCGCGCAGGGGCAACCGCTGACGACGACGACGGAGCTGATTGAGCAGGAGCTCGATACGCTCGTCACGGCATTGCAACGCCTTAGCCTCGTCTTCCCTATCGCAGGTAAGCACCAAGCGGCCTCGCATGAAACGGGCACCGCTGACTGATCTCTCAGGCATCTACGCTGCGAAGATCCAGGACGACAGGATACCGGCGGGCCAAACCTTTGTTTCGCCGCCCCTGGTATAACGAACACAATCACGACCGCCATTGTATATTGGATAGCCTCGTTCCCCATGCTATGGACATGCTATGATACCGCCTGGATAATTATTATATTGGTATGCGCCCCTGTACCGTCGCTCTCTGGGTCTCTTCCGTCATCATTTCGGGATGTTCCAGGAGGATGTACTTACTGCCGGTCTCCTCTCCCCCCTTCGCTGTTCCCCGCCGTGTGTTATTATGCCTGTATCAATTAGCGACATCCTACTCTATACCATACCCCGTTCCGTGCTATATCGAGCCCGCCTATCTGCCTCCCGTCGGTGCTGCGGCGGACCCTCGGGCGCACCGTCCGATGTCGGAACGTCATCAAGCACTCCGTGTACCACGGACGACCACATCATGCTCGCGCTTCGGCTCGCGGGGTCTTGAAGCCCATTCGAATTCGCGTTCGTGGCGCCTGGATCGCGCGCAGCGCCGGTCTCTTGCCCCAGCGGAGTGGCGATGTTGCCAACGCAAACGCGATCACCCCCGGAGTGCCCAAGAGGGCATGGCCGCGCGACACCGTGCGCGAGCTGCCCGGACGCATCAGACACAGGCTCGCGCGGCGCATACTTCTGTCTCGGACGGACCATGAATGTTTGAATCAGTGAAATTGGGCTGCATCACGAACAGTTGGCGGTACGAGCGGACGAGGTGGCGGCGCGAGCGGGGCGAACTCGGTCCGAGCGAGTGGCGAACAGAAACGGGGGGCGGGCGCTCATGGGAGATCGTCGGGATCGGGGAGGCGCGATCGAGGAGGGGGACCTGGGGATGCCGCACGGCTCTGAGCCGCCGGATCACTGACTGCGTTGCGCTTCACTGTGTTCCCGACGGATTCGGAAGCTAGAGGCAGGGAAGCAGGGTCGGCAGGGAAGAAAGCAGGGCGGTCGACCGAGGAGGGCCGATAGGATTAACGATAATGCGAGGAGAGTTGTTTGTTGTGACGTTGTGTTGTGCGATTGTGAGGTTGGCAAGGACCGCGGCAAGGTTTGTTTAACGTACACATCGCCCAGAGCGCAGCGGGGTGGCGAGTCCGTGTGCGAAGGGGCCCAGAGGGGTGCCAGTAACCTGATGGGTATTGAAGGTGCGTCCGACTTCCTGTGCATGGAAAAACATTGATGCGCCTCGCGAGCGTTTGTAGGGCGTCTGACATTGAGAGTCGATGATTGGAGTGCGCGCGTGACAACTGCATGATCAACTTCCATAGCCTCGGGAAATTCAATGGACGTACGAGCGGCGTGAAGATACCTGATGGCCCTGCAGCGAGCGCACGGAGGTTTGCGACAGAAGTTGACGGTGAGACTGCCACGGGAGAGACGAGGGTCTTCGATCGCTCCATGATTAGCAAGGAAGCCCGGAAGTCGAACGGTGCCTGTGAGGGTGTAAGTACTATGTTGGGCATGTAGCTGCGTCATGACACAGCGAGAGGATATCTGCGTCCAATGCGCAGCAGACGGCCCCGACAATTCCGACCTGTGCTTGTTCACTGCTCACGATTGCCCGACCTAGTAAAGTCCGTGGATGCGGGTCGACCCGGCTCTATGAGGCGGTCAATGTCGGTGGCCGGGGGAGTTCCTCGATTCAGCATGAAACACCCCGCCATGCAAATTGAGGTTGACCGGCATTAATGACCTGCGTAAGAGTCGTTGTGCGGCACAGAACATTATGGCAGGCGGGGCTGTACGTTGAACCCTACTTGAGGTAGCATCTCCGTCGGCGGGCAACGTGTGCACCTCCCGACATAGATAGAAGTCGCAGAAGGCCACGGAGTTAGTTAATAAGAGCCTGTATAAATTGTGTGAGATTTACGCGCGATGCTATGACTGATCATTGGTACGTACTTGTACTTGTGGCCGCGCCCCATCGCGTTCGAAACGGATGGATTTGGAAACATTCGGTATCTCGGAGCTCAATCGCCCGTCTGTAAAGTCGACTGTGTATCGGCCAGTACCAGAGGATCCGATGTGCCCGATAGGCGTACGGCTGTGCGCGCAAGGCCTCCCCCTTAGAAATCACTGTGCACTTCAGGGTTATGCCCACGTGAAGCAGTCTGCGCCGTGTGCGAGGCGCTGCTTCAGCCTCGCGTACGGCACGGACCGCTTGTGCGTTGTCTGGAATATTCGCGGGAATGTTTTGTCAAGGCCAGCCACATCACCGTCCTGTGTATCGGCGCGCAGTCTTCCGAGATCGGTAGGCTGGAGAAAGGACGCCGCGCAGGAACTTCGACCGCGTTTCATGTCCCCAGAAAAGGGATTCGATGATAATAGTTTGGGGCCCAGGTTACTTCAAGTAGGCCGGGTATTCGGATCGAAATAACTGTCGGAAGGACATTGACTTCGCGGTCTAAAAGTTACGCACACCGGTCTAGCAGTGTCCTTTCCATTTTTGGGGCCATTTGCGGAGCTCATCCCGTGAAATTCTGCAGGAGGTAGCGGAATAATTTACTACGAAGATATGTCAAGGAAGCCGGTTCACGTACAGAGTTGCCAGTGCATATTAAACTGATAAATTGCGCATGCAGTCCAATCTCCTGGGTGGTTGTGGTGAGCACAGCAGAGAGCGTATGATGCCCGTTTCTTGCAAGCATGAGATGTATGAGAGTGTCCGCTACCCACGGAGTGTAAACCGGACCCAACTTGGACCCTTCCCGAGTGTGAGCGAATTGCTCGCCGGGACCGGCTACAAGCTTGGCGCGGTGCTTTCGCGGAGGGAGATTTGAGCGGAGTTCCCAGGTCTGCTGGTAAAGACCTCAGTACGCTCACATGCTGTGCATCCGGAAGTGCTGTACTGTGTCCAGCAGCCCGTCTGTCGGCGAGATGGTCATGGCGGTACGAACGAGAGGTGAGCCTCACTGTCGCACGGCTATCTGTGTATTGAGCCGCCACAGCGGGCCGGAGCGCCCGGCACCGAAGGTAGCGCAGTTTGTTTGGCCAAGCGCCGCGACCAAACAAGGACGCGAGGAGCGCTCGACCGCGCCGTCGTCACCAGACTTACCACACAACTTCACCTTTGACGTCCTCCACGCGCCAACATGGGGGACGATTATCCTACTCTGTTTCGTGAGTACGCTTGTTCTTTGAGCGCAGAAGGTGTGCTGAAGCAGAAATGTCAGGCTCCGAGCAGATGAGCTTGGTACAGCTCATTGTGCCTACGGAGGTCGCTCATGATACCATTGCTGAACTCGGCGAGTTGGGCAACGTGCAATTCAAAGACGTGAGTAATTCTGCTCCAACACTTGTTAACGTTTGGGACTGTTCTCACCCCACCAATAGCTGAACCCTGATGTCAATCCTTTCCAACGTTCCTACGTGGGCGAAATTCGCCGCGTTGACGAGATGGCCCGCCGAGTGCGCTTCTTTGCGAGTCAACTCGAGAAGGAGAAGGAACCCATCCCCGTCCGCCCCCTGTACGACTCCGCTCCGCTCGTTACGGTTGGACCACGTGCGGCGCAGACCATCGACGAACTCGACGTGAAGTTGGCGGAGCATGAGTCGCGCCTGACGCAGATGAACGAGAGCTACCAGCTCCTCAGCGAGCGTCTGCGGGAGCTGGTCGAGGCACGGCACGTCCTGCGTGAGACTGCACAGTTCTTCGACCAGGTACGTCGACACTGTTTTCTTCTATGGACGCAGCACCGACGAAATTTGTAGGCCGCTGTCCGCGAAACTGGCGAAGTTCGGGCCTCGTTGGACGACAGCTCCGCGCCCTTGCTTCAGCACGATGACCGCGAACAGCAGTACAGCTCTGGAGAGCTACAGTTCGATCTCGAGTATGTGAAGCTGTCGTCTTACCGTCTTGCCGTGATTGACGTTCGTTCAGGTTCGTCGCGGGTACCATTGACCGTGCACGCCTCTCCACCTTCGAGCGCGTTTTATGGCGGGTGCTGCGCGGCAACTTGTATATGAACTATATCGACATCCAAGAGCCGTTCGTGGATCCTGCGACCGGCGCGGAGACGCGCAAGAACGTTTTCATCATCTTCGCGCATGGTGATATCCTCTTAGGCAAGATTCGCAAGGTCGCCGAGTCCATGGGTGCGACCATCTACCCTATCGATGTTAATGCCGACAAGCGTGCGGACTCGATGCGCGAGGTGACCGGACGTCTTGAGGACTTGCAGATTGTTCTGTACAACACCGGGGCGAACCGTCGGACCGAGCTCATGACGATCGGGGAGAACATCGCCAGCTGGGAGGACGTCGTTGGGAAGGAGAAGCTTATCTACGAGACGCTGAACCTACTCAACTACGACGCCCGGCGGAAGACTTTGGTTGCGGAGGGTTGGTGCCCGACGAGAGACATTCCTCAGATTCAGCTGGCCCTGAGACATGCCACGGTACGTTGCACCGATCGTTATGCGTTATGCATGGATGAAATGCTGAATGTTTCACTTTACAGGAGGAATCTGGCACGAATGTCCCTCCCATTCTGCATGAGCTCCGTACCAATCGCACGCCACCAACCTTCCACCGCACGAACAAGTTCACGGAGGGTTTCCAAACTATCATGGATGCGTATGGTGTTGCGACGTACGAGGAGGTCAATCCTGGTCTCTTCGCCGTCATCACCTTCCCGTTCCTGTTTGCTGTCATGTTCGGCGACATTGGTCACGGTTTCATCATCTTCATCTCCGCTGCTCTCATGATCCTCTTTGAGAGAAAGCTGGCGAAGGCTGACCTTGGCGAGGTACGTTCTGTTCTTGTAACAGGCTACGTCATGTCCACTGACGTCTTGACGGCAGATTTTCGGCACTTTCTTCTTGTAAGCTCAAGCCCGCAGCGGGATTCACAACCCTTGTGATACTGACCCCTTAACAGCGGTCGCTATATCATCTTACTCATGGGAGTATTCTCGATTTACACCGGTTTCCTTTACAACGACATCTTCTCGAAGTCGCTGCACCTCTTCCACTCCGGTTGGGACTTCCCGGAGGCTCACGGCAACGAGACTCTCCCGGGGGTTGCAAACGGACATACCTACCCCTTCGGTATCGACCCTGCCTGGCATGGGGCTGAGAACGGGCTGCTCTTCACGAATTCGTACAAGATGAAGATGTCCATCGTCCTCGGGGTGATTCATGTGCGTCTTCTCAGCTTCTGCGATACCGGATCGGTTCTCACGCTCGCGGCGCAGATGACCTTCGCGGTCTGCCTCCAAGTCCCCAATCACATCCGTTTCAGGCGCTTCTCGGACATCTGGACGAACTTCATCCCCCAGATGGTCTTCCTACAGTCGATCTTCGGCTACTTGGTCGTCTGTATCATCTACAAGTGGACCGTCGATTGGTCGCAGGCCTCCACGCAGCCGCCATCCCTGCTGAACATGCTTATCGGCATGGTTCTGTCACCGGGCTCCGTCGACCCCGATTCTCAGCTGTACCCTGGCCAGGCCACCGTTCAGGTCATCTTGCTGCTCATGGCAGGTGTCTGCGTGCCGTGGCTCTTGATCTCGAAGCCGTATCTCCAATACCAGGAGATGAAGAAGATCCAAGGTCAAGGGTATATCGGATTGGGCGCCGACGATGTACCCCGGCACACGGACGACACGACTTTAGAAGGCGAAGAAGAAGGGAACGGCCAGGCCATCGTCGAAGCGAACGACGAGGAGCATGTAGGTTCTTTGTACGTCTTGGATGCTCATAGCGCTCATCCCTTCTATCTCGCAGGAGCAGCACGACTTCAGCGAGGTCGTCGTTCACCAAGTCATCCACACCATTGAATTCTGCCTGGGCTGCGTCTCCCACACCGCGTCTTATCTGCGTCTCTGGGCGCTCTCGCTCGCACACGCTCAGCTATCCGAAGTGCTGTGGGACATGACCTTGGCCAACGTGCTTGGGATGTCGGGGGTTGTTGGGATTATCGCGCTGGCCTTCGTTGGAGTAATGTGGCTCGTGCTGACTATTTCGATCCTGTGTGTCATGGAGGTGCGTCTTCCTTGTGGATCATGGGTCGTGATGATAATCGGTCGCGCGGGCAATGGCTGATCGCCACGCTTTAGGGTCTTTCCGCGTTCCTGCACGCGCTGCGGCTGCACTGGGTGGAGGCCAACAGCAAGCACTACGAGGCGGGCGGATACGTACGTTGGTTTCATCTCCGGTACATCGTGCCTTGCGGAAGACACGTCTGCTGACTCGCGGGTTGCACAGCAATTCGTTCCGCTGAGCTTCGCACGGCTGAATGAGAAGCAGTAGGGGTGAGGTGGCAAGCGGAGGATCGGACACGGCTCGGACCCTGAGAAGCTCCAGGAGCTGTAGCATAGTTCCGACGCCGGTGTCGGCGATACATGGGTGCCAATGACCATCGTGTTCTCGCAGGTTTCCAGGGTGGGCCAGCCGCCAGAGCGTGTTGGGCATGTGGGGTAGCGCCTTCCCCGCAATTCACTCGGCACTAGGCGCCGAGTAAGCGCCGGCAGTGCGATGCCATCGCCCACGTGAGATCTCTCATTTTTTCGCACTCCGCCCGCGCAGGGATCCCGATATATAAGTGATGAGCGACAAGCCGCGAACTCTATCCCCACTCTTTTCTTTCCTCTTTCTCTTTTGTCAGTTAGAAGGTGAGCCCATCGTCCCCGGCGTCGTCCCTGCCCCCGACGCTGACCGCCCGTCCACAGGCCCCCGCCGACATAGAAGTAGAGTGATCTCCGTCCTTGACGACCTTTTCCTGCGTTTCGCACCCCCAAACCCTTCAGATCCGCTCATCTGTTAAGGTGAATATAGTCGCCGTCGCGTCTCTTTGCGCCCCAGCACTCAATGCCGCAATCCGCTCAGACATCCGCCATGCCCGCTACTACCGCCTCCGCCTCCCCCGCTACCCCGTCTCCCGCCTCTCTCAAGGCTGCCGTTGCGCCTGCGGCCGGCCAGTTCGACGTCTCCGGCCTCTTCGTCGCGGACAAGGCAACCCGCGAAGCCGCCGCTGCCCAGCTTGCTGCGCTCGCACAAAAGGAGGGCCCCAAGGCCTTCCAGTCCGTCGGCTTCGTCGACGCCGCCATCAAGGCCCTCGGCGACAAGAAGTCGCCCTCGGCCCGTGAGGGTGCAGCCAACGCCATCGCTACCATCGCAGGCACCCCCGCGGTGAAGGCGCTTGAGCCTATCTTCATCGACTCTGGCCTCTACGCCGGGCTCCTCGAGGGCTTCGCCGACAAGATGCCCGCTGCGCGGACAGCTGCCGTCGAGGCGGTTCGGGCGTATGTTGCGGCTATGAACCCCTGGGCTACGGGACTGATCCTCCCCGCCCTTCTTCACGAGGTCAAGACTGCCGGCAAGTGGCAGCTCAAGACCGGTTCTATCACCATCATCAACCAGCTCGTTGTCTCCGCCCCGTCTCAGGTCGCCAAGCTCACCCCCGAGATCGTCCCCGTCCTCGCGGAGGCTATCTGGGACACCAAGGCGGACGTGAAGAAGGCGGCGCGCGACTCGCTCGAAAAGGTCACCGCTCTGGTTTCGAACAAGGACATAGAACGCTTTATTCCTGCCCTCATCAAGGCCCTAATCAACCCCGTCGAGGAGGTGCCTAATACCATCACGCTCCTCTCGGCGACTACGTTCGTTTCCGAAGTAGACTCCCCTACCCTCTCCCTCATGGTTCCTCTCCTGTCTCGTGGTCTCACCGAGAAGCTTACGGCGACGAAGCGTAAGGTTGCCGTCATCACCGACAACATGGCCAAGCTCGTCGACTCCCCTGTCACCGTCCGCCCCTTCATCCCCAAGCTCCTCCCCGGTCTGATCAAGATCGAGACCACGATGGGTGACCCTGAGGCGCGTAGCGTCGTCAACCGTGCCATCAAGACTCTTCGCGAAGTTGGCGAGGTCTCCGAGAGCAGCGACGGCTCCGACTTGCCGCCTATCAAGCTCGCGGACGAGAAGCACCTCGCGCACTCGGTCATCGCCATCTACAAGAAGGCTGGCGCTGCCCCCCTGCCCTCCGTTGCCGATGTCGCGACCATGTACGCCGCGAACCTCGCTGCGAACCTCTCCAACGCGAAGAACTTCGACGTCTCTGAGTGGCAGACGCTCATCCCCTACCTCACGTTCCTTTCGACCTCCCCCGACCCCAACACCATCGCCAACGAGTGGGTCGTGAAGTCCGCGTCCACGGACGACGAAGATGACACCGCCGCTGAGGACGAGGAGGAGGGTGAGGATCTGTGCAACTGCCAGTTCTCGCTCGCCTACGGTGCGAAGATCCTGTTGAACACCGCTTCCCTCCGCCTCAAGCGTGGCCACCGCTACGGTCTCTGCGGTCGCAACGGTACCGGCAAGTCGACCCTCATGCGCGCGATCACGAACGGGTACGTGCTACGGTTTTGCTGAGCGTTGGCATCATGTTAACTTTGAGCTTATAGGCAAGTCGAGGGTTTCCCTTCCCCCGACGAGGTGCGCACGTTCTACGTCGAGCACGACATCGACGGCAGCGAGGCGGAGAGTTCCGTCCTCGACTTCATCGTCGCGGACACCCGGATCCAAGCCACGAAGGAGGAAATCATCGAGACGCTCGCGTCCGTTGGGTTCTCCGATGAGAGGCAGGCGCAGGCCATCGGCAGTCTGTCTGGTGGTTGGAAGATGAAGCTCGCCCTCGCTCGTGCGATGCTCTTCCGGGCTGATATCCTCCTCCTCGATGAGCCTACGAACCACTTGGACGTCGTCAACGTCGCGTGGCTCGAGAGCTACCTCACCAGCCTCACCACCTGCACGTCGATCATCGTCTCGCACGACTCCGGCTTCCTCAACAACTCCATCACCGACGTGCTCCACCTGAACCGCTTCAAGCTCAAGCGCTACCGTGGTAACCTCGAGTCGTTCATGAAGGCCGTTCCCGAAGCTCGCTCGTACTACACCCTCGAGGCGGCTGAGGACTACCAGTTCAAGCTCCCCGACCCTCCTCTGCTCGAGGGCGTCAAGACGAAGGAGAAGTCCCTGTTGAAGATGCGCAAGGTCGGCTACCAGTACCCCACGCAGACCGTCCAGCAACTCTACGACATCACCCTCCAAGTCTCGCTCTCGTCTCGTGTCGCTGTCCTTGGCCCCAACGGTTCCGGCAAGTCGACCCTCGTCAAGCTCCTCATCGGTGATCTCGAGCCCAACCGTGGCGGTGAGACCTGGAAGCACCCCAACTTGGTCATCGGCTACGTCGCGCAGCACGCGTTCCACCACATCGACCACCACCTCGACAAGACCCCACTCGAGTACATGTTGTGGCGTTACCAGACCGGTGAGGATCTCGAGGAGATGATGAAGGCGAACCGCCAAATCACGGAGGAGGATGCCGCGAAGATGAAGGAGGGCTCCGTCGTCGTCGTCGAGGGCCAGAAGCGTATCATCGACGAGATCGTCGCCCGCAAGAAGCTCAAGCAGTCGTACGAGTACGAGGTCTCGTTCAAGGGCCTGTCCTCGTCCGAGAACATCTGGCTCCCGCGTGACGACCTCCTCAAGCGCGGTTACGAGAAGGTTAGACGCACCATGCTTGCTCCACTATCAGGCCACCGACGCTAACAAATACACTCGTTTTACAGAAAGTCCTCGAGGTCGACACTCGCGAGGCTCAGCGTCTCGGTCTTCTTCGCCCCCTCGTTCGTCGCGAGATCGAGAAGCACTTCGCGGACTTCGGTCTCGAGCCCGAGTTCGTCTCCCACAACACCATGCGTGGTCTCTCCGGTGGCCAGAAGGTCAAGGTCGTTCTCGGTGCTGCGACATGGCGTCGTCCTCACGTCATCTGCTTGGACGAGCCTACGAACTACCTCGACCGTGAGTCGCTCGCCGCGCTCATCAAGGCGCTGAAGGAGTTCGAGGGTGGTGTGCTCGTCATCACGCACAACCGCGACTTCTCCGAGTCGCTGTGCACGGAGGTCTGGGCTATGCGCGACGGTCGCCTGGAGGCGTCTGGCCACAACTGGGTTGAGGGCCAGGGCGCGGGTCCCCGCATCGACAAGAAGGACGGCGAGGATGAGGACCAGTACGATGCGATGGGCAACAAGATCGAGAGCAAGAAGCAGAAGAAGCTCACGTCTTCGGAGGCTCGCAAGCTGAAGAAGGAGCGTATGGCACGGAAGAAGCGCGGCGAGGAGGTGACCGACGACGAGCTCTGAACGTTGTCGCGTCTGTTGTATGCCCCCTTGTTGTTGTTTCACTAGTTCCTCCTGTCGCTATGTTGTTCCTTCGGACGTCTCTCGGCTATATCTCTGCACGTCTTGTATCCCTGTACCCTAGCATCATGTTTACATTACGAATTTATGACCCATGTTGTTTCACGCAACCTCGCCCGAGTGTGCCATTTTGACTGGGGGAGATTGAGCGGGACGCGGGAGAGTGGCCAAGTGCGCCAAGTCGGACGCACGAGTTCACCGCCCTGGGCTGCGAGTCCGGGACTCGGATGAATGCAGGTTCGATTTCGCAGGTTGACCTCTGCCGCGTACCGCCAACCTGTGGCCCGCAGTCGTCTCAGCTCTATATATTCCTCCTGCCCTATACTGCCTGTACTCTATTCACTACTGCTGCTGTACCCTGCTGTTTTGCTTCACGCTCTCTGACGACCCGCGATGCCCTCCGTACCCGTATATCCGGAACACAACTTCGCGGTCTTCGCGCGCGACGCGAAGGACTCGCTCACACCAAATGCGACGCAGCGCACGACGCTCATCGTCGCAGGCTGCTACATCATCGCGATCGCGATTCTATGGTGCGTATTCTCGTCGCGTGGGCTCGCGCAGCTGTGGTCGGAACGGGGTTAATGACGGAGGCTGGGATTTATAGGCACTTGCCATATGTGTCCGCTATAAGTGAGTGCTCGTTCCCCGCGCGCCGTATACGTTTGCGCCGCCTCGTACTCACCGACATGCTACTCTTTAGTCTATCCATTCAAGTGAGTGTGCTTCGCGAAGCTGGTGTGGTGTATATGGGCGCGGACTGATGGCTTCGCGCGCGAAGGTTGTTGACTGTTGGATTCCATGAGGTGCGCGATTCGTCCTAACATACTTCACTTACGACCCCGCTGATAGAGACCTCCATAGATGAGCCATGCTTTTGCTGGTGGTGAGTATGGTGGCGAGAGTATGTTCTGCAGTCCACTCAATTTCGCCTCGCAGTCCTCACATGTGCACACATACACTCTATCGAACTGGACCGTACGTCTACCCGCATACTCTCCGCGATCTATATCTCATACTCATTCATCTCATGCTCGTGAACAGCGGATGAAGGTGGCGCGACACGCATGTCGGGCGGGATACCGTGGATAACGCTCCCCGCCGGCTACCTCGGGTCGTCGCTCATCGGCGCCGCGCTCATAACGTGCGGCTTCAACGAGAACGCGAGCAAGATTGCGTCGCTTGCGCTTGCCGTCTTCTTCATCTTCACCCTCTGGTGGGCGCGGCGGAACTGGCTGTGCGTCTCTGCCCATCTTGTGCAGGCTCTCTGCTCATGTTTTCTCCCGCCATGAATGTGCAGGACGTGGCTGTTGATTCTCGGCATGTCCGGACTGATCGTCCTCTTCTGGTTCGTTGCTGGGGGCATTGCCCTAAGATTCTTCGTGAGTCCTTTCAGCAGTAGTGCGAGGGTAGTACGACTGAGCCTCGTGCCCGCTAGGTCCTCTTCATCGGCGTCATGTCCTGCATGTACGTCTTATGGGATGTCGTTGGTGCGTGAACATGCAATCTTTGTGTGAACGTGACTAATCTTCTCCATCTATACAGACGACACGATCGCACGAAAGGTCAACGGCTCAGACGCGTCCGCGTTCGCCGAAATCTGCGGCTGCTGTCCCTCGCAAGGTAATGCCACCATATCCCCTTCCGACGCTCATCCGTTGATGATCCCTCCAGTCTGGGGCGTCATCTGGCTCATCCAGGCCTTTGCGTTCTTCGCCGCCGGCATCGTCATCGGCCTCGTCGCCTTCAAGGTATGCACCCCGTTTCGTCCTCGCGCTTTTTGCTTCCCGCAGTCCGCTGACTGCGCGCGCCCGCAACAGCAATCCGCAGCCCAGCAAAAAACAGACTCGGAGCACTTCCTGCCCGTCCCCGGGTCGAGCGGCGCGCTGCCGCAGCTCGTCCCTGCGGGGCTCCCGCTGCTGTGTGCTGCAGCGACGGTCGCGGTGCTGCTGCACCGATGGTAGTCCTTTATGGGGCTTCGACCGGCGGGATGTGAGGACTTTTCTTAGACTTTTCTTGTGATTCGTTGGACTTGCTTTCTTGCTTGTTTCGTGCTGCTGTATGCGTATCCGTACCCAAGAATAAAACAGTGCATAAACTGCAGTAAATGTGCAGACTTGTCAAGCAGTCTGATACCCCGCCGCTGAGCCCGTGTACACCGACCACCGTCCTCGAAGGCTTGGTCTGCTGCCCAGTAATTCGCTACGTCATAATTCGTACCTTTGTGCAGACTCGGAACGATGGAGGCTTCCGAAACGAAGGAAAATGGAACGTATTCGGAAAACTGAATTCACAAGACGATATGCGACATAGTACAATTACAAGTTGTAAACCAAAAAGCTTGCCCATTGGCTGGATTGAACAACCGACCTCACCATTACGAGTGGCGCGCTCTACCACTGAGCTAAACGGGCTGTTGCGTAGTGGTATGCAGATAACACCACATCCAGCACTACGCAAATACCTACCAAAGGCTGAAGCCTCAGCCTCAAAGTCCATGAGCTCGTCTAAGGTCTAGAAACTAACGATAACAGGTCTACGTAGAAGGCGTAAAAGTCCAATGGAGATACTATTTACAAGACAGGTACAGCGCCGGAGGCAGGGCAGGGTGGAGCGTCCAGGAACGGAACCTCCTCCTACCGCCGCGCGTCCCGTCGTCGGCCCGAGTACATCGAGGTCATCATGAGGGCGTTGCAAAGGGGCCGTGGTCGCGCGGGAGAGGCGGTACAGAGCATTCGCAGATGGGGCGTAGAGGAAGGGGAGAGCATAGGACGGTAGCGTCGGAGCACGAAACGTCTGCAAGGCAACAAGGAACGAATTATCAGGGCGCCGCTCCACGCGCAGCATGGCGTTCGGGGGGACGTACCTAGCGGGTGGGTCTTGGGCGACATGCTGGGCCTCTAAGCGGTGGCCACCGGCATGGCAGCGCGGTACACCCTGAGAGCGCATCGTTAGAATTTGGGTGACCGGCGAGGGGGCAAGAAAATAATTTGTGGATATCGGGAGTACTCACTTGGACGGCTTATAGTCGTCGCTGCGCTTCTTGGCGGCGCCGCTGCGCGCATTGTACTGCTTGAGGGCCTTCTTGACGAGCACGCCCTCGGGGTTGGGCACAGGGCTCGCGGTGGCGAACAGCGCGAACGCCATGAGGGTGACGAAGAAGAGGACGATGCGGGAGTTCATGACGGGCGAAGGTGAAGGGGTGGCGAGCAAAGTCTACAGACAGCGAAGAAAAGTCGTAAAGGAGGACCGACGGGTGGTGAACGCCGTTTGTGGAGTGTGCGACTGGGGATGGCCGACGAGCGGAATGCAGACGGGGAACGCGCCTTTATATAAGTGGCGGCCCTCGTCTCATCGCGGCACGTTTGTTCCAAGCGCACGATGACGCTGTGCAACAACGAGGGTACGCATCGCCGGGTCCGATCTGACTGGACGAAGGGATATTGCGCGGCATGGGCACCGGATTCCGCGAGTTGGGCGGCCAACCCGCACGCAGGTAGACGAGGGCCATCAAAAAACAGATAAAAGAATCGCTGATAGTGCTCGATGCCAGGTCCGGCGAGGATATTCGCCTTATCCGTCCCATGCGGCTTGCATGTCGACGCTGGTCCTCCAGAAGCCTCCCGATGGATTGCACAGCCGCCGGCCAAGCTAGCGTGTTTTCCGGTGGACATATGTCGGCGGCGCACAACTCTCACTCTCTTTCAGGGTGCCTTCTCCCCGTCAAGCCAGCCTTGGTGACGAACACTGACCATCTGAGGACGACATCATAGCCAACTTATCTCCCTCCTGCCTAGAATGCAATCATGAGCGAGCAAGGGATGCAGCGGGCGCACATACGGGGCTATCCGCGTGGGCACATATTGCCTGGCTAGTCCACCCGCGACACGCGCCCGAGGACGTGTCACCTAGACGATTCCTTAGCAGGAACTTGTCTTCGCTGCCTTGCTTTACTAGATCGTGTTAACGAGGGTAATTGACTGCCGGCGTACGATGTCCGCGGCGCGTCGGTGGCGTCTCCGGCCAAGGAGGCCTCCACGCCTCGCCACTGCACGCCTCGGCGAGGAGGCCGATTCCCGTGCGTTCTCAGCGCCATGTCTGTGCTAATTATTTGATTCGCCGAGAGAAGATGTAGGAGAAACACTGATGATGGTGAACTCGGAGCTGTCGGATGTGTCTGTGCGGGCGTTGAGCTGGTTCGAGAGATAGAGACGGGCGCTCGTCAGACGCCCGTCAAGTTCGCGCAGATGGGCAGGCGCCACCGATAACAAAGTGTCACAAACAGCGCGCACGACGCCCAGCTCGGCGTACTCATCGACCACCACCATGTCGCGACCACAAGATGACCGCAATCAAGAGGCGACTGTGTACCTGGTGCGTGCTACTCTTTGTGCGTGCAGGCATGAAACTCACAGGTTGGCAGGGGAATCTCGACGAGCGGTGTAGCGACGCGCTCATATGGGAGCTGATGCTACAGGCCGGACCAGTCGGTGAGTTATACATACTTGTTTTGCTGTATATCTGACAGATTCACGCTCACACTGCGCGCGTTCCAGTAAATGTCCATCTTCCCAAGGACCGCATATCTATGACACACCAAGGCTATGGCTTCTGTGAGTTCTTGACCGAGGAGGATGCAGAGTATGCCTGCAAGATTATGAACCAGATCAAATTATGGGGGAAACCCATCAGGGTCAACAAGGTTCGTGCCCTGCACGCTTTTCGAGTGAGAGCGGAACCTAACCATCTTCTCCTTGTCGCCGCTGCCTTCTCTTCGCCTGTTACGCTCCTCATATGACCATCCTCCCTTCGGCCCGCGCAGGCATCTTCGGACAAAAAACAACTCGACGTCGGCGCGAACCTGTTCATCGGAAACCTTGACGAAAATGTGGACGAACGTTTGCTCTACGACACCTTCAGTGCATTCGGCATGATGGCGACCACTGCCAAGGTGCGTTGTATCTCCCCTCCCCATGCGCTCCCCGCCCTCTCAACCTCCCCGACATAACTAACGCGTCCATTCTCTTATTCCCCAAAACCCACTCCACTTCTCCATTGCACAGATTGCTCGTGACCCGACGTCTGGAAAATCAAAGGGCTACGGCTTCGTGTCGTACACCGACTTCGAGTCCTCGGACGCCGCGATCGAGTCCATGAACGGCCAATTCCTCATGAACAAGGCCATCACAGTCCAGTACGCGTTCAAGAAGGACGGCAAGGGCGAACGACACGGCACTCCCGCCGAGCGGTTGCTCGCCGCCCAAGCTCGCAAAAATAACGCGCTCCCAGCCACCGCGCGGCCTCCTCCCGCGCCGATGGGTGCGCTCAACGCGTTCGGTGCACGTCCGCCCGTCCCCGGATACCAGGCCTATCAAGGTCAATTCGCAGGCGCGCTCGCAGCACCACCACCGCCTCCCGCAGGGTTCACGCCCCAACAGACGATCATGCCACAGGGGATGCAGGGGATGCCCGGAATGCCACCACCCATGCAGGGCATGCCTCCGCAGGGTATGCCCATGGGCGTCCCACCTCCACCCCCCGGCGTCCCTGTGTACAACCCCCAAGGCGGCTTCGTTCCACCGCCGCCGCCGCCCGGATTCATGCCGCAGGGCATGCCCGGCATGATGCCTCCCCCCCAGATGATGCCCCCGGGTGGCATGCCACCGCAGTACATGCAGCAAATGTAATCGCTCCTTCCCTGGAACGGTCCTCGCGCTTGTTGCCCTCTCGATTCCTCGCTTCCTGGTGCCCCGTGGCTGTCTCGGTCGTGTTCGCGGGCGCGCGTGCGGACGTTGTACGTTGTTTGATGACGTTGTATCCCAGTCTGTGCACCTCAGCGGGGCGTAATCATAGCACTTTATCATCTTTAGGCAGGCCCCAGCTCCGGCTCGCCAGTCTAGAAGGCACTTGGCCTCGCGGCGCGATCCTCCGGCGCTTGCCCATGCTTCCCCGGGAGAGATGTCCGGGTTCTGCGAAGGCGAGAACTCCCCGGGAGAGTTTGACGTTTGGTAGGCGTTTAGTATCGGCGGTGCGATAGGCTCAAGCTCGGGTTCGGCGTGGGCATCGCGCACACTCTTTCGTCCATTCCTGTCGTCATCCCAGCCCGTGTATCATTCGCACTCGCTGTGCTACTCGCTCCCGAAGCATCGCGATCCGTGCGGCATGGTTCTATCGACGTGCGCGGAGGAAGGTCGGAGCCACCTTTGGTCCACCCGCTTCCTGTCGATGACCTTCGCACATCCGGGTGTTGCGGGTGCTAAGCCTTTCCGACGCACGTAGCCGCGAACCTACAAGACTGCTGCCTCGTCCGTTACGAAAGCGTTACGAAAAAGGTACGGCTGCGCGTTGACGGATTCGATGTCGAATTACATATCCTACGTTGTTCGTCAATCGGCATGTCCCCCCGGACGCTGGCTCCGCGATGAGCACCCCCGTTCACCCTCCCACACGCAGTCAGATTGACGCATGCAGCCACACTCCGTCAGCGAACGGTCAGACATGCGCGCGCGATGACTCTGAGGCGTACACCTCCATCACACCCGAATTACCTGGGATGCTTTCTAGGCTGCGCCGCATGCGTGTGCTATTGTTGTGGCGCTCGCAGTTTAGGCGGACTTGTGTACGCGCTCATCCGCTCTTGCCATGTCGAGCATGGTCGCCGTGCGCAGGCCTGGTGCCGGCATAATGCGCACACTGATTGGCCCGCGATAGTGCAAGGTTCGAGTCCGGCGCAGCGCGTACGGCAGGCGGCCTCGGTGCTGTGAGGTGGAGTGGAGCTCGAGCGTGTGGATGGACAGTTGTGGATGGCGTGTCGTTCGTAGGGCGAGCGGGTGGTGGTGCGCAGCTGCGGGCGGGTCGGTATGCTTGCTAGAAGCGGGCGGTTTTGAGGAATGGGGGTGACAGGTACAGCGGTCGCTGATACTGGGGGGCTTGGAGCGTTGCGTTCGGCACGGACGGGCGAGGCGCACTCGCAGCACAGCACGCTGTCCAAAGTGCCGCCAGCGATGCAGCATGCGACGCGGATGGGCTCGGCACTAGACCGAAGTCTGGGGTAGGAAGGTCTTTGGCACGTCGGGGAACATCCGTGCTTCATTTGGCGGGCGCGTCGCTGGCTGTTCACCGCTAGGTCCGGTACAATCGTAAGTATCATTATATTCCGCGCAGCGGTGCGCTTAAGCATTCGACATCGCCGAATATACCACCTCATATCGTCCGAGGGTCCAGCCTGGACGACTCAGGGTTCGACTTCAGGGACACCGTTCTTCCAAGTGACACCGACGAGCTGCGCGACCTCCATCGCGATGCGACGCACAGCTCGCGCCTCCTCAAGAGACGCGCCGCCGTGACGAGCATTTGCGAGATGCCAGCCGACCTGGCGCGGCGCATCGACGGCGATGAGCGCAGCAACGATCGCGTACGTCGACTCGACCTGCGTCAGCACGTCCGCCCCGCCGTACATCACGCCGTACCCGATGGTGTTGCACCACCAGCCTGTGGGAAGGGCATTCAGCAAAGGACCACATGGTGCAGGTTCGAGCAATAAGACAGAGCGGTGGGAAAGATGGGTAAGCATTGATGTATGAAGAGGACACAGAGAGGCGATAGTAGGCATGTCGCACGCATGATAAGGAGGGGTGATTGGGAGGAGGGAAGGGCGAGGAACGAGATGCGTGCAGATGGCGAAGCGAGGAAGGTGGGCGAGCGCAGATGCGGAGAAGGCGGGAAGGAGAACGGACGGACCTAGGTCGGGGTAGGCAGAGTCGAGCAGGCCCTGCACGGAGTCTGCCGTGTCGCGGTACATTGACCGAAAGAGCTTTTCGCCGTTCTTGTCGTACTCCGTCATATGTTTGTTCGACGAGCTGCGGGCGGCCAACTCGAGAGTGAGTATATGCGCCTATTCACGGATAGTAGGCTTACCGCAGAGGTTTTGACTCGCGCAGGCTCTCCGGCATGACCTCGCCTAGCGCGATAAGTGTGTTAATTGTCTGCGAATGCCAGGAACGATCGTTAACATCGGTTCATCATTTCATGCAGAATGAGTCGTGACGTCGTCGCTTCGGGTTCGCGCCGCATGTTCACGCACGCGGACGCGGTGGTATAGCAACAACTTCGAGCTTCTTGGTTTCGGCTTGGAATCGTCCGTGTGAATGATACTGTAGGTTGCAAGGAACAGCTCCCTTTGTAACTGTTGCATGATTCAACTGAGCGTCCGAGTCTTACAGGTGCTGCTTACGGCGCATACATCATGTCCGGCGCAGATGCACGTATCCTCGACGTAACCACTAAACGGCGTCCACCGCTGGGTTGCGCATGAGAGTCCGCGCACGACAAGGGCAGAATGAGGGAGCCCACCCACGCTTTTACACGCTCGTCCTCCCCGCCTTCCAACAGAGCGTGATAGGTCTGCCTCTGGGAGACTAACCCACGCTAGCGCTGGCAAGGCACGGTGTTACGCCCTCATTCCTGCGATGACGCGATGATCGACAGTCACAATCAAATTCACTCACCCTTGGAAACCCGCTCAGCAGTCCGCTCTGGAGGACACCCTCGCGAATTTTCCTCGCGAGCACGAGCTGCTCCTTCAGTGCCACGTCGTCCGCGACACCCTGCGCCTTCTGCCCCGCCTTCAGCTCTTCCAGCGCGTGCTTGAAGACAACCGGGACCGCATCGGGCACGTTGGACGCGCTGAACGCGACCGCGGTGACCACGACCCACGGATTCGGCAGCGCGCCGGGATATGCGGTGGTTGAGGGTCCGCTGGCTGGATAGATGGCTTTGAGGGAGTTGAGGAACGAGGCGGTAGCGAAGTTGGCCATGGTAGGTGCCGCGGTAGTGAATGCAGGTTGCGACCACAGCAGTCGTCGTGCGACTCGTTCACGGCGAGCTTGCTGATCAAGATCACTGATGAGTGTGTGCGGAGCGAGGCGAAGACCCCTGAGATAATTATCAGAGCATCACTTACCGGGGTCCTCATGTTCGAAACAATCCCGAGCGAAGCCGGAAACTTGGGCTTGGACATAGATGCCATCCCTACACTGTGCTCATCCGGTCTCCGAGTCGTCAAGGTCCTTATCGAATCGAATGCCGGGCACGTATAGATCCATGAAGCTATAAGCAGAGCAGGTGCACGGCTCCCCGGAAGTCGGTGCTCATGCGCATAGACGCTGGCGCAGATACAGCCGTGGCTGTGTCGCGTCGATCTTTCCCAGCCTCTGTGCGACTGACATGTTGGGAAAAGCACTAGTAAATTCACGATGCCTAAAGTAGAGAAAATATCTACGGAAACTGGGTGTTCCCACCCACTCAGCCAATTTGGCGCTGGCGTGCAATCACCACTTTCCCGGGTGGATTAAGTAGGATTTGTGAGCCAAATTTTCTTCCCGTTCAACACCTTCGTCTGGAGAGGCGGAATTAGTGATTGTACGTGGCTTTCTGGTTGAATTCTGATACCGGGTGATTCACCCTATATTACACCACAACTTTCACTACGGTTTGTATGGCACTCATCGAAGCGAAATGGACAACGAGGATATCATTCGATGACGGGTGGATACATGCAGAATATCATACATATAACGAGCGCGGGGTATGCGCGAGCGTACGCAGGGCCACAATGTGGGCGCGAACGTGCAGATGGAGATTATATAGAAGGGGCGCGAGGCGGGCACAGGGAGGACACGGGAGGGCGCGAGGACGCCGGGTGTGCACAGGACACAGCGTGGGTGTGGACCAGACACCCGGAGGTGCGTGGAGTGCACGAAGAGGAGGCGGGTCGTCGCGAAGACCCCGGATACGCGCGGGGCAAGCACGAATGGATGCAAGACAGGGTGTGGGTGTAGACACGGGCTTCGGCGTGGACGGGATGTGGGCGCGGCGCGGGAGCCGCAAAGCCACAGAGACGGAAGCAGGACGCAGAGAGCGTGGAGACGCAAGCGAGACAGATACAAAGAGGCAGGCAAGACGGACGTAGGACCGGGTGACAGAAATAGGACGACAGGGCATGCATGAGACCAGTGCAGGCCCGAGCGCAGGTGAGACACGAGTAACGTGCAAGCAAGATATTGGCGAGAAGAACCCGGAGATGCAAGTACATGACCGAAGGATGGCTGACGAGGAGAGCGTGATTGAAGGAGCGCGAGGCAAAGAGTAGCCGCAGGATGACGATAAGACAGCAGCAGCAACACAACCGGCCAATCCTAGCGGCGAGAGCAGATGCAGAGCAGCGGCAGCACATAAGATTGACGTACTTCAGTGATGCGCTGGCAGGTAAGCTTCCTGAGAGGGCAGCTCGAAAACGATAGAATGGCGACATAAACGAGAGCGAGGAGTGGAACTTGAAGGCAGCAGGATTAGACATTCACACCAGACAAAGCGTAGAGCACAAGGGAGACATGAGAGTGGCGAGGAGAACTCCTGAGAAGACCCTGAGAAGACATATCAAGAGCTACGGAGAGCGCGCGAGAGGAGGCGGTCTCGAAAGGGCAGCGAGGACGAGCTCGAGGACATTGAGGACAAGAGACGACGGTTGTCAAGCAGCCACAGCGCCCTACGAATGGCCTCCACTTATTTGTTCCTGTTTGGACCTAACCAGATTTCTCTCAAGCGCTGAGCCGTCAATAAACCTCAGTGATTATCACCGTTAAGGATGGTGAAACTCCGAAAGCTTTTGATCACCACTACTTTCAACACCCACTAGTTAACCCACACTTTGCCTGGTGATCGGAAATAATCAACCGATATAGTCGTAGCGCCCACCACCTTTCGGGTACGCAGTGAGCACGGATGCCAGCCTCGCGGGTTGCTTAAGGACGACGACGACAACGACGGTTTAGGACTGACAGTCTTCTCCAATATTTACTGGCGCTGAAGTTCTGGATTTGGCGAAGATGTGGCTTTTTTAATACGAGGTTGTTGCATATATGTACCACATCCCTTCAACTATACGGATCCATGACTCATCCACCCCTGCTATCCCCCGTTTCACGGGCTGTGGACAGTTCTAGCTCCACTCCCATGCGATCAGGTACCTATCTAGGGGTTTACCGCTGCGATTTAAGTCAGGGGCGAACACAGAGAGACAAAATTGAAGTACTCACGAGCCTCGGTGCCGTTTGAGTCCATTTGGTTGCTCTCCTTGCTCTCCTGACCTCCTCTTGCTTTCGCTTCTTCGAAAGCCAGTTCTGGAGGTTTTTCTTCGTGTATTGCTGACAACGCAGCCCCGCGGCATGGAGCAAATCTTTGTATAATTGTTGCACAGTTTCTTGCGGGAGGTCATATCCGAAGACGTCCGTGTAATCTGTGGGGGAAAGGGGGGAGCGCAAACCCCACACTAGGGTCAGCGTCTCGGCAGAGGCGTACCGCCCAATTTAGGGTTACCGTACCATTTCGGACACGGCGGGCGGCCCGCCGCAGGCTGATTCGGGGCATTTTAGCAACCGGGGTTAGGGGAGTAGGCATTGGGTCGCATTTTTTCTCCCGCCTCAGGATTTAAGCATCCTCAGCTGAGGAATCCTCATGCAAAGGGCATCCTTTGCTGTCTAAGTGACCCTGTAATTCCGAACTGGAGAGGGTGCAGTCAGGCATTTGAGGAAGGTGAAGGACTTATCTGGTCAAAAGCTAATCTTGCCGACGATAAGCTCCCGGTTAGTGTTATCTACCACGTAAGTCTTTTCCCAATGCGGCGGGTTAACACACTCCAGCTCGGCTCTGATTGGCTCGCGACCGAGCAGAAGATGTCAACGTCCCGGATTGTATTCGATGTCCGTCCGTGAGCTTGATCCCCGCTGCCAAACGCGGGGTTCGCGCGCACCCTGTTGTGCACACAGGGCACCCAGGAAATTAAATATGCCGGCACGCCGTGCGCCCTGCGATCCACGAGCTCTGTACAGTGTGCTCGCGACGAGCGTTTTCGAGCATACGAATTACCCCGCGCAAGAAAGGGCGGGGAGCTCGCTCATATACATGGTACACTCGCTACTACATACGGTCGCGCGGGTCGCGACTCGCTACGCCGTCAAATCCGCGACAACCTTGAAGAGCGCGTCCCTTCTCAATGGGATCCACAACGCCTCACCCGCGCCCCCCGGCGCAGGCCGCGCGACGACCAGCCCGTGGTCGCGGAACTCACCCAGCAGCGCGCGCAGCGCAGTGTCGTTTTGCGCGACGAAGTTGTCGCGCGCCGCCGCGAACAGCCTGTCGTAATCATACGCTTCCTCCGCCCCCGCGTCCGCCTCCCCCGCTGCACCAGGCTGCGAGGGCGTGTCCATGACCTCGAGCTGCTTCGCCCCAAGCAGCACGAACAGCTTCTTCGCCTTCTGCGTCACGCTCGCGAGGATGTGCCGCGCCGCGGTCTCCGTCATCGCCCCCCTACCCGCGCCCGCGCCTGGGGCTGCGCCCGCCGCCGCAGACGACGCGGCGGGGGCGCGGGCGCCGCGGAGCACGGACGCCCCGGTGAGCACCGTCGGGTCTGCGTATGCGAGCTCGAAGTCGTATGGCGCGAGCGTGGTGAGGTCGTGCCAGAGCCATGCGAAGCCGCGTTTCTGCGCGGGGCCACGCGGGGGGCGTTGTTCGTCAGCTGGGGTAGGGGAGGCGGCGGGGTCGGGCTTGCGCGCGAAGATGTCGGAGAGGGACCAGCGGAGGGGCGCGCCGACGACGTGGTCGAAGGACGCGCAGAGGTGGATGCGGGGGGCGAGGGCGAGGAGCGCGAGGGCGGAGCGGTGCTTGGGCGCGCGGAACGCGGCGCCCTCGATGTTGTGTACGATGATGTAGACGTGGGAGGAGGATGCGGTGGACGGGGAGTGTCGAGGCTGCGAGAAGAACGCGTGTATGCGCTGCACCTGCGCGTCCAGCCCGCCCGCAGGAGACTCGCCCTCGTCCCCAAGCACCCCCGGGACGCGCTCGATCGCGCCCAACAGGTCGCGAAACGCAAAGGACGGCTGGAACCCGTTCGCCACAACGACGTGCGCGCCCTCCTCCGCGAGCCACCCCGCGAGCGCGTTCAGGAACACGCGCTTCGAGCCGTACCCGTAGAACAGCAGGTTGAAGCCCTCGTCGAGCTCCCAGCGGAAGCGGCGGTACGCCGCCCTACACGTGCGCGCGTCGTTCCACAGCGCTGGGCGCAGGCCGTGTGTGCGCTCGGTCGAGCGGGCGGTCGAGAGGGCCGCGGCGAACTCCTCTGGGGAGAGCGCGGGGAGGAGCGCGGAGAAGACGTTGGCGGAGGTGCGTGCGGGCTTGGAGGCGAGCTGGAAGTACGCGTCGAACGCGGTGTGGGTCGCGAAGCCCTGCGAGGGCTCTTCTGCGTCGGGGAGGGGGAGGTCGTCGTGCTCGTCCGGATCGTCTTCTAGGTCTTCGTCGTCGGTGAGGGCGCGTCGGTGGAAGTGGCGGCTGGGGGTGCGCGGGTCGCCTGGCCAGTCCTCGAGCTCGTCTTCCTCTTCTGTGTAGGCCGCGTAGCGTGAGTACGTATCTTCTGACAGCATCGGTATGTGGTTCAGGTCGATATGATAGTAAGGGCCCAGATGGGGAGGTGGGAGTATGCAGAAAGCTGCACGGTGGCTGAACACGGTGCGCGTGAGGATGCAATCACGCGTGGCGTCTATCCTCCGACTTTTGTTCTCCTACCGTCATCTTATCTGGCTCGAAATTCTGTGTTCTTGCGTTACGGATCGGCTTGAACTTGTTCTCTGCCTGAAACCCCTCGTACAAGCCCAGATATCAGTTGGAATGGCGCGATGTGCACTACAAGGCTTCGACTGACGCAAGGCACCTAGCAGAAGGAAGGCAGTGATATACAGAATCCATGAACGCGTGCTACATGCTGCAATCTGTGAAGTATCTCTGCGCGGTGATCACGCGCGTCGAGCCTGCTCAAGCTTCATCTCCAGCAACTTTTGCCGTTCCGCCGGAGGTGTACGCTGCCACACCGGGTCATTCGGAAACCCCTCGAACAACGGTGTCCACTTCCACCGCGAGCCCGCCTTCTTCAAGTAGCCTGGCACATAGGTAGCATCGCCCGACACACCCGGGTCAGGCCTGAGCAGCACTCCCAGCTCGATGAACCGGCCGTAGTACGTGATCTGCTGCCGCTCGCTCGCAGCCGTGACCGCGCCCCGGAACGGCGCGTCCGGGCGGCACTGCGGGAAGAACTCCATCGTCGTCACGCCTGGGCCTGCGCGGTAGAGCACAGGGAGCAGCCCGGTGAACCACGGGTTCCCCGCGGCCTCCGTTGCAGCAAGCCGCGCGCGGTACCCCGCGGACGCAGCGTACGCCTCGCTGAGACGTGTCCCGCTCTTCGCGGAGTCTTCGAGCACGCGCGCAAGCGGGAGCAGCATCGTCTTGCCAGCTGTGAAGGCACGCGCTGGGTCGAGGGCGGACGTGCTGTCGGGCGCGCGGGGGCGCAGGGGGACGACGAGCACCTTGGGGTCGTCGGCGAGCGGGGTGGAGGCGGAGCCGGCGAGGAAGAGCTGCGCGGCGGCGATGAAGCGGAAGGAGAGCCGGTGCGCCTCGGCGTAGTCGCGCAGGCGGGAGCGGAGGGCTAGTTTCTCTTCGAGGTATGCGAGCTCCTCTTCGTTGGCGTCCGCTTGCAGCTCGCGGATCTCCTCAGCGCTTTCTTGCAGGAAGTCGCACTGATGCCTGAAATCAGGACTCATGTCAGCCGCGATCTTTCGAGTAAGGAGCGATGGAGGCGTACTTATGTCTGCTCCGGTCCTCCTGCTGACACGCGTCGCTGCAGTAGAGCGCGAGTTGGCAGCCGGCGCACTTGCGGAAGTGCTCGCCGCGTGCGGGTTTCTTGTCACAGTTCCTGCAGAGGCCGTCCTTGTTTCGGATGAGCCCTGCATCCGGTGTCCGGAAGATAGTTTGCAGCGGGTGCGAGTTGGGTGCCATGCTGCGTGTGATTCGAGGATGGATGCGAAGGTGCTGTACAGACGGACGGGGAAGTAGGTGGCGGGATAAGGCGACAACTGCGTTTATGTATGGTCGCAGTTGGAATGGACAGGGTATACCAGGGTATACCCCTGTCTGTGAGCGCGGCGGCTGACGGCTCTATAGTGTGCTACGATCGACATCCGTGATGGCCGCAGCCTTGAAGCGTTGGTAGATAAAAACTAACGCCGTCTAGCATACTATATACCTTCCTACCAATATCCTGCGCTCGCGAGCTGTGACATCGACACCGCTTGTGCTCCTGGCAAAACTCAAGTACTAGTAGTCTTCTAGCTTCTAAAGGGTCCATAAAAGCTCAGATAGGCTCTTGAATGACCCAGTTGCCAGCAGCTGTGATGACAAGAAGGAGTAAATTTGGAAGTTGCAGTCAACATGAGGGTCTGAGGCAGAGGAGAGTTCCCGGGCCACTACTGCAAGACGAGGAGCTAGCGGACGGAGCGCCGGCCGTCTGCCCGGGTGGCTGAGGGGGGGCGCCACCGACGCGTCGTGGGGAGACGCGTGATGTCATACGGACGGACGAATGGCGCGCTTCGGGGTGAGAGCGAGGAGGGAGGCCGACGCGCCGGGCTCGGTTCTCTGCCATCGGATTCGGGGCGGGGACGTGCGCACGTTGTCATGGGGCCCCTCGCTCTCTCCCCCAAGTCGTCCCCCCCTCCCCTTTGGGAGCGCCCCCTGCCAGCTCGCGCAATAAATCATCACCGGCCCATTCACACGTCCGCCCCCTCCCACCCGTCTCCTACCACCCTCCCCTCACCCGCCCATACGACCAAATATGCGTACGTCCGCCCCGAGCACGCCCGCCGAGGCAGCAGCTGACGCACCGCCCACAGCTCCCAGAAAACGCGCCGCCGAGGACGACTCCGGCGCCGGTCCCACCACACGCAGCGCGAAGACGCCCAAGACGGAAAAGGCGGCCAAAGGCCGCGCAAAGCGAGGACCTAAGGTGCGTCGCCATCCCATACGCGCACGTCTGTACACCCGCTCACTTGTGCGCGCAACAGGCAAACCTCGGCGCGTCCTCGTTCAAGGCGCGCGCGCTGCCGCTCCACCTCAACCTCACCCACACCCCGCCCATCCTCGGCGACGACGGCACGGTCTCGCTCGCGTCGACCGACCCCGGCTTCCTCGGCACGTCTACGCTCCTCCCCAGCACGTTCGCGACCGGCAGCTACGGCTGGAAGGGCAGCAAGCGCCTCACCATCGAGCTCCAGAACCCCGAGGGCGGCGAGGAGAAGGAGAAGGTCCATGTTATGCTCACGTGCGTACCTCTCGGCGGTGTGGTGGTACTGCGACCGGGATGCTGATAGGACCCGCTTGGGTTGCTATGCAGGATCAACGCGACAGTGATCGGCAGCAAGGGCGCGAAGGACGACGAGGGCGAGGGCGAAGCGAAGGAAGAGGGCGGAGAGGAAGCCGCCGATGCTGAAGCGGAGAAGGCGGTCGAGGATGCCGTCGCGGAGGAGGCTGAGGACGCGAAAGAGATGAATGGCAACTCTAAGGAGGCGGAGGCCATGGAAGAGGTCAAGGATGCGTAGTCGTTGGTCTCATTCTGGCATTCTGACGGCTCCTCCCGAGTATACACGGTGTATATAGTGACCTGTGCTTGTGCTCGTGTTCCATCTGCGGATATATGGACGGGGGATTGTTTGATAGCACGTCTGAATAGGCTCACGTTCGTAACTCCCCTAGTCGGTGCAGGGTGCAAAGCCATGGCGAGTGTCATCCGCTCCGAGAAGAATACACAGCAGCATTTGAATAGCAAGAAGTGACAACATCTACAAACCTACAAACTCGTCGACAATCAATGCGTATATCGTCGTGTCAGATCATAACATCGCCCTCTCTATCACTCTATATCTCTACTGCACCTTCGTCTTCGGCTTAACGGCTCCAGGCCCAAAGGTCTTGACCGCGCGCGTCGTAAACAAACCGGCGAGTACGAGCGCACAGACCGCACGCGCCGTCTCCGGGTCCACCGCGGCGATCTTCTCCGCGCCGTCGACGCGGCCCCCGAGCCACCCGAGCGCGACGTAGTGCGCGTCCGCCCAGAACGGCTGGGCGTGCGTAAGGAAGGCGTAGAGCCCGGTGATGAGCGGCGCACACCACAGGTCGGTCGTCGTCCAACCGTACGGGAGGAACTCGGTGGGCGTGGTGAGCGTGAGCGCGTACGGCTGGAAGAACGAGAAGAGGTTCGTGAAGAAGAACCCCGCGTTTGCGGTGAACTGAAGCGCGGACACGTTAGCAGACTGCGGGCGCGCAGGGATTGCTAATTGACACGTACCAGGGAGGTGAGAAGCAAAGTCCACGGATTGCTGTTGATGGCGGGCGACGTGTGCGCAGTGACCATGGGCGGGATGAGGTTGCAGAGCAGGTATGCACGCGTCATGCCGTCGAGCACGGCCAGAGGGACTTCGTTCTCAAACGCCGGGGTCGGTACGGACGGTAGCTTCTCCACGGCAGCCTGTACGGCGGTGTAGAACGCTGGGACGACGCCGGAAAGCATGAAGGACGGCGGGATGGCCAACGCAGGGCCTGTTCAGACCCATTGAGATATAATGCGTTATTGGCCCGTCCGTCCTCCATACGACAAAGCGAGAGAGCACTGACATGTGACGGCCTCCCCGCCGTAAACGACGAGCAGCACGGACGCGGCGTCCCGCACAAAGGAGCGCGGTTCGACCTCCGCGACGGTCACAGCCGTCTCCTTCTCCGACCGTACCGTCTTTGTCTTCTGGATATGGTCCCGCCAGAGCTTCTCTCTGATTTGCCGGAGCGCGACGCACAGGCGCACGGTCGCGACGACGTCGAGCGTGCTGAGCGTGAGGCCGAACCAGGTGAACGGCGCCACCGGTTGGAGGGCAAGCCTGTAGAGCTCGACTACGGGGGAGAGGAGAACAGACATGATTGGGGTGCGTCGGCCGCTGATGAGAACTCTTATATACTAGAGGCCGCGCGGGAGATGGCTGGTGATCGACGAACGTGGAGAGATGAGATGAGGGGACGGAGCACGAAGTGGCGATAGCACCGAAGTGGTCGCATATTCAAGCGCCCACGCTGAACAGCGCAGCGCTGAACGTTCGACCGACCTTCTCTTGAAGATCCCGCTACATGCTGGGGGCGGCACTCAAGTTTCACCGCACAGTCCTCGCGTAGAACACTTTACAGCCCCTTGCTGCAACTGGTGAGATACTGTCTTGTGGGGCCGCGGCAGCCCTCGGTTGGCCGCGATGTCTACACCCGAAGCGCACGACTCGGACGCCCCTCGCCGGAGTCTGCCTTCCAATCCATTGGGCACGACATCCCCAGCAGGAAAATCCACGGAGCCTCCGCAGGAGGTCAAGCCGGCCTTTCAATGGCGAGTACGCACGCCTCCGCCTGTAGAGCTCACGCGCAACCAATTCATGCCGCGTAAGTCTCTTTGCAGTTGAGACTCTCCAGAAAAAGACAACGTTTAACTGCGCGAACGTGTCCGCTCATGTCGAATTGCGACAGCGTAAACTGTGCAGCTCACACGATTACACGGGCTTCGTAGTGGACGACTTTCACTTGGGATTATCATGATGCACACGCTGACCTCGTTAAATAGCGCCTCCCGTAGTGAACCCATTCGACGGCAAGGTGGCCTCACTCGCCGGCTTTCAATCATTGGTGATCACTTCTCCCAACCAGGACTATGTCCCCGAGTACCCCGTGGAGCGTCGGATTGTCAAAACGTACTCCGACGGCCTCTGGGGCGTGAATGAATATTCGCGTTGGCCGCAGGAGATCACCACCGGGATGTGGCACATTGCGTGCATACCTCGTCAAGGAGCGTACCCCCTCTCGGACGTCCTTTGGCGTAATCTGAACCCGGATAACGACTGGGAGGCGGACCGAGACGCAGGAGCAGCCCTGTCCGTGGGCTTTCTCCGCCATTCGATCGTAGTCGACCTAACCGTAGCCGCGGGGCAGGTCGTGAAAGCGTTCCGCGCAATCCCTGGCCTGCCGACTACACAGAGAGAAATCGGTGACCAGCTGAGCCTAATGCTTCGACAGTGTGTTGAACGCCTCTCTCGTCTTCCCGCCGGTCGCATGGTCACGATCGCGGTCGCGGCGAATGTGCAACGTCTTTCCCTGGAACTCGCCGGCCTCAAGATTTTCCTGGAGACTGTCGCACCACGCATACAGACTCCCCAGGACTACAGCCACGATGTCCTGCAGGTTCTCGGAGCTTTCGTACACGACGGCACCGCCGCCCAAACGTACGCGCGTGTAGGCTTGCCCACCTGGTTCATACAGCCGCTGACCAACTACATCAAGATATGGCGGGTGGTCCAGGTGCGGACGCCGCACGATCCCTCGTCCGCAGGCGATGGGCGACATGCCCTCCCCAAACCTGCTGTGTGCGCTGGTGCTGCCAACTTGTCCCGCAACTGGCTGGCGACAATGGTAGAGCGGCTGAGCTTTGAGCTCTGTACTACGGCGCCGCTTACGCTCCCCACCGCACCTATAGACTCTGAAGCTGTCGTAGAACGAGAGACGAAGCGGGCGCGTGGGTCGGAATCCGAAGTCGTATCCACAACGCTGCACATGCTTCCTCGGGAGGCGACTGTCTCCAAGCCTCCCAAGTCTGGGAAGAAACCGCGGCCCCGTGGCAAGAAGCACAGGGGACGTGACCCCACAGCGACCACTCCGGCCGATGTTGCACCGAACCCGGAAGGTACTACTGCTCAGCCTAGTGCGGACCCGGGCCAACTGCCGCAGTCGCTCCTTCCCAAACCATCCCTCGAGTACTGCCACTCGCCCTTCTCCACAATTGCGGACGCCTGGGTACGCGCGCTGCGCGGAATTGGGAACCTCCCGCAAAATCTCAAGGGTGCCTCCTACTTTTACCCTCCCCCCTTCCTGCTCGACACCATCTCAGCCCTGACACCCCCGTCCGACGCTGCGCCTCCTGAGTGTATTCGCAAGGACGAGAAGGTGCACCGTTACCTCCACAACCTGGTGCGCATCCGGCACTTCTGCCGCCGACGTCTCTTCGACCAGACAGTCTCTGGGGCTCTTTTCTCGATTGCAGAATGGCGACATGCTCTCTTCGGGGAGTACAAAATCAGAGAGCAGCCGCAGGTTACCGGCGGAGAAGGGGAGGCGCGACGCACCAAGAGGAAGTACGACATGCACAACACGATCTCCCACCTGTTTAGTGGCGCCGGTTCGATACGCACATACTCCACAGAGGCCACCGCGCAGCTCGACTGGCTCCCGGTGTGCCAGAAGACTGCGGCGACGGACCCCCGAGTGCGGCACTACCTCCTGTGGGAGGCGCATGAGATCAACTGGCGCTGCGAGCTGCTGGCGCTCGACCAAGTCCTCGTACCGCGAGACTCGTGGCCGGTGATGCGCCGCTGGGAGCGCGAGGCGGAGGTGTCGGCGGTGTGGGGGGAGAGCTCGGGCGCGATGGGCGTGCTGCCGAACATGGCGCAGGACGTCCGCAGGTACTGCTGGCTGAGCCCTCCCGATCGCCACTGGAGGACGTGCGTCCGCACGCTGCGCGCCTTCCTGGTGCTCATGTCCAGATGGCCCGACTTCCCCGATATTTTGCGGGCCATGCTGCCAGTCGAGACGGAGGATTGGACGGACGCTGAATATGAGACGGCGCAAACGGCGGCGACGCGTTTCTACACGGAGACGTTCGTCAAAATGTTCAGTCGGCTTCCCATCGTGCCTTGTGAGTTCCCATTACAATACTTGTTGTAGCCATGCTCGGCTTAGGCTGCAGCGTGGGCTTTGATACCTTAAGACACTAGCAGTAGTTTACTGAAAGTACCGTACGATGCTACGCATTAAGTCCCTCTCTTGTATTTCTTGCATGACTCGTTTTAGTGTAACGTTCTCGCCCCCTGATATTTGTGTAGTAAACAGCACCTGTAGCTATACGAGTCGAGTACTAGTTGTGAAACTGAGCTCGAGGAGGTGTATGCAATATTGCTTTCGCGTCGATGAAGGGTTTCAAGTTGCTGTGAGTGAATATAGGACAAGACGTTATTTCTAAAGCATGGGTACAATGGTGCAGTGGCTGTAACGGCCCTAAACCGGGAATGTGAGGTGGTCTAACGATCCAACGGGCTCAGTCGTCTGTGCGCTGGTTCAAGACCGTCCCCTCCAGAAAACTTGGTTACCTCGCACCGCCCGCTCCGTAAGGAGTGGGTTGGGCTGGTATAATACGACCGTGACTGGCCAGGGAAGCAATTCCGCAACCTGCCGGACGTGCCGAGTTAGTCTTAGGAGATCAGGACGAGTCGTCTGTTCGCGCAAATGACCCGTGCCCTTCACAAACCCTTCCTTTTTGTGTTCCGTTCATTTTCATTCCAACGCATCGTTGTAGCTCTCATTGGAACGTCGGGAATCTTGCGTGTATGGTCGCTTGATGTCGATAGTCCGTCCATCCGCGGAGACAACGCATTCTCGAAGACATAGGGTGGATTGCATAGGGCATAGTGTGGGCGCATAGTATGGGCATACAAACAAAATAGTACAGACATATCAGTAGTGTGGTCAATATCGCTCCAGTCAGGGGGGATGCGGGTGAACGATACTAGAACAGAGCCAAGTGGTGGAGACTCGACCGTGAAGCAAACGACTACCAGCGGGGCTCAGCCCGCCGTGCTTTGTCCTTCACTTGTGCCTTTGCCGCCTCATCACGCTCGATGTCGGCCCTCTTTGGTATGGCCTTCGTTAGCGTGCGCTTTATAGCAACACTATGCTGGCAATCCTCAGAGAGCAGAGCCCTGCCGTATCCGTATGGGAACTCGACGCACTCTAAGAGCACGAGCGGCATCTCGACGGCGCGGATGCGGAATTCCTGCTGGTAGCGGAGTATGTTCTCGGGAGTGGCGGACGCCCTGTCTCCCCCGTGGAGGGATACGCAGTGGGTTTCGGCAGCTGCTTTCTTCGCCTGAAGAATCACAGTATGTTAAGAAATGATTATGTGTTGACTGCATGCCTATGGCGACGTACCTCATCGCTCAAGCGCTCCCATCCGGGTGTGGATAGCTTGTATCCGATCTTGTGCGCGCAGAAGAGCCCACAGTAACGCCAGGGATATGGGAGCTCTTGACCATATGGATACTGGCGGTAAACGAAGAGGTGGAACGTCCCACACTCGCAGACCGCTTTGCAGACTTCCGACGTCATGTACGCGAAGCCGTGATTTCCGACGGTGGTCCTCTCGACGTACGGCGCGTTAGCGTTCTTGAGGAATACGGCCGGGAATGAGTCCTTGTTTGACGTGTGGCCTCCGACCTATATGTACTGAGTCAGGCAGGAACGTCGGTAGTTAGCGAGCGATCATTTACCTTGTATAGGGGCGGGAAATCGTTGGTGAGCCTCGGCTGCGCATATAGCCCTAGTTTTGTGAGATAGTTCTGGGCGGCGGCTTCTTTGACGTTGTATTGACCATTCCCAGACCGAGGGAGCGCTCCAAGCAGTTGCGCGAGGGCTTGGCCGAAAGAAGCGTCCCGGCTGTCCGCGGGCCCGTTCAGCACTTTCTGGTACTCTGACGCTACGAGCTCGTCGCTGAGCGGAAGCGGTGGTGGGACGTAGGGTCTTGGTGGTGCGCCCGGGGGAGCAGGCCGCTTTGCCGATGCTTTGAACGAATCAAGCGTGGACCTGGGCTTCGACGCGCCGTTAACATGACGAGATTTATGGGAGATCTGTTGAAGGGGAATGCGAGCCGGCGCCATCGGTAAGAAAAGGGAAAAAGCGAAGGAGGATGACACGTACAGAATCCGCCTGGACGCGGGCTGACTTGTTATTTTTTCGAGGGGAGGTTGACATTGCTGACTGTCGGGAGGCTGACTGGGGAGGCTGGCTGGTCTGTATCTGAACTCGCTATGAGGAGAGGATGTTTCATTGCAACTGTCCAGAGTCGCATTTTTATACGCACAAGGATGAGTGGCAGAGAGCGGCGTGGCCTGCAGCTTTGATATACGCTTTGACAGTACCGGTTCTGCCTGGTCTATGCGGCGTAGAGTGCGGATTGACCATGGCCACCGAGCGACAACATCTACGCTTGGGCTCACGCGTGGGGCCAAACGTAGTCCAAGCGTTCCGCTAAAATCTCAAACGAACCATCCAAAGTACACGCTGACAGTTCGCGGGCGAGTGTAGGGGCCGAAGTAGCAGGACCAAGGATGCGTGATGAGGATTGTCCAGGGCTCAAAGGCACGGACCACCGAAAAGTAACGGCAGGATTCCATCCCACCCATATACGGCCACTGCACAGGATGGATGGTCGGAAAGCCAGCTGGTGAAGTGGCCATCTAGGAGAAAGGCTAGTTTGAACAAGAGGACCCTGGCGTCCGAGTTTAAGTGCTCCAAGTTCTAAGCATAACCAGTGTCAAGACAGAAAGAGGATCCACTGAGCACAAGTGATAAAATTTGAGCTTTTACTGCCAAAGTCGTGTATCCCCCGCGGAGAAAGCACCAGGACAGAGTCGAAGAGAGAAACGGCGTGGCTTGGTGCAAGTTGCAGGTTGTGGCCGAGTTGTTGCGCAACGTCGGAACTCGTGCCGGGCGCCTACAGATACTCACATCCTCACTGAATCCCTCACGACCCTCTCCATAATCGACCCGTCCTCCAGCAGCTCTAGGGCCAATCGTCTACTACGAATAGGCTGCGCTTCATCTTCTGTGACCCGCTGAAGCACTGGCTTGGTGACTGCGATAATTGCCCGGCGGCCGCCTTGAAAGCAGCGAACTCCGCACAGTACTGGTGGACGTCGAACGAGGACTCGTGTCTTGGGAAGGCGGAAAGCGATCAGTACTGCCATTCAAAGCTTGAGGCTGCTTCCTGTTATGCTTCTCAGTTGTTCGGGGCTCTGGTCTACCTCTTTGGCTATACTTGCTTTGGCAGCACAGACGTCCGCAATATGGCCCTTCCAACCGAAGCGATTCCGCGGAAACGCGCTGCTGAGCGCAGGCAACATGGGTGTTGAGGCGGACGCTACCGTAGTCGCGTACGGGGATTTCAACGGAGACCAATTGTGAGTGCCCTTTTAAAAGAGAATACAACACCGTAAACTGATATAATGCCCAAAGCCTTGATCTCTTGACCCTTGGTTCGGACCACCAGTCATTGTCCATATATCTTTGGGATCATGGTACGTTCCTCGTAATTGCCAACCCGTCCGTTGTATGACTTGCTCTTCAAGAGGGCTACACCTTCCGGAAATCTGTGGCATTCAAGCACTCACGCAGAGTATACAACGTCATTCCGGGGGATTTTACCCAAGACGGGCGGCTAGACCTCCTCGTTTACAGCCAATCCACAAGGTCTGGTGAAGTTGCAATAGACCTCTATGCTGCATCTCCGCAGGGTGGCTTTGGTGAGGATACAGTCGCAATGAGACCTGTTCGGCGTGCTGAACTGTGGGTAGATTTGACGCCTATCACCGCCCCTGCCTCCGTGTCTGCGCAACCTATACCAATGGACGTCAACGGCGACCTCAAGATCGACCTGTTCGGGATCACCTCACCACCGTCGTCGTCTTCTCCCTTCAAAGTCTGGCAAAACGTATGGAATGCTTCATCCTCGCAGTCGGATTTATTCAGCACGTGCGTTGTGCATCGAGCTCGTGTATATACAGACGTCAATGAATGCTGTTTTTCTATAGAGTGGACCCGAACTTCAGCGGCGCCCAATGCACGCTCTCCAGCCCTCACAGCAATGCCGCCGTGGACCTCAACGGGGATTGTCTTGCCGGTTAGTACCTTCTCGTTTCTTGACCGGTGACTTTGCTGAACACACTCAGACATCTTTCTGGTTTGTGACGACCGCGCTTCGGGAGGAAAGTCCTACCAGATCTGGGTCAACAACAAAGACGACGGTTTTGCGTTGGCTCAGCAAGGCCGGTTGCCTCCCGGGACCCAGTCCATATCTTTCGCTGATATCGGTACGCATATCATGATTCGTCCATGCATGTGGTATTCATAACCCGCTCGCAGACCGGGACGGTACACTCGATATGTTGTTTGCGACATGCGCCTCCGTGTCTAGCTCGACGGGCGTCGGGTCGATGTGCTCCATCAACATCGCATACAACAAGCAGCTTCCGCTCTGTACATCCAACTCCGCATCAAACGTGCAGAATGGCAAGCCTGTCTGCAGGTTGCCGGACGACCTTTGCACCGCAGATCCCGATTTCCAGTTCGACTTGCGTGAACGCGCCGATAACGACGTAAGTCGTCCAATTCTTATACATCTGTGTCTCCTAATATATTTATACTTTTGCAGGCATTTGTCCGCATACCGTTGGCAGACGTCTTCCCTCCCGACTCCCATTCCTCCGGCACGCCCTCCCTCGTGGTCATGGACACCTCGCAGAGTCCGTCTGTACCGGTGCCGATCAAGCTGGGAGACGTCAACCAGGACGGCTTCCCGGACATCATGGCCATCGTCGCTACCGGCAGCGGCTCGCGCATGACGCGCACGCCCCATTTGGTGCTGTCGGTGCCTTGCGCGAAAGGCGTACCCGGCTGCAACGGAGACGGAAATGGCCGGAGAGGCTGGGAGGTCGTACGGAAGGACGTCGGCCCGCTCGTCGGCGTGCAGGATGCTCGGTCGCTCGCGTTCTTGGATATGGATGAAGATGTGAGTGGTGGTCTGGTTATTACTGGCGTCGCTAGTACTCATACGTCTTCGTCAGGGTACGCTGGATATCATGGTGCAGCGGACTGGGGCACAAGGGCAGGGGAACATTCTCTTCGTCCAGAACAATTTCTACTACGACGCGTTCTTCCTGAAAGCTATCGGTGAGTACTGGTTACGAACCCTGTTGGAAACATGGGTGCTTACAGCGAATCTAAGTTCTGAACGGTGCTTGCGGAAGTGGGACATGTCCCGCGGCTGACGGCGCCAAGAAGTACCACGTAGGTCTTGGGCCTTCTTCCGCTCAGTTGTGTACTGACTGTCAGCCTCAGCCCTACGGCGTGAGCTACTCCGGCGCTACCTACAAATATACTGTCCTAGACACATCGGGCAGAAGATCGGCTGCTCAAGGTCAGCCTCTCTTGCTATTGAAGTCAGCCGCGTGGGCTGACCCCTACTACGACAGTCGGACAGATGCCTCAGGCTGCTTACCAATCGCTCCTGACGCCGTACGTCTACTTCGGCCTAGGGCGCACGAACAACTACATCGAGAACCTATTTGTGGGCTCCACGAAGCACACAAGCGAACACTACATCAACATGGAGGGCGTGATCCCGAACTCGAAGGTGGTGATCATCCCACCAGTGGAGGGAGACTCGTGGAAGAGGGAGCTGTATCTGCGGCCAGGAGAGTGGATACCCTGGGTGACGCTGACGGTTGTCGCGTCGCTCATTATCCTGGCTGTTATCGTGCTTGTGCTACATTTGAACGAGAAGGTGAGCCCTCCGTCTTCGTTACCTGTGCTTGAGCATGAGCTGACGAGTGGTTAACAGAGGGAAGACGAGCTCGAGAGGAGACGGGCCTCGCATCACATCAACTTCGACGCGCTATAGTACAGACTTTACATTTACATTCGACGCATATCCATCCTTCCCGTCTCGCGCACTGTACGGTATCTTATGCTATGAGCACTCCACACGACCACACCGGACAAACAGAGACGAGCGACTGACTAATGGCCCAGGAGCACCCACGCGTTGTCCACCTTCTCGACTCTACCGTCGCCCTCGAGCTTCTTCAGGTGCAGCTCCACACTGTGCGCGGCGGGTGCCCACAGCTCGCGCGGGTACTTCGCGTAGATGTTGCCCACAATCGCCTCCGTCGTCCACCCGCCCTCGCTCTCCGCTCTGGCGAGCTGAAGCACCTTCACGATCTGCGCCTCGCGCTCCTCGCGGTGGTGCAGATACGTCGTGATCTTCGAGAGCCCTTCGGTGGCGACGGGCCCGTGCCCGGGGTACACGGTGTTGTACGTCTGTGTGCCGTCTGGGCCCCGCGCGAAGGCGATCATCTTGCGCAGGCTTGCCATGTATGGCCCAAGGTCTTCGAACACGGCGGTCCCATGTCCAAGCACTGTGTCTGCGGTGAAGAGTGCGCGGTCGGGGGAGTAGTAGAGACACAGCGAGTCGGGCGTGTGGCCGGGCGTGTGGAGCACCTGGAGGGGGGATGTCTGACCGTCTGGCCCAGCGGTGACGGGAAGGACGTCGGTATCGGTGAGGTTGTGCAGGACGGCGGTGGCGCTGGCTGGGGTGAATGTACCGGGATCGAGGCTGTCTAGCACAGACTGAAGGCGAGCGTCCTGTCCCGGCAGAGGAACCTTGTGAATCCGAGGTGGCCGGTAGGGCGCTGAGGTAGCTCCGTCGTCCCACAATTTACGGAGGAGCGCGAGCACGCCATGCAGGCCGCCGATGTGGTCATGGTGCCTATGCGTCAAGATGATGTCGGAGACATATGGCTGCTGGGCGTCGTGGTTGGGGCTCTCGAGCAGTGCTTGCTTGAGATAAGGGATGTATTCTTCCCTTCCCTCGCCGGTGTCCAGGAGGATATATGGGTTGCGCTCTCCGACAAGGTACGTGTTTGTACCTTGGGGATATCCCGTCAGTCATATAGTCTGACGTAGATCCGTGAGAATCATACCTTGAAGTGTGAACTTGCCTGGATTCTGACGAGCTTTGTTTAGTGTGAAGCCTACTAAGGAGCGCAATGAGTTCAATTACCTGGCCTAGAATGCGGGTGACGGTCTTGCTAAGCTATCATAAAAGTCATTAGGGCTGATTTCGAGTTATATGTGATGTCGACATACCCTAGCGATGGCTGGGAGAGCTTCCAGTGCCTCCATGATACTGAGTGCTCACAAAGCACAAGAGAGGCAGCACCGGGGAACTTGACAAGATGAGCCGGTTGCCTTTCCGGGCCGCTGCACAGTGAGCTCACGCTTATGTAATCACGCACGCTAGAGCCCTGCGCTAGCGCTTGCTGAGCGCGGTGCCAACGTCTTGAACACTGACCACGATGGCGACTGCTGAAACCATGATGCCCACTTCGCCCTCGGATGGCCTGTCGAAGCGAAAGAGGTACGTTTGCAATGATACAGAAAGCTTGTCCGTTGGGTGTTAATTGTGGTCCAGATCGGACTCTCTTGAAGTTTCGGAGCAGCCACCGTCAAGTCGGCGAAGGTCCCTCTCGCCTCCGTCAAGCCGCCTTGTCGAGGTGCCGAAGGTTGTCGACGTTGACCCCGCCCGTCGCGCGGAACGCGAGCGACAGCTAGCAGCCCGCATAGCTGAGAAGGAGCTGGAGAAGCTGGAGAAGGAGAAAGACGGGAAGAAGGAGCCAGCGTTTGACGCACAGGCCGAATTCGCAAAACTCACCAGCACGCGTTCTGGAGGCGTGTACATGCCCCCAGCGCGGCTGCGGGCGATGCAGGAGGCGGCGTCGAAGGACAAGGCGAGTGCAGAATACCAGCGGATCTCGTGGGACGCGCTGCGCAAGTCCATTACCGGTATTGTCAACCGAGTCAACGTCGCGAACATCAAACACGTCGTCCCGGAGCTATTTCAAGAAAACCTCATTCGTGGCCGTGGCCTCTTCGCCCGCAGCGTCATGAAAGCCCAGTCTGCCAGTTTGCCGTTCACCCCGGTCTTCGCGGCTCTGGTGGCAATCATCAATACCAAGTTGCCCCAGGTCGGAGAGCTGGTCTTGACAAGGCTAATCAGCCAGTTCCGGCGCGCCTTCAAGCGCAATGACAAAGTCCGTCTGTAATGGCCATATCTCTTCAAACTCATCCTGACACGCCTCTTCAGATCATCTGCCATTCTACTACCACGTTCATTGCCCACCTCGTCAATCAGGCCGTGGCCCACGAAATCATCGCCTTGCAAATCCTTGTACTCCTTCTGGAGCGCCCGACGGATGACTCAATCGAGATTGCTGTCGGTTTCATGCGAGAAGTTGGCGCTTTCCTCGCCGAGAACTCACCAAAAGCAAACGCGACGGTGTATGAGCGCTTCCGTGCTGTCCTGAACGAGGGCTCCATCAGCCACCGAGTGCAGTACATGATCGAAGTGCTCATGCAGGTGCGCAAGGACAAGTACAAGGACAACCCCATCATTCCGGAAGGCTTGGACCTTGTCGAGGAGGACGAGCAAATCACCCATCAAATCCAGCTGGAGGAGGAGCTGCAAGTTCAGGAGGGACTCAGTAAGCCGTCGTTGCACGCTTGACCATATTCAATTCGCTCACTTTATACCTAGACATCTTCAAGTTCGACGCGACTTTCCTTGAGAACGAGGAGAGGTACAAGCAGATCAAAGCGGAGATTCTGGGCGAAGGTTCATCTGATGAGGACGAATCGGGGTCTGAGGAGTCGTCAGACGAGGAGGAAGAGGATGAGGAAGGTATGTGGAACCGTACGTCACGACGCTATAACGTTACTGACTCGAAACACAGCTGCGGAAGAGAAGCAAGGCATCGAGGACAGGACACAAACCAATCTCATTAACCTCCGTCGTATCATTTACCTCACAATCATGAACGCGCTCAACTATGAAGAGGCGGTACACAAGCTCCTCAAAGTGCAGATCAAGGAGGGTCAAGAGGTATGATAAGTGTGCTCTTTCGTAGAGATACGTTGGTGCTGACTATCATTTGCGTGTAGATCGAGCTCTGCAAGATGATCATCGAGTGTTGCTCGCAAGAACGCTCTTACTCGACCTTCTATGGTCTGATTGGAGAGCGTTTCTGCAGGATAAACCGCATCTGGTTCGACTGCTTCGAGCAGGCGTTCCGCGAGTACTACGAGACAATCCACCGATACGAGACGAACCGGCTGCGGAATATTGCGCGTTTCTTCGGCCATCTCATCGCCACGGACGCGGTCTCCTGGAACGTACTCGACTGTATCAAGTTGACTGAAGACGACACGACGTCCAGTTCCCGTATCTTCATCAAGATTATGTTCAACGAGGTTACGGAGAGCATGGGCCTCAAGACGGTCGCGGAACGCTTCAAGGACCCCGAAGTCAAGATGTCGTGCCGCAGCATGTTCCCGATGGACAACCCGAAGGACACTCGCTTCGCGATCAACTACTTCACTTCCATCAACCTGGGTGCCATCACCGAGGAGATGCGTGAGCATTTGAAGGTATGTCCGTGTCTATGCTGTCTTGTCGGAACTTCATCCTAACATGTGTTTCTCAGAACGCTCCCCGCATCATCATGGAACAGCGTCGCGCTATGCTCGAGGCTGAATCGTCGTCATCGGACTCAGACTCGTCCGACTCGGATTCTGACTCCTCGGACTCGGACTCATCGTCCGCGTCGGATTCCTCCGACGACTCTCGTCGATCGCGACACCGTCGACGCTCGCCTTCGCCGCGCAGGAAGGAGATCAAGCCTGCCCGCAGCGACTCGCGCACTCCTCCCCGCCGCGATCGTCGGGGTTCACCCTCGCCCCCTCCGCGGTACCGCGAGAAGTCCCGGGATCGCGAACGCGACCGATATGCGTCTCGCAAGGACTCTCCTCCGCGCCGTCGCGATTCCCCTCGTCGCCGCGAGCCCTCTCCAGATCGTCGCGCTCGTGATCGCGAATACGCCAAGGACCGCCCGCGCGTGCGTTCCCCTCCCCTCTCCCCGTCGCCCCCGCCTCGCTCTCGTCTCGAACGCCGGTCTCGTTCGCGTTCGTACTCCCCCCCGCGCCGAGGAAAAGAGACGAGACGCGATGATTCGCGTGACAGGGATCTTGAGAGACCGAGAGACGATCGCAGACGTCGTTCGGTATCGAGGGAAAGGTATAGCAGGCGATGAGTGTGTGCTTTAGGAGGCTGAATGGAAGGTCTCCTTGCTCTCGTTCATTCTACTTTGTATTCCGTGTTCCGTGTTGCGATATTTCATGTATGCTATATTGATATGGGTCGCCAAGCATATTTCGACGGTGGAGTGCTCAGACCTTATTTTGCGTGTACCGTGCGCCCAAATTCTCCCTCCTCCCCCCATCTGCCTCAATGTCAGCAACAGAGACTAGCACACATCCCGAGGCCTTCGTGTTGCTGCACATCCCCGAAGTCGTACTCCATAGCGCAGGCGCCACCGAGCAGGGAACGCTCGCACTGGAGTGCGTCGCTCTCGCTCCTAACAACGACGACAAAACTGCGCCGCTCGCTGCATCGCTCTCCGCCGACGACCGTTCGCTCTACCTCGTGCTCCGTCTGAACTCGCTCGAGCTCCCGCTTGACCCGACGCGGTCGATCTCCGTGCATGTAGCCAACGATGGCGCACGGACGTACACCTTCCAGGCTACCGATGTATCGCCAGTTGAGGGACCTACCCCGGTATACCTAACTGTCCCCATCCCATCCAGGCCAGATTCCCACCGCGCGGAGACTATCGAGGCCTTCGATCACATCCTGGCGCAGTACGCGGAGGTCGAAGGCTTCCCCCCGAGCCCTGTCTCCCCGGCTCAGCGCGACGGGGCGGCATCATCCTCATCTCAGGTGCAGGCGCCAGGAAAGGAGGACATGCGGGGGAAGCTGGTGCTCATGGACGAGGAGAGCGGCGAGGTCGTTGGTGAGCTCCCGCATCGCGTACATATGAAGGAGGACCCTGCTCTCGCGCGTGCGGAAAAGGGCAAGGACGGTGCGCCTGCGCCCGTATTGCTCGAGCTACCTCCCGACGTATACGATGCGTACACTGGCCAGGGCGCGAGCGTGCTGCCGTACCACACGACCCCTCAGTCGGACGTCGAGGAGGCGCGGGAGATATTCGTACAGGCGATCCCGCCTGAAGACCAGGACTGGATGACGAAATCCGCGACGATCATCAGGTAAGTTATTGCTCGTTGCGCATATACAGGGCGAGGACTGAACGGGCCCGGCGCAGTCAAGCGATCACCTCGTCCACGTCGATGCTGCTAAGCGGCCTGACGAGCGCGGCGAGTTACTACATCAACCACTCCACACCCTCGCCCCATGCTTCTGGTTCGCAAACTCCTGGTAGCGGACCGCCCCCTCCTCCCCCGCGCGCACTGCTGCTTCTGTCGCACCCGCGCACCCACTCGGCACTCTCAAGCGCGTATGCGGTCAGCGGGCAGGCCGTGCGGGTCAGTCAGAAGACGGTCAGCGTGGTGGAGAGCATGATCCGCCACGCCGTTGGCGGAAAAGACAAGGCGAAGGCCGCGCCGACGCTGAGGAGGCCGCAGCCTCCTACGACGTCGACCGTCCCTCCCTCCGCCTCGCCGAATCCTACGCCAGCCATGTCGTCTCTGAGTCTGTCGGAGCCGCCTCCGCCATACCCCGGTACACAGGACGGGAAGCCACCGTTGCCGCCACGGCACGGACCTCCGCCGCCTCTTCCACCGCGGTCCCCACTCCCAGCGGGCGAGAAGTCCGCTTCGTCCGCTTCCGTCCCGACCGCTCCTAGTGCAACACCTGCCGGCGGCCCGCCCCCACGCCCGCTCAGGAAGCACGAGAAGCTCGTACTGTCCGCAAATCTGTTGCTCGCGACCGTGGACGACTCGGTGAAGCGTGCGGTGGATGTCGGCAGCACGCAGCTGACGGCGGTCATGGGGCACAAGTACGGGGAGGGCGCGGGGCGGACGACACACCTGGCCACGCACACCGCGCGGAACGTGACGCTGGTGTACATCGATATGCGCGGCTTTGCGCGGCGGGCGTTGATCAAGAAGGCCGGCAAGGAGTGGATCAAAGCCAGGGTTGGGGGTCGGAGGCAGCAGGCGCAGATGGACGGCGTCGTCGTGGATCGGCCGGCGGTGGATGAGAAGTAATGGACGAACGACGATCATCAGGATCGGAATGGACTAAGCTGGACCGTGTACCTCATACAAATGTACCACCCAACATGCACACGACAAGTATTGGAAAGTGGGAGAATTTTCCTGCAGAGTCTTTCTTTACCCTCAAACGTGACCTAAGCTCACTCAGCAGGTATTCGTCCTCGTCGGTTTCTAACGAAAACTTGAACTTCGCAAGAGCATGCATTCCACTCATACGAACCACAACACCTGCCATATCGGGGCCAGCATCGCGGTGTCACCATCTACGCGAGGCAAGGGATCCGCCGAGTGTGCCACTCGCTGCATTCTACCTCCTACCTCCACGATCGACAAAGGAATAGCAGCTACTACTCGACCAACGGTACTAGCCGCCGCACTCCCGCCATGTCGTGGACTTGGTATTCACCCTTGAAGGAGGAGGCGTGGGACGGCGTGATCGCGCCCATGCCCCGCGACCCGGACTACTGCCCGTACCCCTACCCGCCGTCGTGGAAGCGGTCGCGCACGGTGTGCCAGCAGGAGGCCGACATGTTCGCGGACCCGGAGAGCCACTGGATGTACCTCGTCACGCGGCTCGGCGGATTCATGCCGCACCAGAACAACCGCGTCTGGCAGGCGATCACCTACGGGATCGCGCTGAAGCAGGCGGAGGCGCGCAAGGCGCTCGAGGACGAGGCGCTCGCGCGCCCGACGCCCCCCGTGCCGGGCGGGGTCGACGACGTCGCCGCGAGCGACATCGTGTTCATGACCGCGGACGGGCGCTGCGGCCTGCCGATGAAGATGCTGCTCACGGGGCGGCGCGCGCTGGAGCGCGGGATGCGGGGCCCGAAGGTGCGCTGCTTCGAGAACTGGCCGAACGACACGGAGTGGGTCCGCATCCAGGTGGGTTGCTGCGTCCGCCGTGCTGGCGCGGTATGCGTGTGCTGACGGGCAGATGTGCCGCAGTGGCCGGCGTACCCTGACCACGAGCCCACGCGCCATATCGTCGTCAGCAAGCGCATGCGTTCGGAGCGGCCGAGGAGACCCGTCACACGGCTCGAGCTCGTCGTAGCCCTCGCGGGCGTGATCACGCAGTACTACGCGGTGCGTCGTCGCCCCGTCGCGGGACTTGGAGCGTATACTGACGCTGCTGCGATGCCCAGGAGGTCACCAAGCTCGAGCCTACGCCTGCGTTTGCACACCTTGCGCTTGGACCCGCGGAGGGGTGCATCTCGCTCTACGAGCTCCGGTTGATGTACCTCCGCCCCGCCCCCGATGGCGTGTTCGATATGGTGCTCGAGCTGGACACCGAGGACGAGAGCGCTCCGCCCCCTGCTGCCGAGGGCTCTTCCGTCAAGGACGCGTCGACATCCGAGGAGCCAGAGGACAAACCTCGCTCCCTAAGGTCACAATCCCCCATCGACTCGAAGAAGAACATCAAGCCTAAATTGGCCCGACACTTAATTGCCCCCGCCCCCCGCATCTACAACAAGTACGGCCGACACACCGTGCCGTCCATCTTATGGGATAGTGAACTGGAGGGGACATTCGATCTGCCATCAGGCTCATTCAACTTACGCCCGCCGGCACGGGATCCCTTGGAGGCGAGGATCGGCTTGCCAATAAAGAGTAATATCGTCTTTTGAGCCTTTTTCAGGCTATACCACGACTATAGCACGTGGGGGCTTCCGCACCTTCCCTGCCGTGTATGAATCTCGTGCATACATGTAAAGTCCTTGATCCCCATCTTTCTCATACTGGCCGGATGCATCTTAGCTACGCGCCCTCGCAGCACTGTACAGTACCATCTCATCAGACCATTTTGTTGTACGCTGCCCCGAATGCCATGATCTCCTTGAACGATTATCACTTCGTCGCGCCTGCCCTGCTCAGTCGGATCACTTACACGAATGCACTGTCCTGCCATGAACAAGTCCCGATGAATGGAGAGGTGGGGGTACGTGCGCGACGAGAGAATGCAGAAAGGAAAACAGAAATCATTACAACACAGGCACATATGTAGACGTATGCACGTAGGAGAAAGCCCAACCGTCCTATCCCTCTTCCACCGATCCCCGACAACCGCGACTCGCCCAAAATCTAACAGCACTTTCCTCCAGCGTTGGCGGGCGTGTCCACGCTGTGGCTTACAGTGATCGTGTCGCCGGACGTGGGCTTGATGGGGTCATCGGACTGCTCGAGCGACTTGCTTGATACGATGCGGTAGATGTCTACGCAAACGTTGAGATATGCTGTGAAATTGCCAGGGCAGAGCAAACCTACCGGTAAGGATGGTCTGGAACGCAGACTCGACGTTCGATGCGTCCAGCGCAGACGTCTCGATGAACGACAGACCGTTCTCCGCTAAGCGCTCGCTCTCAGTACCTCCATTCCCCAAAAGCAGGTCACACGTCAGACGCACCCGCAAATGCCTTCGCCTCCTCTGTGGGGACCGCACGCAGATGCTTCAAATCGCTCTTGTTCCCCACGAGCATGATGACGATGTTCGAGTCGGCGTGGTCGCGGAGCTCCTTGAGCCACCGCGTCACATTGACGTAAGTCGCGTGCTTCGAGATGTCGTAGACGAGCAGTGCGCCGACTGCGCCGCGGTAGTACCTGCCCAATCGACACCGTTTAATGACTTTCAAGAGGAATGCAGGACGATGGGGGCAGCTTACGCAGCGGTGATGGCGCGGTACCGTTCCTGACCAGCTGCAGACCGGGGGGTTAGGACTCGCGCGGAAGATGGGGCAATCGGCGACGCGCGATAGGAGACGTACCAGTATCCCAGATTTGCGCCTTCAGAGTCTTGCCATCGACGTTGATTGACCGTGTAGCGAACTCGACGCCGATAGTGGACTTCGTCTCCAGGTTGAACTCGTTGCGCGTGAACCGCGAGAGCACTGTAGCAGGACTAGAGTAAGGCGCGACTCGTCCCATCAATGGCTCCTCTTGGCGGATACGCACGGTTACTACACAAAAGCACACATCGCGGTGAGTGTGGGGGCTCTTCAGGACAGGGGGATGCACGTACGATTTCCCGACGCCAGAGTCTCCGATGAGGACGACCTATCCGCGGAAAACGGAGGGCAATCAATGGCTGTTCCATCCCTCGCGCCCGCTGGACGCACCTTGAACAAGTAGTCGAAGTTGCTTCCCTCAGCCATGTCGAATGGTTAGATCGAGGTCGTGAAGAGCGTGAGCGTAAAAGCGGGCTGGAAGAGGGGGGAGAACGAGCAGTCGGCCGGGGAGTGGTTGGTATGAAGGCGGCGTGGCGGCGGTGCGAGGCGGCGTGTAGCTGGCGGAGTTGGAAATTCGTTCTAGCGGTTCCCGAACGCAGCGACCACGGCTCTTGCACTCTCTTCTCGTCTTTGCCTCCTCCCGCCGGTGTCTGCGAGTACGATACCTGTTTCATCATGCGCTGGCTGATCCATGGCGTCGTGTATCGCCCGCTCGCAGACTGGAGCACTGGCGCGAAGCTATGAGACTCCCCAAGCTGCGGCTATGATCATCCCTGGCCTGATGCACGTCCTCGAATCTATCACCTTCTGATCGTCCGTGCGCAACTGGCTTGGGTCGTATATTTCGTTCCATCGTCCAACTCCTGAGATACGGACTTTACGGTGCGGGCAGACTCCTGTGCTCACAGGATGGCGTCGGAGCGGCACTCTCGGTCCGCCCAACCTGGTCACACAACCTCCTGTGCTCGACCCAGAGGATATATAGCTGCGAAACGACAAATGAGCGTAGAACTCCCCGCTAGTTTGACATATCAGGACCACAGCTTTGCACAGAACTCTGCTGTACGATGTCCATTCCTCACACCAAACGCGTTTGCCAAATCATCAAGGCACGTTCCGCACCATCCTGAGCCTCGTTAGACCTATCTGGCTTAGAATCTGCACCGGAACACAGCTCAAACCCGAGGCAGAGGCCGAGTACAGGGCGATTCACGCAAACGTCTGGCCGGGCGTGCTCGCCGCCCTCGCGCGGCACCACATCGCGGACTACTCGATCCACTACTACGCGCCCCTGCGCCTGCTCATCGCGAACTTCAAGTACACCGGGTCAGACTACGACGAGGACATGCGCGGGATCGCCGCTGATCCGGAGACGCAGCGCTGGTGGAAGGTCACGGACGGGATGCAGGAGAGTGTGGTCGAGGGCGCGACGGGCAGCGGAGGCGACATCCCGTGGTGGCAGGTATGTTCGGTGCCGCTCGACCCAGGCTCATTCACATGATGATACCTCGGCTGCAACGGGCAGGAATTGGAGGAGGTATTCCGGTTCGAAGGAGGTTCGGCGTAGTAGACAAACGACGCTTGGTAGTGCTCCGTGCTGGGGTGAATCGACGTGCTTCAGCAAACACGAATGAGGCTCGAAGTTGGGATGCGGGACCCCTTCTAGCGCACGGGTATTAGATCCCCCCATGTACCCAATTCCAGACAATATGAACTACAGACATTGAAATAAGACAGAAGAAAACGAACGGGCTCGGAGCAAGCCGCTCAGACGTCGCGCGCGCTCGCACAAAGCCCAAGCACAAGGGTGTAGGTAGTGGCGGTGAACGAGCTCGGGAACTAGAGGCGGGAAGGGAGGGATGCGCGCGATGTGTATTTATGTGGCGGTCACGGTAGATGGGAGGCGGGAGCGTAAGAAAGATATATCATCATGGAGGGGCAAAGGGTCGTAATTTGAAGTGAAGAACGTTGGTCGGTCGTGAAAAAAGGATGACGACGCGCCCCCAGAGCGACGCAAGCGGGCATCGCCGGTAGCTTCCATCCCAGAGTACACTAGAGGATGATGCACTTGTTCTTCTTCTTGACGACAGGTGGCTCGAGCGCAGCCACGATCGCCTAAGTAATATATTGAGCATATGCCATCGCATGCTGAAAGAGGGAGGAGGGGGATCGTCGTTCACAAAACTCACCTCGTCGAACACGTTCTTCAGGCCCTTCTGCGTCAGCGCAGAGCACTCCACGTACTTCACCGCTCCCAACTCCCGGGCGAGCCGCTCACCCTGATCAGGCGTGACCGGCCGTTGTTTCTGCCTCGCGAGCTTCTCCAGAACCTGAGGGTCGTCCCGAAGATCGATTTGGGTGCCGACAATAAGGCACGGGACACCGGGGCAGTGATGGCGCACTTCCGGGAACCACTTCTCCTTTACGTTCTCGAACGATGCAGGGGACGTCACACTGAAGCAGACAAGGAAGACGTCCGTCTGGGGGTATGATAGTGGACGCAGACGATCGTAATCCTCCTGACCTGTGAGCGCAGACCGTTCAGCACGGACTGTGAGCACGTCAGGCTGCAGCGCGTTTACCTGCAGTGTCGAACAGTCCGAGGGTGTAGGGGTCGTCACCGATCATAACCGTGACAGCATAGTTGTCGAACACCTATGCGCAGTGACGGATTAAACTACGCACAAGACAGTGCAAAGCATAAATCACGCACGGTCGGGACATATTCGCTGGGGAACTTGTTGGTCGTGTACGAGATCAACAGACACGTCTACAGCACAGATCGCAAAGAGGGCGCTCCCGTTGAGTGCTGTAGTGAGCAAGTGAGTAGAAGACGACGCACCTTGCCGACCGCACCATCTCCTACAACAACACACTTGATCGTTTGCATGGCTCTCCGGGAGGTTGAGGTCTATGGAATCGAAAGAGAGTCGAACTGGATGAGGAGGGGAGCGTAAGCCAGCCGTTTGGTGTGGCCAAAGATGGCCTGTGCAGTCCATGCGACGCGGCCACGCAGCGCCCGCGTGTCACGTCTTGACGTAGTGTGCACCCATGTGCCACGCCCGAGGCAGCATGGAAGCCATATAGGATATTTCCTGTGGAAGCTCACCTTGCTTATACAGTGCCGTGAAGGGGCGAAGCGAGGACTTGCAGTGTTGGCGATACTTTGATCTATATCGCACCGAAATGAAGCGCTGCGCGAAAAGACAAGACCGAACAACGCGAGAGGATCAGGGGCAGTTCGAGCAGAGTCTCGGGGTTTGAGGATGGCGAGGACGACGGCGAGCGGGCGGACTGGACTGCCAACTATGTGCTCCCGGATGAGTTGGACTTGACGACCGGTTCACAGCATTTCTAGAAGGCCTGCCCTGAACTCATCACAAACTCTAATGTCCGAGACTATAGGGGCATTAGATAAAGTTGCTAACGAGATAAGCATTCATTTACTTTGGCCGACATCACTGTGCTTCTTTTGATTAACTGTGCACTTGACTCTGCAGGACTCTGCACGCACTCTTCATGCACTAGTCGTTGGTCAGCTCAGACGACTTAGCTTTTGATTGGCATAGCGTAGACTGGCTGCTGCGCAACCTATCTAAGTCAAGTGAATGCCCTGACATTGCATGGTTTTGAATTGTGCACGTTACTTATATGGAAAGATCTACCCAAACCGAGGGGTGTCCGCAGGTCGGAACGCGGCTCAGCGCGTCTTTCGGGCTCCCACCGCCAGCTCCGGAGTCCCACCGCGAGGTCATTCGAGTCCGCCACGCGTGTCTTCCCATCTACCACCTCGTCCTTGTTAATCCGCCAAGTATACCAGTCGTTAGGCCAGGATGTCAACTGCATTAGATGTGTCCAAGTGCGTAACGCCATAATAGGACGCTATTCGTACTTGACAACAACTTCTACAGGTGGAAGCACCTACCCCCTCCTCCAGGGTTTGCAAACTCTGTGTCTTCCGTCAGTCCATTCAGTGTAGTTGAAGCGACCGTGTGCCTAATTGCGCGCCTTGTCAGCATTCTAAGACATCTAGCAAATCCGCTTCAGAGGCGCGCCCTGCGACGGCGTCATACGAAGAACTGAAGGCTAAGCGGGCATGGGACTTCGCAGTCGCGCCAGCCAAATCTCTCCCCATGCAAGCCTTCATGCTGTATATGTCCGGAGGCGGCGTCCAGATCTTCAGCATGGGCATCGTATTCATGCTTCTCTCGAGTCCGTTCAAGAACCTCGCGTCGATCAACAGCGGTGCGTCGTCTTCAGACTCATGAAGTCCGGAGTTGTAATGCTCGAGTCTAGCGTTCGCACCATTCGCACCTGCATCTTCGTCACCAAAGGCCTTCAGCACTCTTTCATTACAGAAGGTCGCATATATCCTCTGCAATCTCCTAACCCTCGCACTGGGCCTCTGGAAATGCCGTTCTATGGGACTGCTACCTACGGGTACGGGAGACTGGCTGGCCTTCGAGACTCGAGGACAGGTATGCGCGTACACACATCTACATCTTGATGAAGCTAATGAATCCATCTAAGCCTCCAGAGATATTGTTGGTCTGATATCCTGGCAGCGCCGCCGTTTGTTGTCACATTGCGCCTACGCTCGGTATACCACATACATTCTGTACGATATCCTACATCTCGAGTGGTTTACTTCTGCGCTTCCAGTGCTCACAGGTCAAACTCGAAGTCCGAATCCGAGTCCTCCTTCTGTCTCAGGTTCTTCGGTGCCTTCGCGTTTGTGCTCGTGGCTGCGGACTGCATGTGCGACGATGGGTCATCGTCCTCTTCCTCCAGGTCGGAGGCGTCGTCGTCGCTATCCCGCTCCGAGGGTGGTAACCTCTGCTGCGGAATGATCCCACCGGCGAGGATGAGCACGGCTTCCAGCTCTGTTGTCAGTACGCGCAGCAGTCAACATACAGTCCTGCGAGCACCTGGGCAGTCACTCACCCTCAATCTTGCGCTCCCTGTCGGCGCCCCAAGCTACAAACTGGTTGAGCACCTCTCCCTTCCGGTAAATGATGAACATGGGCAGCCGGGCGTCGGGAAGGTTGGGGATGCACTTGTCGCCGACAATCGAGACGAACTTCGTGTGTGGGTGCCTCTGCGCGAGGATTCGTACGAATTCCGCAGCACGATTGCTATGCGGGATCCTTCATGTGTGCGAAATGAGCATCCGGACGTGAGAAGGATCTCATATGTACTCACCCGTCCTTGTAAAGGAAGACCACTACACCCGTTCCTCTCTGCTGTTCGTCGCCCTCCTCGTTCACTTGACTCGCGTCGGTGATCTCCCGTGTGTAGTCTTCTCGCGAGATGGGGTACACCCTCCCAAAACGCGCCTGCTCCATCTTGCGTGTCTCCTGTAATTTCCTCCGTCTCATGACTTCGAGGATCCGCTCCGTCTCATCGTCAGGGGCCTCCGCGGCCAGTTCGCGCAGCTGCGCGGCGGTGTAGTGAGCATACTTCTCGTCGAGCGTCGGCGCGGGAGAAGGCGAAGGTGTGCGCGGGGTCGGCGGAAGTGCAGGCAGAATGCCGTGTTTCCGGAGCGCCTCGTTGCTGGTCTGAAGAGTTTACATCGGCCGACATTGCATAAGATGTCCTGCTCACAACTCGGTGTCTTCGCTCGCGTTGATAGCCATAGCAGGGACAAGGAGAGAGGAACGAATATGCAGCAGCACTGCGGCCGCGGCCCTGAGGACAGACGACGGATCAATTAGGTTTGCGGCGTCTAATTCGAGTCGATAGTGGCTTAGATACTATTCGTTAACTTGCGTAAAGAGTCTTGTAATCTCCCTTAATCTACTGAAACCCCGCGTAAGCTTTTTGTAGTGACTGCACCGCTTAAAGTTTGGCATCGTCCCCAACGTCGAACCGCGACTATCTCGAGGCTCGGCTCGTCGTTGGCGACATCCACCTCCATCCACCACAATGAACGCATCCTCATTCAGCCAATGAAGCACAATCATACCATCGATATTCTTCCCGAGCGTCTTTCGCACGGTTCCCGTCAGGTGCTGCGGTAAGTGCGTACCATAACAGGCCCCGAACGGAAGAATCTTGCACACAAACCCCCACCTCCTCTTCAGATCTTGACCGGTTCGTCTGGTGGCAAACTCCAGCTTGTGTCCTGTACCTCGCCTGTGATCGAGATGGCCCGCGTACTGGACCAAGTGAGCGATACCCTGCTGCCGCGGCGGTACCAGGAGGAGATCTTCGTCCGGGCGCAGCAAGGGAATGTCATCGCGGCGTTGGACACCGGGAGTGGCAAGACGTTCATCAGTACACTCCTGATCAAGTGGATCGCGGCGCGGGACGTTGGGCACAACAACCTGATCGTGTTCCTCGTGCCGAAGGTCGCACTCGTGCAGCAGCAGGGCGAGTTCATCGCGAAACAGACGTCATTGCGAGTGCGTCAATTTTCTGGGGCCACCGCTCACGACATGGGGGATCGGGATGGCTGGAAGACGGAGTTTGAGAACTCGGACGTCTTCGTTATGACCGGTGCGTGGATTGGAGCTAGTTCGCCACAATCAACTGATATGCGTTATCCAGCCCAGATATTCCTCAACCTCATTACGCACTCTCACTGGGGTATCGACAAGGTACGCTGGCGGTCTCGTGCGAGCGAGTAGCACTGCTTACTCGTGTCTCACCAGGTCACCCTCATAGTCTTCGACGAATGCCACCACACCCGCAAGAATCACGCATACAACGGAATCATGCGCGAGTACTTCCAAACACCTGTCGGCTCCCGTCCGAAGATCTTTGGGATGACCGCATCGCCCATCTGGAATCCGAAGAATGCCGCGGAGTCGCTCGCCACATTGGAGCGTAATCTCGACGCCAAGGTCATTGCCGTCAAGGAACACATGGATGAGCTCAGCGGGCATTCGCCCAAGCCTACAGAGGTACATCCGAGCCTACTGCCTCACCGACTATGCTGACCAGTCCCTAGATCATACAAGTATACCCCGCCCCACCCATCAAATACCCGGAATATCCTTCGAAATCGCTCAGGCGACTGCTCAACCTCGAGGATACGCCCGCCGAGATCGGTATACCCGTTGACAAAATTCTGACGAGATACGAAGTCACCTTATACAGCCTGGGTCCCTTCGGCGCGGAGCTCTTTCTCTATACGGAGGTCAAACAACGCGTCGCACAGATGATACAGGATGCGCTCGACTTGTCTATGGACTACCTGACACCTGCTCAGTATGCCCAGACGGCCCGCGCGGGACCAGTATCGCCGGATATGCTCGAGAATGTGCCTCAGAAGCTGAAGGATCTCCACAGGACGTTAGAATCCTTCCGCGACTTCTTCGAGACCCCGGAGTCAGGTTCAGATCCCATACCAATCCCGATGTCGTGGTGCTCCCCAAAGGTTCGAAAGCTCGCGGAGACACTCTTTGAGAGGTACACGGACTCGTTCCAAGGGATTATCTTCGTCGAGCAACGGCACGTCGCGACTTGTCTGGCAGTTATCTTGGAGCGCATACCTCTTCTTGCACACGTCATCAAGTCTGAACAACTTGTTGGGCACGGCAAGGATACCGCCAAGGCGCACACCAAAGGTATGGGCACGCGCAACCAGCAAGATACCGTGAAGATGTTCCGAGAACGGGCCATCAACGTTTGTAGGTGGTCTGTGTATTTTGCAATCTTCACGTACTAATTAGCCTCAGTGGTCGCCACTTCGGTAGCGGAAGAGGGACTTGATTTTCCTGTATGTCTCAGGCCATCGGCGGGGGTGTATAGTCGTGTCGCCTCGCAAGCTGACATGCTGTGGTCGCCCAAGGGTCACTGGTATGTCGGTAATACAACATACCAGGGACATTTGGCTGGCTACATGCTTGTCGGGCTATTTGTTTGCGCGACGGCATGGCTATATGCACCCCGTGCTCCGGTCGTGGTACTGACCTCCACAAGGCTTGCGATCTAGTGATTCGGTTTGACCCGGTGCAACATATGGTCGGATACGTGCAATCGAGAGGCCGCGCGCGTCATAAGACGTCGACGTTCATCATCATGCTCCAGGAAGGGGCGCAGGCTCAGGCCGAACGGTATCTGCAGTTCTCTCAGAGCGAGCCACACCTCAAGCAGGTGTACCAGGAGCGCGATCTTGCCCTGAAGGCGATCGTTGAAGAGGAGGAAGACACGCACGACGACCCAGAGGACCTAGCGGAACGCGAGCGCTACGTCGTTCCCTCGACCGGCGCCGTCCTCACATATACCAGCGCCATCGGGCTGCTCAACCACCTCTGCTCCTTGATCCCTCGCGACAAATTTACGCCCATGCACGTCCCCACATATACGGGCGACGTCAGCGCGACGGTGCATTTGCCCTCCAGTTTGCCACTGCCTGCGGACCTTCTGGTGTACCAAGGTCCGCCCAGGCGGTCGAAGAAGGAGGCGAAGCGCGCCGCGGCGTTTCTAGCTGTGAAGTCTCTTCACGTGCTGAACGTGTTCGACGACTATCTGCTCCCTACCAAGACCGCTCGTGGCCGCGAGAACGAGGATTCGGACGGCGTTCCGATCGGAGACGTTGGAAAGGTTCCCGACGTACTCGATGTGCGGGTCCGCGATCCGTGGGTGCAAGGTCGGACACTTTGGCTGCACATCGTGTACGTCGACGGCCGCCCCTCCGCCGGCATCGTCACTGGTACTCCTCTACCCCCCGTCGAGCTCGTCGCGAGCGGCCTATTCCTTTCGACAGACGAGCCGCGGGAGGTTGTGTTGGACCCGAGACACGGCTGGAGCCAGCGCCGGGCGATGGAGGACTACACGAGGATGGGCCTATGGTGGTGCATCACTGGCAGAGGAATCGCTCTCCCGCTGACATGCTACCTGGTCCCGATCAACCGTGACCTCAATATCGACTTTGAGGCAATTGACTTGGCCGCCCGCTATCTATATGGCTCGTATAACTGGGAGGGCGTCGGAGAGGAGCACTACGGGCACCTGATGTACGTCAACAACAAGGAGGCCGGGCACCCGATGATACTGCACAAACTCCGCCCGGACATCACACCGTCAATGCGCGCGCCGGAGGGCTCCCGCGAGTCCTCGTTCCCGACCTACCGCGACTACTGGATCAACAAGTACACCAGGAAGGGTTTTGCGCCAATTATATCCAAAACCGGGCCCTGCGTCGAAGGTGTCATCATCGATCGCAACGCGTCCTCCTCGTACTCGCTCGAGAACGTAGTGGACCCTGCTTCCCCGCGGCAGAAACCCGCTACAGTCATCTTCCCCCTGGAGATTTGTCGATGGGCGCTCATGCCCGAGCACATCTACCGTACTTTTTTCGTCCTCCCGGAGCTCTGTCATCGTGTGACTGACGTATGGCGCGCGCACGAAGCTCGCATCGCGCTGAAACTACCCCCCATCGCCGACGACCTCCTCGTGCAGGCCCTCACCCTGCCGAGTACGAACGCGCAGTTCAACAATCAACGCCTCGAGACCCTCGGTGACGCCGTCCTGAAACTCTCTGCCGTAGTGCATCTATACAACAAGTACCCCCATCGACACGAAGGGCAGCTCGACGCCATGAAACGAGTGTCGGTCGCGAACCGGACCCTGCTCGCCCGCGGAGTAGAGCGCAGTCTCGAGCGTCACCTCAGCAGTGAACCGCAGAGTATGAGAATGTGGCGATACGTCATCTCCTCCGAGGACGACTTGTTCTCTGCTCGCCCCTCGAGGCAGGCGCCGAGGCGTTTCCCGCGGAAGAGCATGCAAGACTGCATGGAGGCGCTCCTGGGGGCAAGTTTCGCGACAGGCGGGATTGACATGGCGCTGCATGCGGGGACGGTGCTCGGTGTCTCGTTCGGGGGCCCAACCCCTTGGAATATCCGCTACGGCCTGCTGATGCCCAAGTCCGAGCCGTCCCCTTTGTTCCTCACTCTACAAGAGGCACTGGGTTACCGCTTCGAGCATGGCCAGCTCTTGCTCGAAGCCGTAACTCACCCATCTTTCGGCTCTGCGGATAGCTCCTCTTACCAACGGCTCGAGTTCCTGGGCGACGGTACGCAGTTTCTGTCCGTAGTACGCGCCGTATAGCTCTGACGCATGTTCTTTTAGCACTCATCGACATGGTTGTCACAGAATATCTGTACAAGAAGTTTCCTGAGGCGACCTCAGGTCAGCTCTCCTGGGCGCGTTCTCGCGCAGTCTGCGGCACCGCTCTTGCGTCCCTCGCGGTGAACAGGCTCGGTCTGCATAAACTGCTGCTTATCAACAACGTCGAGCTGAGCATCGCGATCGGGCGATACGTGCCCATCCTCGAGGAGATTACAAACGAGGAGATCATCCTCGACGGCTGGAAGCACGACCCGCCGAAGGCGCTCAGCGACGTGTTCGAGAGCGTCATGGGCGCGCTCTTCGTTGACTGCGACTATAACTACGACAAGGCCGCCGCGGTCATCGAGATGGTCATGGAGGACCTCATCGGCGCCCTCAGGCCCGACCTCCCCCGCGATCCAGTCTCGCAGCTGATGGTATGGGTTGCGAAGTCCGGCTGCCGATGCGTCAGTTTTGCGTGAGTACCGCTTTGTCCGTGCACCACTCCACCGAGTCTAAACCAAATTTATCACACAGCAAATCGCAGAGCAGACCGGAGCTGCGACGGCACGACTGCATGTCGGTGCTCGTGCACGATGTCGTCGTCGTCGGGCCCGTCCCCGCCCCCAATGTGTCCATGGCCAAGGGCCTTGCGGCCGAGGAGGCCCGGCGCGTGCTTGCCGACCCGGAGTCCCCACATCACCTCTCCCGCGTCTGCGTGTGCGCGGAGGAGAAGGCGGCCGCGGAGGCAGCCAAGGACAAGATGGACGTGGACAAGACGGAGCTCGACGACGAGACGACAGAGGGCTTTGCGACGCTGGCCCGGATCCTGCTCGACGAGGTCCAGGAGCCTGGCGGTCAGCCACTGGCCCCTGACGCTGTGGACGATACACTGGACGGCGACGTTGACGAGAATGACCTGCCTGGTGAACAAGAAGAGACGTTCGAGGAGATGGAGGTTGAAGAGATGATGGAAGTGGATGCTTGAGGTCTTCCTGTATTCCTGAATCATGCGTCACGGTTTGTATCATTATGGTCCTCTGCTCTATCTGTTCTCATAGCCCTGGATGCATCGGCGAGGCCCGATATGTATCACCAAAAATTCGCATGTTGTACCAATATTCTATCGTATAGATCTACCCTTGGGAATAGCATATCTCACCCTTCATCGATGTCATCCCTCGCTTGTCACTGTTTTCACTCCAGCCCTGCTGAATACGTGAGTATACGATGACCGTGCTGCCATGGTCGAATGGTTGAGCGATGGTGAACGCGTCGCTCTGCGAATCTCGCGCCGCGAAGACTCAACGCATGTCGTACGAGATGGCTTTTTGAGCTTCAACATACCTTAGCTCGGGTTAATTCCTCGGCGTAAAACACACTGCAAGCCATGAGGGAGGGGTGAATCGTGTTTTTTTAGTAGACAAGGGCGCCATGACAATCCGCGCTACGTGCTATAATCCACCGATCTTCCAAGTCTCTCTGATGGCCAGACATTGTCAGCAAACCGGTCCTTGCTTGATTGTCGAACCACACACCTATGGAAGCGGTGTCCATCGCCCAGAACGTGGTATAGAGGTTCATTAGCGCAGCGGGAGGCAGTGCAAGACCAAGCTCCTCGAGCCCCGGCAGGCGTTCACAGTGCCCCGTGTGATAATCGACCCAGTCGTGGAACAGGGCTTCCCACAACCACTGCTTCCCCTTGGAGCGTGTATACCGGCCGGGTACCGCATAGTACGCGTTACTATCGTCGATAGTGTCGGAACGGAGCGGGAAGGCGGTGTTCATGGTGTAGGCGCAGTAGCGGATGAGGTCACGGAGCATGACCTTCACGCTGGCGTCCATATTGATGTTGTGGAGCGGCCGGAAGACGGGGAACATGTCCATCGGCTGCAAGGACACGCCGTTGATGACGTACATGACGGGAAGAACACCGACATAGTAGTGCGAGTTCAGGGTGGGGCTCTTGAGATTGTCTTCGTGGCACTTTCGGCTCGCGCGCATCATGTCGGCGCAAACACGAGCATTCCGCGCGGGCCCGGTGGAGTAGTACGCGATGGGCCAGAAACCGTGGTCGGCGACTCTGAACGTGGTGGCGGGGTTGCGCTGCGAGCGCGGCGTGCCCGGGGTCGTCTGACAGACGAGGTGGGTCCTCAGGACCTCCGTCCGGGGCTCTTGCCGGGCGATGGCCATGCTCGGCCCACTTCTGAAGAGAACATGGGCCCGAATCAGGTTGTGGATAGCCCATTCGTGTGCCTTCGTGTACTCCTGTAGCGCTTGCGAGAACGCGAGGGTGGACTCGTATCCAAATTGCTGCATCTCGTGATCAAGGCTGACAAGGACGTCGGTGTCCCTCTCGATACGTTTGCAATAGTCCCTGAATATCATCCCTGTCAGAGGCGCTTGAACTCGCACGATAGATCGCTGAGCTCACTTGTGCACCGGCCATGCCGCCTTCTGACATTCTTTGCTGCAGTACATTGCGCCGGAGCATGCTGCGCATTTTTTGAGTGTGCGGCCGTCTTGAGCGCGGTACACCTGGGGTCAACGGCTGGCAGACGAGACGGAACCGTAGGCAGTCCTTCCGAGGCTCTTGCCGCGCGATCGCCATGCTGGGCCCGCTTCTAAGCAGGATGTGTGCGAGGATCGTGTGGATGTAGGCCCATTGGTGTGCCTCTGTGTACTCGTGCATCGCCTGGGAGAAGGCCCCGGACGAGTCGTATCCGAAAGGCTGCACCTGGAGGTCGAGGCTCGGGCCCTGGTCACCTGTATGATCCCCATGGGCATGGCGGCAATACTGCCTGCAAGCGACATTGGTCAGAGATGATCGACGCCCTGCTGCAGACCACGCTCAGCTGACTTATGCATCGGCCATGCCGCTTTTTGGCACTCCCTGCTGCAGTACACGGCGCCAGAACACGCGGCGCATCTTCTCAGCTTGTGGCCATCTTCGGAACCTCGTCCGCACGTTATGTTTTCACACTTTCGAATTCCAATCTCATGTTGATCGTCGTCGGGGGATGCCATAGCAGATTTCGGATTGGGAGTTGTTGACGAGAGGTAACGGACGTTCGAGCGCTTGTCGAATCGATTCGCGTTAGCCCATGCCGTAACGCAAACGTGAAACGTTTGAGTTAATACTCGATTATCCCGGATTGCTCCTCTACATGGTCACTGAAGTAGATCAACTGCGACAAATTTGACACAGATAGCCTATAGTAGTACAGGAGAAACACATACAGTCTGGCCGACCGACGCAGACGTCGCTACAGTACTCGGCGAACGTAGTCTGAGCCTGTCTGATAACCGACAAAAGAAGTCAGTGAGCAGCAGGTCCATCTTTAAAGCGTACATTACATACCAAGATTAGTAGTCTCTGTTGCCCACAGTGTGTCGTAAAAGAACATCAACGAATCAGGAGGGAGATCCAGCTTAAGCTCTTCCATCCCCGGCAGGCGGCCACACTCCGCGCGACCCTCATTGTAGTCGTCCCAATCGTCGAACAACGCCTCCCACGTCCACTGCTTCCCCTTCTCGCGGGTAAAACGCCCGGGGACAGCGTGGCACAGACGCTCGTCGATGGTGCGCAGGGGAAACGGGGTCCCCATCGTGTAGCTGTCGTAGCGCAGCAGCTCGCCGAGAACCCTCTTCACGCTGTAGGACATGGCGAAGTCGTGGGGCGGCCGGAACACGGGGAAGAGGGTGAACTGCAGGATGGAGACGTCCTTGACGAGGAACATGATCGGGAGGACCCCAACGTAAAACGGGTTGTTGGTTTCGAGGAAGCCCTCGTGGTACGCCTTGAGGTCTGTCAGCATCTCGGCGCATAGCTGCCGGTTTTGCGGGGGACCGGCGTTGTAGGGTGCCAAGGGACAGAAACCGTGCTCGATGACTCGGAAGGTGGTCGCCGGATTGCGTCGAGACCGAGGCCTGTCGGGGGTCGACTGGCAGACGAGCTGGAACCGCAGTACGTCCACAGGAGGTTGCTGCCGAGCAACGGCCATGCTGGGCCCACTTCTGAGCAGGATGTGCGTGAGGATGGTGTTGTGAATCGCCCATTGGTGTGCCTCCGTGTACTCGTGCATCGCCGTGTTCAGAGCAGTAGTCGAGTCGTATCCGAAGGGCCTTGTCTGGTGACTGAGATCCAAGAGAGCATCCGCCTTCTCGAGGTGACGTCGGCACAAAATTCTGAAAGCAAGACGCGTCAGATGTGTGAGTGGCGCTGAGATTGCTCATTAGCTCACTTATGCGCTGGCCATGCCGCCTTCTGGCATTCTTTGCTGCAATATAGCGCGCCGGAACACCCAGCACATTTTCGGAGCATCTTGCCATCAGGTACTCGACGACAATCCGGGTTTTCACAGATCCGAAGGACCGGCGTTGGAAGGAGAACATCACTGGCAGTAATAGCAAGAGGCATGGCAGGATACTGCAGCTGTCGACGAGAGATTAAACACCAGCCACGTCAGCGCAGAAGCCAGACAGCGGTGAAGTTGTGAACTGTAAACGCCCCGTTACTAAACGGCGGATCGCTCCAAGAAGTTGGTTTGATGTGCGACCTGCTACCCAGTGGCGTGCACCCTGGCCTCGGTCATATTTGGTCGTATTTGTTCGCAGCGATCATCGTGTCAGTAGGCACCACAAACATTTCTTGGTTCTGTCAGTAATAGACATCGGAACTATACCCTAGGAGCGCGTTAACAACAGAACGGCAGGTCGATGACACACTGAGCAAAACAGCGCCTCGTCATTACCGGTACGCCGACAAAACCCTCTCTGTCAGGCCATGCCGCGTGTTAGTGGTTCCCACTGAAGACACGATTCACAGAGTACGCACCGGAGCCAGCATCGTCGGTGAGATAGAATGCGCAATACACGCGCATGAGCGCATTCGGAGGGAGCATCAGGCCCTCCTCCGTCAGCCCCGGCAGACGGCGACACGACACACGGTCCTCCTCATACGAGGCCCAGTCGTCGAACAGCGGCTCCCATGTCCAGCCCTTTCCCTTTGGACGTACGACACGCCCCGGGCGTCCGTAGTACGGAACAGTACGTGGGTTGACAGCGCGAAGCGGTATACCAGTGTTGATGGTCCATGCACAGAAGCGCGTAAAGTCGTGCAGCGCCGCCTTCATGAAGTTATCCATCACGAGTTGACGGGGAGGTCGGAAGATCGGGACCATGAGGTAGAGCTGCACGGAGATGGTGACGTCCGTGTACATGACAGGGACGACGCCGACGTAGTCCGGGCGCCTCTTCTTGAGATCCTTGAGGTTCTTCTCGTGGGTGTCCCGGCAGAGTTTTAGGGTGTCGCCGATGAGCTGGGAATTGCGAGAGTAGCCGTCCATGTAGTACGAGAAGGGGAAGAAGCCTTGGTCCAAGAGTTTGAACGTCGTCGAAGGGTTCCGCTGAGCGCGTGGTGTGTCCGGTGTTGTCTGGCACTGGAAGCGGAACCTGAGCATCTCCGTCCGCGGTTCCTGTAGAGCGATGTCCATGCTCGGGCCGCTCCGAAGATAGCAGTGGGCGATGGTTGCATGCTCGAGAGCCCAAGCGTGCGCTTCCGTGAAGTCGGTCATCGCCTGTGAGAGGGCCACGGCGGACTCGTATCCGAACTGCTGTGCCTCCATGTCGCGAAAGGCCAGGAAGGCCGCATCCGTTTTGAAGCGTTGACAAAACGCCCTGTGTGATACCCTGGTCAGGTAAGTGTCCCGTTAAATACGAGAGTGCCCACTTATGCTTAGCCCATGACTCCTTCTGACATTCCTTGCTGCAGTACATGACGCTCGAACACCCAGCGCATTTTCTTAGCTTGAGACCTTCCTGCTGTCCTTTATTGCACTTCTCACATTTTCGGAGACCAATCTCAGGTTGAGTGCTGGAGTCGGCTTCGGCAAGCATGGCTGTAACTCTGGAGGGTGGTGGACAAGCCTCTGCAAGCACAGCGGTGACCGCGTTTAAGTTGAAGTTACGGCACAGAGTCGGCGCCTTGCGAGCGCCGGCTCGTAGCCGAAGAGATCTGCCTTCCAAATCGAGACACTGCTTGCACAGCATCGGAGCGGTTGCGCGTCGTGCCGGCGGTGGGGTAAGCGGCCGGAGTCGGGGAGCGCTCCGAGTCCGTCTACTCTTAAGCTCAACTCCTCTTCGACCGCTACCACCACCAACACCAGCACCACCACGTTTGCGTCGTCGTCGTTCAGCACAACGTTGAGCGATGCCTCTCGCATCGTCCGGGTTCCGCGCCCTCAGGGGGGCGCAGGCCCACTTCTTCCCGTCAGGCGGGACTACACAAGCTGCTGCTAGTGCTCGGGCCATACACATACCAGCCCACACACCCCGGTCAGCCTCCAATGCACAAACAATCTTCAAGCAGACCAAGACCATCCTCTCGCGCTTTGTCGCCCACCTCACTACGCCAGGCACTCTTCGTGCACCCGTCGACGTCGTCGCAGGAGCTTCGCGCGCGCGCGCATTCCATGGCGCAGGAGGCCGCATGCCGAGCATCCAGGAGCGCATGTCCTACCCCGCGCGCACTTTCCTGTCCAGGCCGCCTACAGTACCGTTCTTGCCCCGCGCCCCAGGCGTACCCCGCAACATGACACAGGTCGGACTTGGGACCGCGCGCAACTTCTCGACAGGCCGGCCGGTCTTCCAACACCTAGCTGAGAACGTGCCGATCTTTGCGCGCGCGCTCAGCGAGGCCGATTGGACGGTGCGCATGCAGGAGGAGAAGGAACGCATGAGGCTGGAGAAGGCGAAGGCAAAGGCGCACGCGAAGGCGGCGAGGAAGGCACAGGCGCCGCTGCGCTCGCTCAACCCCACCAAGGCCGTCCCGACCGCGAGCGTCGTCGAGTCTTCCAACGAGGAGCTCGACTGCTACTTCCCGGTCGCACCGGCGCCCGAGGTGACCACGCACCTGCTCATCCCCCTCGCACCCACCCCGACCTCTCGCCTCCCCCTGTCGCTCAACCCCTCGACGTCTTCGCGGCCCCTCCTCCCGCTCGAGCTCATCGCCTCTATGCACACTTCTCATGGGGTGCATGCACTGCGTGTTTCGACACTCTTCGCGCGGCTCGACACGGCGCACGTCTTCGACGATCCCGGCATTCAGTGCGAAGCTCGCGGAGACCCGAGCGGTCTCTGCACGGTGCTCGAAGTCCGCTTCCAAGGCTGGACGGAGAACCGCGTCCGCGCCGTCCTCGGCGAAGCCGGCACCGGCTGGTGCGTGCTCGAGGAAGTATGGCACGACCAGGAGCGCATCGAGGCGGCCGAGATGGACGCAGCGCTGGAAACCCTCAGCTCGAGCGAGTCCGAGGCGGAGTCCCACACTGGGTTTGCGTCGCTCTCCGGGGTGTCGGACATGAACGGGAGCTGGGGGGGCTCGTCTGGCGGTATCGACCCCGCGCGCTCGTTCGTGCTGCCCACCCTCGACTTTTCCGCGTCGTTCCCGGCTCCGTCGTGGTCGTCGCCGGCCCCTGCCGCATCTACGCCCATGGCCGACCTCCAGTTCCACAACGAGTGGTCGGAGATCGAGGACGGGTTCAGTTCCCCAGGTAGCTTCGACTACGACATGAACTCGGACGACGGTTCGATCAGCTCTGCGTGGTCCGAGGCTCTGCGCCCTGTCACCGGGGTGGAGGAGAATTGGTTCGGGTTCAGCTCGCGATTCTCGGAGAGAATGCGCGCATCTGATGGGCCGCGCGAGGAGGTGTTCTAGACAGGATGTGTTCTAGTTTTTGACATGCTTTGATTTGTTCTCTCCGCTGGCTAGTTTGGGATGCCGTATCACACTCTTTGTTATCACGACCCCTTGTACGATTTCCTAGTTCCGTCACTCTAATACATACGACGTTATTGACTTGAAACGAGGCGAACACGCTCTCATGCAAGTGCAGGAGTTGGATCTATCTGGCTGTGCCAACATGTGTTGTGAGCTCAGTCAAGTCGTACATGTATGCGAATGTAGTTATTTCTGCTGGCTCGTTTTGCGGCCGTGCAGATAAACTTGATGCTAAACTTCGAGGGCGAATACACAGCACTAGGGCAAATGGAGTGGGCTACAGCATTCATGATTGGATAGCGATGACAGCGAACAGTGTTACAACAGTACGTGCTCAGACGAGGGACAAATACACGACGGGAACGTTTGTTGCGAATTCTGCGAGCATCGAATCGGTTAGTGTGGCGTACAAGACACATTCAAAGGGGAACGCGCACCTTGACGTTGCGAAGACGTCTCGTAATATAGACGCTGTGCTTGACATTCCAGAGGGCACCACCACTCGGCCCCGCGTTCTTCATATATGCGCACCTCTCCAGCATCACGGGCACCCTTCGCCAGTCTCACAATATCTCGTGCTTTTCCTGCGTACTGCGACGCGCACGACCGGCCAGCAGCGACGCAGTGAGGCATCGCTGCCGCCTGCAAGTGTTCCTGAGCTGCCGTCGTGCCAGTCTGGCCGCGCCCTCCCGCCCGCCCCCCTTCCGTCACCTCCGCCCCGCGCGGCGTGCCCAAGCCGGGCGGGGCTCCTGATTGGAGCCTCCACGTAAGTCAGATGCCGTCGTCGTCGGACATGAACTCGTCCTCGTCATCGTCGACGCTCTGCAGGTTCGTGAAGTCGACCTTGTACCGGAGCAGGCCGCCGATGCCACCGAAGCCCTTCACGAACTGCGCGCCTTCCTGCGAGCGGTTCGTGACGAACTCAAGGTTCGCGCCGAACTCCTTGTACTTCTCCGTGAACCACTCGAGCAGCGGCTGAGGCTCGCACGCCTTCTCCATCTCGAGCCCGGTGGACTTGTCCATGAACCGCTCGCGTTCCTTCTCCTGTTCTTTGTTGGCGTGGAGGATGATCTCCTCTGCAAGAGCACGATACTTGTCAGCACGTAGAACTGGACAGAGATTCTGTCGAACGTACCGCCAGCAGCGTTCCTGAGGACGTAACGCGTGATATCCAAGTTCTCCCAGACAATAAGAGTCTCGACGGCACCGAGATCGAGCGCCTTGAGCGTGTCGTCGATACCAAAGCAGTACTTGCCAGTGTCCTGGCTGATCTCGTCGAAGTACTTCTGAATCAGCCTCTTCTCCTGCACGAACTTGACGTTCGAGAGAGCCTCTGCCGCGAGCTCAATAGCCTGTGGTAACAATTTAGCCACCAAAACTTCTCCCAAGCACCCATTCATCCACGCACCTGGTTGAAACCGTTCTCACCACCGTAGCTGACGTCGACCACCTTGATGATCTTCGCGCCCAAACGCGGGTCGAACATGTCCGACAGACTGAGCTCAGTCTTGAAGTCGGCGCTACCCGCGAGCACAAGACCAGTCACGTTGACCTTGTCGTTCGTGATGAAGTGCTGTACGGCCAACTCGGCGACCTTCCGGACGTAGTTGTGGCGCTTCTCATCACGGAGACGCGCGAAACGCAGCGCGGACTGACCACCACGGCCGTGCTTCTTGGGGAGATCGACGGTGAACTTGTGGATCACTTCACGCGTGTTCCCTGCGACGGTACCGAAGAGCGTGCCGTTACCATCCATGACAATGAAGCCGAACTTGGAGTCCGACTCGAGCAGCTCCTGGAGAGCTTCGGTATGGAATTTGTTGTCACAAAGGTATAGGGATCTGGAGGGCGGCGTAAGTGAGGATCACGACAACGTTTATATTGTAGCGTACGTGTTGATAGGCTTATGCGGTTCGAAGTCGAAGGACACCTTCTTCTCCTTGCCTTCGTCCGTGAGGATGGTACCGACGAAAAGCACGAGACCGTTCGGGGGCACGCGGTTGTACAGCTTCAGGCGCTGTTGCGTCGAAGTGATGGCCGCCAGAACGGATAGACGATTGACACGGGACTTGATGTTGGACGCCGTTCCGTACTCCTGCGTCAACATGGCGGACACCCGGGAGATTTGGTCCTGCGCCGGGAGGGTTCAGACGATCGCCCGTCGATCAACGACAATCTAGCGCACCTTGGGGGGAATGATGAGAGAGATCATGGAAGTACCCGCGCTGCATTATGCGATGAGTGGAAGCTAATGCGGGGAAGAGAGATGGACGTACCCTCTAGCGGCATCGAGGCTCTTGATGAGCTTCTTGACCTTCCACATCTGAATGTTCTGCTCTGCTGGATCCTGACTCATTTTGGCAGTGAGATCGCACTCGAATCGAGGCTTTTATACACAAAACAGAGAGGGGGACCCAGGAAGGACGAGGGAGAGGTAGAGGGCAGAGAGAAAGAAAGCGGAGGCAGAGATCCTGATGAAGTTTGTAGAGCGCTCCGCTTCGGCACTTAACTGATCAAGCGCCCATTTCATCTTAGCCACCGACCCATTTAAGCCCATTTATGGGACTTATCGGACTATAATGCATGCATACGGGCCATTTATCCTCGCGAAACTGGTCTCGTCCTGCGCACATCTCCTGTCTCCGGAACCGCTAATGAGCAAACGCAAGCTTGACTCGCCCGCACAGCACGAACGGGCACAGCCTAATAAGCGTCCCAAGGTGACTCCCCCAGCGCAGGCCGGAAGTAGCGAGGAGGGACCATTGGCAACGACACCCGCGCTGCGCGCAGCCGCAATGGACGACGGTGCACCCACTTCTGCGAGCGCAGGCACAGATTCCGCACGCTCCAAGGGCAAGCGAGTTCGCACAACTGATGGCGGGGCGATCAAGGATGCGACGCGCTCCGCACACAAAGTCCGCAAGCTCGTCCCACCACGTCCGTTTCCGACCGTGCCTACATCCGTCTCAGCCACCGGACCGAGGTCAGCGCATACTGAGGGCAAGAACCACATCTGTATCACGCGTCGGACGGAGCTTGGCGCGTACCTACGACGGTGCAAGGACGTATTCTTGAAGGATGGGTGCGCGCTCATCATATACACGACCTGTCCGCTGTGGCTGAACATGCTGGATAGGTACAAAACCCTGCATCTTAGCGCGATGGGTGCCGCTATCCCCCATCTCATGCAATTGGCGCTTTCTCTCCCACCCATCCTACCTTTTCCCCAGGATGAGATCCACACGGAGATCCTCACCGGGACGGTGGAGGTGCAGGACGAACTCGTTCCAGAAGACGAGGACGAGGACATCTCGTATAGGACACGCGGGAAGTCATCTGTGAGCATCGTTATCAAGATTGGAGATGGGGTCGACGAACCAGCCGCGGGGGCGGCGAAGGGGTCGGCGCGCAAGAATCAGCTCGGACGCGCTCCTGCGACCGCGCAAGGCGGGGCGCGAAAAGGTGCGCACGCGCCACCAGAGCAACTGGTATATAGAGCAGACGAGATGGACGAAACGTGATGCCTCTCTGTCAGTGTCATGTCCCGCGGAGCTCCTTTCTTTGTGAAGGTCAGCCGCTCGTCCATCTTCCTCTAAACACTACTGACAGTATAACAAATGTCTAGAGACATCGTACAAACATGCATCGTATGGCAGGATGTTCATGACGGACCACTTTGAGGGACGCAACATTCTTTTATGAATATGCACGTGTAAAAATTCGTGCTGTGTGCTACTCGATGGGGGCTGCCTTTGCCCTGCGTGCCGCCTGAGACCAACTTCCGTAGTACGTCATCCCGGACGGTTCATTCGCGAGAGGGGGAAACGGCGAGGCGTTTGCCTACGACACGACGAGGGACGTGCAGACTGATCGTCTACCAGGGTTGGGGCACCCTGCTGCTGCGTTGATGAGCCTTTACGGTGTGCTGTTCGTGATGAAGACCACTACTATCGGTGCGTGGTTATCGAACTCGATTGACGTGCGAATTACTGACTGGATCCACGAACCCACAGAGAGGCTTGGACTGCGTTCGCTCCGTACGTAGCATGTAGCGACCTCTGCATCGGTCGACCAGACTGTATACTATCCTCGGGCCTGTGGAGAGAAGCTAGGGCCAATGGCATATCATGTGGCTGATCTAACTCAGTGCTTCTCCATAGATGCGTCTCGGTACCGGGGTTCTTACGCAGGCGCTGCACGAGTACACGGAATGGGTCGCACGATCTGGCATACTTAGTATTGGCAGCGTTGGCACATCAAGCTTCAAGTTGCTGTGGTGAGGATCCCAGATTCCAGTCAGATTCTGACTGTACTCGCAGTGTTCCTCCTTTTTGACTGTATCGCAAGTCCCACATTAGTCCAGTTGGCTGTGGTGGCTATCCATGGCAATCGCCGACTCACACCAACGTCACGATCGCAAGCGCACGGACCTACGTCTTCAACCACTCTCATCCGTCTACGATGTCTTCCGGTACTGGAGACCCAGCGCCAAAGATCATTCGGATCTGCGGATACAAAATGTGTTCTCAAGGACCTCAAGACTACCGCACACTCAAAACATGCTCGGCGTGCTCTTGCGCGATGTACTGCAGTAAAGAATGTCAGAAGGCGGCATGGCCGGTCCATAAGTGAGCCCGATAGCCTGCTCTCCCGCCTTCACCCCATCTAACGAGCACAACTTCAAGGGCTTATTGCCGGCGTGTCGAGAGGGATATGGACGCCCACGCCAGCCATGATCACGAGATGCAGCAGTTCGGTTACGAGTCCACCATGGCGTTATCGCAGGCGCTCAGAAAATACCTGATGGTACACGACTGGGCTGTCGAGCATATGGTCAACGCGCATGTCATCCTCGAAAGCGGGACAAGCATGGCTATCGCCCGACAAGAGCCTCGAACACACATCTTGAGGATCCGCCTCGCTTGCCAGACTACCCCGAGCACGCCCCCGAGTTCGCAGCGCAACCCCGCTACCACGTTCAGGGTCGTCGACCACGGTTTCTGTCCCATCGCGCTCTATGCCGCCGGCTCCGCGCGGAATTCCAGTACGACTTGCGCCGATATCCTGCAAGAATGCCGGAGGATCCACGAAGCCAACCTCAGGAGCCCTACTCTGAACTCGCACTATTACGTCGGCGTTCTTCCCATCATGTACTTCGTCGACGGCTGCTCATTCACCCAGACGAGGATGCTCCCCATCTTCCGGCCGCCCAACAACGTCAATATGGAGGTCAAAGCGAGGACCGTCCTGTACGACCTCGCCCGCTACTGCGCCTACACCATGGGCACCGCGTTCCCGCTCTGTTCCATCGACGACAACGATGTGTACTGCGCTGTTCCGGGTCGGTGTGTACGTTCCAAGGGGAAGCAGTGGACGTGGGAGGCCCTGTTCGACGACTGGGCCGACTATTACGGGGGACGCGGTGAACGCCTGCCGGGGCTCGAGGAACTTGGTCTGACACTCCTCCCCCCTGTGGCGATGAAGCTCTATTCCACGTTCTGGATGATGGATGCCGATGTAGCAGGTGCGTGTATCGACAATTGAGCATGCCGTGTGCAGGTTCACTGACATGATATCTGAGCAATCAGACAAGCTTGGTATACCGACGGCGTATAGCCTGTAGTGGGCTAGTCACAGTACTCTCGTCATCTTGGTGTGCCTTATCTTTCGCCAACAGCTTAGAGTGTTTTCTTGGTATGACGAGGGTCACCCCCGGGCTAAGGTGCATTCGGAACGGTCTTGTTGCGTTTCGCGCCCACTACTTATCCTCCGAGTCCGCTCTGTTGGTTCGCGACGACGAGCGCACTGACCGGACACGTCCGTCGTCCTGTCAAAGAATGGAGCACAGATATCTGTACTTGTCGTCGGCCCGCATGGGTTGGGCCTCCTTACGGTCGCTGAAAAGGCTGTAGCCCGGGGCCTACGACGCGGGCCTGCGGCTACGGTGTACTAGATGGCATGGCAAAGGTGGCCCTCTCGCACGACATGCGCACTGCGCGTTGACTCGGGATCTTTGCGTCGCGACGAATGCCATGGACAACGGCCTTTAGCTAGGTACGCCCAAAGTTGAATAATCTGGTTCATGATCATGGTATACCATCAAGCTCACAAAACGGACATCTATGGACGTACACAGGCTGCCGACAATATTGAGCGGTGTCCTGTATCGACGCCAGGAGCGCGACTGCCAGTAGGCTCTTCTGTCATGCAGCTGAATGATAGATATCAGGCGGCGTTGTTCCTTACATACGACCCAAGTCCCAAATTACCTCGATAACTTTTGGTTGCTGTCAACACCCTTACAGAAGATCTCCGTCACATATAAGAAAGGGTGTAAGGTAAAAATGAAATCGACATGCTGCTGCTGCTATGATGATGTCATGGCGTCGAACGAACTAAGTTAGACGCCTTCTCGAATGAGAAGTACTGTCAGATACTTCTTAGGTGCTCACCACCACCACCACCATCAAGACGGTAAGTGCTCTCTCGAGTTCCCTAGTCGTGCTCAGGCCATGTACTCAGCATTTTCAGCTTGTGGTATTTTTGAGATGCCCCAAGAGGAGAGCCCGACATGTCACAAGTGCCGACGACCACCTCAAGATGGCAGTAAGCTTCGAAAATGTGGGGGTTGCGCTACTGCCCTATACTGCGGCAAGGACTGCCAGAAGTCTGCCTGGCCATGGCACAAGTCAGTCCAAGTTTGCAGTCTGATTTATAGGCGTGAACTGACCAACCATCGTTTCGCCGTTCAGGCAGTGGTGTCTCCGCATAGCCGATGCTGTCAGAGAGTCCTCGCGCTACGATCGTGAAGTGCGTCGCTTCGGCTACACGTCCTCCTCCGCCTTCGCGCGGTCTATGGAAGACTTCATAGACACACATATATGGGCCTTCGACACCATTGTAGAAGTCCAGACTCTCCTCAAGTACGGAATACACATGGACGGTCTCCAAATCAGCCCACAGCACCGCGACATCTACCTCATCGAGCTCTCCTGCGCAGACGGCCCGGAACTGCCCCGTTCCCAGCGCAACCCCGCATCCGCCTTCACGGTAGTCCGGCACGGGTTCGTCCCCCTCGCAGAGTATCTCCAGAGGGACGACCCATACGACGCACGGATACGCACCGACTTCATGGAGGAGTGCGTCCACCTCCACAACATGCTGAGCGGGCACGGCGCCCCGGTCTACGCGGGGGTCATGCCGTATGTGTTCGAGGTCCGCGGTCTCTTGCCGCATGTCTCGCGGCGCATCCCCGTCTTCCGGCCGACGTGCCTCATTCCGCTCGACGACGTCGTCATCGCCGCGCTCCAGGACTTGACGCGCCTCTGCGAGGGCAGCATCAATACGAGCCTTCCTTTTCGCGGTACTGCGGAGGAGCGGCCCCAGGCGCACCAGGCGATCCCAGGGCGAGTCGAACGGTCGGGCGGCAAGTGGGCGTGGACACCGCTCTTTGAGGATTGGACGCTTTATCACGAAGGTCTTGCGGATTGCGGTCGGCTGGAGATGCTGGACGGGCTGAGATGGCCTCCCGTTGGCTTGATGAACGCATTTAGCAACTTTAACTCGACAAGGGACTCCGGTTTGGCTGAGTGGTAGAGCGACCTGGTGCCTTCCGTAGTCGTGGAGACTGTAACAAGGTACGTACTACGTCCTTGAACGCGATGTGCCGCCATAAAATACGGGTCTGATCATTTGCGAACAGAAGGCGATGAGCGTAACGTTGTGCATACATCTGTTCAAACTCGTCCTGGTGTCCGTATATGCGCCCACATCTCCGGCCATCCCTTCTCGACGTCCGAGTCAAGTGGCGGCGCACTAGAAACATAACGCCTCTATGCCAGTATGCGACCGCGGTCAATTCGGCCTTTGAAGATACGTGCCTCAGGGCGAGTTTTTTTTCACAGATTCCGCGCATATAGCGACCTAAAAAGTCAGGAAGAGAGAGCGGCAATGCCGGCGATTGAGGAAGGCTTCCGGCAGCGCCGCGAGCAGTTTTTATCATCTTTAAAGTCTCAAACAACGCAAACAAGTACAGTGCCGAATGGTGAACTACTTTAACTCGTGTGGCACAATCCTAGTAACACGTATTCAAGGAATCCGTGCTATATCGAAGAGTGTGCATTCGGTGCCTGAGTTCACAAGCGCTCTCCCAGTGGCGAAAAGTGTGGCGTCGCGGCTACACTCACTCTCCGAATCCCGCGACCATATACTTACTCCTTGGACTACAACAGCATTCTTACACGTACCGCGCATGTCATCAGTAGCATCAACATCCGCACCTGGCGACCTTCGAAGATGTTTCGAGTGTAATCGCAGTCCCCCGAACGGCGCTAAACTTCAAAAATGTGCCGGGTGTTCGAGCTCAACGGCATTGTATTGTAGCAAGAAGTGCCAGAAAGCCGCATGGCCGACGCATAAGTAAGTGCATGCTCCATATCTGCGAACTTTAAGATGCGTCCTGACAGTATAACGTCCAGGATCTTGTGCTGTCGCGCCGACTGGTCAGAGCTTGATACGGATATCGTCGATCGTGAGGCGCAATCCCTCGGATACGCATCCACCAAGCTATTTTCGAAATCCTTCTGCGACTTCTTCACCGCGCACAAGTGGGCCATCAACAAGGCCACGATAGCGCACATCCTCCTCAAGAGCGGGCCGAGCATGGAGATCGCACGGACGAACCCGCGGCTGGAGATCCTCGTGTTCCGCTTCCGCTGTGAGCCCCCGCCCCAGCACCGTGCCCCGCGCTCCCCCGCCAGCACGTTCAAACTGGTCGAGCACGGCTTCTACGACCCCCTCGAATGCGCGCGCCGCAGGCTGCTCAACCCCGAACAATGCATCACCACCCTCGCACAATGCAGCGCGTTCCACAAGGAGCACCTCAAGCGGAACGACCCCCGATACGTCGGGAGCATGCCCGTCATATACGTCGTCGACGGCGTCGCGGCCCCAACGGTGCAGCTCTTCCCAGTGCGCCGGCCGCCCCCCGAAAACTTCTTCGCGGGTGCCTTCGTGCAGACGGCGCTGGGGGACTTCGTCCGCCTCTGCGTGAACAGCGTGAACGGCCATCTGCCGCTCCGCGTCGCGGACCCGCGGCTGCCGTTCCACCCCGTGCCCGGGCGCGTCGTGCGCGCGGACGGCCGGTGGACCTGGGAGCCGCTCTTCGCGGATTGGGGAGAGTACGTCGACGGTCGGGTGGAGCTTGATTGTGGTTGGCTGGCGTTGTCGGATGGGCCGACGTCGGGATTGACACCATTGGAGTTGATGGACGTGTTCAGTCGGTTCTGGCGGGTACCAGGCGATTATGACGATGCGGGAGGTGAGTGGTGTGGTGGTGGTGGTGGTGCATATGGCTGAGCTTGACTATGTCTTTGCAGAACCTCCGGTGTATGAGTAATGTGGGACCATGCCAATGTGTAACTATATCATGTATTGCTGTCGTTCTAGCTTATTACGCCACTCCCTCTTCCACAGTCTCAAAGAGCGGATTGCGCGCGGGGCACATCTGCACATTCGTAGGGAGGCGCATGCGGGGTCTTGCTGTGCGGTGCGCGCTACAGGCATGACGTCCATCCGCGAGGGTCGAGCGCTCGCCCAGCCGTGTCCGCAGCCGAGCCAAGGTTCAGCAAAATTCGCTCTCTGCAAGATGTCAGCGGCGCAGCTGGATCCACGGTCACCAGCCTCTCCGGGCCCCGCGCAAGCCCGGGCCGCATGACGTGGAGGTAGGGTCCAAGTCCCTGCGTACGACGCGCGTCGAGTCTTCGCCGGCGACGCGAGGGTTGGGCAACGGCCGCCTCCAGCTGCGCCCATAGAAGGATGCTCGCCACCCAACTCACGAGTCCATCACTGGGCTCGAAATCGACGTTCGATGGTGTTCGAGATCGCGTCGAGGTGCGGTCGCGGTGGGAGCCTGCTCGGGACGTCATGTTGAAGAAGATGCTGCTGTGAGAATTTGAAGGACGACACACCCGTTCAGCGGCGAGGCAGCACCCCGTGCTGAGGGCAGCCGGCGTCCTTGTCCACGGGCGGTCGAGGCGACGCTTCGCGCAGACAGAATATGCCAAAGTGACGGGATGGCCGGGGTCGCGGGGGACGCACGCGCTGGTTCGATGTCAGTGGCAGAAACCACGCGCCGCGGGGGATCGATGATCGGAGGGCGGCACTGCCAGCTGCCTGAGCCCCGCAAGGAAAGAGTGATTTGCACGACAGCGTCGAAGCACTGATTGAATTTGGTCGGATGGAGCGTTAGAATCGTCGCTAGCGGTTCGCCTGCGCTGTCTTCGCCAGAGGGCGCTGGGAGATGCCAAGTCACCGCGATGCGGCCATGATATCGGTCGGGTCTGGCATAAACCAGCCTAGGTGCGCTGTAAAGGTGCAATGAAGAGAAGGCGAGTAGAATAATTGAAAGCGCTATGGACGCGACTGACCCTTGCTCTCGTGAGCTCATGAATGCACGTTTCACAAAGAGCCTGGTGCGCGCAGGACTTCGTGTGAGCGCACCACCATTGACCCCGGTCTCGGGACATCACACGACTGCTGAAGGCCTCAGAAGCCACGTCGAGAAGCCAGGACCCGGGGTTCGCTGTACTCGAATTGTCGAGAAGAGGAGGTCAAAGAAAGTGAATGCATTGCCCATCGGATACGTACGGCGTACGTACAATGCTTTTGGCCACACGGAAATCCAAATCGATCTCGATTCGTGACAGACAGCGTCTGTACCCCGGAGATGAACGTGGAAATAGGTCCCTGACAAGGCCTCGGGTGCAAGTTAGAGGACCTCGGGAGACGGTGCGTCAGCTGTCGGCGCAACGCTCAGCAGGATAGCGTCGCGCCGGTATCCGCTGCCATCCCAGGGATTGTCCAAATGCCAGATGTTCAGTCTGCTCTGTGAATTAACTCGACGCATCGCGCTCATGGATAGACTCCCGCGCTGTCGGGACGCCCCGCTCACCTGATCTTCACCCGCAGCGCACTTCTCGAGAGGTCCCGTGGCGATTTTCCCTCAGCGCGCCGGTACATCTCGACTGTGGTGATGTCAACTGATTGCCCCGCGCCTCGCACGCTCAGGTCTCCAGCGGCGGCAGCGACGCCCCTCACGTAAGTAGCGGTCGCATTGCCTTGTTTTACGACGGTAACGCGTCCGCCCAGCGTCCTTGGCATACGGCCGCTGATATAAGAAGTGCGGCCGTGTGCCAAGACCGCCGGCGCGACATACGCAATGACATGTGCCTGAGTAATGGCCGCTGATAACTGATAGAGCCGCACTACTTAACGAAAAGGGTATCGTGTGCCGTGCTGCTTTACGTCGTTTGAGTGGGATTATCGCCGTCAGAGCGCGTCTTGACCCTACAGAAACATAATGAGCAGTCAGCACAAGGTCGTACGTGAATAACACAGGCTCTCTACCGTTAACGCGTGTACTGATATCTCATTACCCAGCTTGACGGATACAGAAGGACTTTGTGCGCTGGGGCCCAAACCTACGACTTCTGGAGCTACACGCCCCTTGGACACAGGCTTCCGGAGACCTTGCCGATGCCGCCGCATTCACAGAGAGTGGAGCGCGAAGAATCTGGCTGTCAAACGTGCGTCGCAACGTCATGCGACCCACAGCTCTGTACCCCCAAGTGAACGCGCAGCCTCGTATCTTCCATCGCCCGTCTAGAAGCGAGACGGAGGCATCGCTGCAAGTTCGTGCGGGGTGCGGGGTGCGATGGGTGCGCGAACTGGCACGGTCCCGCGGCTGTGTACCCGTCTTGCCCGCTTGGGCAGCGGACTGCCACGGGCACGTCTATGTATAGCGGAAAGTCAGCGGCGCCCGATCGAAGCCGAGAAAAGCAGCCACCGTGCCAACTCGAGGCGGCCACAGCACGCCTTCAGCGAGGACTGGGTCGGCGAAGTAGGTGTGGCCGCGCCGTGCGCCATCGATCCATTTCGCCGACAGCGAGGCACATGGGAGGGACCGGCCAAGTCTGTGTTGACGGAGCCGGGGCATGAGAAACGGGCGGTCGAAAACCGAGGAGGTAGCTCACGTTTCGGGGAATGCGTAGAGTTTCCGGTGAGGGAGTTCCCAACGGACAGGGCGCGATTTGGTCTCGATCTGAGAACTCTGCATGCGATATGTAGGGGGACCTTGGTCGCGAGAGCGGCGCTCCTCGGCGTGCCTTGGAGACGAGTGTGGTCCACTCCCTGCAACGAATTTAGCCTGCGCAAAGTTGGCAAGCCTTTTGACCTTTATATCCAGCGTGGGTGCACTGTAGGCCATCAAACGTCAGAAAGGGGATCAACCATAGTCGCGAAAATATCTTGCTCGTCAGAATGACGCTCACCTCCGACGCAAGGACTCCGACTGTGCACCAAGTGCTTTATTTGTAGGGCCCCATGGATTTGAGGAAGAGCGAAATGGAGGCTCTGCTCTTCCAGTGCTAGGGGGGTTGAATGATTTGAAGGCTGCGGTCCGAGTCGTCATTGGGGCCTGCGGTACGATATACTCGCGTCAGAAAAGACCGTACCCAGAACACAAGGCTAGGCCGATATGTGTCGGGCATAGAAAGCCTCGAGGCCTGCGGTTACATCATGGCTTGCATCATCGCAAACCTTCAGCTTCGACGGTAGCACGGTTAGCCTCGGTAGTCGACAGGACCGTAGTTAACAGAGCTGCTCACTGTCAACAAGCGGAGCGGGCTAGGAATGAGGCAGCGGCGACCGGCGCGTGCGCCGAGTGTGCGAACGAACGTGGGTGCCGTGAATTAGCCTCCCCATCTCCGAGGAAGAGATGAATGTGGTAAGATTCTTGAACTCTAGGAACAGACGTACCTGTGCTGTACGTCGCACTTGCGAGGCATCCATTCAAGATGCATCGCAGTCCTTCGAAGACAAGGCGTGTTCCGTCTGAGACCGGGCTGTTGCAACATGAGGAACATTGACAGTTTGAGGACCTCCCGCGAGACTTTCCACGCCTTCACGGTTTCATTTCGGCTTGTTTGCTCGTCAACCGTCGGGAGGTGAAAGCCCCCAGCTACGTGGAGCACGGAAAGGTGGTTTCGCCGGATTGCATCCATGTTCACGGACGGTGATTTGGAAGACGTCTTGCTGAGTACACCTCCGCGCAAAGAACGGCGACCTCGGGCCTGTGTCCTGGGTTCCTGGCCACACCTTCCCGCGTCTTGTCTCCAGAAACAGACACTTGACAAAGCCATGGATGTTGCTACCTCCGAAGATGCGCCGCAGTGCAGAGTCTCAGAAGATTTTCAACCAACAACAACAACTGACCCTGCGCAATCTCCCGCGCCCATAGCACCGTGATGGTTTATCAGCTTTGGGATGCTATCAGCGAGAAACACACCGCGTTCGCCCCGCTTGATGCAGCTCCAACGTCCGCACGCAAACGACTGCATATGTCTACATATCGCCGCCAAGCGAGCTGGCAAGGCTGGAAGAAGGTGATGAGCGAGCGCATTGCACATCACGTTCCGAGCTAAAAACCTACAACCTTAGTGCGTGTGCCGTAAGCCCTGGGGCCGTCCTGCCCGCCCTCCGCCTCGACCGGGCGAGGGAGGTCGTCATGCGATAAGGAAAAGCCTCCGCGCCGTCGGGGTGGGAAACGCCGCCTATAGCCGTTAGTCTCGCGAACGTTCCCGCCACCGCACCGCGCTACGCGAGCAGGTACGCTGCGCGGACCGTCGCATTTCGCCGGCGCGCTGATGCACCGCGCGCACTCCCCGAGCGACGAAGGCCCGTTGCGATCGCAGAAAGTGCTCGACCACCGACGGAGGTTACCGCGCGAAGATATCCCGGCAACATACCCAGAGAGCGCGCGGAAGCGCCGGTGTGGCCAACGCTAGCGCTGAGAGGTGAGACAGAGGCTCCGGCTCCGGGACAGCAACGATCGTCCCTCCGCTGGATGTGGCCGCGAGGGGCCCGTCGCGCGAAGGCGGCGAACGCGCAGAGATGCGAGAACGTCGGAATAGTCGTGGGGACACGCCGCGGTGCGCGGGGGCCTGCTGCCGCCTTACTCCCCACGACGACGTGGCGGGCAGGCTAGTCGAATCGGTGCCGCACTCCCTGCCTGCCCTGCGAGGGCGTCGCACGCCCCGGCGTCCCCCGTCCGCGGGTTCGCAGCGGGTGACGGTGGCGCCCTGCGCGCGACACGGCAGGTGCGTGCGCCGTCCGCGAGATGAGGTGAGCGGGGACACCGCCGAGGCACACACGTACGCTTTGGGCCTCAGCGTGCTTGCGCCGCAGCGCGCTCGCTTTCCAATCGCCCACCGCAATATTCCGAGCGGAGATGTGTTTGGTAATAGCGTAAGGCGCAGTGGTGCAAGATCATGACGCGTCGAACAGGCTGCAGATTGCGCGTCCTTGCTCGGAACTGCACCGAGACGGACGCGCATGCCGTGGCCCACGCTGACACCTTCTCATGCCCGGGCAGTCTGACAGCAATTCCGGGCGTTAGCACCATAGGTATGACGGAACGGGCGCGATATACGTACTCATTGATGACCTTCCCGAGACACGTTCGAATCCAACGCTGCAGAACAGAGCAATCCGCGCCCGCCAGCGGAACGGGCCGCACACGTTCCGTCGTCCGCGGGCTCAAAGCGGTCTCGGAGGCGCGAAACAATTCTAGCCTCGGTCATGCCGGCGGGCCCTGGCCACGCACTCTGTCCAGATCGGGCCTCGCGCCTCCTCGAGACACTTCGCGGCGCGCGCGTGTCAACCCGGCCGGATAACGCGTAGCGGGGCTCGGTCGTCGGGCGAACACGGACCTGCCAAGCGTGCGTGTCTGTGGAGCGCCGTCGTCGCTTGCGCGTAGCGACAGGTCGCGACGACGCTGAAACGCCTCGCGCGCGCGGTCGAGGCCCTGAGTCGGGAAGGCGGGCACCCACAACGGTCTACGGTGCCAGGAGTCGCGCTGGGGCGCGCGGCGCGCGAGGTACCGTCGTCGGCGGCTATATTTGGCAGGCGGCGGACCGCGCGGTGGATGCCTGCCGCGAGGGCGCGCGGGTGCGGTAAGTATAGCAAGTAGGATGGTAGCCGAAGACTAGACTCGAAAACCAGTCGATCGGTACGCACATGGAAGCTGCCTTTCGGGGGGAGCGGAGTGTGAAAGGCAGCTTGCGTCCCCCTCACCTAGTGGCGCGACGGAGTACCAATTACCGAACTGCTGGGAACGAGCCTAGCCGACGACGACGCGCACTCGACGCGTCGTCGGCGCGGGAGGCACGCAGTGCACGGGAACGGAGTCCGGACGGGGATGCGTCGACTGTGTCTGCTGTGCTTGCACATCGGTACGTCTGCCGAGAGGAGACTAGTTGACTGGAGGAAACAGGCTGTCAGCTGAAGTTTGCAGAGCGCGGAGTGCGCACGGCGACTCCGTCAGGACGAATTACTGTGGACGCGGGCCAAGAACCTCTTGCCTCACCGCGCGTCAGGCATCCTGACCTCGTGAGTATGTCGGGCGGGATTAAACACCGGAGAAGGTCGCATCGACGCTGCGGGCCTGGGGGGTACGGCAGCGCTACCACGCAGCCCTGGCCGCTGCGGTGCTTCGTCCGGCGCTCTGTGCTATAAATCAATTGCGGGAGGCGCGCGGTCATTTCAGATGTGTTCGTGCTGGCGATAGATGAAGTTGCGGACGGACGAACGGGCGGGCTTCGTCTGCGAAGGCCGCCTCGCCGAACGTGCCCGGGGCAATGCCAAGAGGTCGGGGCGGTGCCAAGAGGTGCGGGCGGTTGTGGTACGCAAAGCTTGCGCAACTTGTGTGGTCTGCAGCCGCACAGAAGCCCTGATACTGCTCCCGCGGCCGGGGAGAGAAGGTTGCGTCCACCTCGGGGCAGGCCGGCTGTGTTGCCTCGGGATTCCAACATGTTCTGCGGTCAAATGAGGTGTGATTGAGTTCGACGGATCGAGGACGGGCCGGGGGCGATGCTCGAGAAAGTACGAGGGGCTACTTGACATGGGTGTTGTGCGGGCTGGCTGGGAGATGGAGTTGGGGCGGTGAGATTATATTTTGGTGGAAGCAGTGATAATAAACATACCGTAGTATGCGGTATACGCTGTGATGAATGAGTGTCCTGGTATCCAGAGAGTACATGTGTGCTGCGGTAAGGGGCATACTCGTATCGCAGCCCACATTGTGAAGTGGTACAAGTTTTGTTTCGAGTGAGTCGCCGAGGTCATTGACTATACCTTCTAACAGCCCCCGCGCTGGTGCAGATAGCGTACGAACGTGCCATGTCCACCCACTTCCTTGGACCGCCCTCAGCTACCTTGGGTATCGCCGCGGTGCGCGCACCCACGGCCCCTCTGTGGGCGTATGTGGGTCCCCCAGGGCAGGGCAGATCAACAGCCAACGTTCCTCGTAAGTTCAGCTTACAGAACGCGAGCCCTGGCGACGGCGATGGTCCAGACTGAGACACACCCAGCCCAGATTGGCACGGCCGGGCCAGACGGCGGGTCGGAGAGTGGTAATGGACGCGAGGGGATTCGCTACGAGTTCGATGATGCTAGAGCGCAATTGTCAGGCGGGGGATGCGGGGGATGGCGGGCCGCCATCAGAATGCACCGCGAAACTCAGCGACGCTGCACGATCGATGCGGCCCCGCGCGCGTGCACGGGTTGCCAGCTCTCTCCAGCTGCCCACGCCTAAGGGGTCTCCGCGCAGCCAGGCGGCGGTGGCTTGGAGATACCGCTGGAATGCTCGCACGCGCGACGACTGGAATGCTCCCGACGCGTCCATGCATGCATGCGCTCATCGACGCCAGTCGCGACGTCGCTTCGCTAAAAATAGCGGGGACCTGGGGCAGGTATTCTTAGACGACGCGCGGGGTACCTGGCAGGGAAGTGCAGAGTGCAAAGTCGGACGTCTGGCGAGGACATCGGAGCGGGCTGTGCTCATGACGCTTATTTCGACGTCGGTGGCCCGTGCCGACGCGGACGCGAGCGTGAGTCCGAGGGGTCCCAGGACGGGGGCTGCGGCTAGTAGACGGGAGGAAGAGAAGGGGGCTCAGAAGCTCGAGAGGGTAGGCGTAGTAGATTCGAGTGTCCAAAGAGCAGTACCCTTGCCAGTGCAGTTTGCCTCCGCGAAGACGGCGCGAGGCGCGAGTGCCCCGATATCAGCTGCAATACGATTGCACCTAGCCAGATGGAGGCAACAAAGCAAGAGCAGCAATGCGTATGCCAAGGTCTTCCGGAGGATCGGAGCGTGCGCAAACAAGACGCACACACACGGTGCGTTCGGACGGGGTCACAGGGGAACATCGAGTGCCACTCGCGTCGATGGGAGACGCGATGAGATTAGTGGACTTTGAGTGCGCGCTGGGGTGCTGCAGCGACGGCGCCGACATGGGTACACGGGGATCGATCGTATCGCGATGCGGTCGATTCAACACCTTCGTCGGACTGAATGGCGCGCGCGAACCTTGCGGGGGACGTGCGAGATTGCGAGTATATCGCGGTTGGATCGCAGGCAGCGCGGGGTGATAGACACCACATCTGCGAGCGATCCCGGGATTCTGAGCCGGTGTCCTACCTGGGGCTGCTTCAAATCATGATAGAGGGTCAGAGACCCGGCCGTGAGTGCAGTCATTTCACAGAAATTGGAGAACTTGTGCGCGACGGACATGGGGAGGCATGTGGACCGTCTTCGGTCTTCCGTGTCCTCGATCCGACTCGGGGGCGGGCGGTATCACGCGGGCAGAATGAGAGCGGTACACCGAGGAAAGGCACCCGAAACCCGAGCAGGGAGATGATTAATAGGGTGGAAATGAAAGCAAAGAGGGCTCAAGCGATTGATGGACTAAGATCGACTCACTCTGGGGGGCGCAGGGGTGAGGCGCTGCGCTGCTGAGTGCAGGCGCAGTGCGCAGGACATGGAGGAGAGGGGGAGGGCCTGGGCGCGGAGGGCGGCGGTCGGAGACGGATGACTCGAAAGGCAAGAGCTCCGACCGGGGTGGGCGTCTGTGGCGGGTTGTCCAGTCGATCACCAGGGCTACGTGTGCGGGGTAAATGAGTGGCTGTTTGCTTCCGCGCACAGCCCGATCCATACAGACTCGCGCTGGATCCACAGAGTCCCCCGTCCACAGCAGCGAGAACTGGCGGGAGGGGGGCGGGTGGTGCGTAGCGGGTGCGGAAGAAGGTCGGGCAGGGGAACGAAGCCGCGGAGACGCGTACGGACGAACAAGATTTGTATTATGGAGATGTGATGCTGGGAATCTGAGATGTGGTGGAGAGCGCACAAGCGATGGGGGGTGAAACGGAAAGTTGCGAGCGGGCTGTTGTCAGGGGGCGCTGACTGTGCCTCCGCACCTCTTGGCACGCGCTGGTCGGCGACATACGCTGCAGATACGCAGAGGAAAGCTGCAGACAGGACCTCCGCGAGCACGCCGGGCTGTGCGGGAGAGGGGGGCGCTGCGGGCTCGGAGGGGGCTGGACTGGAAAGGCAGGAGGGAGGGAACGTAATGGACGCACGTGTTAAGCGTTAAGTTGTCGAGGGGGACCCCGGGGAGTGCGGGAATGGCCTTGGCAGTGAGCGCATCGAGGGAGTGCCACTCCCGCCTTCTTTTTATCGCCTGTCGCTTCCCGCCCTCGGTCTCTACTTATCCTCCTCCTCCCCCGTCTTCTCGCCCCCGACTGCCCTCTCCCCCTCCTCCCACATCATGGCCACCGTCCTGATGCACAACACTTACTCTCCCGGCCCAGGCCGCGGCATTCTCCTCAACCCCTCGCCAGGCGCATCGCCCGCCATTTTCCCGACCTCTCTGCCTGCTCTCGTGCCCTCCAACTCCTCTCTGTCATCATCAGCGTCGTCTTCCGCGCCGGGCGAAGACTACTTCTCGTCCAAGTCCTCCTCTTCTCCCTCTCCTGGTCCCTCCTCTAGCGGCTCTCCAGCACCCAGGAATTCCGTACACCTCCACCCACAACCCAAGGCCCGGCACGGTTCAAATCCCTCCACAGTGCGCCGCATACGCTTCGCGCCACTCCCCGAGCCTCGACGCGATCTCGAAACTGCCGACGACACGTTCCCCCCGGTCTTCGTGGACGACGACGCCGACGCTTCACATCCCCACGACCTCCAGCCCCTTACTCTGTCATCAGCGCTACATGCTGCGACTCTTTCACTTGCTGCCCCTGGCGACTCCGACCTGTCCAGAAGAACACGGAGCTTGCCCTGTAGCGTGACCTCCAGTCCCACCACTGCGAGGAAAGCGCTGCCCGGTGACTCCCTCCTCCTTGATCCATCATGCGCCCAATCCGCCTCGGCATCAGACCCCGCAGGTCCCACAGGCCACGACGCGCAACATACGACCGCCGCCTCCGACCTCGGACAGGAGTGGGACGTCCTTCCCCCCTCTTCGCCCGGGCTCCCCGCACTCGCCCTGTCCGCAGCACCCGACTCCCCGCGGAAAGCGGGCAAGTGGTCGAAGATGCTGAAGCCCCTCCTCGGGCGCTCTTCGCACGGTGGGCACACCAAGTCGTCGCTCACGCGCACGACGTCCGCGGAGGAGATCGCGGCGATGAATGGTGAGCGCGGACGTGGTCTCCTCCTTGGTCTCTCTGCCTCCCGGAATAGCAGCCGCAGTCGGGATGCGAGCGGGAGCCGCGAGCGCGACCAGGGCCGGGATAGGAGGGACGCCGACTTCGGACTTCCCCTGCACCGGTGGACATCCGAGGGCCAGCCTGTACTTCCTATCAGCAAGAAGAAGAAACACTCGCTGTTTGGGAGTGGAGGCGGAAGCGGCGGGGGAGTTCCTCTCGGACGCACCCAGAGCTTGACATCGCTGTCGGGCAAGGACGACCGCAAGGCGCTGAAGCCCGTGATCGCCACCAACGGCGGACGCAAGCAGCAGCGGATGCTGAACGGACGGGTCTACGGTGCGAAGCGCAACGCGAACCCATTCGCAAATGTCCGGTGCGTACCTTCTGTGTCAATCAGCTCACGTCCACAAACTGATCCCTTTCTTCCATCTTCTAGATCCGAGGAGCCCGAGTTTGTGGAGTGGGGCTACGGCGGCATGGGCTCTGTCAAAGCATCCGCAGGCCAATCCCAGATGTGGCAGAAGGTGCAGAAAGGCAAGGTCGCGATCGGCGGCGACGAGAATGCTTCGTGGGGCGCGCGCACAAGCGCCGACGAGGAGGATGATGGAAGTGGGATGACATGGCTGAAGAAGCGACGTGAGCAGCGCGAGCGCGAGAAGAAGGAGCTGGAGGAGAAGCAGAAAGCTGAGGCTGAGGCCGCCAACGACGTCGTCGAGTCGGCCGAGGAATCGGCTGCGGCTGCGTCCGAGGCAAAGCCGGCGGTCGAGGTGAGCGCAGATGCAGAGGCAGAGCAGGGTGTCGCTGCGCCGACAAGCGAGGCCGCGACGATCACGTCCACCCCCGCGTCTGCGACACCGCTCGCCTCTGAAACGCTCCACACCCCATCGCACGAGGAGCACATCACCCAAACCGTCAACATGCCCCCACTGCACAAGCGCCATCACCACTCGCATTCGTACTCACATTCACATGGCCACCACCACGGGCACGGTCACTCGCTCTCGTTGTCGCTTCCTCATCCGGAGCGGCGGGAAAGCGCAGACACCGCTCGTGGCGTCCCCTTCCTTTCGATGACCCCGGCCGCGAGCAACACTCCCACTGGCCAGACCGAGACCGTCGAGGACACGGAGGGTACTCCAGTCATCGCCGGAGCGCGGTTGCGCACGGAGAGCCTCACCGAGGGCGAGAACGACGGGAGCCTAAGCAGCAGCGCCGCGAGTACCGCGAGCACGACCAGCGACGATGTCGACGATAGCGAGGACAGCCCGAAAGACACCGAGGGCGGGTTCGGCGCGGACGACGAGGAAGAGGACGAAGAGCTGCTTGAGGTGCGTCGTGTTTCCCGTTTGCCATTAGCCGAGCCTCGTGCGTAGCACGCCGGGGTGACGGTGTTGGTGGGGGTGCGGATGTGCTGACATTACGTATTGCAGGAGGAACGGAAGACGGCGCTCAGTGCTGGTGTGGAGAAGATGGTGCGGCATAAAGAGCACGACCACGCGCACGAGCAGGCGACCTCTACTGAGGAGGCAGCGGGCGAGGCGCAGGCATCGAGCTAAATTGCTCTGCCTATATGCGCTTCCCCTGGCCCATCCCTGGTCCCCTTCGTCCAATCTCATCCTACGAATTACGACGCCGTTGTTCCACCTGCCTGCGCACGCCATGAATGTGCGCCGCAGGGAGGTGGCCTCGGGCACCTCGCCAGGGCGAGACCTGCCGGCCATCATCAGCTGGCGCTCGCCCTGCGGCCATGGCGCCCTTTGTAGCGATATACCCCCGCTTCAAGTGGCTGGCGTGCGTTCGCAAGATCTACGCCGGCCACCTATGGGAGCTGGGGTTGAGTTACCGGTCGTCCCTCGTCATAGGGGCGACTGTATGCGCGCGTTCATCGGATGCAAACCACCTCCACCTCTCTTCTTGTTTTATACGCCCCTCTGTCCCGTCCCCTTGGGTTCCCCTGCTGTCGATCTGCTGTGAAATATTGGTCCCCGGCTCCCCGTCTCCTGCTCGCCCCGCCTTCATCTCCTCCGCCGCCTAGCTTTGTATTTCCAACACCACTCTCCCACCCGCTGTATCGCCGCTGGACGCATGTGCATCGCCTTCCCCCTCCTTCCGCGGCGCGACTGTATAACTCCACACGTTGCCGACTGCATGTCGACCCAGCCAACCCCCATTCGTCTTCGCTGTGCATATTCGCTCCCCACACTCGTCGCTCATGCTCCCCGCACCACTCCTATGTCTACCTCATGCATCCATGCCATGCAGTAATGGGCGGACCACACCCTGTGTGCGTCCTGTCCCCCCGTCTCGATCTGTACCCAAAAACGCATAGGCACCCCGTGGCCGCCGCGTACCGCGCTCCTTCAGCCGCCCTTCGTTTATTCTCATTTTCCTCTTCCGCCCAATTCGCGCGCCGTTGCCCTTCGGGGCGACCGCGCGCCCTCTGCTCCACTGTCCATATCGTACACCCCGCCCATGATTGTACCGTATGGCCCGCCTCCAGGCTCTAGTCACCGCGCACCCGCGGCGGCGTCTAAGCTCGTACCAGTATAATATCTCGCATCGCCATCCAGCACCGTCCCCTCACATCCTCCCCCATCCGAACACACAACCCCATTTCGCCCTTTGTCCATTACCTGCACCCCTCCCGATCCCGTTTGCGCACCGTTACTGCTCGCCCCCTACCCATCCCGTCTCGTCTGCACATATACCGCATCGGATCGTCGTTTAGTTCGTGTACAATATACATAGTTCCCGTCTCGCCCCGTCGCACTTCTGCTTCCCTGTGGATATAGGATCTTGGATCGCCTCTTCTCCCTTCTCCCTTCCCTCCACTCTTCGCCGCCTGCCCCGTACTCGTCGTAGTCGTGCTCCTTTTGCACCATATCGCAACTCGAGAGACCCCTTTCGCAATCACATCCGCCCGCGTGTCCCGTCCCGTATATTCGATTATGCCTATTTTATTGCGTGTGCCCGACTTTGCTCGGCTGCACTGTCGACTTCCATTCCCCTGGAGGTGTACCTCGGTTCGGTTGTGCGTCAGGCACAACCGGCGTGCAGTACCCTCTTCGCTTCCCGTTCCTGCCTGTTCCTGCCCTTACCTTACTGTACGTTTCAGTTTATTCGTTTGTCGATTCGTTCAATGCAACCCTTGCGAAACGCTTCCGATCCTTGCGTGTGAGAGTGTGAAGGGTGTGGTAAATACTATCATAAAAGAGCCTCTTGTCTACTGGTACACTTGCTTGCGACCGAACTTCCGCCATCCGCATCCGGGAACGTCGAACTCTAATGCTCACCGCATCGTGACCAGCTCTGCGCGGCCCCCACGTCAGCCTCAAACCAAACATAGACGCAAAGGAAAAAGCAGACGCACCCTCGGCAGACGTGGGGTGGATCGCGACGGTGTCGTCGAGGTCCTGCTTCGTCGCGCCCATCTTGACGGCGACGCCGAAGCCCTGCATGATCTCGTCCGAGCCGAGCCCGATGATGTGGATGCCGACGACGCGCTCCTCGGGTCCGACGCACACGAGCTTGTGCACCGTCGGCTCCTTGTGCTCCTCCGGGATCATCGCGGCGACGACAACGTCAAGATCTGTACGTCCCCCTCCCCCTCCCCCTCCCCCTCCCCCATCCCATCCCCTCCCCTCTCTTCCCCCTTCCCTTCACGCTGACCCGCCCCACAGACAAGTCCTCCTTCCGCGCGCTCTACTTCTTACTTCTTGCGCGCTTCGGGCTCTGTGAGGCCGACCGTGCCAATGGTGGGGTGGCTGGTACAAGTTCCAATTAGCCTCTCTCAAGATATCAGAAAGCAAGACCACGTACGAGAAGACGACGGTAGGGATGTCATCATAGTTCAACTTGTCCTGCTTGAACTTCTCCGGGCCATACAGCCTGTTCGCCAGCCTGCGCGCCGCCGCAATCGCGACGGGCGTGAGCAGCGCCTTGCCCGCAACGTCGCCCAGCGCAAGCACCCCGGGCACCCCCGTCTCCTGGTACTCGTCCACGACGACATTCCCGTGCTTGTCGAGCTTCACCCCGAGCTCCTCGAGGCCTAGGTCCTCCGTGTTCGCGTGCCGGCCGATCGCCCAGATGAGCGTGTCCACCTTGAGCGTCTCGCCGTCCTCGAGATGGACCGTGAGCTCCTGGCCCGGCGTGCCCTCGACCTTCTTCACGTGCGCGCCGTGGCGGAAGTTGATGCCGGTGTGCTTCATCCACTTCGTGAGCGTCTCCCCAATGACGGGGTCGAACGTGCGCAGGACGGTCTCGCCCCGGATGAGCATCGTGACCTCGCTCCCGAGCGTGTGCAGCACGCCCGCGAGCTCGACCGCGATGTACCCCGCGCCGACGACCGCGACGCGCCTCGGCTGCTCCGCGAGGTCGAAGAACCCGTCCGAGTTAATCCCAAGACCTGCGCCCGGGATCTGCTCCTCGCGCGGGACCGTCGGGCGGCCCCCGGTGGCGACGACGACGCGCGCGGTGTTGAGCGTGTACGTGGAGCCGTCCGGGCGCGTGACCTGCACGGACGAGGGCGAGAGCACGCGCGCGCGGCCGTGGTGCAGCTCGACGCCCTCCTTCGCGACGTTGTTGTCGTAGATGCCGTTCAGGCGCCGGATGTACGCGTCGCGCAGCGGCTTGAATGTCTTCCAGTCGAACTGCGGCGCGCCGATGCCGGGGCCCTTGAACTGGTACCCTTCGGCGTGGCGGATCTTCTCTGCGATGTCCGCGGCGTGCCACATGATCTATGGGGGGCGGGTAAGGCACGGCGTTGTGTTGCGCGGTGGACAACTGCTTACTTTCTTGGGCACGCATCCTGACAAAGAATGTGGGGTGAGCGATACTCTGGCGACGTGGTTTGTAAGGACGTACCGACGTTGACGCAGGTGCCGCCAAGCTTCTCGGTCGCCTCAATCAGGGCGACCTTCGCGCCATAAGACGCAGCTCTACGCTGAACAATTTGTCAGTATCACAGTCTGACCGTACGTGTATATGTGCCGGTTGTATTTGTGAAGATAGAGATCTAGATGACTGACGTCATGCTACGCGGACTTCGGACACGAAATCCTCGCGCGCGCCCGTCCAGCCCCTCTCAAAACCCAGCTTTTGTCAACGGTGACGAAGCTCGCCCGCTAACACTATGCGCGCGAAGACTGGAAATGCGGGATATAGACAAGGAGGTGACGCAGCGGGCGGCGGGGGTAATTTGCCATGGTGAGCAATCAAGGAACGATGTCCCGGCATGCGAGAGGGTCGATCCTATATTGGCCAGAGGATGCGTTCCCGCCAGCGGCGGACGAACGCGGAGGTGTACACGCGCATACATCAAACCAAGTGTGTACTCACCGAGCCTGCGACACCACCACTTCCGCCTCCGATGAAGACGACGTCATATTTGTCCAGACCGGGTTTCGTTACGGGAGGCATCCTTGCTACTGCACTGTCTGTGGATAATGCGCGGGTAATCTGGGCAACTCCGGGTGAGTTGGGGGCGCTTGGCGGAGAAGCACGAACGGACCTGGAGGAGGCGACGGGACGCTATGGTGGAGGAGGGAGGAGAGAGGCGTCGGACGATCGATAGGGAAGCCAGGACGGCGAGGTAGTTATAGGGCCGGCCCTATGTGCGGTGTGAAAGGACTAGTGGATAAGTCAGACAGACGCGTCTGTGTAAGCCCCGCGTTCGCAGTCGCTCAGCAAATCGAGCACGGTGTGACCGATGCAGATCCCTCCAGATGGCGCAACGCAGGCGTCTATTCCGCTCGCCCCCTTCGCGGTCACGTGCGCTGACCCCCCATCGCGGCCTTCCGATTTCGCCGGCCTTTGCTTTTTCCTCCTCCCTCTTCCACTGCGACTCTCGGCTTGGTGTCTGACACAACACTCTTGACCTTCTGCTTCATCTTCGGGAGATGTGTACCATCAATGCTACCCGTTATCTTCTACGTATACGGCCCTTCTATCCATGCTTGTCTCTGACCGTTACGGCCGCCCAACTATCTCAAGACGCAGCTCACTGTCCCACCCACCCCGCTTTCTCCCCTGCACTCTCTGTCACTCTGTGGCTTCTGACCAGGAACCATCTGATGTCCATGAACTCTACACATGTCCACCTTTGCTGCAATTATCCATGGGCGTGTATGTGCACACCATCGCCACAGCCCAACGATCAACGGTGCGTCGTACCCGCCGTAGAACAGACTTTCGCAGTACACGGAGGTTCGTAAATCCGAGCTTCGATGTATATTCTGCTAGCTGCGATCGCGCTCAAGTCCTTATACCGGTCTTTACCGTGCCTGGAGTCTCTCGACACACTTCCGAGTCCAACATCGTGCGTATTCAATGCCCGTTTCATGCCTCTTATTTGACTCATCGCATCCAAAATTTCACCGCGGTGTGCAGTAGCTCAAACCTTTGGCGGTCGTGGATACCGTATCACGCCTAGTCATCAGGAATCTACACATGGCTCGACCTAAACGTAAAGAGAGCCTCCACGCGGTCCTCTTCTCTAGCTCAAAGTTTAGGTCGTAACTTCGTCGTACGCGCTCGGTCTTGGCGTACAGTCGATCCTTCTGTTCTCTGCCGGGGGGTGACGCCGAGAGAGGTCGCTGTCAAACAACACGCTACCCCCTTTTACGTCGAGATGAGGACACCTCTTTTCCGAGGGCGTGTCCGGTCCACCCAAGCTCGCTGCTCGAGGGAATATCGTAGCGGGACTCACACCATGATCAGGTGAGGCGGGTGTCGGAGGGTCTTTCCTCCTCTTCCTGACTTCCTCTCGCTGAACGCGTTTCAACCAGCCGGGTCCACTGGCAGCAGCGCAATACGACGAAGACCTTCTTTCCCCTTCTGGCCACCCCTGTATGGCATTCGGATGGCTGCGGATACCAGCGAGGGCAGAGCGTTCAGCCGACGCCTAGCTTACCGTGTCCTCGAATCCCACTTCCGTTGTTCACCACACCCTTGCCACCCACCGCTTTCCACGTTCATATCCGAACCGCCGGAGTTCAGATCGAGATAAACGTGCGGCCAGCTGTGGCACAAAGTCGAGTACGTACCAAGTACGTACAGGACGCCCCACCTCACAATGCATGGCCTTCCTTTGACCGCGTCTTCTCGACAGAACACGAGTGCGCGCCCTGGCCTCTCTAGCTGCGTGCCTTCTGGCCCTTCTTGCGCTTCGTAGGTCGTGTGGCCTCCCCAAGTCAGCATTCACGCCCCCCTGCTCCCACGAGCCGTGGCTTTCCCCTTTTGCGGCTCGGGGACGCGTTCACAAAGGATAGAAGTGCTACCAAATGCAGACCGCCGCACCCGGAGTACCGCTCAACACGCTATGTCGGCGGTCTACGTACCTCTATGTGGTGGGCTTGGCCCTTCGATTGTCAAGACGCGGCAACTGCCCCTCCAAAGCGATCCAACCGCAGTGGGATCGTCGCCGCTCACAGACCTCGAGGCCGCTCACCTACCACCCCGAGCCGCAGAGAACGCAGCGACGTGGACAGCCTTCTAACGCACACCGCACACCTGTCAGCCACTCCCACTTCTATCCCCGCGAGCAGATCTCGTTTTCGACAGCGCCGCGTCCTCCGATAATCGATCGTCCTCCGAGTCTCCGGCGCGTGCCACTCGCGCTCGCGCTCGTGTCTCCCGCGACCCCGGACATCGCGCCATCTCACCCTATTGCAGCCTCGCCCCGTCGCGGGCGGATGCCGCGGTAGGCCGCCACGAGGGGGACCCGTGCGGCCGTGCATTGTGTCGTTCGTCGCACGATGATCTGATCTTGGGCGGGGCGATGTGCTCAGATCCTGCCAGTGGCGGAAGCGCACCTCGACCCCCGCCGGATCGTGGCTTTGGGCTCCGCGGCGTGCGCGTGCGCACGCTGGTGGATGCTTGGTAATTATTTGGAGGTATATTGTACAGCAACGCTGGCGAACAGGGTCGGGGGGTTTATCTGCCTCATCTGTCGTCGCCTACATGGACGAAGTTGGCTGGGCGTAAGTCCCCGCCCGCTCAGGCTACCTCTGGTGGTGGGGTGAGCGGCTGCATTTCTGTTGATGTATGTGTATATACTGATATGTGAGTTACGGTGTCACTAGTAGATATGAAGTTTACGGCAATATGAATGCAGTGGGAGGCGGAAGGCTGGCTGACAGTGTTTCCCCACGTCCAGAAAGTCGCGCGTCCAGAAAATCCCACATCCGAAAAATCGCGTATCCAAAAAAGTCCCACATCCAAAAAATCGCGCAGCTGAGCGAACTTACTCAATCGGTTGCCTTTCGGGACGACTGTAGCGAAGTACGAGGCAAGTGGGCGCTCCGATCAGGCCTGGGGGGATATAAGCTGGGCTCCTCGACGACCAAGGAGCTCCTCCAGTCCACCATTTCATAACTCCAAAGCTCATCTACCACTCACCTCACCTCTCAACTCTTCATCATGTTCTCCGTACGTGCCCACGGCTCGCCCTTACCCCCCCATTGCAAGTGCTGACCACCGGTGTGCTCCTATGTAGACCACCAACCCCCCGAAGAACGCCGCCGCTTGCGGCCTCGACTCCTGCAGCTGCGGCGAGGCGTAAGCATCACCCACATTGAAGAGGGCTTGGTCACTCACCTTCTCTTCTAGTTGCGGCTGCAAGGCCAGCGAGTGCAAGTGCTGAACGCCTCGCCAATGCAAGCCGCCTCCCTATCCCTCGTGCTCAGTGATCACATCCCTCTACCCCCCCCCCCGATCAAATCTTGCGTGGGTCAGCGCGTCGGATAGGCTGCATGCGCCTTGGGACTCTGTAACACCAGTGATTGTACTATCCCGTGAATGTCACCCAATATGTGTCATACCGCGAGGGCGAGACTACCACTTGTATTGCGTCACACCACGGACGGATGTGAAAGATAAACAGTCTGGACGCATATATCGTGGTATCGGTATGCTTCATGTTGTACACGCACAATAGTTCGCTTATTCTCCTTCAGTTTCACCAGATAGGTGATCAGAGTGATGCTACACGGTCCCGCCTTGCTACTGAGGACGGACACCAAGCGGGTATACGAGGGCTCTCTACTCCCACGAACGGTGGCGTGCTTCTTTTGCGGCTCTGGGGTGCACCCGCGAGGGATATAAAGACCGCCAAATGCAGCCGTTGCGGTGCGGGGTACCGCTCAGTGTTGACAGTCGACGTACCTCCACTTGCTGGGCTCGACTCCTCATTGTCAAAGCACGACCAACTTCCTTCCACATGTCCCAATGCGATCCGACGGCCGTGGGCTCATCGCCGCCACCAACATCTCACAGGCCCTGAGGCTTCGAACTCTCTGCCGCATCCAGGAGTTTAGAACTGCGCCTGTCACTGAGAGCCTCCTAATGCCCATCCCGCACATGCTAGACGACCCCCACCTCTATCTCCGAAGTTCGAGTTCGGGGGGACATTGTATAGTAGCGTCAGGGATGGTGGGTATCTCTACCTCATCCTGCGGTATAATCTCTATGAATCACTACATCGTATCGCAGATACAACGAGATATGGCGTACAAACAAGAATGACATCGTGTCGCCGTGGCACTAGCACGACTCATCCTCCTTGGCATACACATCCATCAAACCTTCCGGGGCCCACCCAAACTGCAGCTCCTTCACCATCTCCAGCACGCCACCGTTCGCCCGCCCCGCCGCCTCGTGGTACTGCGCCCAACTCTTGAACTGGCACGTCCACGCCCACTTCCCGTCGCGCCGCACGAACTGCCCCGGGACCGCCAGATGCGGCCGTTCGGAGTCGACGTTGCCCAGCGGCGCGCCGCCGTTGATGCTGCCCACGCAGAGGCGCACCAGGTCCCCGAGCGCGGCCGTCGTGACCGCGTCGAGCGGGAGCGCGCGCGGGGGGCGGTAGACGGGCACGCGCCGCGAGAGGTGCACGAGGACGCCCCCAAGCTCGAACATGACGGGCATCAGCCCGGCGTAGAGCGGGTAGTTCTGCGCGCCGAGCGCCGCGTGCGTCATGCGGAACTCCTGCATGAACGCCGCGTGCGTCTGCGCCGCGTTCGGCGCGTCGTCCGTGCGGAAGAACTCCGTGAGGGGCATGAACCCGTGCTTCGCGACCGTGAATGCGCCGGCGGGGGTTGCGCGCGCCGCGGGGCACCGCGGGGCCGTCCGCGCAGGCGAGCTCGATGAGGTAGAGCTGCTGGGGGCCCGTGCACAGGTCCATCGCGGTCCCGTTCTGGAGGAGGGTTTGCACTTCGACGGTTGTGTCGAAGGCCCACGTGTGGGCCGTTATGAACTCCGACATCGTCCGCGTCATGGCGGCGGCGGACGCGTAGCCGAAGCGCTGCACTTCGTGGTCGCTGAGCGAGAAGTCCCGCGCGGTGTCGGCGATGTGGAGGCAGAATACCCTGGGCAGGAGTGTGAGTGCACGCCTCTGGGTTCGGTTGGGGACCTGAGACTGACTTGTGAGCTGGCCATGCGGCTTTCTGGCATTGCTTGCTGCAATATAGGATACCGGTGCAACCGCCGCATTTTCGTAGTTTGCTGCCGTCTTGAGGTGATTCACGGCACTTGTGACATTTAGGGGTCTCCTCTGAGGCATATCAGAAATCGGAGAGCTGTGAATGCGTGAATATGTGCAAGGACGGAGCACGCGGAGGGACTTAGAGCTGGCACTCACCGTGGTGATGATGGTTATTGTTCAAGGAGTGGTTGTCCGGACCGTGTCTACATCCAGGTTGACGTTCGCGCGACACCATGACATCATCGTGTCTGTAGTAGTAAGTCGATGTATACATATGAAAGCTCATACACGTGGCCAATACGAGTTCGTGGTGGCGCTGTCCTGTATGGTGGGTAAAAAAAGCGACAGGAATTCCAGGTGGCACGCAGATTTGGGGTTATGTCATGATATTCGTGATCTCTCCGAGGTCGATGCCTGCATCGAAAAGCCATGTGAACGCCATGCGTAGAGGCTCGACCTGTGCATATCAACGGTCAACCACCGTACTTCAATTGCATGCGAAACTGACCGAGATATGCGGCCACTTGCTCATATATTGAGCAGGCCTAGAAGAAGCTCCTCAGCACCGAGCTTGGTCCTCGGGTTATCCTTGAGCACTGCATGTAGGTCTTCATATTCTCCGCTAGCCGGCGAGTATTCATCCCAGTCCGTGAAGAGGGGCTCCCAGAGCCAAATCTTGTCCTTTACGAATCGTCCAGGCAGGGGAAGCCCGAGGAAACTCCTGTCGAGGCCCTGGAGACACCGGAGGGGAAAACTGCAGCCAGAAGTGAGGCTGCGGCGGCAGAGCAGCTCGACGTCTTCCAGTATGGCGATCTGCTGAATATTCAGGCGAGGCAGAGGCGTGTGGGTGCGAACGACGGGGACATGCATCCACCGGATCTGCGAAACCTCTTCCACGACAATGATCACGGGGAAGGTGGTAACGTAGGCGCGCTTCCAGCGATCTCGCGCCTCGCGCGCCGTGAGCTCCTGCTCCGCTGCCAGCTGCTCCCATGCTTCCGCGTGCAGCGGATCCGACACCTTGAAAGCATCGACTTTCATGTACCGGAGCGGCTCTGTCCTGCGCAGCGTGAAGGTTTCGGAAGGATTACGGTCCGCGGGTGGGACAGATACGATCGGTGTCGGGGAGTGATCGAGGTGACAGAACAGGAGATAGTCCGGGGGATCCTTGATGTACTCTGAATCGACACGCCCGTGGAGGAGTATCGATACTTGTACATATGTCTTGAACGCCCAGTTATGAGCTCTGATCCAGTCGTTCTGGGCACATATGAAAGCGAGTTTGGTTTCGTAGCCCAGAGCACGAATGAGGAACCCCTGATCTTCGCGGCCGCCCTCTTCACGGGCGTTATCCTGCATGAAACGGCATATGGTCCTGTCCGAGATTATGGTAAGCACGGACTCTAGATCTGCAGCAACGGTCTGAACTGCTGTGTCTACTCACTTGTGTTCTGACCAAGAAGCCTTTTGACAAGCTCTACTGCAGTACATCACGGCAAGACATCCTGAGCACGCCTTCAACCGTAGGGTGACGGATTCGGGCGCGCAGCAGCGGCTGCAAAGCTTGAGGGACGCTGGCTGGACTAGCTCGTGGCGAATATCCATGAAGAGATAGCGAGCACAGTCAAGTCCCGAAGAGGCCCAACCTGTGTGCGTATACGACGGTCAGATCTACTGGATTCAAGTATGAAGCGTGCGCAAAGCTTGCAGATGTTGGAAGCCTGCGCGATTCCAATATTTGAATACCGGGAGCAAACGAGCGCTCGCTTTCTGATGAGTGCTTCAGTCGGAGAGTCAATCCTGCTTTTAGCGGGGATTCGGGATTGCATGCTGGGGTAGTCAGAGTTCTCGATTACGCAGAGATTTTGATGAGGATTCTGAGCGGATTCTGGTATCTGAATCCTCTCAGAATCTCGTCGTACCCTGACCACCCCGTTTGCAGACACGATTTTGAGCCTGATTCTGAGATAAACTTGTTGGCTTTCTGAGCCCGGAAAGCCGTAAATTCTGTCGAGCAGTCAGCCCACGCGATTGAGAACATACTAGCACATATTTCAGACCCCAAGTGGTGTATCCGGCGACCAAAATAGTTCAAAAAGTGTTCTGCTGAGTAGAGACGTCATGGAGGCTCGTACAACTCGTTCACAGCAGATGATTTCGGTCGCAAGCGCTCGCCGTGTAATAGCATTTGGAGTTATCGCGCCCATGATACCAACAATTCGCACGGATATGGACACTTAGCGTGGGCTTAGCGCGGGAAAGGTAGGCGAGGGCGGACGGAGGACAGAATCGCAGAGGCCAGAATCCGATTCTCACTGCAGAAGCTCCTCCGGAGGCGCTTCTGCGATTCTGCTCGATTCTGCCAAAATCGCGATTCTGAGCTCGAAATCGCCTCCAGAATCGTGTCGTCGAATCGTCCCAAAATCCCCTCAAAATCGCAACTCTGTATGAGGGACATCCGTGGACATAAAGTATTCCGCACTTCGAACAAGACATTTAATCTCAGTAATGCACTTCACTTTCGGAGTTCAACTTCGAACTGGATTTTGAAACTTGAGATCTCAAATCTGAGATTCGAATTTCCCACACGGGCGCTCGGCGCACACCAAGCGCCCAACGGCACTGCCACTGCCCGCCCAGGGAGCGGGCCACTCCGACAGAACTCTTTGGGTGACTTCCCGTACGAATACAGCGGCCCTCATAGCCTTCACCTCTGCGAGAGTATGCTATATTAGCGAGATATAATAAGGGCTACTTAGAAGGTTTGTTCAGAAGCCACAAAGATCGTTAATGCATGTACGCCAGTAGATATGCATCAACAGAGCGCATTTAACTCGTTTGTAGCAGGATAGAGTGCAGCATAAGTCCTCGACGGCAACGTTCAGTATTGGATCTGAAATAAGCGGAATCTCTGCATGCAATGTAGTTTATCCCACTATCAGGCGTCACAAACTGGCCGAGATATGAGCGGAACAGTGCCAGTTTGAGCACACGCCCATGCACCGTGTAGTACTAACCATGGACCTTGCATGCACCACCAGCACGAGGGACATTCACCTAGTATCGTCACCGGAGATATTTTTATATCAAGTGCCTTGACAGTACAATGCAAAACGGGTAGCTGCGCGTGCCATACATACGGTCCAGGGTTGCCCGGGGATCGTCGCGCGCGCCGAAGGTGCGTTCGGGACGTGCCAGGATGTGCACTCGACCGTTCTTGTTCGCGACCTCTGCGCGAGTATCGCGTACTATGTATATACATTATATATAACCCCCTGAAACTTTTGAAGCAGAAATTTGCCAATTTGCGTGAGCTACGCCGCAGCTCACTCCGCCGCACTGTATGGGAATAGGCACTTACTGTATGATCGCCTTCGAGGCGGATGACGATGCGGGTAATGCTCGTATGTTTGGACATCGCTCAAATCTGTATAGCAATTCCTAAATTATGTAACGAAGTATTTTATGACATTTTTGGAGCTTCGCAGCAGCGTGCCACCGCGAATTTGTGCTCGTATGCCAAGCTCCAGGCTTCCCTGGCTGGATGCATCTTGTATAACTCACGCTGATGGCTTTCAATCTAGTCGAATGACTCTACTTATGGTTCTACATGGATGTGGAAGCGACGCGACGGGAAGAAGAACTTGGAAACCATATTGTTACTACTTTCTTAGCCATTGGCAGACCTCGACGCTCTACATCAAGTCAGTGATGATATGAACATCAAATAAAATGCATATCGTGCTTTACTGTTACTTGCACTTCCTTCAACAATAATAAACGCAGTACATGCAGAACCTGTAGTAGAGGAGTCCGCCGAGCGAGTGGTGGCGGGGGTGGCGGGAGTCTTACCGTATAGGGTAATGGCGGCGGAGTAAGCGCTCGCGCGCCCTTGGGAGCCTTCGGCACTACGTCGGCCTACGTCGGCAGCATGGCCCCCCCGCCATGTGGTAGTCGTGAATGACAACGTGAGAGATCAACATACCTAATGTACTCACTCAGGTCTAGTTTGTGCAGCGCCAACCGCAAGCTATCGACTCAAGTTCGAGTTCGAAATACAAACCGACATTTGAATTCAAGCTCCGAAACTTAAATGCACTCCCCAAGTCGAGATTTCAATTTTGTCCGCTCCGGGTTTTTTTGTCCACGGGATCCCCTCATAACTCTGACTACCCCTAATCTTCCCGACGGCGACCAGGATCCGCAATCGACGTTCCCTCTAACTGCGGCAACTACCTCTCGGTAGACTACGTCGTGAGCAGATAAATTCATGTGTATATATGGAATTTTGCGAATTTCCTTACAGGCCTGTCGTCATATGAGGGGATCCCGCGGACAAAAGTATTCGTCGCGGACAAAACATACAATTTCAGCAGCGTGGTTTTGACTTCTTGAATTCTGTTTGACCCTGTGCGATTTCAGCTCCAGCAGATGTGTTTCGGTCTCTTTGCAAGAGCAGTGCGGGTTCAGGGACGAGCGAGTTCAGGAGCTGGCAAGGGATAGTAGTTCATACTTTGGAGTGGGCTATGACGCCCTCGCATTGAGCTTAATTTCCGAGACGCCGATTGCCTTCTTCTTTCTATATTTGGCGCTCCGCATTCTTGTTGTAGAGTCCGATGCTCAGCGCTCAGTACCGCTTATTGACTGTCCCTTGCACTACCATCCGGTGATTTATGTACACTCTTAATCCAAGCTTTGAGAGCAAGCGTCTTGACTGCAGTGATCCGCCAGGGACATGCGGGACCCTGATACTCCCAGGGCAAAACTGGCTGCCCGCACCTTGCCCAGCCCAGCGACTTACCCTCAGCCCTCAGCCTGTCGTCAAGTCTCTGCCTCCGCGCTCATCCTATCTCTGCATCATCACCCTAGCTGTCGAGTATACCTCTCAAAAACCGCTGCGCGTGACTTTTGATTGCTCTGCGGCGTTGTGTCGTTGCGCGTTGCGTGTTGTTGCGCGTTGTTGCGCGTTGTTGTTGCTTGGTCGTTTCTCGACATCTTTGAGGACCAAGTCGTCAGTGTCGCGTGTCCTACTGGACTATCAAAAAGATGGACATGTTGAACTTCTGTGTCTACGGCTGTGCCGGACCGGGAGTGGCAGTGATAGTGGCTGTGCGTCTACCATACGCCAGCATGGACTTTCCTACTTACCATATACGTACATTCTTTTGTTCTGTACTTACTTGGCATCCTGCCATCCCTCCACATGATTCTGGTACGTTCTACGATGTTCCGGACTATTCTAGACAGCGTCCGGATTACTCGCATTACTCAGCCATGGACTATCTGACCTTATGTCGATTATGCTCCCTTACTCAGCGTTACTCATCGCTCAGTCAGCGTCCTCTGGACGTCACATGCTCTCTTCTTATACGCTTACTCATCGTCCTCCCCAGTAGTATATAAGGAGGACTCTGCAGGCCTCTGCTCTTCAGTCGTTCTCTCACAGACTGAAGAGTAAGTCCCACACTACCT